CCTCCCACGACTACAGTCCTCCCACGACTACAGTCCTCCCACGACTACAGTCCTCCCGCGACAAGAGCTATCAGCTCGTCCGCCCATCCAGTGCTTCTACAGCGCTGTCTCGTCCGATGAGCAACTTGTTGCAAACCCAGGAGGTCAAAGGATGTCTCGAACAAGTAGGACATGGGGCCACCAAAGGCACGAGCAACTTCGCTACAACAACTTCGAACGTAGATGTCAGTTGGCGAAGCGTCGCGCACTATAGGCAAGGATTTGGATCACCGGAGCAGTCCGCATGAGACTGCGAACGCCCAGACCTCGGGAGGTGTGAACAACTCAAAGCTCAAGTGTGAGTTGACGAAACAGTAGTGAACAAGTCTCCAGCGACGAGTTACTACCGTTGCCTAGCCCAATGTCCGAGCTTAGGAATGCAGGAGTTGTACTCTGCAGGGGACATGTTGGATGGCTGCAAGCATCCAATGTCGGATTGACGTGCAGCCATTGACGACCCGTTCACGCTGTCAAGAATTGATAGGTAGGGGTGTTGATGCTGTATCAGGTGATGTCAAAGGTGAAAGCACATCCTGAGCTGGAAAACACCCAGCCACATCAAACCCGCAAGCCAATCAGATGTGGGAACAATATGCAGCGCAGTCGGAAAGCAAACTTCAGCTGACCATCATGAATCAAAGAGCAATTCAACTTGCGAATAGACGGCTACGGCTCTCAATCATCGTGCTGCGATACTGAACATTTGACTTGTCCATCCATCCAATTTCGGCCGTGGCAACGGGATCCTGCCTAAGACATCGGCAAAGCCTTGTCTTCTCGAAGGCGACCAAGAGATCGGATCTACCTCCGCTACCCGCTAGGCCAGCTGCAAGTTCGCACCGTACTCAGGGGTCACGTTTTCTGCAGTCTGCTGTGACTCGACCCGCCAGGGCGGTGATGGTGACCGAGTTGTTGCCGTCAAGGCTACTATTCGGTTTCTTGAGATTCTGAAGCTATGTGATGCCCAGTGATGCCGGGCTCTAATAGTTGAGTCACCATCCCTGCTTAACTGGGAGGAGAGGAACTTTATTCTACGCGAGGACAGTTAGACACACTACCGACAGCCCTGGAAGTTTAGCTCAGGGGCTGGATTAGTGGGGTGGTCGCCCGCTACCAGCCACTAGTTGGCTGTAGGCAACGATCCGTTATAGGCTTGTTGTGGGCTTACCATGGGCTTGCCGATTCGCTATGCTGCTTCGAGACCTTCATGCCTGTGCTGTATCACTGAAACCATCCGGCACACTTGCGACGAAAAGGCTCCTCACAGCTGCACTCTTCCGTCTCGCTCCAACGTGTCGTCGGTGGTACCATTTATCCATCCTCATTCCTGCTCACACAGTCCGTCAATCGCTGTCTTCGTCGTCTGTAAAATCTCTGGCGCGGTTCAGCTGGGATCGTCCCAACCAGCCTCGCTTGCCAGCGCTGTGTCCACAGCCCCGCAAGTTGCCATCCACTGGCTCCGGACGGTTGACGGCATCTTGCGCTCCGGCGGAGTACTGACTGATCATTGCTGTGAGAGTCCGTACAACGATTTGATTGTCACATCACCCTTCCCGAGACCCCACAGGATCAGAAAACATGGCCTGCTGAGGCCCTATTCAAGTCATGACTACTGAGCCGCCGCAGACACCAAAACGTTCGATGCGAACAGAAGGTGTCGACATGCCTCTTCCAAGGAACCTCCGCAGCCCAAGCTCCTCCAGCGACATCCTCTCTTCGTCCGGTCGCTCCATTGCAGGAGGTCCTCTGCCCCCAGCGAATCCCAAGGCGGCCTATATCGCGCAAGGCGCTGCCGAACATCTCACTTCTACCGAGCTCGACAGACCTGTCCTTGTCGATGACAATGCGCTTGATTTGGTCAACGGCTTCCTCGACCAAATACTGTACAACCTCCTTCACATCTCCAAGTCCACCGACATCGATTCACTTCGTCATGCTGTTCCCAAGCTGCTCAAACCTCGACTTGGACAGGCTGCCGTAAATGCCGCCGATGAGGAATTGAGGGACTATGAGAAAGAGGAGGACCCAGACACATTGCAGCGGCCACCGCGTCCGGCAAGGCCCAGTGATTTTGACCTCGAACTAGCCTGGAAGTTGGCACGCTTGCGATGTATGGTGTATGCTCGTCTCGGTGATATGGAACCGGAGGACGAGGAAGATTTTCTCGAGTCCGAGCGCCTGGAAGAGCACGTTTATGGCTCTCCCATGTCCGTCGTAGCCACGTCGGCCATATTCCTCACCTCAATCCTTGAATTCGTCGGCGAACAGGCCCTCTGTAATGCCGCCCAACACGCAGAGAAGCGCCACAATTCGAGAGCAAGCCGAAAACCGGTCGAGCACAGCAGTGAGTCGGAGCCAACGATCGAGAACGAAGACTACGTCGCGCTCGAGCCTGTCGATGTGCTTCAGCTCGGCCGTGAGGGTGCGCTTTCGCGCCTCTGGCGATCCTGGAGGCGCGATACAAGAGCGTCTGAATCATTCGCCTCCCGTCCAAACACTCCTGGCTTCGTCATGTCGCCTTCAATGACCGAACCCTCGCACAGCCGCAAAGCCAGTCATGCTTCGCGCGTCGCTAAGATTCCCGAGGAGGATTCGCCGGACTCGGACTCTAATAGTCCTTCTCAAATACCGCTACCAGTCCGTGACACAGACATTGACGAAATTGAGGTTCCGGGCCTTGCCCCAGATTTCGAAGAGCGTGACGAAGCTAGAGAAGCCCGCCCTGAGATGGGGACCAAGAGACCGTCCAGCATGCTGATATTCCCTGGTTACTTCCCCTCCTCCCCTGGCCCCGCCAGCCCAACAACTCCTACCAGCCCAACAGTTCCAGAGCGTAGTGCGCTCCGGCCTAAGTATCACAGACAGAGATCGCAGTCCCTGCCCGATCTTCCACCTGCGCCGATTTTCTTCCGCCGCAGCAACAAGAAGGAATCCGCCCGTGATGCTCCCAATGACGTTGCAGCATCAGGAGTCAAGTCTGTAGAAGAGCCAGAGGAAGATGTGCCAGTCGAGCTGCCCTCAGCTAGTGAGTCACTCCAGACGTCTAGGCCAAACACGCAGCACAGCTCTCGACCCAGCGTAGTCAACGGTGCTGCCGTTGCGGCTATTGCTGGGGCACTTGGCGTCGAAGCTGCACGAGCTTCGCGCCGAGGCAGGGATCAACACGATGGATCACGCCCGCAGACGCCACGGACTAAAACCGCAGCCGAAGAAATGATGGGTACCAGTTATCATCAGCCGGTTGCCGCCAGCAATCCTGAGACACGTGCCTCCATCACCGGTCCTAGCGACTTTGAAAGCTTGCACGTACCTCAGGGAGCGCATAATGTGGTTGATGATCCCGAAGACTTGGCCCTAAGCTCTGATGATGAGCATGCTGTACAGACCCGACAGGAGGCCCGAGACTCAGGCTTTGCTGTGAGTGGAGTCGCAGGTACATCGGCAGAAGGGGGCCAAGCAGCATCCTCACCCATCAGTCCCTGGAGGAATCGCGAGGCGGCAGTATACGAGAACTCGATTGTGTCGTCTCCACGCGAAGAAGCCTCCGAATTTGACCAGGCCGATGGCGAGCGACCTCGTACTCAGGAGTCAGTCACATTCCAGCCGTCCCAGCTTGCACAAACCAGTTCCGTAGCGCGGGCTGACATGGCCGACGAGACGCCTCCCCTCCAAAAGGCGGAAGTATTCGAGGACAGCTTAGGCGGTCCTCAAAATGTCACCTCTAGCACCTCTATCCCACCGCGCATATCATCCCGCGAGCCTCACTACGGCCATTCAACTACTGCTTCGAAGTCATCGCAATACTCGCATCATTCGAAGAGTTCGTCTAGTAGTAGCAAATTGCTGGGCTTCACTCGAGATCAGAGTGGTCGGCCTCTGAAGGAGCAGCGTGCGGAGCACGGTGACAATAACCGTACACCTCATTCACGAAATGCCAGCGCCAATACTTCAAAGGTCATTCCAGGAGCGCCGTTGGGAGCTGCTACTGGTGGTACACTTGCTGCGCGGCGTGAGCACTTGCGCGTTAGGACTGATTCGGAGGAGGATGTAGCGCGGACTAGAAGTCTAGAGATATTGATCAAGAGTGGCGAGACCCTTCACTATACTCTCACTCCGGAATCAGCGCGGGCTGAAGAGGTATGTGTCGAAAGTCGTGACGCGAATTTGACTAACAAACCAAAGTTCGCTCCCTCGCCCACCAGGCCGAAGACTGAAACGCAAGATCTTGCTGACTTCTTCCGCAACACCGGTCCGCCAGGCGAACAAAGTGCTACGAGACCAACAAGCTCGAAAGGGACCAAAACGATGAACGGACTTCGATCAAATCCTGTGCAGGCAGACACTGCATCGACTTCTGTCGTACCCAAGCCTACGGAGATGCGATCTAATGAACAGTCCAACCTCGCACATTCGCGATCCCGGTCCTTTGCGGAGCCGCGCGATCCGCGACCAGAGCGCAACACGACACGCGACCTCGCTGACTATGTCCGATCTACCGGACCGGCCAACAACGAACAACTTCCCAAGCCTCTTGTAACGCACAGTAGCCAGGTCAGTCATTCAGAGACCGTAACGTCAAGCTTGAGATCCGACGGAGTGCCTCGCGTACCGGCCGAAGCGCAGAGACAGGCAAGTCTTGCTAGCGCTGCGAATCGGTCTGGGTTCCAGGCGCGTGATGCTCGCCCAACGAAAGGATCCGAGACGGCGGATCTCATCGACTTCATACGCCAGGGACCACCACGGGCTGCTGGTGAGCACCGCATCGACCGCAAAGTGGCGCCGTTCCGCACAACCATGGATTCCGATGATCTCCAAGCTCTGGCTCCGCCCGTCGATCTTGCAGGTCGTAGTTCAGTGGGCAGCAACCACGAGAGCACCGCGACCAAGTCGATGCAGGAATCGACCAATTCGCGGACGGCACTCCTCGATTCCAGTCGACAGACGCCTGTCCGAGGTCCAGCGCCTATCAGCCACGATGTGAAGCGACAAGTCATACCTGAGCAGGACAGCATGCCACCACGCACCCGACGACGAGTCAAAGATCCCTACGCTATCGACTTCAGTGACGATGAGGAGCTTGAGGCAGAGCTGGCGGCGCCGCCAAAACCTCGCAGAGAGGAGGAGTCCCTCATCGACTTTTTAAGGAATACCGCGCCGCCTCCAGGAATGACGACTCAGCCGATCCTTGCAGCGGGTGCTCGACCTCCTCAAGAAAAGACTGACCTCAAACGGTCTGTTAGTAATTCCAAATTACGGGACATACTTGGCCGGGGTGATAGCTCGGCAAAGAACGGATCTTCCGCACATGGTGCTAATGGCGCGAGAGAGGAACCTCCACATCTCCATCAACGTCCCAACGGGGCGTCAGCTGGTCCTGGCGTCCGGAAACCTAGGTTCGAGGCGCGAGAAGCCAAGACAACGGTTACTTCGACTTCAGATCTGGCCAGCTATCTGATGAATTCGGGGCCAAGCGAGTCATCGCAGTCACTAACCAACAACAACAAGAACCCCAAACTCCAACATTCGCCAGTCAAGGAACAGGCTGGATTCAGGAAGTTCTTCTCTAGAAAGGGGAGCGTGCGTAGATGAGCACACCAAGGCAAGGGCAGGTGGATGTTTATTCTTAATGATGGCGGACGGCCAGACGACAGTGTCTCTTTCTCTTGCACTCCGCAATGTTTCCTGGAAATTCGACGAGATGCAGACACGACGGTGGACAGTCTCGAGTGTATCTTGTATGCGACCTGGATAGATAGGGGCTCTATGTACACCTAGGCAAAGGCACGAAGCGAATTTCATCTTCGAGTCCAGACTACGTAATAGATCAGGTCGATCTTGGAATTCGAATAAGAATCAGGGTATCTCAAGATCCTTCCATGTCGAGCGTACAACCGTAGCCATCAAGATCAAAAGGCACGGCGCGGTTTCGTTCACCCCTTTCTTCACCGCCTTTCCCATCCGCTAGGGTTAGGGCACCCCACAATTCTGCCAGGCGACCTCCTGAACAAATGCCAGAAAGTGCCAAATGTTCGTACCCCCATCTTTCGCGACACGGCAAGCACACGACCGACGCGACCACCCTGTGTTCTTCGCTTCTACCAGTCCCTCATCCTTTCCCCTCCTCCTCTACCTGAGACTGCGCCGTCAGCCAGGCTGCTCTTCTCTCAAGATGGCGCGGTTCTTCGGTGCCCTTTTCGCCCTCCTCGCCTTCCTCCACTCCGCGCTGGCTCTGAAATTCGACCTGCTTGCGCATCCGGGCCATTCGGCGAACAACGAACGATGTATTCGCAATTTTGTCAACAGGGATACTTTAGTGGTGGTGACGGCGACGGTGGGCGGCCACAAGGGCGATGGCATGGTCGTCAACATGCATGTGAGTTGCAAATACAAGCGCTGCTCTTCAGCTGTTGGGTGGTGGTGGTGGCTACAACGATGACTAGCCTAGCATCTGCTAACGCAAAGGAACCCCACAGATTAAAGACGCAGTCGGCAATGACTACGGCCGCCCCAAGGATATCGTGGGCGAGAGCCGCATGGCCTTCACTAGTCTGGCGGACACGGCCTTCGATGTCTGCTTTGAGAACACTCTGATCGGTCGCGGTACGTCTCCCCCTCCGGACAAACCAGTCTTGCCTCCCTCAAGAATCATTCAACTAACGCTTTCCCCGCCTCTCAGTCTCCGGCACGCAACCCTCCCGCCACGTCGAACTCGACATCGATATCGGCGCCGACGCGCGCGACTGGTCCGCCATCCAGGCGGCGGAGAAGCTGAAGCCCGTGGATACGGAGCTGCGGCGCATCGAGGCCTCGGTCAACGAGATCGTCCAGGAGATGGAGTACCTGCGGATACGGGAGCAGAAGCTGCGCGACACCAATGAGAGCACCAACGAAAGAGTGAAATGGTTTGCCCTGGGGACCATGGGGATGCTGGTCGGCCTCGGCGCGTGGCAGGTCGTGTATCTGCGGGCTTATTTCAGGTATGTTGTTCACCTCCGGTCTTTGGTGTGGTGCAAGGCAAGAGGGCAACTTCGACTCCTTGGTGCAAATGGGGGGTGGGGGGATGTCGAGGTGCGATTACTAACGGCCAGAACAGATCCAAGCATCTCATCTAGATGCCCGATATCCAGGGTGCGTCAGCCCGCTTCTAGATGTGCTCTCATCTCCGCGCTACCGGCTCTGAGAGAGCTGGGAAGTGTAGGTAACGGGGAGCCCGTGTATTACGACTATACAAAAAAGCTTATGGAACAGAGAACTTGGTGACGACCAGACATTTGCCCATGAATGAAATGCTCTTAATCGTACCCACTTCTCTGTTGTCTTTGCTTGCATGTAATGAAAAGTTTTCCCGGATGACCAGGGAAAATGTGTGTGCGCCGCACAATATAGTCGTGGGACGATCGAACCAGCGGTGTTTCCTTGTCTATAATAGAACGCGACTGAGGAGGGGGCGAATAGAAGCTGAAAGCCTTTGTTTGTGTTGAGGTGAGCATCACTGTATCCGACGACTTGCGCTACTTAGACAGTAGCTGAGCGAATGCTGTTAGGAGGAGGAGGGCAACTACGCCAGGCATGAGAAGGACTCTGCCGGCACCAGACTCTTCCACGGCCTGCAAGTCAATGGCGCCCACAGCACAGACTGGCCCTTCTGTTCTTTCCTCGATCATTTCGTCCGTGGTATTGAACACCAGCTCCACCCACTGAATATCGAAAGAAGCATTTTGTCCAATATCCATACTGCCTGACCACGTCGAGTTGGCCGACCACATGTCCAGGTAAACGGCGCTGGGCGGGTCCGAGACAGGAACATGCAGATCCGTCGTGTTGGTCTGCTCATTATTGACGAAGAAGACACTCCGGCCGGGCACCCAATCGAGCCGGTGGACCAACCAGTCCGAGTATGTGCGATGCTGCGGGATGGTGTTATTGACGGTCGCTCCCGGAATAGGGATCCAATCCGGCTCGCCGCACGATGAAGGCTGGTTGGAATACTGCACGAAGGTGCCGGGAGCGCGGGTGAAGAGCTCGATGTCCGACTCTTGCGTGTCGTTCTGGTAGGTGAAGATGCCTGCGACGCCTCCAGGGGCGCCGCGGACGCGGCCCAGGACGCGGATCGAGGCCGACGTGACGTTGAATTCGGAAAAGGTGATTTCACCGGATTCTTGGTTCTCCTCGTCCACACGAGCGGTGCTTAGAGAGAGGTAGGTGCCATAGTGTTCGGACTCATTGGTGCTATTGACTGCGATAGGGGCTCAGCACCGACTGGGCGATAGTAGTGGCCTGGGAAACACTTACCGATCTCGACACGCTCCGGAATGAAGTTCACCGGTATCGAGTGCCCACCAGGTGAAGCTCGCGGGAAGTCTCGCACGTACCAGTCATCCGTCCAGGAGCTGTCGACGACTGTGCGATTTGACACGTCAGCAGCATCGCGTCGTCGGGATCTCCTATCGGTGCTGCTTGCGCTGATGTTTCTGAAGTCGTAAAATCGATAGTACTGAAAGTGGCTGCCGGCCAGGCCGTCGGTGGAAAACGCTGAGCAGTCGCTGGACTCGGCTCGCCGTCCGAGTACGATGAGGGCCGAGCACGTCAGCAGGAACAATAATGTCAACATACTGTATCGAAAGAGGAAGTTGGACAAGGTGGTAGTCGGTTGCTCTCGAAGGATTTGTTTTCAGCGTGCAGCAGCTTAAATGTGGCTGCCGGTGGGATGGTAGTACATGTGTGACAAGTAGGGCTGGCGCCCAGGCAGCTGGGCAGTCGCCATGCAACTTCGGTTGTATTTTCGCGAGCTCGACGAGCTGACAGTTGAAGGCGTGCGAGTTCCTGGCCAGTTCTGGTTGACGGGAAATACCTGCGAGCTCAACGAGCAGCTTGGCTGGGGGCGATGCGTATCACAGGAGGCCAGCAGTCAACTTCAAGCCACGCAAGGGACGCGAACTACTAGATCCAGAGATCTGTACCACCTGACAAGCCTACTGTCTCAATGTGATACCAATTTTGAGTATAGGCAGCCTCTTGGGACGAGTTGTCAGCTTGGCCTTGCAGCGCGCGTCCATTTGGTCTAGCTCTTCTCGCCTATGCGACTCTCGCATCTCCCCCCAACAAGCGATGCATGTCAGCCCCGTTGACAATGGGAGGCTGGCTGGACGTCTTATGTAGTTTCTGGCCAAAAGAAAATGTCAATGAGTGGAATCGCTACTACGCGGTTCTAAATATTGCGGGGCTCGACACTGGCCCTCCCGAGCACGAGCCTTAGCTGTTATGACAGCTGCATAGACTTGAAGTGCCTGCAGATATCCCTGCAGGCATCGTGCAACGACCGACGGGTTTGCCATCCCAGCGCACGAGCCGACTTGGAAGGCTCGGCTATACAGATTCCCACATCACCTGGGCGTCGAGCCGTCTCCTTTATTGGAATCGGCAGCCCTGACACCAGTTGCATAGTCGTGATTATGTCCCTGACAGAATGCCCAGTGCCTGTACCCAGATTGTAGACGTGATACCCGGCTGCGTAGTTGCGGTTATCCATGGCGCGCATAGCTGCTAGATGGCCTTGAGCTAAGTCACTGACATGAATGAAATCGCGAATGGCGGTTCCATCTGGAGTATCCCAATCGGTGCCAAAGACATTGAGAACCGGGATGCTGCCAGTCATGGCGGCAACCACCTTGGGCATAAGATTGCTCGCTGGAGCACGAGGATCTTCACCAAGCATGCCTGACTCATCGCAGCCGATGGGGTTGAAGTAGCGTAACGCAACAATGATCCACGACGGGTCAGAATGAGCCAAATCGCTGAGAATAGCTTCACACATCCATTTGGTCCTTCCGTATGGATTAGTGAGGCCGATGCATCCACTGCTATTGCATTGCTCCTCGAGCAGACGACCACCTTTGTTGGCAAGCTCGCCGTAGACGGTGGCGGATGACGAGAAAACCAACTTCTTGATCTTGAATTCAGCCAGAAGTTGGCAGAAATCGATCAGTCCTCCTACATTGTTCGCATAATATGCCAGGGGCTTCTGGAAAGATTCTTCAACAGCCTTATAGGCCGCGAAATGGATGACGCCGACAATTCGCGAGCGAAGCGGAGATGGCGTGAGAGCGAAGGACGGCAGGAAATCTTCATAGATGGTGAGGATGGACCGGACTTGGTCTCGATTACGATAGTCGACTTTGTAGAAGTCGAGTGATGGTGAACATTCAGTGTCTCGGAAGTAGTTGTCCCTGAGCGATTTCAGTGCGTTGAGGGTGTCTTGGTTGGAGTTTGATAGATTGTCGATGATGACGATATTCTTGCCAGACTTCAAAAGCTCCCAGCTGGTGTGGCTCCCAATGTACCCCAGACCGCCTACCACTAGAATGAAGTCGTCGTCGCGAGCGCCTGAGAAATAATCGACTTGCTCTGTCAACGGCGTACTAGTCGCACTCACGTCTGCAGGCGGAGTGCTGCAGTGGGACTCAAACTCTGAAAGACTTTCCGAGTCAGAACCAAAATAATGGATGGAAGACTGGATGGGGTCCATGTTGTTCACCTAAGGTAGCAGGAACTGGGGCAGGTGGTTTTGTGTGAAGCGTGCCTTCCCGCCTTCCCAGCGACCGAACCATGGGCTTGATATAGAACAGCATGTTGCACATGTTCCTCAGCAGCTTTTGGCTCCTGAAGCCTCTTGCCATTTCCAAATGCCGCACACCAGATGTCCAATCCCCGGGCAAAGGCAGCCACGAGACATTTTCTGCTGAACGCGGCCCGCCTGTCTACTGAACAGCGAAATTCATGATGCCGTCAAAGAAACGTCCGGTCTTAGCCCTTCGAAATTACGAGAACCGTGGCTGGACCACGTTCAATGGAGAACTCTGGACACTTGCTCAGTGCTCTCCCACCGCAGACAATGTTTTCCGAATGGCGCTCAGGCAGCCACTCACAGGTATTACAATGGTCCAGCCGTGACCTGACATTGTTGGCTCCGTTCGCGATCAAATGCGAGGATAATCAGCAGGACAGACACGTCGAGCATGAGCTCCCCAGGGCACTCGGCCAGTCGCATTCATTTACACGTGTAGTGCGTGCCCACAAAGAGACCCAGCTATCAATACTGGTGAGCGGGTGGCGGTGGCAGTGGGATCTAAAAGAGAGCAGCCCGCGTATACGAGCTTTGTGTGAGAGTGATCATATTATTGGACGGACAGAGGCTACAAGAAGCTCTTTACCAGGGTCCCTTGGTACTCAACAGTGGTCAGTCGTTAGCGAGACGACAGAATAGACTCAATAGATGCCGAACCGGTTCTAGCTTAGGCAACACCCAGGGGTACTAGTTAAGACCTTAATTTATGGGCCGCCAAGGCCTCGTGTCCAACGTCTCGGCTCGAGCAAGTGAGACCGTCGGACGACTTTGGGATGGCAGAGACTCTTGCGGCACTTGAAATTGCGTGATTCCATGTGTCACCCACGCTGAAATGAGCTTAGACAGGTACCGGATCCATGTGGCCGGCGTTGTCAATTCTTTACTCCCCTTGGGTAAGGCAACAAACCACGCACGTCCAGGTCTCATCGGCACAACACCGCTGCCTTTGGTTGCCTACTCAGCTCATCGCTCAGTCTTGATGGCGGCTTCGCTCCAATCGCGTTTCTTGTTCTCCTCTTCACCGATGAAGAGCCGTCAGACTACTGTCCTACCCATGTCTACCAGTTACAGGTACATGCTTTGGCATCGAGTCAGCTGAAAATAGCATGTCTGGATGACAGCGCTAGACAAAGACTCGAGACCAGCGTCGACCGACTCTCCCAGGATGTGGGTACAAGGCCTGGATGACTCGGTGTCTCCGGCCTGCCTGGAGGCCGCAGCCCGCGTCTGGAACAGAGCGAATACTCAGAACGCAAGGCACAAATTATCTCCGCAAGGGCAATTGTTGGCTCAGCTCCTGTATTCGGGTAGCTGGCTGGCTGGCGTTGAAACTGTAAGATCTATGTGGCAAGCAGTACGTCTTTCGACAAACCAACAAGAACTACTGTTGTGCCAACCACTTTCAGAGTGTCTTTCTCTGTCCATTCCTCGCTCTCATTAGTCTTTCGTTAACAACTTTGCCGTTCATTGCACCTGGTAAGATCCTGGAACCTCAATATTCATGGCTTCCAGCACGCTTTCATTTCGATCCCTGTTCAAATCCTCAAGATCTCGTAGAGTCTTGCAAAAGCGCTCCTCTGCCCAGACAGACTCGATTTCCCCACCATCGACTTGGGCACAAGTGCCGTCTTCGGAGCGTGTCGATGGAGCCGCTGATTTCCAAACATCAATATGCGTTGACAACGCGGATGACCCCTTTCGAGATTCCGAACTCGCTGCTGGACCCCAATACGGTGTGGATTCAAGAGCACCTTCAATACTACAAGGCTACGATGAGATCTCACTTGCGCCATCACGGCCGGAGTCTGCCTACTCGCCTTGTTCCAGCCGTGAAGATCTCTCAGCTTCCTTCGAGCATGTACCATTGAACCCCGCTAGATCCTCCCGTCCCTCTATCTGGCGAAGGGCCAAGAACGCATTCCAGCGCCAGTTCGACCTGCGAGGCTTCCTGCATCTTTTAGACTTTCGTCCCTGGTTCTGGCCCTTCACGTGGAAGAAGTACTTTGTGCTGCTCTTCCTGGCATGCATCATTGCCGGCATCGTCATCTCGGACCACTACACCAACTGGCTCGAAACGTCCCTGCGCATCACACGATCGTATATGTTGCCAGTGCTGATCATCTCCGTCTGTGCCGAACCAATCATCATCATGATCGCGCTGCCGGTGGCCAACATGCCAGATATTCCTGCCGAGGAGGTCGCAGCGAACCTCAACTTAGCACCAGATGAGGAAGACGCTGAGCAGAGTCGGGAGCCACTGTCGGGGCCTTTCGAGACAGCGATGGTCTTTCCTTGCCACGACACGGACTTTAGGGTGATGAAGACAACGATAGACTCCTGTCTGCCGCACTTCAGACCAAGGGACATCTTCATCGTCGACAACGGCAGATCCAAGTATCCCACCCACCCCAAGGGTAGTTTCCGCGCCTACATCCGCAGCCTTCATCCCGAAATCAACTACATGTGGTCTCCAATCGGGAGTAAGAACGCCGCGCAGTTTGTGGGCTCCTTAGCGGCTCGACAAAAGGGCTACAGATACGTCATGACAGCCGACGACGACGTCTGCATGCCCAAAAACTTCAAACCACCAACCGACCTACTCGACGACAAATTCCTCGCCGTCGCATATCCCATCAAGGCCATGGACGCCAAATGCCAGTCCTCGCTATGGGTCACCGCCTGGCAAGACGTCGAGTACCGCCTCTCGGGCCTCGCCAAACTGGCCGAAGATCGGCTCTGCGGCGTGCAATTCCCCCACGGCGCGGGCTGGTTCGTCGAGATCGACACGCTGATCGAACTCCTGGAGAAACATCACCCGATGGACTTCATCGCCGAAGACTGCCGCGCGGGACTCGGCATCAGCAAGATGCGCAAGGGCATCCGCCTGGACGCGCGCTGCTTCCTCGCCACCGAAGTCCCCGCCACGCTCTTCGGCCCAGGCCTCAACTGGTGGAAGCAGCGCCAGAAATCGTGGGAGATGGGCCGTCACGGCCTCCTCTTCGCCTACCTCGGCCAACTACTCTTCGCCCTGCCCCCGCGCAAGACCCCGCAGGGCATCCTCTGGCACAAGCTCAGCTTCGCCTACAACATCTGCTGCATCCTCATCGACTGGCTGCGCATCCCCACCATCGTGGCCCTAGGCCGCTCCGCCGAATGGTGGCGCAACGCCATCCTCCTCATGCTCTTCTCCGCCGTCCCGCCCATGGCCTACAACTACTGGAAATGCCGCCGGCGCCGCGACATGCGCGCCCCCTTCTGGGCCGCCCTGACCTATCCCCTGTACAAGCAGCTCTACACGCTCGTCAGCATCATGGGCGCCGTCCGCTGGGCCGGCTACTATCTCGGCGGCCACACGCGGTCGAAACCTATACGGCAGATGCTCAAGGAGGGGGATTGGCGCTGCTTCTGGCTCGACCCGCGCTTCAGCGAGAACCCGGCCTATCTTGCCGACGAGGCTGAGGCACTTGCGGCGGCGACGACGACGACGACGACGACGACGACGTTTGCGGGTAAAGGCGTTGAAGCGGAGAAGCCGTCGAATGCACCGGTGGCGGTGCCGGTGTCGGTGATAATGCCAATATCACAGCACGAACAAATTTGCTACTGCGACGGCGAACATCGCGATCCGTTTAGTGACGAGAACGCGATCGTTGTTACGCCGCCGCCGCCGCCGATGATCCCGCGATCTCCAGAACGGGTGTACAGCTCGTCGCCGTTGGCGAGGTCGTCGGCGTCTTTGCCATCTGAGAAGACGACGCAGGGTAGAGCGCCGCCTTGGTAGACGTGTTGATAGATGCGTATTAGTCCTCATGGGATGTCAGATTAGAATGTTCAGTTCCTTGTTCAGTTCAAACACTGAGCTCTTCTCAACTCTCGGGCAAGCACTGGCACGGAGCTTCACCCGGGAGCAAGGACAGCCAGGATGGAAATTCAAGGTCGTGCTAAGCATCTTAGCCGGAAAACACTGTACAATAATGCAAACGCTGCGCATGCCTCGGGGGTATCTTTCTTTTAGTCCGTTGAGGCCGCCTGAAGTAACACTACCTCACGTATACCATCAATACATCTATATGCCACATCACCGCTCGAGCATGACCAGGGCCGCCCGCAACCTTTCCGCCCCTTCTCTTAGCAATTCCCACTTTGCGTCCCGGAAAGCGAACTCAAGGGTCCTGAGCAGGCCCACGACATTGTTGCGGCCCGCCTTGATGGTCTCCAGCTCTGCAGGTCCAACGGCACTGCCAATGGTTTGAAGATAGAGCTTCGCCTCCTGAAAGTTCTGCGCCTGTGTCTGCGGATCGGTGCTCCAGTCCAGGTCGGTGGGGTGTGGTGAGGGGCTCGTGCTGGTGAGACTCTGGATGGAGGGCCGTTGGCCGGACGCGATCGTACCATTGGCAGGGCGAAGCAGGTGCGCAGGGAATGGTCGTAGCAGGCCGTCCGTCATGTAGCCCCAGCAGAAGACCATTAGGCCTGCGACATATAGCGTCCAAGGACGATGCGTGAGGTTATCGTCACGGGCTACATAAGCATTCATCTCGCCGTCCGGACCCGCTGTAGATTTCGGCAATAGAGTTTCTCGGAGTAGCTGCAATGCGTGCCAGACTGCTGTCCGGCCTCCCGGGCTCTTGATCCAAGCTGAAATGTTGTTCTTTGTACGCTCACGGTCAGTATCGGCGATAGGTCGACCAAGGTTATATCTCGCCCCAGCGAAGATCTGCAAATCGCGGAAGTCCACGTGCATTGCCATATGCGCCAGATGCCACAAATTGGTCGCAACGATCACATTATCGTTGTCGCTTGCGCTAGTCTGGGCGGTCGTCTGCCAAGGCAACGCAATCCGTTGCATATGCGCACGAGACTCTTCAAAGTCCTTCTTCCAGAAGTCAAACGACTTCATTAAGGGCTCACGCCAGCCGGAAGGAAGTGTTCCCATGACTCCGCCCATACCTCTCGACACGCCCAGGACAGACATCTGGAGGTCGCGCTGCTGCATGTGCCAGGATATCGACAGGAGCCCAGCCATGAGAACCATTCGCCCGAAGGGGTTGGTCCGCACTTTCCGGCCGGTGAGAATCTTGCGAAGTGCTTCGGTGAAAGTAGGAGGCTGTACGCCATTGGCGTGCAAGGAGGCTTCAACACGGGCCACTTCTGCCGCCGAGGTTGCAGACCAAAGCGCATCATCACATGGCAATGGAAGGCGAACTTCATGTACGACCATCATGGCGGCGTGGCCGAACAAGGTTGCCGATAAAGCATCGAGGTAGAAGGCTGCGAGAGCGGCTCGGTGGGTGGCTTCGCTCTGGATCCAGCGTCCCCACCATTGCTCCGGCGTGGTGGCACTGCGTGAGACGTCGTGGGGGAGACCGCTGTCGATAAGAGCGGTGCCGCGGCGCATCAACGTTATTGTAGTGGCTGAGTGGATGTGGGCACGCTCATGGATAAGACGGCTCGCACTGAGCTTTTCGTACACTTCAAGCAGCAACAGCGTTTGGAAAACCCATAGCTTTGCAGGAGGCCTAAAGTCTGGATCTTTGAAGATCTGCCACCGGAGATGCCAGGCGATGAAAGCGGCGAATTTGGCGGCACCTGAGGTGACGCTTCGACCGTGGGCCTTGTTTAGGTATGAGGCGCCGATAATCATGATCGCGAGCAAGAGGTACGAATGGGTCTGGTCGGCCGAGAAAGTTGGTTGATGCAAGACTGGGATCTGTTCATGGAAGTGAAACCAGTATGAGCCGATGTAGTTTTGCAGCGACCGCATACTCAGAACATGGTCTTCTGAGTCTTGATCTCCACCCAATACCGCATCGCGAAGCTGCGCTATATCTACCGCGTCGTCCTCGGTGAATCGCAGCTCTATGAGGGCAATCAAGGTCTGGCGCTTGGCCGGAGAGAGGAGATGGCCTGTCGTCGAAGAGATTGCTGCTGATCCGAGGTCTGCCCGGGTGTGTGGCGACATGTTGTCATATATGTTGTCCATGCCACTGTCATCGAAGTATGTGGGATAGATTTGACTGCCGAATCCATCGGCCGCAGTCATGAGTCCAAGGCCACCGAAGCCACCTGACATGGTGTTGACATCATCGAAGAGCCAATTGGTGAATTCATCCCTCATTGAGATGGGAGACTCGTTGAAGACGGCGGACCCTGAGGACGGAAGCATGTCACGACCGTTCGTGCTGGCATCCGTCAAGCGTCGCGGAGGAGCTCCAGAAGATGAGACACTTAGATCAACCAGATCTCGGGATCTTTTCCTACCTGCGAGGGAACTTGGTTCGGGAGGTCTGGTAAAAACAGATGGCTTGTCATATTCCCGATACTCAGGCGACTTTTTCAGTGCATCAAGTGTCGAGGTTGACGAGGTGTATGTAGGCTGGGCACTAGGGTTGTTGAGAATATTAGGGTATCGACTTGGGGTTGAGATGTGGCCAGATCCATCGTTCGTTGTAGGTCGGGAAATATCGCCGGCCGGAAGGGTACGAGCACGCTGGTAAGAGGAGTTGTTGGCCGAGCCCAGGGCAACGAGAGCACTGATCTCATCGGTATCAGACGAGTGGCCAGCAGTGGTGACGCTATGGCGGGCGTCGGAAGGGGCCGACTCCTGACGAGCACGACTGAAATGGCGCTCTTGATGTCTGTTACATAGGTCTTGACGGACGAAGGTTCTGGTGCATCCCGGATAGTGGCAGCGGAAGATTTCCTTTGGATTGTGGTTTAGCTGGTGACGATAGAGATGCTCTGCTCGGGAATAGTCGCGATTACAGCCGGCGAAGGTGCAATGATACCTTCGCTTTTCGCCGTGTTTAGGCCTCTTTGAATCCTCATCAAGTTGATCGCCTACTCTATTCTCCTCAGAGTAGTCGCCGGCGTTGCTTGGTGTTGTGGGTTCCACAGAGTCCATGGCGTAGGGTCAGCGATGCATTGCTTGGGAAAGCAGATTCGATGAAGGTAGTCCCCAGTTTGCGAATGCGGAGGTAGCACAAGCAAGTAGGCCAATCCACTTCCCGGAGCCCCTTCGGTTCGGCAGCTGTGATTTCGCTGTACGATATTTAGCCTGAAGCTGAACTACCGATAAGTCAGGGTCCTGGAGCCTCGTCACGGAAGGGCCACGTGTAGGGGCCAATCGGGCGACAGTTGATCAATAATGGGCCGAGGACGCGGGTCTTGGGGGCGAGAAATCGCGTTTGAGGGAGCGTATCTAGTACTAGACTGTCGCGAAACTGATGAATGAGTTGCAAGATGCGGAGGAGCAAGACCACTATGGCGGCTGAAGGGAGAGGAGAGGAGGAGAAACGCGTAGTAGCTGTGGGTGTATGGAGTGTGTGGGGGAGCAAGCCTACACTCCTCCGCGGGGTGGGGTACTAGTACAGCAGGTGCATCGCTTCGGGCAGGTGGGATCGGATGTGGGGAGAGCTGCCACCTCGCCTATTGTCAGGCACAATGGCTCTTGGTATGCTGCAGAGTTCAACAACACCTTATGATGCGCGCGAATCGAGTACACGAGGCAAGAGGGAAAAAAACAACTCAGCCTAGCCACCAGGGTTTGGCTGCTTCGCCCCTCTTGCAGGACCGCCAGCCGTTCCCGTGGGGGCCTGGCGTCGTAATGATACCGAACAAGTGGACTGCAGTGGCGCACGTTGGTGGACCTGGGATGGCTACAGACCTCGCAACACTCGCGAATCATCACGCAATCGTCTGTCAAGATTCACAGGTTACACCTGTGTGCTAATAGCGGCTGACCTGCAGTACAACAGGGCAACTGGCCGGCACTGTATAAATCGACGTCCCTGGTCCGTAAGCCTGCTTGCGTCCCTGCTACCTTGTTCCATCACCAGTCCCCTGCTCGCTGCAAACATCATGGCTGACGGGGAACGCTATACCTTCGCCAACGCAGCAGCCGCCCCAGCCGGCATTGCTGATACCATTCGCACCATGATCGAAGGTTGGGACGCCATGGGCGAGTCTTGGCGGGAAGTCTGCCACCCCGACATCGACTTCACGCTCGGCAATATACATACAGTTGGTGTAGATGCCGCAGCAGCGTCGCGTGCCAGCACTTTTCACCCAACCAACGGTCCATTGACCAATGTATCGCACGTTCTCAAAGAACTGTATCCCAAAGCAGGACACCCGGATGGCGCAACCCAAGACGTCGTCTTCACTGGTACCGTCACATACACCGTTCTGGGCGGCAAGGATATGGTAGAGGATTTCGCCACCTTCTACCGGCTGTTGAAGCAAAGCGAGGGGACGTACAAGATCAAGACGGCCAGGATCTACATCAACACCGTTGCACTAACTCAAGCTATGGCAGAGCTGCAAAAGCAGAGTTGAGCGGGCGCGGCCTTGTGCTGCAATAGTCAAGGAGCTGTCTCACGGAGACCAGTGCTGCGAGTGTTTGACGGTACAATAAGTAAGTGACAAGCTGGAGCACACGTAAACATAACCCGGCAACATACGAGCTGCTGCTGGGGAATAAGACCTGGTCGATTTCGAAGCATAATCAGCATAGGCGCTTAGGGGTTCCAGCGTCGCTAAGACAGCCGGACTGTCCTAGAAACAAGAACCATCATATCCAAGCCATTATACGTCGTCCTCTGTCTAATGGTTGATGCTTTGGGGGGAAAGGCGAAACGAGTTTGTGTTGGCGCTATCCCTGCTGCTGGTCAAGGTTCGAGTAATGTACTCCCACTTACCATTTGCGACCTGAAGAAGCATCTCCGAAGAGCATGTATGTAAAATCATGTCAGGTCTATCCTCTATCGTTCGCCTGTTCTGTGCCTCTTGCCTGGAGCCCGCCTCTTCCCTGTCCTTATGCAATTCGATTACACGAATGAATTATGCAGCCGTAACCTCTGGTTCTTTAAGTTTGAAGTCCTTGGATTGCAAGCCCTGCATCAGCTGCTTGCCTTCTTCATTCAAGTGCGGTCGACCTTCTGGGTCTGTTATCTCTTGGAAAAACCTAGGAGCCCACGGCTTGCCCGCGGCCTTACGTTCGGCGGCTTTATCGCGCTGATTCTGTTCGATCGTCTGCTTGATGCGGTTGGCGTCGGCGAATCGCTTCTCCTGGATGGCGGCGGTCAAGTCCTTCCAAAATTTCCGAGATTCGTTCACCAGTTGCTCTTCCTCAGGAGGGCAGAGTTTCGGCACCGGCATCAGGGGTGACACATCCATAAGGAGATTGCGGGCACTGGGATCCTTCTCCGCCTTTTTGTCTCCCGCGAGCCAGTAGAAAATTTGTTCTTGCCAGCAGCCGTCAATCTTGGCCAAGACGTCTTTGTCGGGAACGTCTTTGATGCGTGTATACTTGTCGTTCTCTGGGTCATAGCGGAAGACGACGCCAAAGACCTTGTTCTGCGCTCTTCCTAGCCATCCCTCTTCGGCATAGGTGAGAATTGTTTTGATCTTGGACTGAGGACAAGTAATGTAGCAGGTGTCTGAAACTGATATGTACAGCGAGCCCTTCAGAAGCCCGCTGAGATTCGCGGCGGGGTGGGTAAGCTGGTATTCTTCGCCCGTTTTCTCGAGTTTGATATAGATACCCTGGTTAAAGTTGCCGGCGATGACTCGTACCGCGGTGCCGGTGAACTTGGCGGAGAGCTGATCGTAGCCGTAACCGACGATGCCTCGCTCCGGGCATTCCATATAGTAGGCAGAGACTGGGGGATGATGTGATGTCTGCTCGGTCATGTAGGATAGTGTTACGGGCTGCTCAAGATTCTGCTTGGATTTATCGAGCGGATCTGCGGGCGCTTGGGGAGGCGCTTTGGCTGGATCTGTGAAGGCACCAGCATCGGCATTGAGCTCCCAATTACACTGCGGCACAGTCAGGCAATGGCATCAGGCAGCCATATGGCAAGCACGTACTCGGAAGAACTCGCCCAAGACAGAGTTGTAAGGCTTGCAAGGCTTTCCCTTGACGTATTTCTGTTCATGATCAGTACCGAGTCACACGCGCACGACGGCCTGCGAACCAGGTCTTTGGTGAACCAGAAGCGGAGGACTTCCAGCATGCGCCCGAGCTCACTGTCGGACTGTCCAATGCTGCAGAACCTCATCAGCGTCCAATTACCGGCAAATTAGCAGTGGCATACCTGATGAAAGTCTCGGGCCGGTCCAGGTAGTGCCAGTATTCTGATCATGGATCAGTTATTTTTCCACAATATCACCACTTGTTAACCCCACCTAAGTTCGGAATTGGCTCGATCAGCTGTGCGGGTAGACTAAAGCGCACAGCGGCCATATCAGGTACACCGATGAACCTGTAGCCTGGTTGTCAGCCAGTGTGTAATGGCAGGGACCATCATGGTAAGAGGCACGGATGCCTATCTTGCTCTTGGGGGACGTACTTCCGGAGCAAGCCCAGGAACAGCTTGAGTCGCGACGAGTCATCTTGAGGCTTATCGGTGACTGCGACTGTGGCAGGCGGTGTCGAGAGGGCAGTAGGAGTGCCCGGACGGGAGGGCTCTCTCGAGTTGACGACGGTGGATGTAGGAGTGTCTGTCATGATCGCGCCCCCAGATGAGGGACGACACAGGTTGAGGAGGGCTCAAGGCAGGGTCAAGATTCTCAAGGAGCCCTCGTGGTAGCAGCAGTGGTAGAGATTAGGCGCCTGAGCAGCAACTTGATGATATGAGAGGCACAAGAATACGGATATTGAACAATGGCGGTGCTTGGGTGTGAGCGAATCAGTGGTCGATGCAGCCGCGCGTGCAGTTGCAGGTTCGCAGTGCGGTGGGACGCTGGAATGCGGGCGATAGTGACGCAACTTCATCGGGAAGCGGCTGCGTGGTGGCTCGGCGTGATCCTTACCTACAAATTAGGGATTCTTAGGGGGGCAATTATGCGACCAAGATGATGCGCTGGCGAAACGATCCGAGCTGTTCCATGCTCATCAATATGCACCAGCCTGAGTGTGCCGCTGACAACTGACTCAGCCCATTGGTGTATCACGATGTGAAGGCGAGTTGCTGCTGGGACACCGACGGCGGTGTTATGCTTGTCCCGATATAAGCCTATGTCCACGTCTTGGTGGCAGAAATTACAGTGCAGCGATTAGCTACCGCAAGTCGTCTAGGCTAGGTACCTGGTTTTATCCTGCATGCCAAACACCAGGCACCGTTTTCCATAGCTGCAACAGCCCCTAAAGATGAACATATCCGACACTTGCACAATGGCTGCTTCCGACTGTCGAATACGAGTTTCCAGAACCTTAGCTCAGCCACTTTCGCTCGCCTCGTGGTTGGAAGCAGCTATTACCACCCCCCCGCATTTTCGCTATCTACCTTACTGAACCGGACCCTCAGAAGTCAACGGTCACCTCCGGCCTTCCGCTGACCGCGTGCTCGCTTCTTTGCCCTGAGTCAACGTCACGCCAACCCATCTCTAAATGCACGTCCAATGCCTTTTGAGATGGATCGTTCCTTTCCACAGATACTCAATCCATCCTCCAGCAGCGTTGCCCCAAATGGACCCAAGGCTAGCCTTGAAGCCGCTCGCCAACCCATTGACCTCTCCGTTACAGATTCATCTCAGGCTCCAGACGCAGACTCGTCACGCAAGAGACCTGCATCTCGGATCAAGTCATCTTATCCAAGAAAACGAGCAATTCAAGCCTGTCAGAAATGTAGGGTGAGAAGGACGAAATGCGACAATCTTCGGCCCACCTGCTCATCATGTCTCGATCTCGGGGTCGAATGTAACTATTCCGAGGGAGATCCATCTAGCTACGATGCAGCCAGTCTTGCCATCCTGGAGAAACTGAGCACCATTGAGCAGCTGCTGAAGCCTGACGACCGCCCTCCTGCGCCTCCACCGCGGGCAGCGTCCACTCGTTCAAGTGACCTCGCCGAGTCTCCTGTCTCCCACGTCAAGTCACTCAGCTCACCTAGCCTGGAACGCACCAAGGAAGCAGCTCCTTATCACATGAGTATAGAACGAATGCTTGCCTGGCCAGTATTCCAAGACCTGGACCCGTGTCTGGATCTGAGATGTCTGCTTAATGCCAGCAACGACAGCCAGTCCCAAGCGACTTTGGCAGCGACCATGGCAGCGACCAAGTTTGATCCAAATTGGGACGATGAGCTGGTCAAGAATTTCATGGATCAAGTTTACATCTTTAATCCAATAGTCGAGGAAGCCAAGATCCAAAAGTATGTCAGGGATGCTCGTTTCAATGGCATCGGCAACGATGGCCCTGCTTGTCTGCTAGTAAGTTCAATCGCTGTGTGTTTCAAGGTCTATTGCCTGACAAGATAAGCTTCTGATACTCGCGCTTGGTGCCTTATCTGGATCCTCCCCGCCTCGCCCGCCAGCAGATGCTTCAGAAAGCCGTCAGCAGCCTTACTTCAAGCGTGCGGAATCTTACTACGCTGCTGCGCAGCAGCGCATGGGCATGCTGCTTAGCCAGTCCGGTATCGTGGAGGCGCAGTGCTTCTTCTACGCTGGCGTCTATCTCATGTCCACCATCAGACCACTGGAGGGCTGGAAAATGTTTGTGCAAGCCCTCGCCTCCTGTCAAGCATTCTACGGCGGCATCGAGATGACTAGCAGAGATAATGATCGTGACAAGCGACTGCGGGAGTCGATTTACTGGACCTGCTTCAAGTCCGAACTGGAGGCTCGTCTCGAACTCAACGTCACGGATGCCTCAGTCTGGGATTTGCGATACCCAGCGTTCTTTCCCTCGCCACCAAACGAATTGAGGTCTAGATCGCAGACAGAAATCGTCTGGTACTACTTCTTGGCCGAAATCGCCCTGCGTCGTCTTGCAAATCGCATTCTCAACTACATCTACTCCACCAAGCCATTCGAGTCTGGCTCGGCTCGTGCAATCGACATGGCGGAGCAAATTCCAGCTTTTGAGCAGCAAGCTGCTGATTGGGTACGCTCGCTGCCACCCTCGTTGTCACTAGACAAAGTTGGACAACGCTCACCTGGCGAGTCAGATCTGCATCAGACTCTCAGATTCATCCTCGAGGGTGAACTTTTGGACTGTTACGAAATGATGTATTGGCCTTTCATTGCCAGCGCTATCAATGCCAGTCCGGAAGCAAATCATGCGATAAACAAAGAGTTCACGCGTAAAGCACTCGATGTGGCTGTGCAAAGGATCGAAAAGAATGAGCCTGGCTTCTACTATCGGCATCACGGCACATGGGCGATGCTACGGTCGTGTACGCGGAGTGGCCTCGTCCTTCTGGCTGCCAGCAGGTCTTCAACTGTAAGGCATTTACTGCCGACAAGCTGGCGTCACGCCGTGAGCAAAATCGTTGATATGCTTCGCTTTTGGAGGTGGGAGTCAGAAGATGTGGCAGACCGGTTAATACTGATCGAAACTATGCTGCAGGGAACCTGAAGCCAAATTGCGACCACCTGGCCTTGAAGTGTTTGAGAGGATGAGTGCAACTCGGAGGTTGCCTCGTCAGGCAATCAGCCGAGGCAGCGAGTCTCCCCGCATCCCGACACCCCGCATCCTTCTGTGGCCGGGTCTACAGTCTTTCATTTCCCACATCCGCAAGTCAACATCTCTGACCTCTATTCTGCAGGATCGGAGCGTTGTATTCCGAATAGGTTGCGCAACATTTCCGACATCGGTCATACAGTTCTCCTCCTGTCGTGTCGAGGGATTTTCGGTGAATGATATACTGTATCTCTCAACCTTCTGATAGTCGATAACATACAACATATTCGCTGAAAAGCTTCTCCCGCTCGGCGCGCCATGACAAACCTCAACATGTCTACCAACGGCACGCATGCAACCAATGGCCATGCCACGAATGGCACGGAGTACTCTCTCAAACCAGGTCTGGCCAACTCTCTTCCCATCACCTCCATCATCGCGCAATGGGTCTCCACAACTACCACCGCCTCACTGAATTCTAGCATGCGCAACAAGCTCTCCGACCTCCTCCTCGATATGGTCGGCATCAGCGCGGCGGCAGCGCAATCTTCCGCTTCCACCCCAGCAATTGTTGCTGCAATCACCTCCCTCTCACCACCGGGATCTGGAAGCTGCACAGTGTTGACCAAAGGGTCCACGTATCCAGCACACATTGCTGCACTGCTCAACGCGACATTTGGACATTCATTGGACTTTGACGACACTCACGCCGCCAGCACTCTGCATCCCGGAGTCTGCGCCATCTGGGCAGCAGTTGCGCAAGCGGAGCTCTCTTCCAATACGGACGTCGACCGCTTCCTTCTCGCTGTCAGCGTTGGCTATGAAATTACCTGCCGCCTGGGGACCGAGCTTGGCTACAGCGCGTACTCGCGCGGCTTCCACAATACCTCGACTGCCGGCGTCTTCGGAGCTGTAGCTGCCATCGCGGTGCTCAAAGGGTTGCCCGCGCCGACAATCGAGATGGCATTTGGACTTGCGGGCTCGCGTGCGGCAGGCAGCATGCAATACCTCGACAATGGGAGTCACAACAAGCGTTTGCATCCTGGATTCGCATGCCACGACGCGTTCGTCTGTGTTGCGCTGGCGGAGCAGGGCGTTGTGGGCGCGACGCGAATCTTTGAAGGGAAGATGGGGTTCCTGAATGCATACAGTCCGAACCAAGAGAAGGATTTGAGTCGCATTATCAAGGACCTGGGTGAGGAATGGGTGTTTGTGGAAACAAGTCTCAAACCTTTCCCTGCCTGCCGCATGACGCACGGAGGAATCGAAATGGCGGACAAGCTGGCTAACAAGCGGCGCCAAAAGGGGATCACGAGCAATGCGGACCTCGTCAAGGACGTAAAAAGCATTGAGGTCAGGTTGAGGACTGCCAATATGAGTCTCGTTGGAGATCGGACGGAGAACAAGGTTCACCCGAAGGCGGAGGTGGATGCTCAGTTCAGTGCGTACTTTCAGGTCGCGCATGCTTATCTGTGGGGAAGTCAGCAAGGCGTCAAGGCATATGGGCGACTGGGCGATCAGGATGTGTCGGCCTTGTGTGACAAGATCAAGTGTGTGGTGGATGATGAGGATCCAGGGTTGTTGGGCATGGGATCAAGAATCATCGTTGATTACGAGGATGGATCCAGAGAAGACACAACCATCACGGAACCGCTGGGTGAACCGTCGCATCCATTCGAAAGGTCTGCCGTCGAGCTGAAGTTCAAAGGGTGCATGGAGCCCGTCTACGGCCCTAAAACAAGTCAAGAGGTGCTGAAGATGGTTGATGGGATTTCGAAGGGACAGGGAAGTGTTACAGAACTGATGAAGCTCTTGGCTTGATTTTGCAGATGCTCAAACTGGTTTCCCCGCAGATAATGAGACTGTCGTCCACGTTGAAGGAAGTTGTGGATATCATTAGACAATTTCTGTGGAATTTCCTGATAAGAAGACACGTCGTTTGTTCTACACTGATGAGCTAGATTGGCTGCAAGCCAGTAGCCAACCTCGCTACTGCCATGCTATCGACTAATTGCATACTCACAAAGCGCTGGAAGCCCGTCCGCTCCTTTGTAGTTGCAGAGCTATCGATCTCCATGGCACCTCCATCCCTCTCGGTCTCTGGCTTCTCTTGTCCATTCGTGGTGCCACCCATCGCCGTGTCTCGTTCCTTTCCCTGGTTGTCCTTCTGCTCTGGACTAGTATCGACAAGAGACTCATCTGGCTGCAGGAAGATCGTGTAGCCGTCGAGATTGCCCACTGCCTCGAGTTGATGTCCTGCAACACTCAATGCCATCCAGTGCGGACCCCGAGTCTTCTGCACCCGCGAAGCCCTGACAAGCTCCATCAACAGACTCAGCACCCACTGACTGGACAGTAGCCCCGTCCACCGCAAGATCCTCACCTTGCCCACCACGGTGTCGCTCGACTCCTTCTCCGGCAACTCGTACCGACTCACAAACTCATCCACTCGGTCCGAATCTTTCACCCTCGGACTACCCAAAGCCACCAGATCCGCCCACTCGACCAAACCCCATACATCCTCCTCATCAACCTCCAAATTCCCAAGACTGCGTTTCCCCGTGAGCAATCCCACCGGCACCCTCACGTCCCTCTCGACCCTCCCCTCCCCCTCCCCCTCCCTCCACTCCGCCCCCAACCCCTCCAGCACCCCTTCCCCCTCCTCTCCCCCCATGCCCACCAAGCCCAACCACGTCCTCCTCTCCGTCAAAATCTCCCTCGCCGCCCACCTCCACCTCTCAAACCCCTTCTTCCCCGCCCTCATCCCCAAACCCCTCAGATCCGCCTCAACCACATACCTCTCCTTCACATGCTTCCTGCCCCCACCCGCCACCGCCCTCCCCTGCAATCCCACACGCTCATACCGCTCCCTCCCTAAATCCAGCCGCAAGACGCCGTCGCGCAGCGAGTACATGTCGTCTACGCCAGGCGTACCCTCAGACAAGAGCAGGAGATGCGTTCCCGGTGTCTGGATGTGTGTGAGTACAGGTTCCGAGAGGATGTCGAGGAGTGAGAGGTGCAGTTTTGCGTGGCGGGGTCGCAGCAGCGCTGGTGGGAACTTGGGGGAGAAGATGAGGGAGGCGTAGAGGTCGTCGGGCAGTAGGAGGGTGGTGGTGGCGACGAAGGGGGAGTCGTGGACTTGGCGGAACGGGGGTTTTTGGGTCGGCGGGTGGTTGGCGGAGATGTAGGGCGGGAGGGTGCCGTTTGTGAGGTGAAGTTTGGGGGTTGGGTGCGAGGAGGGTGGGGTATTGGAGAAGGCGAAGTGGGTTGGCATTGTGTGGTCGTGGTGGATAGACTATGGTGAGGATGAGGAAAGCGAGATGTGTGGGACGTGCCGCTAACGGGTCGTAGGGAGTTGGGAGCGCGCAGAGTTACTGAGAAAGTTGCCTTAACTTTGGGCTTGGCAGACGCCTTGTCTCCACACGTCTATCTACTTGCCTCACTGTGTTGCCTGGAAAACAGGTCAGAATCGGGCATTTCTCATTTGGGCCTTGCAGCCGACCAGACCACCAGTGTGCCACAAGTGCCACAGCGAGGTTGTGGCCCATCCGGGCAGATTCTACAACTTGAGTGCCGAGCTCGATGCCGCGCTCCTATCCTGCGTCTTTTTAAAGAGACTCTGCAGTTCGCCCTTCTTGTCGACGACCTTGACACCGCCCTTTTTGAGCTCCTCTAGGATCCCCCGCTTCTCCTCGCGCTTGCTCTTCTTCTCTTTACCATCTTTGCCTGGCTTCACTGTCTCCACTCCCTGGTTCACCTTGCCCTTCTTCGCCCTCTCCTTTTCGCGATTCCGCTTTCTGCGCTTCTCCTCCCTACTCATCTCCTCTTTACTGACTGCCGCCCCGCTCTTCCTTATGACCTCGCCCGCGGTCTTCGTTGTACCAGCCCGATACACCTCCTGCGGCGCCAGCATGCTCTGCTCCTCGACGCCCTCGCCTGCTGGCCGCGCATCCTCCATTGCAATACGAGGCTTGTCCTCCACCACTGTGACGTCGGCCTCGACGCGCTTGGGCTTGAAGTGCAAGTTGCTGAGCAAGTCCAGTTGGTAGGAGACCTCTTTCCAGAGGGTGTCGATCTGGGCGTGTTGTTTCTTCGTTGCCCTAGACCGCTGGTCAACGTAATTAGGATCATTGGCTTTGAGATGTTCGTTTTCATAAATTTCTGCGAGGCCAGACTGCGGCTTGCTGTCATCGACTTCGACACGGCCTCGGCGCTGATCGGCTGCGGATCCGATAGAGTCGGGGTGGCGGCGGACCACTTCGTCGAACTCGCGGGCAATAATACGTCGCTTGATCAATTGCTCGATTTCTTCCGACGTTTCTGCGGTGACTACCGGGACAGGCTTCCCAGCGCGCTCGAAATCGAGATCTTCTTCGATCAAAGAGTTCAGTGGTCGATCAGCTGCTCTGGCTTCGCCGGAGAGCGTCCAATCACGCTTGGCAACGCTCACAGCTTCAAGACGACGGATCTCCGCAGCTATCTTAGCCCGTTGCTTCTCGTGTGTAGATAAATTGCGAGATTGTGGTCCAGATGCGTCTGAATCAGAAGCTTCCCCTTCGGACTCGCTGGCGAAGATGTCGCGATTGACATCATTCATGGCGCGTTGAACGTCTTGGTCTAGGTCCAGGTCGGCGTTCTGTGATGTACCTGCTTTGGGTGGCTGTGTCTTCGGCAATGCTCGCATGCGCTTGGTTTTTGAGAGCTTTTTTGGTGGAGGTTCGAAGAAGTCTGCATAACGAATGTCGTTTGTATTGTTCAGAGACGGCATGCCATCCTCAAGATATCCCTCTTGTTCACCATCCTCGTCGTCATCCGTGTCTGGGGCATTCAGGTCGGCGTCTCCAAAGGTCGGCCCGTCGTCCTCTTCCTCGCCTGGATCGTCAGATTCTTGGCCTTCCTCTTGGTCAGACCGTTTGAGCTTGGAGAAAGATTGCGCCAACGGATCAGCGTCCCAGTCAACATCGTCCTCATCAGAGGGATTATCGTCATCGCCACGGGTGTCAATCTGCTCAAGGAATTGTGACTGGCGATTGAAATCATCTATTGAAAAAAAGCCATCGTTGAGGCCGTTCGGGTCCTGCTTCCAAGTTTCGTCGCGACCGTGGTCAACGTCAGACATGTCATCCTCGAGTTCGACATGATCGGCAGCTGCAAGATCTTCTTCGCTAGGTTGATCATAGTCCATGTCGTCTTCAGCCAGCATATCGTTGTCCTCGTCGTCTTCCTCTTCGCTCTCAAGGCTGTCCGCATCGTCATCCGAAACCTCGACGTCTTCGTCGCCAAAGCCATCAACTTCTGGGTCGTCAGTGCCGTCGTGTTCGTCGTTTGTCTGGTCATTGTCGACTGAGTCTAGGTCTTCTGGAGACTGCTGAGGGATCACTCGCTCCACCTCAGCGCATGCTGCATCGAGTACTCGTCTTGTCTGTTCCCAAATTTGTTTCACAGCCAGACCTTGGGTATAGACTGTCCGCAACTGGAGGACGTTTTCTTGCGGTCCATCCTCACCTCTCTTCCTCTTTCTGCGGTTCTCATCTCGCCGTGTGGACTGCAATCGAGCGATGTCTTGGGCGAGTGGGTCAAGTAGTTCTTTGGCAAGTGAGATCGCGCTCAGAGCTACATCAGGTGAGGGTTGTAAAAGCGCATGTGGCGCCTGTTCCAGGGTCTGGATGAGGCTCACTGCAGCCATCATCGAAAATGTTTCCGTTTGCCGAGTGATAGTTACTCGAAAGCATTTGTACGAGGTAGACTGCGAATCCGAGCACATGAAAAAAAAAATCCGTTGGAGTTTTGGAGGGGGGCTGCGGAGCGCTGCCCAGAGCCAATCATACAACCTAAGAGTCACGGCCTTTGTGCACGAAAAACGGGGCAAGACGAGCCCTGCAGGGTGCAGCCACAACCATTGACACATGCCCCATATCCAATGCAGCCATTCCTCCCACGTCAATTTGATTCTGACCCCCATAACTGATCCCCCTGCTACAGGGAATGTGTCGCGTGCCTGGCATTGTTGACCTTGAAAATTGAGGCTCTTCACTTGGCTGGCTGCAAAGACATGCTCATAGCTCAGACAGACCTAACAGAGAAGAGTCTCTCATCCGGCAGCTACACAATGCGCTTCGGGAGACCCCACGAGCTGGTAGTTGGATATTCCCCTCTCTTCTGTAGGACGTTCGCGACTCGGGATGTGCGAACGGCGGGAGACCCCGCTTCTCTGGCAGCTCATTTTGCCGCCAGTCGAGACCATGTCGTTCGTGTGTGTAGGGTCTGATGGACGTAGATCAACGATCCAATAGCCTGATACGAACCATCACCACAATTGAGTCGATCGAGTCGATGTCTGGCAGGTAGTAGTGTCACATGTGCTGGGGACTTCGAGCATCTACCACCTAGAATTTCTAGCGTCCTCTTGAACACAACTGGACACTGTTACCCACAATTTGCGGTTACCTGATGGGCACGGTTACAAGAAGCTCATCCTCGTCATGCATCAATCTAGCTAGTGGCTGACCTCTGGGTCCAGTGCTGATGCAGCTGGACTAACAACCGTCAACGAAGGTTCTCGGCACTTGTCCGGAGAGACGAAAAAGTGATGGCCGCAAGCAGCGTGCTTGAAAGGTGTCGAGAAAAAAAGCCACCACCGAACCACCGGGAGGTGTGTACTTCGTACTGGACAGCAGACTGGCCGGCGTGGAGAAAAATTCCCCTGTTCAGGCCCTTGTCCGAGGCCCCGCCAGGCTATACCTGCAGTTGGTCAACAACCTTTTCGCGGCGGGCGGAGCGCCATGAATGCAAAGAATCAAAGATAACCAAAAGATAATGTCACAGCCACTACCGAGCATACACATTTATTCAGATAATCGAGTCCTTGGCCCTCAGGTTCTGGAATTCTCTGCAATCTCAGTCAACGAGCACGAGCAGGTGGTCAGCGGAGCCGACATTACAAGTCTCTGTCAGTCGTCTTGAAGCTCGGGTGGGATCCTGCATTCCCTGTTCCTGCCAATTGTTGGCTGCAGTGATCGACCTCAACTTATAACACGTTCTTGGTGACACTGCAGCTGAGCATTGCAAGTGGCATCATTTAGCGTCCCAGACCCCTCAACTCTTATTCTCCTACCCTACACACCCGTCCACTGTTGATGCTTGCCTTTGCTGTCGTCAACAGCGCCAGCGTCTGCCCGGCGCGCTCTGAGCTTCCCTCATGAAGTTTGGAGAAACCCTCTACCAGAGGTCCGTGCCAAAGTGGGCAACCTACAATGTCAAATACAACGAGCTGAAGCACCTTATCAAGCAGCGCACCTCGGCTGGCTCCTCTGCACCCATATCAATTCCTACGGCGGGCACCAGTAGATGGCAAGATCTCGAGAACGAGCTACATTCTATCCTCAACAAAGAATACCAAGATGTCGCACTCTTTCTGCGCACTAAGCAGGGTGAGGTCGACAGGAGATTGGCCTATCTGGACAAGCAAGTCAGCTCATCATTGAAGGCGGTTGGCACCGCCGCCGCAGCTCGCCCCGTTACCCAAGCCCGCAAATACCAGAAGCTAGTCAAAGATGCTGAGGCCATAGGCGATGAAATTGAATCTCTCTCGCGCTTTGCTGCGGTGCAGAAGACGGCATTTCGCAAGATTCTCAAAAAATACCGCAAATGGACCGGCTCGACCGCTCTGCAGGAGCGCCTCGAGAGGGATGTCTTCTCTTCTGGCGCGCTTCAGGTCGATTATGCTGTGTACCTGCAATCTCTCTCCAAATTGACAAACGCCATTTCGTCACAGTTGCAGGTACCCATGCTCACCGGCAACGAGTCTCCTTACCGGAGAAAAAACAATGAGCGGAATCTGAGCCAATCGAACGCTCAAGTCTTGAACGAGCTATGTGCCAAAGGAGCCCTGCACTTCGATGCTGCTTTGGACGAGGTTCTTTACGGTGCCAGTGGGGGCAGCGCTCACTTCTGGATCCATCCCGAATATCTAGAGCAGGTTGAAGCACTCTTATTGAGGCACATGCGGCAGCAAGATCAACGTCCATCGTCTAGGGCTTCACCCAGTTCAAGCACCGATGACCTCGCTGGGGGGCTCTCTTCGGTCGCCGACGAAACTCATCAAGTCGTATTCGACAATCTTCAGCGATTTCTACTTGATGAGAGTGTAGCCAGGCCTTCGCGCGCCGCAGTAATCGCTCGCTGGAATGGTGACTCCGATGCAGTCGTAACTCTGTCCAATCTGGCTTGCAAGTCCGATGCAAGTCTAACGCTGGCTTTGAAACGAAAGCATATGCAGAGCGTTCTAGATCGCTCCTCAACCACGGACGGTATCTCCTCAATTCGTAGGGACGAAGCACAAAAAATCAAAGATTATCTACTGGAGCATCGAGATGTGAAACCGTTGGCTGCGATCCACTCAGGTCGTTCTCGATTTCTGGGACTGAACAATACCAAAGATGTCGGCACTTGGGCCACCCTGGACAATGCGATTCGATTCGCACCAGTCCTTGAGACGCAATTAGGTGCTTCAAACACCCAGCTGGAGGCCACTGAGGCATTTCCTCACGCGGTTCTGCACGTCAGGTGGGAGTTTACTAGGCTGCCAGAGATCGTTCGCCTCCTGGAGACGTCCCACCTGGCAGAGCGTGTCCACGACTTTTCGCTAGAGCGCGCGACAATTTTTACCATCAACAAGGAACTCCAGCAGCCTGCTTGGCGAGGACTCCTTGCAAGCGATATACGCAAAGTCCCTGCGCTTGTAGCCAGAAAGGGCTCACTCAGGCCGAAAGGAAAAGAGACCAAGCCTGTCGTTGTGGTAAATTCGTCTGGCCCTTCATCGGCCGGTGGGGATAGCGTCTTCTCTGCCACACAAGGCCAGTCGTCCGCTACCGAGTTGGATATTGGCGAGGAGACAAGCACGGGGTTCGAGGTTCCGGTGGTAGGGCGAAAGTTGAATTCCGAACTGCCAGAGAAGCTCAAGCTGAAGAGTTCAAGAAAGCAGCGGGCCTCGGTACTCCCCCCGCCTGCCACTGAAACTGCTCCCGATCGATACTGGAACGAGTTTGACGACGGTGATTCTGACGTTAACGTTGAAGAAAGGTACGCAATCTACGTCGACCCCAACGAAGAATCATTCCCGGGAGCCGAAACCTTCTCCAAGGCATTTGGAAGCATGTACGACAGTTTGAGGAAAGGAAAGGACCGCGTTGTGTCCTGGTGGCCCATGGCTTCGGCCGATAGAAGCGAGATCAGCGAACGTTCTCCGTTGCTGTTTGGCGCCAGCAGACAGGGCAGCAACGATGCAGCTATGGAATCGTCCGGATCCGAAACCGAAGACTATATGAGATCGAAATCAAGGCGACAGAGAAGGGGAGACACGTTTCGATCACGCAGGGGTGGTGACAGACCGTTGTCAAAGCGGCAAAGGGCTTTGGAACGAACGCTGTTCCAGTTCTATACAGGTCTGATCGTTTTAGCGTACCTCTTACTAGTCATGGCAAGTATATTGTTGGGCACCGGCAAGAAGAAAAGGAGGCTCGAGGTGGATGCCGGCGTGGTGACTGGTGTGGTTGCGGCTGAGGCATGCGTGGGCGTCAGCATCGTGCTGATCTCCATGCGAAGGCAGAAGCTTGGACCTGTGCACTGGGGTCTGATGGCGGTGAACGCGACGGTCATAACCGTCGTAGGCATTGCAGAGCTGGTGTTGATGTTTGGCAATACGGGTTGAGGTGGAAGGAGGATGGTTCACTCCTATGAAGCACCGTTGTAAATACGCACGACTTACGACTGCACGTCACTATGAGTATACATTCGTTCTGACAGTATGGTCAGAGGGGGGAGGAACGAGGAGTATGCAGCTGCGTCGTAAGACGTCCGGAGACACGGTATATATATCCATGTAAAATGAACACTACAAGATACCCTGGGAATGAATCCTCTCGAGCGTGGCCTCTGTCCATACTGCGTCCTCGTCCTAATAACATGTTTCGATAACTTCACCATAGGTATCTTTAGCACAACTTCTGCATGCATGTAAGAATGCTCGTCACCGACGTTCTACTCTAGCGATGGAGTCTTACAGTAGCATTTCCCCCTGGCCTCGCTTATCAATCTGGAGGAACGTTTCCCCCAAAGCCTACGGAGTACTGTAATTCCCACGGAGCTCTCAGACTGGGGCAGCATCGACCCCACAAGGTTATGCGCCCCGCGCCCCCTGGGGTCCCGAGGCAAAGAAGGTTTACGGCAGCTGTGCGGATCTGACGCTGGAGAACCAACTGCTGGTGCGTGCTCGTTCCTGGCGACACCTCGCGCTCCAGGCAGACAGTAATGACCGGGGTGGCGGCTTTACCGGAACCATACAATAGTCGCATGTGGTTTCACCGGACGTGGTGCATGCTGACCCTGTGGCCGACCGACGCTTGGGGCCGAGGCCGAACTTGATGGTGCTTTGTTGGCCTCGGGTTCTCCGCTCTGAGAGTATGCACTAACCCTGAGGTTCGAGTGCGCTTTGTAATAGTGGTTCTTGACATGTGTGGGATTGACTCGTGAAGGTATATGCTTTGTTCGAGCCCCTCAGCTACCTGTCGCACATGCCATTTCTTGCTTCCTCAAAGTAGAGACGTTATAGCCACTGAGTCCCCCGTTGTCTACCATGGGCGTTACTCTATGGGAAGCGATCACGCTGCTGCCAGCATTGAGCTGGGTACTTGGACGGGGCGTGCTTGCGGCGGTCCTCGGGCCTTTGCGCCAGGGTCGCTCGCGGAAGAAGCCCTATAGCGTGTTCGTCCTACAACGCATCTTCTACAGCATGTTTTCCACTCTCACAGCGAGGCAGCTGCAGTATGTAGATCTCAATCGTCGCTCGAACCTGCTGTCACATGGACTAACCTCTGGTTCAGGGTCATTATGCCTCCCTGGCTCGATAACTACAAAGCCCAGCAGAAGAAGGACAAAAAGCCGATCGACATCGAGAAGATCCCTGACACGAACATCGAAGGCGTCTGGTTTGGCGACAAGAACGCAGCCACGACTATCATGATATTTTTCCACGGTGGAGGATTTGCTATGCCGGGCATGGATATGCACGCACAGCTTCTTGCTCGCATGGCGGACTGGGGAAAGGGAAACCTTGCTATCTTTGCGCCGGCTTATACCCTGACGCCATACGCAGTGTATCCGCAGGCGCTGGGTGAGTGTGTCGAGGCGACGAGATTCATCTTGGAAGGCGTGGGAAAGAGCAAGGGCATTCTCCTTGCGGGTGACAGTGCCGGCGGGCAGCTGGTCATTGCGCTGCTCAGCCACGTTTCTGGTCACCAGCATCCTCAGGGCCAGGTTGTGAAGCCATTGGAGCTGCAGGGAAGACGATTCAAGGGCGCCGCGGCACTGTCACCGTGGGTGAGCAGCGATACAAAGAAGTTCCCGAGTATTCATGAACTGAGCAAGACAGACATGATTGGGCCCAACTGTGCAACTTATTGGGATGACATCTACCGGGCTGGGAAGAGTGCTGATCACTATATTGTGCCTGAGGCGGCGCCAACGGAGTGGTGGGCGGGTCTCGGCGAGTCTGTTGATGATCTTTTGATTCTGGCTGGCGGGGATGAGGCCATTCTGGAACCAATTGAGAGCTGGTCGAAGAAGGTACAGGAAGGATGGCCGAATGGAAAGGTCAGATTGGTGGTGGGTGCTGGCGAGAGTCACGATGAGCCGCTGACCCCGATAGGGGCGGAGAAGCTCAATGCCCAAGTGCCCGGGAAGGAGACGGCGATGGAAGGAGCTCTGTATCACTGGGTGAAGGATCTCACGGCGTGAGTGCGCAGGTTACAAGGCGGGTCTGACAAGAGCGGGCATCTGGCTTGACGAGGAAGCTCGCATATCTCGGCGCCAAATATTCACTGCCTGAGATTGTGGTTGCGACATCGGACTCGGGAGGACGGCTCTCACCTAGATAGCATTATCTTCTTCCGCCTTGACTGAAGTTTTCATACGTTCCGCTCCGCTGCTGGCCGCCTGAAAAAATTCTTCCAAAAGATATCAGATCCTAGATACACCGGATGAGTGCTCCATTCCTGGCGACTACTGGCCTCGCCGCGGCGGCACAGCGCAGATGCCCGCCACTCTTTATCCACTCACGAACCCCGCTCTCCGCGGCCAACCGTAGCTAGCCTGGCCGCTCGTCACTGCATTCGCTGCAATGCCAGTGGGCGTGCAGCATGCGCATGCTTGCATCTGAGTTAGAAAAGGAAAGGAGCTACCCAGCTTCCTCCAAAGGTAAGCAAGAAGCAAGCCGTTAGGTCACGAGTTCGTGTTTTTCCCTGCGTTGCTCTCACGTCCTTCAAGAGTCATGTTCGGCGCCACAGTTAGGAGCAGCTCTCGCACTGCTTTATCACCCTCATTGACTTCCTCATCGACCATTGCTCAGTCGGTGTCCTTACGGAGCTTCTCTACCTTCAAACCCATCATGTCGACGCTCGCGTCCTTCAAGATTCCTGACATCAAAAACGAGCCGAATCACCACTATGAAAAGGGCTCTACATCAAGAGAAGGCCTTACTGCTGCCCTGGAAGCATTTGGGAAGAGGGGACCCCTCGAAGTTCCCGTTGTGATCTCGGGCAAAGAGATCAAGACTTCCTCGATCCTCAGTCAGAAGAATCCCTCCTCCCACGCCACCACCGTTGCGAACTACTCAAGTGCTTCGGCAGCGGAGGTGGGGGACGCAATTGAGGCAGCCCTTGCGGCGAAGCCCGCATGGGAGTCACTTCCCTTCGCGGATCGAGCAGCCGTGTTCCTCAAAGCGGCCGATCTCATTGCTGGCAAGTACCGTTATGAGGTAATGGCCGCGACGATGCTGGGCCAGGGCAAGAATGCGTGGCAGGCCGAGATCGACGCCGCAGCAGAGCTATGCGACTTCCTGAGGTTCAATGTCAGATATGCCGAAGAGCTGTACAGCGTGCAGCCGCCATACAACTCAAGCGGCGTATGGAATCGATTGGAGTTCAGACCATTGGAGGGTTTTGTTTATGCGGTCAGCCCTTTCAATTTCACAGCCATTGGTGGCAATCTGCCTGCGGCACCAGCTTTGATGGGGAATGTGGTCGTGTGGAAGCCGAGCGACTATGCGGTGGCGAGTAACTATTTGGTGTACCAGATCCTGCTTGAGGCGGGCTTGCCTGCCGGTGTCATTCAATTTGTTCCAGGCAATGCGGAGGAGGTCACGAAGGCTGTGCTAGGTCACAAAGAGTTTGCGTCGTTGCACTACACTGGGTCGACGGCGGTGTTCAGGAAGCTGTACGGGCAGATCGCGCAGGGCGTTGCAGAAGGCAAGTACAGAGGCTACCCAAGGATCGTGGGTGAGACAGGTGGCAAGAATTTCCATCTTGTTCACAGGTCGGCAGACGTCTCGAACGCGGTGGTGCAGACTGTCCGTGGTGCCTTCGAATTTCAGGGACAAAAGTGCTCAGCTTGCTCGAGGCTATATGTCCCTTCGTCGCTATGGCCTGAATTCAAGAAGCAGCTGCAGGCGGAAGTCGAGAAGTTGAAGGTGGGCTCACCGGAGGATTTCGGCAACTTCATTGGTCCGGTCATTCACGAGAACAGCTTCAAGAAGCTAAAGGGCGTTATCGATGCTGCGAAGGATGACAAGGAGCTCGAGCTCGTTGCCGGCGGCAAATATGATGACTCAAAGGGCTACTTCATTCACCCGACAGTCTACGAAACCAAGAACCCATCCCACAAGAACCTGCACACCGAGTTCTTCGGCCCTGTCTTGACAGCTCACGTCTACGACGATACAACCCCTGATGCTTTCGAAAAGATTTGCAAAACCATCGACGGCACATCCGAGTATGGTCTCACCGGAGCAGTATTTGCTAAAGACAGAGCTGTGCTGCGATATGCCGAGGAAGCTCTGCGGAACGCCGCCGGCAATTTCTATGTCAACGGCAAGTGCACGGGTGCTGTCGTCGGTCAGCAGCCATTTGGCGGCGCACGCGCGTCTGGTACCGACGATAAAGCCGGTAGCATGCTCTTGCTCCAACGCTTTGTGACGCCTCGCGCTATCAAGGAAGACTTCCTGCCTGCAACGGCGGTCGAGTATCCCTCTAATGCGGTGTAAGTAGAGGGAGTATGTACAGGGGCTTGGAGTCACGGCGATAGGCGTAGAAAAGCGTGGTCTTATTCTATGATAACGAACAAATACTCGTTTAGACACCAAGATTGAGAGTGAAGTCCAGTTCATACACTTCGTATTGTTGCCTCAGGCGCGCGTCGCGTGTCAGCCGTAGGGAGTTGCGGATAAACAGATGATCCAGTCTTGGCAGCTTCACCGCCATTTGATTGGCCCAATGCGGGAAGGTCCGGTTTGTTGTTGAACTCCCAAATCTGCGCTTGCGCCCGCCCACAATCTGCCGCATCCTTGACTTGAGTCCTTGCTACCTCGCACCTTTCCATCACAACCTTCTCCAGCAACATTCCCTCGACTCGAGCAGCTGTCAAGCCACAGTTGCGTTACCCTTATCGTCGCTCCTCTACCATATCGCCCGATTCCTAGCCAATATGCGTGAAATCGTAAGTCGAGCTCCCTGGAAAAGACGCGTCTAGCGCACCTCCCTGACCCCTGCCCCACCCTCCACAATGATCACCACTTCGACCATCGACCATACTGACGGTATCCCCCTATACAGGTTCACCTTCAGACCGGCCAGTGTGGCAACCAGATTGGTGCTGCCTTCTGGTAAGCTCGTTGCCAACAAATGGCCTCTTCACCGCCTAATCCTTTCGCAGGCAGATCATCTCCGGCGAGCACGGCCTTGACGGCGCTGGCAAGTAAGTTGACCATCATACTCAAGTCAAGGCGCACACACTAACTATGACAGCTACAATGGCACCTCCGATCTCCAACTCGAGCGTATGAACGTGTACTTCAACGAGGTAGGCAGCAGCCGATGCTGTAACCAGGATCCCACACTAAGATATTCATCAGGCTACTGGCAACAAGTATGTCCCGCGTGCCGTTCTTGTCGATCTTGAGCCCGGTACCATGGACGCTGTCCGTGCGGGTCCTTTCGGCCAGCTCTTCCGTCCCGACAACTTCGTTTTCGGCCAGAGCGGTGCTGGTAAGCTATGACTGTCTCCACTTAAGGTCGTCAATAACACAAATCAGGCAACAACTGGGCCAAGGGTCACTACACTGAGGGTGCTGAGCTTGTCGACCAAGTTCTCGATGTTGTTCGTCGCGAGGCTGAGGGCTGTGACTGCCTTCAAGGCTTCCAAATCACCCACTCCCTGGGTGGTGGTACCGGTGCCGGCATGGGTACATTGCTCATCTCCAAGATCCGTGAGGAGTTTCCCGACCGCATGATGGCTACATTCTCGGTCGTGCCCTCGCCAAAGGTGTCCGACACTGTCGTCGAGCCGTACAATGCCACCTTGTCCGTTCACCAGTTGGTCGAGAACTCTGATGAGACCTTCTGCATTGACAACCAAGTGAGTAGTTCAAAGCAGTGTATGGGCGCGACTAATAACTCAGGCCCTCTACGATATCTGCATGCGCACTCTCAAGCTTACCAACCCCTCATACGGTGATCTGAACCACCTTGTCTCGGCTGTTATGTCGGGTGTCTCCACTTCGCTGCGCTTCCCTGGCCAGCTCAACTCCGACCTGCGCAAGTTGGCTGTCAACATGGTGCCATTCCCTCGTCTGCATTTCTTCATGGTCGGCTTCGCTCCTCTCACCAGCCGTGGCGCCCACTCCTTCCGTGCCGTTACCGTGCCGGAGCTCACTCAGCAGATCTTCGACCCCAAGAACATGATGGCTGCGACCGACTTCCGCAATGGTCGTTACCTCACCTGCTCTGCCATTTTCCGTGGCAAGGTTTCCATGAAGGAAGTTGAGGACCAGATGCGCAACGTCCAGAACAAGAACACCAGCTACTTCGTTGAGTGGATCCCCAACAATGTCCAGACTGCTCTTTGCTCCATCCCGCCGCGCGGCCTTAAGATGTCATCCACCTTTGTGGGCAACTCGACCTCCATTCAGGAGCTGTTCAAGCGTATCGGCGATCAGTTCAGCGCCATGTTTAGGCGCAAGGCTTGTAAGTCCGCTTTTCTAGCTGGTCCAACCTCGAAGCTAACAATACGCAGTCTTGCATTGGTACACTGGTGAAGGCGTGAGTAATCCCTCCGTTTTGCTCTGGATCGAAACTAACCTGAATAGATGGACGAGATGGAGTTCACCGAGGCCGAGTCCAACATGAACGACCTGGTGTCCGAGTACCAGCAATGTAAGCATACCATCCACGAATCTTCGTACATCACTAACATTCGGTAGACCAAGACGCCTCGGTTTCGGATGCTGAGGAGGGTTACGATGAGGGTCTCGAAGGCGACGAGCCTCTGGAGGAGTAATCTGCTCCCGTCTGGAAGACGATGTCTTCTAACAAAGTATCTTCGATACTTGAAGGCATCGTGCAATGATGTCCAAGCAAGTCTTGTGCAAACGAAAGCGACAGCGATTCACTTCTCTGTTCAGCAGGCTAGATTTTGATACGCAAGGGAGCAAGGCGTGCAAGCGAGCAGGATCGGTGCACTTTGGAATGCGGTCCACTCTTTGACTGTCCATAGGTCTCGATCAGACAATCCGAATAATGTCATACCCAAAGCAATAAGACATTGCCGTGCGTCAAAGTAGTAGTGAGGTTCTCCCTGCATAAGGCGACGAGGCTGCGAACCCCTTGCTCCTTGGCTGAGAGACCCCCTCGCACGGACTTCATCGATCCAGATCACAGATCGGTAAGTGATATACCAAATGGTGCCATCCGCGAGATTGTACCAACACGCTTCTCCCTGCGCTGTGCATCATTTCAATCCTTGATACCGCACGGCCTCCTCGTTACCATAACTACAAAACAGCACAAGAGCCAGTCAACTCCCTCATACCATGTCTTCACTACGACTTCGTCTCGTGTTCAAACGCTGTCTTATGCATGTAGCCATACCAATGCTGGCTATTGTCCTGCTCCAAACCTACGCATAAGCCGCCGATCTCGACACAGGCACGGGCTACGACCACCGTCACCCCACACGCTTTTACACATACACAGATGAGCCAGGCGACATGAGGTCATCACCGAGGCTTGCCGTCCTCATCACCGTCCTTGCAATCCTCTTCACCTCCCCGCGAGCCTCCGCACAGCCCCATCGACGCTCGCCCGCCCACTTACCGAACCTACACTTCCCACGCCTCCTAGCACATCACAGCGATGATGCGGTATCTTCTCCTCCCTCCGACACCAGTGCCGATGATTTCCAAGATGATCCTCCCATGACCCGAACCACCGCTCCGGCCCCGCCATCGCCCACCTTTGCGCCCCAGCCCCAACTCATCACGCTCGCCCCACCCCTCGCCTCCATCCACCCCCCGGCGGCACCCGGCATCATCTTGCCTGCCAGGCGAGACCCGAACGCTAGCGGGCTAGGCCACTGGGCGGACTACAGCCCCGCCACCGAAGCCGAGGAGGCGGACGACGACGAGGACGATCACAGCAACGACGCCCCACCAAGCGACGGACAAGCCATGGTTCCGTCGCCCGGCCACCCACGCGGTAGCCACTACAGGCCTGGTGTGTCGTTTTGGACCGGTCAGGCGCGAAAACTGCGCAATAAGGGCAAGAAGCGCAGGTTGTTGGCGAACGGTGTTATCTATAATGGAGAAGGAGGAAGAGGAAGAAGGGGGGGAGACGAGAAGAAGCTTCTCGAACAAGATACCGAGGCGGACTGGATGGCGTGGCGCTCGCAGTTCGCGCTGCAGCAGCAGTGGCGACGCTGTGAGCGGTTGGGGCTTGGGAGTTGCCCTTCGCAATCGGATGGGAGAGAGGGAGGGGTCGGGGATGGGGCTGGACACGACGGGAATGGGGATCGGGAGCGGGATAGGGATAGGGTGGGGGCGACGGCTGAGTTGTTGACGGATTGATGAAGAGTTGAGTTGGTGGAAGGGCGGGTAGCTTTTGTTGGCGGAGGGGGTTGTGCTTTGCTGGCTTCGAAGCGGGAGTGCGACTGGCAATGGGATATTGAGGACCTGGTCATTGGCCAGGCCTCGGGGAAGCAGTTGATGGTAATAATGGTGGATGGAGATGGGAGGCACGAGGCGTGAGGCACGAGACCGGTGGGGATGAGGGCTTTTACAGTTCTGTGGTGGACGGAATAAATGATGAATACGATGCTATGTTTCAATTTCCAGAGTGGTGTGCCTGTCCAAAAGTCATGGTTTTCAACTGGAGCACGTCCGCCGGCTAGATGAGTCTCTACAGTATTTAATGATGTCGTAGATGGCTTGGCTGAAGCAGATCTACGAAAGCAATTCTGAACGTATGGACCTCGCGAATTGCTGACTTCCAGGTTCGGGGAGGAAGCCATGTTAGAAGCGGGCGGGGCACGAACGTAGCAAGGTGAAGAAAGATAGTCAGTTACTGCAGGCAGGCAACGGAGAGCCGAGAGAGAGTCTCATGTAGATACGTCAGGTACGTATATATTAGTGAATACGTTTGTGCATACTCCATCCAACGCGGCGCCGCCCAGGTGAGCGGGCGCTGTGTTCCCAAACCCCCAGTACGCAGGTACATTCCAGATTTCCTGTTTCAAATTCTCCATGTCAGTTTCATGGCTGCACGCCCTAACCAGGTCCGTGTATCCTATATCCCCTGTATCCCAGAGCCGCAGCGTAACAAACCAGTCCATCCCGAAATATCTCATGGCATCATCGCTGCAGCCTCCTCGTCCGTGACGAAGATCTCGGTGACCGGGCAGCGTTCGGGGTCATTGCTGTCCATGACATCGTCCATGTCTTCGTCGCCATCGTCATCGTCGTTGTCCCAGCGATGCCGTCTCCTCCGACCTCCACCGTACCTGCCCAGAAGATAGCCGGGTAGGAAAAGCTCGTCGTTCCATGTGAAGCCCTGGCTGTGCTTGGTGTAGCAGATCAATCGAGGAGGCTCATCGGGGTCGTTGTGACTTGAGAGGTTGATTGACTTGTAAGAAGACGAGGCCATCATCGAGGGCCCCAGCGGGGAGTTGTGCACATGGGCAGGCATGTGCGAGGGCGGAGACGAGGATGGTGTCTGAGGGCGATGCTGCGGCTGCTTATCACTCCACTCCATTGCACTTCTCTTTCCGTTACGATTCATCTCCACCGAGGTGTCTGAAGGGGATGGTTGGTAGGGTGCCTTCCGCAAGGGCTTGTGCCGCAGGCCATGTGCGGAGCCGTTGGGCGATGACCACGACGACTCTCGAGAGCTGTATGAGGATGGGCCGGCCTCGGAGCTATCCGTACGATCATGGAGCTTGCTCCGGATACGGCGGGAGGCGGCAGCTTTGAGGTTGTTGGAATGGAGAGGAATGGTGATAGCACGGCTACCGGGCTCGTGGGAGGACATGACGGTGAGGTGGGAGGAATTGCAAAGTTACCGCAGTGAACGCCAGTCCAGGAAATACGATTCTACATTCGAAGGTGAAAGGTGAAAGGTGAAAGAGAATTAAAGGTGAAACGGAGTTGAGGAAGTGAGGCTCAAGCGACCTTGTATCGAGTCACTCAGGTCACCTGTGACTTGGAGGTTCCCCACTCGTCATCGCCGCCTTTATCGATAGGCGTTCGAGCTATATGATTGGTCCTCACTGGATCCATTCACAGCATTGGGAGGCTCGTGTCTTCGGACAAAGCGAGGAACTCGCCGAGCTTGAGTCAAATGTAATGGCAGGGTGCTTTTTCTTTTGTACATATCATTTCCATCTTACATCCAAGGCTTACGCATAGTAGCGAGGCTTTCCGCCATCGAGGACATGGTAAAAGTGCTCCCGCACACCTGGAGGGTTGAACCTGGCCGGAAATCGCCGGCCGGCTGGTACTTGCTTCTCTGGTATTCTCTCGTCCGTATACGATACTGGCTCGCCAATGACGAACTTTCCGAGCTGGAACGGAGTGTCAGTGCATGTGAAAGGACTAACCGGGAAAAACTCACCTGAATCTCGGTATCGGTTATCGTACCTCTTGACACTCTGGCGTATCCAGTCCTCTTGATGTCCTTGAAGAGGATATACTCGCACCATCGGTCCCAATCCGATCTGTCGATATCGTGCATCTGGCTAGCCTCGCTGACGTACGTGTTGTAATTGCCTTGTTGGGGCTTTGTGACGAGATAGCTGAGCAGGATCGCAGGTCGGGGTGTTGCCCCCATGATCTTGCTCATGTACTCACTTTGCAAACGACGATCTTCGACATCCTCTTCTTGGCCAGAGTGGAAGACAAAAACGTCTACTAGAGTGCCATACACATCCAATGTGGCCTCAATAGCAGGTGCAAGCTCGCCAACAGGCGAGGGCAGGAGATGATGTGTCGAGTTGACAATTGGGAACTTGGAAAGCAGAGCACTTCCCCAAGTGTGCTTGTTGGGACCCGGGCCATAGTCAACGTACATACCCATGTCCTCAGCAAGGAACTGAGTCGCGTCGCGCATTCCCATGATGATGCGCTGCGTGTCAGACTCGAGTAGGCCAATCACGTCAATCTCGAGTTCCTTGATAGCATCTCGAATGCGGTATTCTGACGCCCAGAGATCGTTGTCAATAGAGAAGTGGGTGGTCCAGATTCCAGCCGTCATCACTTTTTCATCCTTGTGGTAGGGTTGATAGTCGTTGGTGGGGAAGCGTAGGTAGGCGATGGACGCTGAAAGGAGCTGGAGGGCAAGCAGAATGTGGATGTAGTACGCAGAAGCTGTGCGGCCAGTCGATTTCGTAGGGCCCTTTCGCTTATAAGGCGAGTCGGCTGTCTGGACGCTGAAGACAGCGGCTCCAATGAAGATCATGGTTGTGAGCATGATCCAATCAGTGCGCTCTCGCACCAGTGGACCGCCTGGCACAAACGCATATGCCACCACCCAACAGTGGAAGAGAGCCAAAAAGTTGTACACCATAAAGCCCAGCCCAAATGTCTTGGCTGGATTATGCTGAGCACCGGCTGAAATCAGAGGTTGAGCGAGGCCCATAACATAAACGGTGAGCGCCAAACCACCATAGTAGCCTGTCCAGTGGCTGTAATAGGTCAATAGGGCAGCGCCCACGGAGCCGATGCCAAACGCAGTCCAGGTCACGAAAAACGCTGGTGTCGATGTGCCCAGGAACAAGCCAAGCGCCATGAAGAAGATGGTGACAGCGCCATGCGGACTTGCAATGGGTCCGCGCACGGGGAACCCTTCCCAGACCCACAAAATCATGGTGCTCGAATCGGCCAGCAAGGAATGCATAAAGAAGAAGAGGCCGCCCAACCCCAATCCAATGAGCACTCCAGATCCGCGTTGTTTTCCTGCAGGCATGTAATCACCTCCACTGGTGCTGACCTGTCTTGTTGATCGCCAGATAGAGAGTGCCGCAAGGACAACACCAGTCTTGTTCCACCCCCCATTCTCAGAGTGCAGGACAGGCCAGATTGGGTTGTTGCTGTAGTTGGCAAACTTGGCGATGCTTGAAAGGACAAGTCCGATCGTCCAAGCCAGGATGCGAGTTTGAAGTCTGGCTGAGTTTCCACGTTCAGCATACCATGTCGCGGTCCATGCGATGGTTCCCATTGAGACAGCAAAGGCCACGGTGAGGAGACGGTATGTGGGATCATGTACCAGCCAAGATAGAACACCAACAACAGACAGTAGATGGACGCTGCGGATGTTGTTGATGACTAGGGAACGCAATGGCGGGATCCCAAGCCAGAGGGTAGCAGCAGGAGCCAGCACAAATATCTCGAACCCTGAAAGACCCATGTGCCAGAGCGGGAAATACCAGATGACAACACCGAGGGAGGTGAGAATCGACCAGAAGACGTAGCCAGAGAAAATGTCGGCCGCTGCGTCGAGTACAGCAGGCCAGTAGTATGGCCCTTCAAAAGTCGAAGCTTGCACGAAAGGCTGATTGGAGCTGGACACGGTCAGTATAACTCGCACGGGTTTTAGCAGTAAGGGACGCACTTCTTTGCTTTGACATCATCTTTTAGAGTCTTTGAGTCTCTGAAAAGCTATTAGTCCTTTGTACATATTGCAGATCATGGCCGTACCCTTCGCTATTTCGGGAGCCATTGCACATACCCTCGGCTGAGACCCTTAACATCCTTAACTACAAGTTCAAAGGTGCCAAAATCTAGCGCAGTCACAGCGTCGAATGCAACGTCGAAAAGGACAAGAGCCCATTCAAAGAAGGCGTAAATCGTGTATGCTGCCCCTGGTAAGTCATTGGCGGATGTCAGCGGGAGCGAGCTTACCACCAGCGACCTTGTGGACTTTATGCTGAATGAAGAAGTAAATCAAGGGCACCAAAGTGCCGAAGAACAGGCTTGCCAGGCGTTTGCGCCATTTAATGGCTTCTGGATTGGGCGGACTGAGCGCAAGACAGCCCATGGTCCAAGGAACCGTAGCCACCAAGTACGAGATCATGAAGATGTCATGCCAGTTATGATCATCTGTTGAAGTAACGTAGGTCCAGCCTCCGCAAGTCAATGTTCTGAATATTCCAACGCCGGCAATGACTGCGGGGAGGTTCGTGTTCGGTCGCCGGGTAAGCAGATACCACAGTCCGACGAGGACAAAACGTGGGCCAGAGGTGATGGCGATGAAGACCATGAATACAGATCTCTCGGGGTAGCGGTCGCCAATGGTAGCAGACACGGATGGGAACCACTCGTCGGGGTAGCCATAATGTTCGTTTTGCACAATCTTCTGGTAATGTAACCAGATGCCTACGAAGAGAGCGCCCAGGAACGCGCAGTAAGCGACGACCGTGTGAACATAGGACACCCATTTTGCGTTGAACTGCGCCGAGTTAGGAAACGTAGGCGTGGCAGAGTCTGTGAGCTTCGTACCGCAAAGATGACATCTCCATCCTTGGACTTGGGAGCCATGTCGGTGACGGGTAGGATCTATTATTGCATAATACGCACGTGAACGGTAAGAAGGAGTGACGAAAGGAGTCGAATACAAAGTCCAGACAGGGGGACAACAAAGGATGAGGAAGAATTATAATTTAAAACGAGACACGATGGGTGGTTTGCGACCGAGCTGGTGCGCGTTCAAGCAGCTGCGCGCCGCGACATCCGGGCTCATCCACGCCATCCCTGACAGCCTGCTCGAAGTGCACATGCAGTTCCGCAGCATGGGCTATTAGTGTTATCTTACGAGCGACTCCACTTTAATTTTGCCCGCAGCGTTTACGAAACTGAACTCGACCAGGCTTCTCCTCCTCTACAACCCTCGCTCTTACAACCGAACCTCTGGGCTCGTACGGCATGGCCGCTGCAAGCGACAAAGCCCGTTTCTTCCTCGAGCAATCGGTGCCGGAGTTGAAAGAGTTCGAGCGCAAGAAGATTTTCTCCAGCGAAGAAATCAGCAAAATCGCCCGCCAACGATCCGACTTTGAGCACAAGATCAACGCCCGCGGCTCGACGCCCTCAGACTACATTCGTTATGCCGAATTCGAGATGAACGTTGATTCCCTCCGGAAGAAGCGTGTCAAGCGGTTGGGTGTCAAGAGCACTGCCCACAACGGTCAGCGGCGTATCTTCTTTGTATTCGATAGAGGCACCAAGAGACATCCCAGCGACGTTGGTCTGTGGCTGCAGAGTATCGAGTATGCGAAAAAGCAACAAGCGCACAAGAAACTTTCACAGATATTCGCCAATGCGCTCCGGCTACATCCTACGCGCCCGGAGCTGTGGATCTACGCGGCTCAATCCGCCATGGAAGACAATGGTGATATGACGGAGGCTAGAGCCTACATGCAAAGAGGTCTGCGCTTCAACAAGAACAAGAAGGCGCTGTGGTTGCAGTATTTGCGGCTGGAAATGTCCTATATTGCCAAGTTGCAGACCCGCAGAGAGATTCTTGGTATTGGACGCGGAGGCGAGACTTCCGACGCCGACCCGGTCGATGAGAGACAGGTACCTGCACTGACTGCCGATGATGTCGCTCCACAAACCCAGGGTGATGATGTCGACGCGAAGGCGCTGGAGAACATGCGAGAAGCACCAGCGCAGAGTGGAGCAATCCCGATTGCTATCTTCGACGCTGCCATGACCCAGTTCAACAACGATCCACACCTGACGCAGGATGTATTGTACATGTTAGAGGACTACACGCATGTCAAGGCCACGGCGAGGGTGCTGTATCACCTGAGAGATTCTCTTGACCGACTAGCCCGACGCAGCTGGGTGCGAGATGCCTGTGAGGTCTGGACGCCCGTGGTTGGCCTACAACCCAACTCGGCAGACTTCCCACCAGCGTTTCGATCGTCTCTGAAAAGCCTGCGAGAGGCGCAGAAGAAGACCAGCCAGCAGGCGGAGTTGGCAGCATGGGCCAAGCGTTGGCTGCAGCGGTTGCTTGAGGCAGAGGATCTGGATCCAGCGATTCGGCGAGTGGCCGAATCAGTATCTCAGTCGTTGTAGAGCGACGTCAATCATCAGAACTCCTCGACCGTGCAGCCTTCTTACTCGATTGCTTCTTCTTAAGTTTCAACCGTGCTTCATTCTCGGACTTTTTGAGCTTCTGCACCTTCTCTTTCTGCTCGTCAGATGTTTCGCCTGGCACAGCCGCCCGATAGACATCGCGAACCAGTTCTGACAGTTTGCGATAGCAGGTATCTTTGTTGATCGTCGCTTTGCGGCTTTCGTCGGCCTGGAACAGGAGCGAGTCGGTCTTGTCGGCATAGTAACGCGAAGCACGAATCCCAGGGTGCAGGGCTACTGGGAGGTGGCCACAGAGCTGACCGACTGGTACGCGGAGCTGCGCCTTCGAGTTTATTCTGAAGCGCGTCAGTTGGACTGGTAGCAGTTTGAGAGCGCGTGTTTCTAGATGATGTCAAGCTCCGAGCGCTGCTGTTGTATCTGCAATGTAGCGATTCTCGCAGCATCCACGTAACCAAGGAGATGTCCTCCTCTCGAATCTCTATGGGAATACAGGCACTGAAAGGGAAGTCGCCTTCTACGTTGCACGAACGCCGGAACCAAGACGAGTGGTGTACTTACTTATTCACATTTTGCCCGCCGGGCCCACTAGATCTGCTGTAACTGATCTCCCCCAACGTCTGAGGGATAGCTGAATCTGGGTCGGTAGAAAAGGTTTCTTTGTACCACCTCCTGGCTTCAGAAAGATCCTCGAGGTGCGACCCCTGGCTGGAGGTAGAATAGGCATTGAGGTTACGAACTCCTAAATCTAGGCGTAATAGTTCGAGACGCTGAATGGCGACCAGCGCACGCCTCGGGAAGGCCATGAGCTGACCTGGTAGTAAGCTACAAGTACTAACGGGAGAGCACTGTTGCGCGCGTGAGGTTAGACCTGACGCGGTCGTTTATGACGCCAGCACGGTCTACATCTCCACACCCTTCACCCCTGCCCTCCGCAGCCCCCTTCCTGCCTCCACCTACCGTATTTCTTCACAGGCAAACAGTAGCATTCTTCTGAGTCAAACTCCCTCGCTCCTATTTTCTGTCTTATGCGATACTCACTACGAAGCTTCCTCTGCCATCCCCTTCTCCTTTCCGGCCAATCACAGCTCTACTCTTAAGCGCCATCCTGTGCCCCGGCTGGTGTGAATTGAGCCTCAAGCACCTTGTATGTGGAGTCAAGTTGCATTGCTCCTGGTATAGACGCTCTCCAAACCGGACGTCTCTCAACGTACACCTCTGCGATAGGAGGGGCCTTTCTAACCACCGACTGATCATCAAGACAGCCTGTCCGAAGTCACGATCAATCCATCTACCGTCGGGCTGCCTCCACTGCGATAGATGGTCACGCCACAGTTATCGCAGAAGTGCGATGTGATTTCCTCTGAAGATATGATGAATCGGCTGCTTTTGAACAGAGCTAGGAGCTTACCCAGCCGTGGTCAGATGTCATTGTGAATTTCTTTGGCCGCGTCGCTGATGTTATTGTGAAGTTCTCTTTCGGAACTCGGAACACTGGTGCATTGGAGATCTTTTGATCGTCGTCACAGTGTCATAGGGCTGTGTACTTGGGCAGGCCGCTATAGGAAAACGTTGCCTTTCCACACAAGCAGCGCCCAGTGACTTCGCCTGTGATCGCCATGGATTTGCTCGGGAACTTTTGATGTAGCACAATGCTTCGCGAGGCTGATGGCGAATATTAGGTTCGGAAAGGAATATGAAGCATGAATTGCGCATATATACTTCATAGTGATTCTCAGACCTCCCGACACACACAAGGGCACACACCTAACTTGGACATATGGCCAACTGCGGTGAGAAATCAGGGGCCAGGCTCGGAGATAGCATCGCTGCGCAAGAGCGTCAAATACAAACCTAGTAGGCGAGACAGAGCCGAAGACTGCATCTGGCAATAACTGGCGTCGGTCACGCAGACATGGGGGCGGTAAAAGCTGGACTCTGTGCAGGTGGCAGTCATGAGAGCATCAAGTACGCGGGCACATGAAGTTGACCTTGTATTGCCAAGGTTGGCACCAAAGACGGCTTAGTCAGTCGAGGGCGATTGCGCCTTTGTACGGACGGGCCGTTCTCGCCGAATGGTCGTGTCTCTGCAATTGGCAGGCGGGTCATTGACGTTGCACGTTCTCGTCACTTCTGCGTAGCTGCATCTAGCGTTTCTAGAAAACGCGATTGCCCTCGCAGAGTGCGCCCACCAGCCTGTTGGCTGTTTCCCCCCGCCTTGGAGCTGTTGATATCAGCTATCGCCAACTCCCACTCTCCTTTGCCCTCCATGTATCTCCTTCTGCAGCATGACTAGTACAAGTCCTCCTCCAGAAGCGCAACGCTTTGGAAGGTCTCAAACTCCAGAGAGTCCGCGACCAGTGCACCTCCCAGAGCCCTCAAACATTCCTGTCCTGCGCAACCAAATGGATCCCGTTTTCAATGACACTGCTACTTACAACATCCCCAACGATCAGCCCTTTTCTTCATTCCCAAATCCGATCCAGAAATCGCAACCAGAGGAACATGATGCTGTGCAAGATTTTCTTCGCGGCGCCGAAGCTGAATCATCCATCCCGCAGGAGCACCCTGTGCCGCAAGTAGCTGATCTTCAATCGACCGAAGCCCCTTCAAACATACCCTTATCGCCGAACCCACCGACGACGACGACGGCAACGACGACGCTGCCTGAGCAACCGAACGGTACCACTCAGTCCGAATCGCAGCTCGATCCCACAAATCAAGTACCCGATCAGACAGAGCCTGTTGCGGCCGAACCTACATTCGAGTCACAAGTCAATGGCATACAAGCTGCGCACGACCCTATCTCTCAAGATTCTGCTTCGCAACAGCAGCCAGACTTGGATCAAGGCGGCGTAGACTATCAGTCCCTGCTTGACACTGTCCACCAGTCTGCCTCAACAGCCCCGGCAGCTGAGTCATTGACCGCACCAACTACTGCCGCTGCTTCTTCTGATCCAGATCCCAGCATAAGCTCTTTGCCCTCCGCCCATGGCCTTCCTCCCAAACCTCCTGTTCAAGAGCTTCCTACAGACTATGCAAACTACCCAGCCAATGTGCCCACTCAAGCCCAAGTCTCATTTGCTGCCTCTGATTCTCTGTCAAACGCCCCATCGCTACAGGCTGGGGCCATCCCATTGCAAGACTATGCATATCCAGGGATGCAAAGCACTGGTTCTATACCATATGCCTCATCAAGCGTCGTCAACCAGACGAAAGCTTATTCGCCCATCACTGGCGAGCGGCCTTGGTCTCCCAGAACGCAGACCATCTATGACCAGTTCCTCGAAGACGAGCGAGGCTATGTCACTGAAGGTATTTGGGACAAATTTCCTATCGGGTCACGCTTATTTGTGGGCAATTTACCTTCTGAGAAAGTGACAAAGCGTGATCTTTTTCATATTTTCCACCGCCATGGCAGACTGGCTCAAATCTCCATCAAACAGGCATACGGCTTCGTCCAATTTCTTGAGGCATCCGATTGCTCTAGGGCCTTGGAGGCAGAGCAGAGCGTTGAAATCCGGGGAAGGAAAATTCATCTCGAGGTCTCAAAACCGCAAAAGAACACGCGGAATGCAGCCAACAGTGGCGCGAAGAACAAGGATATTCGACGACGATCACGATCACCGGATAGACGTGTAAGCAATGACCGGTTTCCTACCAGGAACCCCTTTGGCGACCTCCGCGATGAGAGACGTCGCGATGATTTCCGACGTACTCGATCTCCATCACCACACCGCAACAGCTACCGCTCTAGGGACGACTATCGACCCCATCCTGGCCGAAGCCCCCCACGAGGATACATCAGCCCAAGGTCGCCCGCAGTTTCACAATATCCCCCTCCATTTCCACCTCGATACGATGAGGACACTGCTCTACCACTACCTCGTCGAGCGCCACAAGATGTTCCAGATGTGCAGCTGCTCATCTTGGACCAAAGTGTACCACAAGCGTTCATAAATTGGGTTGAAGATGCCTTTCGTGCTAAGGGTCTCAAGGCATCTACGACATGGTTGAGCCCGCGACTACCATTACAAGCTGTGATAAAGCGACAGATACTCGAGGGGGTTCACGCTATTGTCAAGTTACTCCAAATGAATTCGATCACTCACAAGGTGCCTTTACAGGTCTTCGATCGATCGTCCGGAGCGTCGAATGTCAAATTTAATGAATACGTTGACCTCGACGTCAATGTAGCTGCGGATATCATCCTCCACACCAAGAATACCCAAGCCTCGCCAATATCTGCATACCCGACCACTCCACAATCCTATGGTGGTACTCCACACTACCCTCCTCAGTCTATGCACCATTCCCCGCAGCAATACTCGCCTGCAGGGCAGCCGCCATTGCAGCAGCGACCGCCTCAGCCTCCACAACCCTACCCATATCCTCAACAGGCGCCATATCCGCCGCATCAACCACCGACTCCATCATCCGCTAATACTGGGGCACCGAACCTGCAGCAACTGCTTGCGAACCTACGCCAGCCGCAGGCAAACGGTCAAAATCCCGCAAGTGCACAACATCAGCAACCAGACTTAGGAGGACTTTTGACCAATATTGCGGCCCATCGGCAGAATCAAGCCCATCCCTATTCTCAGCATGTCCCACAACCTGGTTTGCCGAACTATGGGTCTACGCCCAACGCAGCTCAAGGTTATGGTCCTGGGCAACAACCGAACAATGTACAGAACATTATGGACCAGCTGGCACGCTATCAGCGCTGAAACCGTTGTTCGTCGGCCTGATGGTTTGTAACTAAGGCGTGGCAGTAGTAACAAGGTAATCTGGCCGATTGGGTCCTGCGCATCTTTGCAATTTCTAGCTAGCGACGTATCAATAGAAGACTCCGAACGGCTGACACGGCCGAAACTTTTGGTTTGACTCTACTCCAGACATGTTGGCCGAGCCCGTGCGAGGTGCAACGCGAGCTCCAGATATACGCTCAGTTTTTGCATTCTATCGTGAACTCTTGTGCAAATTCTACAGCGTGTTTCGGTGCATACAATGCCGTTCTCGCTTCGTGGTCACCCAGCCTGCGACGAGTTGGGTTCCTGGCCTGGACGCTGACCAAAGATACGAGAGTATGTTATGGTCACGTCGCCTTGATCAAGTATGGGCGGAATGGACACAATTATATACGTTGGTGTTTTGCGTGCGTGCAAGCGGTAAGAAGTCGAGAGCGAGGCGCGCTCGATGCGACCTACATCGACCATCCAGGGCAGGCGCGGACTTCACACAAGGCACATAATAGGAGGCAACAAGGGGTCAGAAAGTGAGACGGTTATGAGGGCGCCCTTCTACGGCTCAAGGTAAACCCTAGAGGAGAAGACATGCGGGCACGGTTTTTGCAATCGGTTCCCAAGATTGTGTGTTCCCTGGCCAGCTAGCTACTGTATACTGTATACTGGTTCAGTAGTTTGCTAGTTCAACTGAAGAAATGAATGTTATATCCTCGTGTCCTAGCCTGCGCGCACGTTTCAATCTTTGCCTCTCTCTCTCTTCCGCTCCTAGGAGAGAGCCCTGTCCTGCGCATAAACCATTTAGTGCTATTGGCGCCCTGACGTATTAGCTACTGGTCCTGAGCTGGAGAGGGGAGGGGAGGTAGTTCGAAGCCGGCTGGCTGGGCCGATGAGAAGAAGCGGGGGAAGGGAGAGAGGAAGGGACAACGAAGAGGGGGACAACGTACACCGCAGCCCTTGCAGGAGCAGCTGCCGGCGCAGGCGGCGCCGTTGCAGCAGTTGCAGGAGGAGCAGGGACCCATGTTGGATGTGGTTTGGATTGACGTTGGGGTCGGGGTTTGGAAGTGTGATTTAGGTTGGTTCTGGGTTGAATTGATGGCTGACAAAGTTGCGGTTTGGGGAGGGGACTGGAAGGGAAGAGGGCAGGGTAGCGGGAGCTTGGTCTTATAGCACCAGAGCGCTGTTCACACACTCTGTGGACCCTGAGGAAGTCTTTGCATCCCACGAACCTAGCTAACTACCTGGCCCCTCCTACTTGCCCAGCACCTACACGGGTAGCTTTGCTGGCCTATCGCTCGCCTGCTCGGCAGCTAAGTCCAATCACCCCAGCTCGCTGCACGAATCGAAAACGGCCGACACAACGACACGATCAGCACACTGGGCAGCCACCGGTGGGATAAGCTGCAAGGTGGAGTGACACCCTGTTGGCCGCAAGCAAGCATTACCGGACCACGAAAAAGACTCTCGCGCGGCCCTGTGGGAGCATCTTGCCCAGCGAAGTGACCATTCGTCGCTTATCCTGAGTCCAAGAGTCTGTGACTGTCAGTACGGTACGCTTGAGAGCTCAAAAGCGTGCCCAGAAGCAAAGCTGCTGCGGCAATAGCCAATGGCTTACCGAACTGCCTGGTTTGGGATGCATGTGATGACAAGCTGGTTTCTCGCCGATGGTCCGGCGCGGCTTGCTAGATCTGGTTACAAAACCTCTTGATCACGTCGCGGCGCGGCATGTAGAGAAACTTTCCCCAAGAGGCCGTGCTTGCACGGGGAGACGCGCGCAAAAGGTGAGGCGTCCAACAAAAAGCATCGTCTTTCCGACCGATCATGTGTTTGAAGCGCGGCGGGAGTTGCTCGGCATCCCGCGCTTGCAGGGCTGGGAATCAAGTTGCGTTATGCAAGCAGGAAGTTCTTCTGTTGTGGGCCAATGGCGGCAAGGTGAGGTTTGAATATGGTTCGGCTGGTGGCCAATACGAGCGGGCCGGTGCGGGTCGCTGGGGGGAGCAGAAGTTGGGTATGTATGGATCCTGGTGCGGTGGAGTGGAGTGGGACAGCGTCAGGTTGAAGCATAGGTACAAAGTAGTGCAACGTGACGATTCGTTGGTGGGGTGGAAACGTGTCAAGCGTTGTTGGGGTCTTGGACAGGTAGCAACTGATTTTCGGATCGATTGGGTCGTTGTATCACGGGGGCGGACTTCTCCTTCTGGTGCTGTGCTCGTGCGGATGTTGGGTGAAGGAAACCGCCGAAACTAGCTGGATGTGAGCAGAGTGGAAAGGCTTGCAGTCAGTACCCAAGTGGCAGCAAGGGCCGCGAGTCATTGGTCAAGGACGGGGAGCCTTCTCTTACTGCCTTCTCGGAGTTTGTAGGCTGCTGTTAATGTTGACCGCAAGCTCAGCCGATCGTTGCCTCATGAGCCCCGGGACACAGCTTAATTAGGATCAATATAGCCCTCGACTGAGCGAGCATGGTCCTCCAATGAATACCAGAGCTGCACGACCGCAGGATGGTGCAACGCACTTGGGGATTGCACCAGATAAAGCGTCTCGGATAGCGCCGTTTTTGACTCAAGATATCTTCTCATTGCGTCCAGCATAACCGCACCGCCGTGCACTGTTGCGGCTGTCTGAACCTAGATGCTCGTCAGCTCGCAAGCCTCGAGACCGCCGTCTCATGTATATAGTAAGACAAAGCTCCAATACATCAAATCCACATGCTTCCACTCGGCTCCCTAAACGCCCCTGCCCAGCCAGCCAGCCAGCCCACCTATCAAGAACAACACATCGATGTATTGGGGTATAACAGTCACACAGCACATATCCCCCGGAGCAAGAATCGCTACCAAAGCGTCCCAGTCATTCGGCCGTAAGTCATCAAGATGTTAGCACTCGCGTCCTACCCAATCGAGCTCAGACGGTGACCTGCCGCGAACTCGTTGGCGCGACTTGGACTTGTCCCCTAGCCGCAGCCTGCGTGACGTGCAGAGGCGCGCATTGTCCTGTGCTGCCCAGACTCAGCGTCTTGCTAAGACGCTTCTTCGCCTTGTCGATTTCATCCTCGACCTCTGCTTCTTCGGTCTCTTCTCTTTGTCGTGGGCGTTCCTTGCTTGGCCTGATCTTGAGCGTCTTTGCAGGCTCAGGTTTTGGAGTGCTATCTTCCTCGCGCAAAGAATACGGTTCTGCAGTCTCTGTTTGTCGCGAGCGCACCCGTTCATGATGAACCCGACTCGGTGACTTCTCACCACCTAGGCCGGCAGCGTCGGCCATAGTCTGATAGACGGCTTCTCGGTCTGCCAGGGGGATCCCACCAAACCTGTCTCCCAGGCAGCGCAAAAGGGCAACGAAATATTGATGTAGGATCGCAAAAATAGTCTCATCACCCACAATATCGGCGAGACTCCGTGGACTTGTTTGGCCCATGCGTCTGATGGTGCCGTCAGGATCCATTGCCCTTCGTGTTAGGAAGGACGAGACGGGTGTATACGCGACTTTCTCGCTCTTTGGGCTTTCCCGAGGGGCGCGACCTGGCTGACGGCCCACCCCTTGTTGCCGTTCCTCTTCTTCTTTGCGCTCTTTCTCCTCAGCGGCCCTCATTGCGGCCCCCTCGATTCCTCTGCTCATACTTGCGAACGCTTCCCACAGCATTGGTGCTGCACGGAATGCCCTCTTAGCGTCTTTTCCAGCAAGGGCCAAGAATGCATAGCATCGCCTCCTGCCACGTGCCTTTGGATCCGTCAAGCGAAAGACGTAGGCAATGGTGTAACCTTGCGTAGCATCGCCAAAACACAGAGGTCCATCGGACATACCACGTGGGAGGAGCTCGCAGGAAAGCGTGCGAATGACTGAGGCTCGCAGGTACGAATAGGTGTCTGGGTCTGAGGGTGATTTGGCCGTAAGATATGTCATTGTATGGTCGTGGCATTGCTCCGGGTGGGTGGAGGAAGCGTAGGACGATGGAGGATAGCTTGTACCATTGCTGCTACCGCCCGCTGCTGAGTCTTGAGGCCCAGCGCTGTTGGGGGATGTCCCTAAACAGACAAATTCTCTCGAACGGAAAACAGGTGCGCCGTTCTTGCTCTTGCCATCGGACTTGAGGCTGCCAGGAGCGCCGGAGGGAAGACTGCTGGCTACAGATTCGGGGGCAGTGAATGTGCAAGAGGCGCATGTCTCACCTTGGGCGCGACCATAGCGGAACTGTGGTGGAACACTGGTGTTAGGGTCGTGGTTCTTGAATAGCGGATGTCGTTCGATGGTGGGGCTATCTGATTCCGAGTCAACATTTGTGGAGGCTCCGGAGAAATCGGTAGGGAGGGTTATGTTGGTATCTGTCTTGCGGAGCGACGGAATCGTATGAACACGTCCGGTGTCTTCGAAGGCTGGCTCCGGATCGGATATGTTGAAGGTAGAGGTAGAGGGTTGCGGACGGAGAGGAGGTGAAGGCGGAACGCAGGTGGCGCATTCCAGCGGGAGCACCTGCGTGCAAAGCACGCATTTGGGCCCATGGCTCTCGCAGAAATGAGTGAGTGAGAGCTGCAGTCTGCCATCAGTACGTGTTCGAAACCAGGTAGGCCCCAAGGTGAAGTCATCGTGTCACGCGGACAAGCGCTGAAGGTCATGCGGACCTCGGATGGGCTACTAGCATCGACATGTGCCAGAACCGACTCGACTTACAGTGAAATCCATGCTTCACAGTTCTTCTAGTCCAAGATATCAGGCAACTGGGGTAAACCGCGAACCGTGGAGTGCGCTCGGTTGGCCATGGAGGTTGACGACCGCCTTGACGCCTTTTCAGTCCTTTTGAAAGGTATTGAGTCGGACCGATCGCTTGTGAGCGTCTTTCTGGCACGGACGTTTCGGTGTTTTCGTTTAGAGACTAAGTATTGCAGCCCGACCGGCAGTGAATGCTCGCGTGCGGCAGACCAGGGGGATGTCGACCCGAGAATAGTCGTAAGCTGGCGGATGGGTCAAATTTGCACGAAAGCCCTTAGAATCAGAATTCAGGATGTATTCTCCGTGCCGTACATGTTTCAAAGGCAACACAATTGAGAGAGAGCAACACCCAAGGGAGGTCGACACAGACGTCAAACGCATGCCGCAGCCTCCAGCAATCCAGACCGCCACTTACCGCGAGCCAATCACAGCTCGCAAATTAGTTACAAAAGCCACACTTCGTTTCACTGCCAGGTTGATGCATCACCGACAGCTGTCATGAAGATAAAGGGCTGGTCCCTGCATGAATAAGCCATTGACGAGGGTCCTGGTCTTCCCAAGGGTACTTTTCAGCAGTTGCCGACGGCAAAGCCTTCGGTCACCATTATCTGTTTATTGTACATAGAATCTATTTGTGTAGCAACCCCAGTGAGAACCTACTATTAATGGTTGGTGGCTGCACTACTAGCATAATGCCATGGCCTTGCTTCTTCCAACAACCGCCTATTGTCTCCGCTAATGGGGTGGACAGTCTCAATATTCCCTTCTCAACGTCAATGGCTTTGACTATAACAAGGCCCAAGCAATCCACGTCACTGGCTTCGATGCCAAGCGAAGATATTGACGGAAGAAGTGGCAGGCGACTTGTCGAACATCGTGTAACAAGCCTCTGAATCGTGTCCAGTCTTCCCATCTCGACCAATGTAAATGCAACGACCATACCTGGTAGTGCTCGCTCTGCATATCTGGGCGGCAGCTTGCCTTCGAGCAGTGCTACCGCCTTGAGCAGAGCTTGAGGCCCGCTGTAAATCAACTCAAGTCCGTCTGCTCCAATGTTGTCACCGGCATGCTGGCCCCAGACTCCACTGTTCCCGCTGCCTATCGGGCGCTCACCCAAGTAGGCTTGTAAACGCAGTTGATGCTGTCTGGATGTATGCGGATTCTCATTGAGTGAGGGAACACAGCTCATAGGTAGTCCGCATCTGTCCGAGAAGCCGCGCAGTCTCTCTATATTGCTGTGAGAGACAGCACTCTCCACGTATGTCAAGGAGGTGATATTGAGATCCTTCCAGAGCCTAACCTGGCGCAGCGACTCGCAGAATCGCAGCGATTCTCCTGCAAGAATGATGAGAGGTGCCCTTGGGTATTGCTTGCGCAGATCTTGACAATATCTGAAGATATTCTCGAGGCAACTCTGGTGCCAAGATGAAGGCTGGAGCGAATCTGTTACACTGCCGACGAAGTGCGCGCGCAGAATCTTCACGCCAGGATGACTGGGTTGGGAGAATAGTGGCCCAAGAAACGGAGCAGTGACTTTAGACACAGCTATCGTGCCAGGCAAGGACGCTTCGGGCAGATCAGGGTCCAGATCGAGAAGTAGAGCACATTCGCCTGTGGTTGTGGCCGTAACAGCTCGGTTGAGAAGGCATCGAGCAAGTGTTGTAATGCCGGATGACCGAGGGCCATATAGGAGCGTGGTTGCAGGACCCTGTCTACTTTCGAGTGGTCCGAAATGAGTCTCTCCGAGGGTCAAAATTGGCATCTGTCTCGGAACGGTTGTACCGGGCTGAAAGTCGAGCCCTAACACGCAGAAGGACAGGTCGGCTTGAGCCTTGGCTTCCGGATACTCCTGCGGAATCCTGTACAATCTTTCATTTGCGGAGAAGGCGTGGCGGCCGAAATTGGTCGTACCCAGCTCGAATTCCGCAACTCCGTCCAGAGCTTCAATGGTTGGAAGTGCCACAATGTTTGGAGCCGACAAGTGGTGTTGAACAGGGCTGGCTTTAAGAATAGCGCCCAGCACAGATATGCTTCCATGCTTCACCCATATCGTGCATCGTCCTAGTACGACACAGCCGGCGCCGTCTGCTAATTCAACCCGCAAGCGTGAGTTCGTCAGTCGTTCGTAAATGCGATTACCATCCAGGGTTTGTTTGTACGGCAGGACTGTGAATGAGTTGTCGCTCGTTTGCGGCGGTTCTGATAGGCTTCCGGACACGCTCACCGCCGATCTAGACCTCGTTGTTGGTTTCGGCCGAGCAATTCCATTGCCATGTGCACGTGCTGGTTGATGAATCGGACTGGCTTTTCTTCCGCCCACCTGAGTCGCGGCTTCACGGGCCTTGCGGAGCTTGGAAATTGCGCTTTGCGTCTCGCTGGCCTTCCTCTTCCTATCGGCAGCCATCAACTATCGAGCGTAAGGCTCTTTCATCATGTAGATGGTTTCAAGTTTGCTTAGAAGGAAAACAGAACTTGAATGTTCAATGATGGAGTTCCAATTGAGCCGTTCCAATTGGCTCGGGGAGTTCCGCAAGCTAATGGAGCATAAAAGTCTTGGCATCAAAGCGGATCTCGAAATTTGTGCCGGGTTGCTCTCAAGATTCGAATCTCTCGTAACAACATATCTTGAACCTTGCGAGAGTGCCACACCAAACAGCGGAGGAAACGAATCAAGACAAGCCTCTCTGCATTCAGTCATGGTCCGAGCCACGTCACATCCTTCGCAGCTCAGCGAAGAGTTCATCAACGACTCAAGTGACGAGGCAGATGAGGTTATGAGTGGCGTAGACCAGCCTGCAGCAATCAGCCGACCGACCACGAATGGCAGCAAAGTTGTTCACGACGTAGCCTCAGAAGCCGGGAGCTCGGAATCCGAATCAGCTGATAGTCAAGACGAGTCGCGTAACGACGATAGCGCGGCAACCGACACAGAGATTTCAAGGAACAAGAAGAGATCAAGCGATCAGGTAACGCTCCGCAACGCTCCGCCTGCAAAGAGAACCAAGAAAAGGTATGCTCAATCCCCCCGACAAGGATCGCATCCTGACAAGCCCAGCAACTTTCGAATACCTGCCAAGCCCTACCGAGCACCCAAGGGCTTTGAGCCACTACAGGCGGAAGCGTCTGACCTGGACTTCGAACCGCTCGACAATCTTGACGACAAACAAGTCTGGCATATTACCGCCCCAGCTTCGTTAGATCTTACGCAGATCAAGCAGCTCGATGTTGCTGCTGCCTTGCGTGGTGAACCAATCCTCGACTCAGGTGGTATCAGCTATAGCATGCAGCCCTCCTCGGAGCAAGCTGAAGTGCTACTGTTACCAAGAGGCGAGTCAGTTGTCTATCAACAGAAAACCAAAATATCGCGTGCCTTTCAATTGCGGTATGCGACTGGTATTGACGCTGCAGAACCACCTACGTCCAAGGCCGGCCCACCTCCTCCAACCAACTATCACTTTACAGCCCAAGAACCCGGCACCGCGAAACCTGTCCGGAAGCAGCCAGAGAATCTCAATTACCGGTACTTACCTTTCGGAGTTAAACAAATCTCTAGGGATGTGAACAACAGCGTTGATCTGGCAGAATCCATCTTGATTCGAGCAGCGTCATCAAAGAGTGGAGGAGATCTGGTTGGCAATGTGGAAAATGGTGGGGCCGAGAAGAAGAAGAAGAAGGAAAAGAGGGGAAAGTTGTCAAAGGCCACAGGTGAGCCCGCGATATAAGGGTCTGGCTAGCTATATTGCATGCCTCATCTCAAAGCCTCGGGTTGGAAGACTTCTGCGCTTTTGCCGGACCCAAAATCGACCACTCGGTCCACCATGGATAGGTTCGGGGCGCGTTTTCATTGATGGTGTCCTTGAAAATCGGCTTGCGCTTCTCGAAGAACGCCTTCTTGAACTCAAGGTGGTCGCTGGCGTGGTTGGTTGGTAAACAATATCCTGAATGAGGAGAAACACCACTTACTTGCTCGCGAACTGGTCGACCAAGAGTGGGCTATCTACGAGATGAGCCTTCTCGGCCGAATCTTCGCCACGCCAGATTAGCTGTCGATTCAGATGAGTCGCCGTAGTGCTGACGTTCTCCAAAAGATCCTCAGCGATGCTGATGGCTTTCGGCATGATATCTTGCGGCTCTGGCACGAGTTCAGCGAAGATGCCGTCCAGAAGCTGCGATTCAGCTGGGAATCTCTTGCCGGTCGCGAGCAGATATGTTGCTTTACTGTGTCCTACCATTCTTGGGAGAAAGAAGGAGCTACACGACTCCATTGTGAGGCCGATGCGTGAAAAGGGAAAGCCGAATTCGGCCTTCGCTGGAGCAATTCTATTGCACGATAAGCTTGTGGTCAGTCGATCTAGCTTCAAGAAAAGAGAACGCTTTGTCAATCAATAGAGGGGCTGCACAGAGAGAGCTCACCGGATCGCAGCCGCCAACGTCGAGGTCATGCCAATCCCCACGGAGAGGCCATTATAGGCCACAATTATGGTCTTGCGACAGTTATACATGGCTAGTGCCAGCCAACCGCCCGGATCTCGTGCCTCTGTTGCGGGCGCCTTGTTGAACTGGCTGGTATCATTGCTCAAGTCGATGCCGGCCGAGAATGCTTTTCCTGCGCCTGTCACGATCACAACTTTAACGCGATCATCAACATTGATTGTCGAAACAAACCTCGTAAGGTCGTTGATCATGTCGATAGTGATAGCATTCAGCTTGTCAGGTCGGTTCAACGTCGCAATTTGGATCGGGGTCACGCCTTTAGCTGTGCCGGGATGATTGCTGATACGAATGTGAGCGTTCGGGGATGTTGCATACGTGCTTGGCACGGCAATGTATTTGTTGTTAGTCGCCATGTCGAAAGGGCTGCTGTCAAGCATACAGCGATGTTTACCGGTTAGCAAGCAATCATGCAGCTTTTCTATCCTTCGTTTTGTTGACTAAACATCTATCAATTCAGCCATAAAATCTCACGTTAGCAATACCTTTCACCGAAGTCCCCCCACGTTTGCGTTCACTGCCTAGCTAGGTGATAGACTTCGCGCACCAGTCTATCTCATATTTGCGTTTGTTGCATAGCTCGCAGAGAGACTATGGGAGGACGCCCGCTTCGCAATACAAATCATTGTACCTTGTATGAGAAAACCACTTTTGGGATTAGACAGAGGTCCACAGCCTCGGCCCAGACGCCTGGATCAGGCATCTCCTTGATCACTATTCACCAATATTCCAACTCCAGCGCATCCGAAATCCTCCCCCGCAACATCCTCCACGAACACGGGCCGAACTTCCTCCTCACCCTCCACAACTAGCAAACCCGCAAATCTTAATTCCGCCGCCGAACTATGCCTCTCGACGCCAGCATTCCACATCGCCCCTCCCAACAAGCCCTCCGGCGCCGAGGGTGGGCCCGTGGTCGCCCCCATCTCCAGCACGCTCGTCCACGGCGCCCGCGAAGCCGTTCTCGTCGACATGCCCATCACCAAGCAGCAGAATCCATCGCTCTTGCAGACTGGATCGCACGCCACCATCCCGGGCAAGAGAAAATGGTGTCGATACTCAATGCTAAGGACCCGCCAGCTCAACGAAGGGCGCGGCGCCAAGACTTCTACTGCCTGAGATCTAGTCCGGCGCTATCATCAAGCCCCTTGTCGGAGTCGTGTCTTAGCTCTTTAGCGGAGAGCCACACATTTATGAGGCCTTCTTCTGCTTGGGATCTAGAAGTAAGGAGCAGGCCAGGGGGTCATGCCATAGCTGAAGAGAGGCGCCAGGCTAGCACTACAAGTGCAGACGTATCAGTAATGATGATTCATCCGTCGCTAAATGTGGGCAATACTCGTTGTCGTAGCTGTACCGCTCAGACTGTCGGAGTGTTCTCGTCGATCGTGCCGCCGAATTGACCCGAGGCCATTCCATAGCTTTGTCCAACGGCTTCAGTCGCATACACGCGCATCTCGTCCTCGTATCTCTTGGTGATGCCTTCTGCCCACCCTCCAGCCTCTGCTAGGAGACGGCCGAGCAGTGCAGAGTCTCTGACTGCAGTGTTTGCTCCTAAACCACCTGCTGGTGTCATGCTATGTGCTGCGTCACCAATTACAGTGACACGCGGGTTATTCTCCCAAACTGGTGGGCCGGTCGGTGTCGAGCAGGTAATCTTCCAGAAAGCGGCCTCGTTCTCCACAATGTTGTCAATGAGAGGTTTGAACCTGGGATGCCAGTCCTTTGTGAGAGATTTGGCAAGGTCGGCAGCTACCTTTCCAACGATGGAATAATCGTCGTTAGGGGCTTGGATCGCGCCAGGCATTCCGACCATAGTCCATCCGAATTGAATGTTCGGATCGTCCATGTCGCCAGGACGCACATTAGTAATGACTGAGATGCGGTTTGTACTGCTCTCGTCAACGAATCTGAACACACCTTCGCCCAGCTGCTTAAAAGCAGTGGTTGGTGCTTGTCCATGGATGCCTCGGGCACCGAGATCGTATACTTTGAGTTTGCCATCAGACACCTGTTTGGCCACAGATGACTTGATCCCCTCTCCACCAACAAGAAGACAGCCTTCCTCGCTCTTCGAACCGTCCGCGAATACTGCTCGAACTCCTTGCCCATCATCCGCCATCTCGTAACCTGTCACATGCTTCCGCCATTGGACAAACTCTTCGCATCCTTCGATGAAGAAGCTTCGCATCTCTCCCCGAGCAATGCCCACGACTTTGCCTCCTCTACTCCCCAGACTTTCGCGAGTCGGCCCTTTGGGACCGATGGGACCGCCTGTATCTTCGAGCGCCTCGCCTGTGACCGCATTGAAGCCGACGAAGCCACCTCCACCAGTCTTGCTGCATATCCCGTAGAACTTGTGCCAGCTGGGAGGATCGAGTGCAGATTCAATGGCGTCCAGACCCTCTGGCGAGAGGCGCAGTCGATAGCCCTGGCCTCGGAAGGCGAGGGACGCATCTCGCTCAAATATCTGGAAGGGGATTCTGGAGCGGAGCAGGGACCTTGCTAATAAGAGCGAAGCGAGGCCAGCGCCCGAGATCAGTACGGGTTTCTGCGTCATGTTTGCGGGAGATGAATCGGGTATTGGCAAGAGAGTTGAGTGGGACGCTTAATTGGGAGTCGCTCGGTATAAATAACTACTTTCACCGAGCTTACGGCGCCGAGCGAAGGCAAGTTTTGTCATCAACGGACGGACAAAGTCACAAAACACCTGGCTGCAGGCCGCATTTCACCTGCGACCATCGGTCAGTTCAAGTGTCGGTCTTGGTCACCACCATAATCATGGTTGTTAGGCCCAAAGTCAAGTCGTCATGGCCAAAGAGGCGGCGCGAGTCAACAGTTTGAGAACTTGGCGGTCTTCTGACTCGCAGTCGCGATGATTGATTGCGCTGTCGCGTACTCCGTAGCATCTATCAGGCCAGCACCTTGCAACCGTCTCTCAACCTGCCACCATGCCCTCCGCAACTGGCCAAACCACGAATCCTGATCTTCCACCGTTCCCCGACCAGTCGACCCTCTCACTGCTGCCGGATGTCTATCTTCTGCTGTCGCGCATCGCCCTCCTCCAGCAGCAACAATCCAATGGCGCTGCAACCTCCCCCACAAACGGAGCACAAGCCACTCCCAATCCTCTCAACTTGACGCCTCTTGATATCAAAGAGCTGACCGCCGCTATCTATCCTTTAAAGCAAAAAATCCAGAAGGCGAGAGAGACGATCACGGGGATGATAGACGTCGAGCGCAGCGTGGGGGAGCAGCAAGCAGAGATCAGGTCGCTTGAGGCAAAGGTGCATGCACTGAAAGACAGACTGGCGCTTCTTGGCGATATCGCGCGTGAGGGTACGAAACAGGAGGACGAGGTAATGGCCGGTGTCGAAGCAGAGTCGTGACTTCATCCAGAGAACCACGGCTCTAATACCCAAGAGCAGGCCCAATGTGTCTATGCGTCCCGGTGACTTGGACAGCAGACATGATGCGGGCAGGCATCCTTCAAGCGCGCCATGCTCATAGAAGGAAGCATTCGCGCAGCAGACTCCGAGCCGCGTGCCCGGGAGCATCTGCGAGGGGCGACAAACCGAGGGAACAAAGTTTAGCCTACGCCGAGTGGGGCCGAAGCCGGAGGCTGCGACTGGATGGAGGGGTAGCGCCTGCTCGCTCAACCACTGGTGACTTTTTTTCCTCAATCTGGTAAAGCAACACGGTCTGCCAATTCATTCCACCGTCTTTACCATATAGCATTGGTTTGCGAACAACACGAATTGCGAGATTCACAGCACACACCGGCATCATGGGTTCCCTTCCGACGCGTTCCTACGCCCTGCCCCAGTCTCACCAGGACGTGAGTTACCTTCCCACCGCTTTGAGAAGTCGACTGACTCACGATGCAGTTGATGGAGAAGTCCTTGGTCGAGACTGACCCGGCTATTGCTGAGATCATGGAGAAGGAGGTTCAGCGCCAGCGCGAGTCCATCCTGCTCATCGCCTCCGAGAACGTTACCTCTCGTGCCGTTTTCGATGCCCTTGGCTCTCCCATGTGCAACAAATACTCCGAAGGCTATCCTGGAGCAAGATACTACGGTGGAAACCAGCACATCGATGAGGTCGAACTGCTCTGCCAAAAGAGAGCCCTCGAGGCCTTCCATCTCGACCCTGAGCAGTGGGGAGTCAATGTTCAATGCTTGAGCGGCAGCCCTGCCAATCTCCAAGTCTACCAGGCTATCATGCGGCCACACGACCGCTTGATGGGTCTAGACCTGCCTCACGGTGGTCATTTGTCCCATGGCTACCAGACGCCTCAAAAGAAGTACGTCTCTCACGCCAATCAGAAATCGCGCTGACAGTTATAGGATCTCTGCTGTGTCAACCTACTTTGAGACTTTCCCGTACCGCGTAAACATTGACACGGGCATTATCGACTACGACCGTCTGGAGGAGAACGCCCTCATGTACCGGCCCAAGACCATCGTCGCTGGCACCTCTGCATACTGCCGGCTGATCGATTATGCCCGCATGCGCCAAATCGCCGACAAGGTTGGCGCCTACCTGGTTGTGGACATGGCACATATCTCCGGTCTCATCGCTGCCGAGGTGATCCCTACGCCGTTCAAGTATGCCGACATCGTTACTACCACCACCCACAAGTCTCTGCGTGGTCCTCGTGGTGCCATGATCTTCTTCCGGAAGGGCGTGCGCAGCACCGATGCCAAGTCCGGCAAGTCTGTTCTTTACGATCTCGAGGGTCCCATCAACTTCTCCGTCTTCCCTGGTCACCAGGGTGGGCCTCATAATCACACCATCACTGCTCTGGCTGTGGCCCTGAAGCAAACCATGACCCCCGATTTCAAAGCTTACCAGAAACAAGTCCTTGCCAATGCTAAAGCACTTGAGAACGAGTTCAAGGCTCTTGGTCACCCTCTTGTCGCTGACGGCACTGATTCGCACATGATCCTCTTGGATCTACGACCTAACTCTCTCGATGGCGCCCGCGTGGAGGCCGTGCTCGAGCAAGTTAACATTGCGTGCAACAAGAACTCCATCCCAGGTGACAAGTCGGCCCTGACGCCCTGCGGCATCCGCATCGGTGCCCCTGCCATGACAAGTCGTGGCATGGGAGAAGAAGACTTTAAGCGCATTGCGAACTACATCCACCAGGTGATCTCTATCTGCAAGAGTGTTCAAGCAGGCCTGCCTAAGGAGGCAAATAAGCTGAAGGACTTCAAGGCAAAGGTTGCTGGCGGTGAGGTCGAGGAGATCAACACGCTGAAGAAGGAGATCGCTTCTTGGGCTGTGACCTTCCCTCTGCCCGTGTAGATTTGATGAAAGGTCTGCATAACAGGGCGTTATGGAATGGGACGTGAAGTAGCCTAATGTCTACTCTCGGACGAATTGATTGATGACTTAACGTCGGCCCCCTGGTTTATGTGTGGTGCGGATGGATAAAGGGGTCTACAGACCACGGAAAAGCATCTTCAACCTGCTGTGATACCTCCGGAATGATTATACTTCTTAACCTTCTCTCATGCAGCCTTTCACTATTCAATTTATTATCGGCCGGAACCTGACAGATTTGTTCCCAAAACGCCATCGCCACAGCCATCATCAGTTGTATATCGTAATATGCTCGTCATTCGTTAGATATATGCGTATCATCCTGAACTGTTCTCCACAGCGTACACAATCCCATCTCCCAGGAATTGCAGACTCGTTCGTTGAGGTAATACTACCAGTAGTATACCTGCTCCATGCCCCGAACCGTGGAGATGATTCTAGCCCTGCAATGCCCGAACAGCGGCCTCCAGCTCAGCCGGCTGCACAAACACCTTCCACACGCTCCCGGGGACATCTTTGAAGGCGTCGTCGAAGCGCTTGTCCTCGTTCTTGCGCTCCATGAACGGCGCGTCCGTCACCTTGCGGATGTAGATGGCCTTGATCCAGTCCGGGTACTTCTTGTAGATGGCGGCGTAGGATTCGGGGTCTGACTGGGTGGAGTCGCCGATGCAGATGACTTTGCGGCGCGGGAGCCAGGAGTGGATCTTCTCGAGGCGGTCGGTTTTGTATCTGTGTAGGGAGGTTAGTTGTGCTATTGAGTGGGAAATGAGGAAAGAGGTGATTGGGAGCGGGGACGTACTCTTGCACGCCTTCGGTTAGGGACTGCAGCAGGCCGGCGAAGAACATCCAGGAGGAATCGCGGAGGATGATGGTGCCGGCTGGGAAGTGTTGGGAGAGAAAAGAATGCAGGAAGGGATAGAGATTGTAGGGAGAGGCCGAGAGGTAGAACCAGGCTGGGTTGTTGAACTGGGCGTGCAGGGTCTTGTAGAGTTCCGGCATGCCGCCAATGACTTGGGTGGGTTCAATGAAGGTGGACTTGAGGACGCCCAACGGGTCTGGGGTCATGGTTCTCTTGACTGTGTCGTCAATGTCGGAGATGATGGCCCACCCATCGGGTCCGGCGAAACGTAGCTGGTTCTTGAGGTTTGGGAACGATGTCGACGTGCAGGCTACGGTTTTTCCGTCCGAGTCATCGCGGCCACCGGTCATTAAGTCCTGGCTGCTGATGCCATTGCCATCGCTGGGCCCGAGGGTTCGCACATGGCTGCCTCCCTGTGTGGCGTCCGGGGTCGGGATCGTGATATCAACGGTCCGAGCGGGCGCTATCTGCTGGACGAAGGGCCTCAAGCGCTCCTCAATGATTTGCCTCACGCCTGGATCTTCGCCAATATTACCATCCAAGCCAATGGTGTCGAGTATGTCGGCTACCGCCGAGTTGATGTCGGCTCTCCCGTTGACAAAGAAAGCAGCGACGAATTCAGCCTGCCACGGACCAGGTTTGCCGGTGCTCTTGTCAATGGGGCGGTGCGCGGTGTTGTTGAGCAGCCAAACCTCGTTGTCTTGGGAGTTTGCCTTCTTCTTGAAGGGGTTTCTGGCCCCTAACAGGCTGGTGATCTTGTCGAGGTAGGTCATCTCGGTTTTCGCAAATCGTTTGGTCAGTGATTCCTCCACGTCAGGGAAGTTGGCCACCTTGCGTGACTCCGCCTCAAATTGAGTCTCTTTGGATCGAGTAGTGGCCTGCATTTTGGTGGCGGGTGGGTTGTTATAGAGAGAAACACAGGGTATCAGGGATTGAGAGGCAAAAGTGATATGACTAGGTGCGCGTGGCCGCAGTATTCGCATTCAATGCTAGCAAGCAAGGCGGGAAAAAGACACGGAGGTCATGAGTGCAGCGCAAACGTCAGACTTCTGCGGCAAGAGGCACGCGACCGACCACATTAGTGTCAATCTGCCAATCCCAAGACCATGTACCAAGAGTCTTGTGGAAGAAATCGAGCGACTGCGCCTCCTCGCTTGAGACTGTGATGGAGTCAGGCTGTGACGAGACTTGATCCGCCTCAGTCTTCCTTGGGCTGATGAGGTCAGATGCTAGAAGGTGCCCGGGTACCTCTCGCCTAAGCAATCATGATCGACGCCTAACTTTTTCTTCTCTAGGCAAGAAGTGGTCTGTGCGTTCCACTTAACGCGTCCCCAGGATCGCGTCGCGTCAACTCGAATCATCTCCACTTGGCAAGAAACTGCGGGTTGCAATCATCAAAGTCCCCATCAGCCTTTGTTACAGGGCAAAGCTGGCACAGACGTAGCAGCTTATCATGTCGTCAAGACCGGATCTCAAGGTAAAGCAGCTCCAGTATAGTCTGCCACAGCTAACTGGAATCCCAGGTCGATGATGAGGGCGGCTTCATTCGAGCCTACCGTCAGATTCCAGCTAAACTCGACCCAGCGAATACGATCCGAGTGCTGGACCGAGGAGACTTCTATAGCGCTCATGACGAAGATGCTGACTTCATTGCCCGCACGGTCTACAAGACTATTGCTGTCATTCGAAATCTCGGTCGCAGTGACAACGCCCTCCCGAGTGTCACTATGACCACAACAGTCTTTCGCAATCTACTTCGAGAAGCTCTGTTCAGATTGGGAAAGCGAGTCGAAATCTGGCTGTCACAAAAAGGACAATGGAAACTAGACAGACAAGCGAGTCCCGGAAACCTTCAGGGAGTGGAAGACGAGCTCGGCTCGGGCGTAGACAGCCAGGGTGACAGTGCGCCCATCATACTCGCTGTCAAGATCAGTGCAAAAGCAACCGAGGGCCGCAATGTCGGTGTTTGCTTCGCTGATGCCAGCATCCGAGAGCTTGGTGTGAGCGAATTTCTGGATAACGACCTTTATTCAAATTTTGAGAGCATGCTCATCCAGCTCGGTGTGAAAGAATGCCTCATCGCGACTGACGGTCAAAAGAAGGATCCGGAGCTCACAAAAATCCGTCAGATATGCGACTCCTGCAATATCGCCGTTTCAGAACGCCCTGCCGCCGATTATGGTACCAAGGATATCGAGCAAGATCTGGCTCGGCTGTTGAAAGACGATGCTTCCACTGGTCAACTGCCTCAGACAGACCTGAAACTCGCTATGGGAAGTGCTGCTGCGCTGATCAAATACATCGGCGCTCTCAATGACCAGACCAATTTTGGTCAATATCAGCTATACCAACACGACCTAAGCCAATACATGAAGTTGGACGCTGCTGCCTTGAGAGCACTGAATCTAATGCCAAGCCCTCGGGATGGTGCAAAGACAATGAGCCTCTTTGGCCTGCTCAATCAGTGCAAGACCCCTATTGGTGGTAGACTACTTGCTCAATGGCTCAAACAGCCTCTCATGAGTCTGTCAGAGATTGAGAAACGACAGCAACTCGTGGAAGCTTTCGTCACAGACACGGAGTTGCGGCAGTCGATACAGGAAGAGCATCTTCGCTCAATCCCAGACCTCTACCGCCTCGCGAAGAAATTTCAGCGCCAAAAAGCCAATCTCGAAGACGTTGTCAGGGCTTATCAGGTTGTCATTCGCTTACCTGGTTTCATCGAAGCCTTCGAGACTGTTGTCGATGAACAGTATCAGGTTCCTCTCGAACATATGTACACGTCAAAGCTCAAAAACCTCTCCAGTTCTCTCGGTAAGCTCGCAGAGATGGTAGAGACAACTGTTGATCTGGATGCCCTTGATCGACACGAATTCATCATCAAACCCGAATTTGACGAGTCGTTGCGCATCATCCGCAAGAAGCTGGACAAAGTCCAGAGCGATATGGCAGCGGAGCATCGTCGAGCTGGGAGCGATCTTGACCAAGAACTCGATAAGAAGCTTTTCCTCGAGAATCACAGAGTGCACGGCTTCTGTTTCAGACTAACAAGGACCGAAGCCAGCTGCATCCGGAACAAGTCAGCCTACAAGGAGATCTCGACCCAGAAGAATGGTGTGTACTTCACAACCACTACTCTCATGGATCTACGGCGCGACTACGATCAGTATTCTAGTACGTATAACCGCAAGCAATCATCTCTCGTGTCAGAGGTTGTGCAGGTAGCTGCCTCATATATTCCCGTTCTCGAACAGCTGGCAGCGATAGTTGCCCACCTGGACGTCATCGTCAGTTTGGCTCATGTCTCGGTACATGCCCCAGCTGCCTACGTCAGACCAAAGATGAATAGCCCTGGCACAGGCGATACTATTCTGAAAGAAGCCCGACACCCTTGCATGGAGTGTCAGGACGATATCAATTTCATCACGAACGATGTTGAGCTCCGCCGAGCTGACTCTCGCTTCCTAATTATAACTGGTCCAAATATGGGCGGCAAGTCGACATACATCCGAACGATTGGCTGCATTGCTCTCATGGCTCAGATTGGGTGCTTCGTGCCCTGCACAGAAGCCGAGGTGACCATATTCGACTGCATACTCGCCCGAGTTGGAGCGTCGGACTCTCAGTTGAAAGGCGTTTCCACTTTTATGGCAGAAATGCTTGAGACGGCGAACATACTAAAGAGTGCCACAAAAGACTCGCTGATCATCATCGATGAGCTGGGTCGAGGAACCAGTACCTACGACGGTTTCGGCCTCGCCTGGGCAATCTCAGAAGAGATCGTTGCTCAGATAGGGGCTTTTGGCTGCTTCGCCACGCATTTCCACGAGCTGACTGCCCTTGCAGAGAAGTTTCCGAACGCAGTCAAAAATCTCCACGTGGTTGCATTCGTCGGCGACCAAGCCGGCGGCGACGTCGACATGTCCTCCAACAAGCGCCAAGAAGTCACACTGCTCTACAGAGTGGAGCCTGGAATCTCAGACCAGAGCTTTGGCATCCATGTTGCGGAACTCGTGCGCTTTCCTGAGAAAGTGGTCAATATGGCTAGACGCAAAGCCGAGGAGTTGGAGGACTTCTCTCACACGGACAAGGCGAAAGAAAGGCAAGAGGACTTCTCGAAAGAGGAGGTAGAAGAAGGCAGCCGCTTGCTGAAGGTGATGTTGAAGAGTTGGAGGGAGAAGACTGAAAAGGAGGACATGAGTAAGGATGAGAAGCTAGCGTTGATGAGAGAGATGGTGAAAGGCGATGAGAAGCTCATGGCGAATCGCTTCTTCCAAGAGTCGATAAAAGCGCTGTGAAATAGCCTCCGAGGCTGTGTATTAACAGCTGCTAACGTTCACGAGAAGGTTTCTGACGAGCAATAACATGGGATTGAGCGAGCAGGTATGAGAATTATTCAAGTGTACAATCAGCTGTTCTTGTCCGAAAACATGTCAAGAAGAATTGTTATGCAGAGGGACCAGGTGACTTTGACGACCAGCTCTTCACTTTTTTAGCTGTACTAGACTCAAGTGCAATACTTCCTCACTCAAGACGTATGCTTCTGAGGAGCATGCTGTCGAATATTGCTCCGGATGTCGTCGTCTCCGCCAGCATCCGCCGCACGGTTACGTAATACATCTTCAGGGCCTTCGCCTGGTGCGCCTTTCTCAAAATCCTCGGCCTTGGTCATTTTGCCGGTACCTTTCTGGATATTGCCACCCTCCTCTGGTGGGATGGTGCGGCCTGTGACGTTCGAGCCATACTCTGAGCCTCGTTAGTGGGTTTATCATACGAGGAGGATCAAGACATACCAGCGGTGCTTCCTGGGAATTTATTGGTTACTGATTGATCGATTCCGGATTCATCGGCTGAAGAAAGTGTCAGTGCTTTCGCGAATTGAGATTAGGGATGAAGGCTCACTGGAGGTGCTACCACCGCCCACGGTCTTACCACCGAAGCCAGTGCCGTCTTGCGTCCCGAAGTTGTGGCGTCTGTCATTGAGATCACGCTCGGCCTCAGCGGCGATGTCTTTTAGGTCGCGGCCTTCGTATTCCTTTGACATGGTGAATATGAGAACGATGACTTCTTGGTGATGTGTGTGTCTCTGGTTAGGGGACTGTTCGGTTGCTCGCGTGTTTGATTACCGATCTCGTGAGAGAAGTCGAGAATGATGCTAAATGTGTGTTTTTCAGTATATCTGCGAGTAACAGGTGACGTCAAATTACATGACCTCACAATGATGGAACGGGATTTTTTCCCGTTGCTGCCCCTGGGGTAAAAGTCTACAGCTGCCAGACTTTTGTGGCTCTCAGCACCCGAATCTCTGGCAAAATTTGATGATTTCGCAGTTTGCACCGTCACAGGAGACCGCGACGCGCCTTGCTTGAGTTCGATCTGATGACGCCTTTTGTGGCTTGGCATTAGGCATCCAGTGGTTCCTTACTTGAGTTTGCCTTGTTTGTCACTACAACTTTCATGCATGGCCGAGGCTGTCGTACCAGTGGGATTTCCGGGAGACTGGCTTATGGAGCTGATGATTCGCCTTCAAGCTCCTTCTAGTTGATCACGTTAAGAAGTCATGGCCGGCCGCCGCTGCATCTGCTTGTGGAGCCACGTGGCCAGCGAGCACGGTATGAAGAGGATTCGCGCATTCGGTACATCCACCGACTGATTTATACGGCCATTCAAACCGGTTCAGTCGATCGCTTAGGATGTGTTCTGTATAACTTGTGCAAGACACGCCAATGCGAATAATGCGCACCTGCATGAATTCGCTATGTTGTTTTTGAAGCAAGCCTGGCTTATAACTGAGCTTCGAATGAGGGCTGACCGAGATGCAGTGACATGTGGCGCTCCGATGAACAATTTGCAAACGCATGTTCAAACGAGCAGCTTCTAACCTGTTGTAATGCGCCTGCCAGTTGAACACCCAACTCCGTACCTGCCGAAGCTGAAAACGCAACTTTGGCAACGAGCCATCTTGATTCGAGATGTCGACTGCCCTTTCCCCAGATGTGCCCGTGCCGCACCTGCCATGTGTCTCATACTTTCAGTCACCAACAAAGTCGACGCCTCGACTCCCTACCGCTCGTCCTGTCCCGCCAACGCCTCACAAAATGCTGTCTCATACTAATTGCGTGGTTGACCCACTGCCACGACACAACAGAAGGCGATCATTAGTATCAAGTATTCCCAAACCTACTTCAGGTAGCTCCCGCCAGAGATCGCCAACCGCTTTGCACGACAAGCCCCTTCCAAAGCTGCCACGCTCCGAGTCTATGCTGCCTTACACTCAGCGGCAACAAGATGATCTGTCAGGTCTACGTCAGCAACTACCTGTCCGCGAATAGTAAGCCTCACCTACTTCAAAACCCTCACGCACCTTCTAGGTGTACGCGGGGCTGACATGAATCGATAGCTTGAGCAAGAACTTGAACAGCCCCGCAGATATAACAATACGGAGGGTCTCACCTTCAGTTGCGCCAATCCTGCCCCAGTCAAAGACGTCAACGTCGCTTGCTTCACGTTTGGCTTTACGAAATCCTACACCCGATAGACGCTTGCTACGGCCGATTGGGCCCCCTCTGCCTCACAGCTATTCGACAGGCAGCATTCCTTGCTTCTCAGATGCGGCTACGACTCCTTCGCCACAGAAAGGTCCTCCTGTTCCCCGATTGACTGTTCCAAGTTCGGAAGATCTCGAAGTCAGCGTTGCGGATGCTATTCGTGAAAGCCGGATGACCAACAACGAGATCGAGCTTCTGAAACAAGTTCAAAGAGAAGTCGTTGCGAACCAAAACCGGTTGAGGGCAAAGTACAGCAGTCCAAGATATACTTCAAACGAGCGAGCAAACGACAACACCCATAATGATCGCACTGATTGCCCAGCCCGCGAGCCAGGCGCGGTGTCTCCCAAGATCGACACAAGTCTGGCAAAGACGGAAGCTGGAGAACTTGTCTCTAAGGTTCAAGCCACTACCAGCAAGACCAGTGACGGAGCAGCCGATGATCGTACCTTCAATCCCAAGCATGTAAGGGAGGCACACCACAACAATACCTGGCTGACAATTCCAGGTCTATTTCGAGCAGGACGCTGCCTATTGGACAGGTCGATACATGACTATCTGCGACCGTTTAAGAGGTGAGAGTTTACAATTCTCGCTCAGGTCCAAATCCCTTTCGCCTACTTCGTCGGAAGGATCTTCACTAGAGTCATACGAGTCGCAGGATCGAAAGCGGATGCGCACGGCACTCTTTGAGCTCCGGTCGTTTTGCAAGACCGAGAAGGCTCGTGACAGCTTCGCAGTCTTTGAGAAGAAGCTGACGCAAGGTTGTGCCCGGTCTGATATCCCGAGCTCCACTAGCAGCCAGAGCTTGACAGAGCCCTCTGATCAAGTTGCTATTATGCAAGCCAGTGCCAGAGTGCGTCGCAACCTCGCGCGCTCTCACGCATCCGGAAAAGATTCGTACATGACTAGTACCTCGGAAACCGCATCATTTCAATGGCCCAAAGCCGACGTGGCCATGCCAAACATCTTTGGTCGACTCGCGCTAGCTAAAAGCAAAACAACAGGTAACATGGCAGAGCTGACAGCTGACTCATCAGGTCAACGAGAACAGGCAGCGCGATCTGGGATCGGACGGCATGACCATCGAAAATCGTCCACGCTGAGCGTATCGGAGAGCATACCTCCAGTCATCCAGGAAGACACGACTGAGCAGCCATATCACCGCCCGTCACATTCAATTGGAGCCCGAAGGCACAAGAGACAATCCTCGAACCTCAGTGTTGTCAGCACTGTTGGACGGTCTGACGAGATTGCCCCCGGAGTCACGGTTTCCTGTATCGAGAGTGGGCATCCGCCAGTACCTCCCCTGCCAGCTACGAAGTCATTGCCAGCCCCACAGTCATATGGAGTCATGGTCAAAGGTGAGAAGCAACGACGGTCCAGTGGCGAGGTCATGAAGAGCTTTTGGTATGCTGGTGTCGACCAGGTCAAAAAGATGGGTGCGGGACGAGAACGAGGTTAGATTGTTACTCAAGACGTTCGCTTTTCATCACGCATTGAGTGTACAAGCTTTTCTGGTCATTGGCAGATAGATGTGACGCGCACTGGTGATCTTCCCGGCGAAGGCTCATGTATAAGATCTGTGAGCAGTATGGGTTCATGGCCTGTGGGTCGCGACTTTGTTGAGCAAGTCAGTGCTCAAAGTAGAAAGGGCGTATACCACGAATACAGTTCGGCTGCACGTAAGTTGTGCTGCTACTCATTTGGCGCCTAGTACCTGGCTAATGTGAGCTATAGCGTACTGTGGTCTCAGTAGGTGCAAGTTACTATTGTCCGAGGAGTCGCTGTCAGCAAATCGACGGTATGTGAAGATAGAAGAAGACTGATTGGCACACAGGAAGAGACCGTCGCAGTCCGCAAGGCTTGGCACCGCGAGTTGTTGTCTCACCAATAGAGATGCGTCCGGCCAACATGTGTTTACCCCGCCCTTACGCCTTATACGAGCTTGCTATTCCCATATATGCGTCTTTCAGGAGGATTGAAGAACCTAGAGGGCCTCTGTTGTGATGTGACCCTGCCTAAGTGACCCATCGCTGCCATCAGTACTTGGCATCTGCAGCCCGACTAGCTTCCCTTCTAGGCACCGCCAACGTCCTGCACAACAGCACCCCATATGGTATCAGGAACTCCGCTGCCACGAGGGCACTGACAGACCACATAACAAAGCGGCTCGACCACCCCGGGACCTTCTGCCACCCATGTACCGCAAACGCAACGGCTCCCTGGGCTTCAGCATGACGCGCCTCGCCCACACGGTGGTGCCCAACTTCTTCGGCGACGACTCTCCCACCCTGGCCGCCGCCCTGACCCCGCACCGGCGCGACATGACCTACATGCACCAGCTCGCCTCCGCCAACCCGCACGCCCTCGACGAGCACACCTTCTACGTCGCGGGCGTGACGGACAACGAGGCCTCGAGCCGCAAAGTGTTCCGCGCGCTGCGCAAGCACGGCGTTTTGCGCGCCGAGGACGACGCCACCGTGGACACGACGCACATTGGGCGCGGGTTCGTCAATCAGGTCGCGTGCATCAGCGTGGCGAGGCAGCGCGAGTTGGTGAACATGCTGTTCTGGTGGGAGGAGGAGTGTCAGCGCCTGACGAAGCTGGAGGCCGAGGAGGCGGAGCTGACGGGGCTGATTGACGCTGTAGTTGTTGGAGGAGAAGATGACGATACAGGGCGGCGGCAAGAGCAGGAGAGACTGGATCAGTTGAAGTTTGCGAGGGAGCGGGTGCGCATGAAGAGGAGGCAGCGTCCGAGCCAGCGTATGGATGAGGTGGAGAATGATGAGGATGATCTGTTGGCGGCGTTTCAAGGTCCGGGGAGGAGCAGAAGCGCCCCGGAGATCCGTGCAGGTGGTCTCTCAGAGATGCCGCAGAGGGAGCAGGAAAGGCCGCCGGAATATTATGCCTGACATCGCTGCTAAATCGGATCAACTGTCGCTGGGCTGGTTGGTGATTTGTGTTATTTCGGGAGCATGGGTAGCAAGCAGCATGTTGTCTTTTGATACCAGTAGCTGCTTCTAGAGAGCCAGTCTTTGCCTCTCAGTCACCTTGCTTGGTCACAATAGCAGTGGGGAGAGACGCGATCATCGCAGAAGCCAAGTCTTTCACTGCCTCTTGGCACCAGACGTGCTGACCATGACGAGCGCTCAAAGCTGTCTTGGTGGTGTATTGTCATCTGCGCATGTCTGCACGAGCTTGATGCTGAAGATCCCGCAGTCTACGGCCGACGGCCCGGGGATATGAGTCTAGCGCCGTGCCATAGTAGTTGGGTCGGCGGCGCCGCGAAACTTGTCTACTGCACGATTGAGGCGTTCGAGGAGGCTTGGAATGGGTATGGTTAGATGTTTTTGGCACAAATACATTCTGCTCGATCTTTCATGGTCCTTGCTGACATATTCTTCTGTATGATTCTTTGTCGAACGATTGTTCCGGGCAAAAGTTGCACACACCGGCAAGGCCGTAATACACTCAGCCACCAGGCGCCTCTGTCGACAGGTTATACAGAGTGACCAGAAACTTAACGATCATATCGTTGTTGTATGGAACGGGCTTCGTTAGTTCGAGTGCGGCTCCTCGATCATTCTGCCTCGTGCTCTGGTCGCGTTAATTCGTGAGAAAGACCGTTCGGTTACTGCGTCATGGAGTAGGCACAGGCGTCTAGAACGAGACCCGTCAGAATATTGGACTGAGGCTGCTGTTGTATCGCTCCATTGAGGAATGAGCCTCCCGAAAAGCCATCAGACAGGGACAATGTAGCATCCGCCCGCGATCGCTGTTGGTAAGTTGATCTTGCGTTTGTGATGTGGTCGGGTCGCTGTAGCGGCGGTTTAGGCTGAATGGGACCCATGACGCAAGGCTGTGGACCTACCAAATCTACTGCCCCGCGCCCCCGCGCCCCCATTGCTCTCCCCTCCACCATCCAAACTCGAATATCTTCCAAGGAATATCACCTCATACCTCGGAGCACTCCCGTACGGAACATCGCCATTGCCATCGCCATCGACATGGCCAGCGACACCATACCAACCTGCCGATGGGGCATCATCACCACTGGCCTCATATCCAGCTGGTTTGTGGCAGACCTTGATCTGCCACGTCCCGATGCAAAGGCAAAACATATCATCCAAGCCATTGGCACTTCTTCTGTAGACAAAGGCAAGGAGTTCGCCGCCAAGTATATCAAGAACGGCACCACACAACCCACCGTCTATGGAAGCTATGAGGACCTGTACCAGGATCCCCAAGTTGACTGCGTCTACATCGGGAGCCCCCACGGTTTTCATAAGCGCGACCTTCTCGCCGCCATCAATGCGGGCAAAAACATTCTGTGCGAGAAAGCCTTTACGATCAATGCGAAGGAAGCCAAAGAAGTCTTTGAGGCTGCCAAGAGTAAGGGTGTCTATGTGCATGAGGCTATGTGGCTTCGTCACCGGCCGATGGTTGCAGATCTCAGAAAGCTGTTATATGAGGACAAGGTCATCGGTGATGTCTTCCGGACTACGAGTGAGTTTCAAATGTACGTCGACATGGCGAACAAGCCAGACACCTCGCGGTACAAGAAGCTAGATCTTGGTGCCGGATCGCTGCTCGATATTGGCATCTATTCGCTCACCTGGCTGCTCTTGACTCTCGACCCAGGCATCCCGGCCAAGCCTGAGACACCCGAGATCAAAGCCTTCCAGTCATTCCGCGAGGGAATTGAGGTGACCACCAGCGCGATATTTCACTATCCTAGCAGCGGTCGTCAAGGCGTGTTCATGTCGACTACAGAGAAAAAGAACGGACCTACCAAGGTCGTCGCAACCATCGATGGTACAGATGGCTTCGTTGAAGTTGAGGGAGGTGCACCGTCACATCCCAAGTCGTTTACTGTATATCCGAAGTGGGAGGGCGACGAGAAGCCGAAGGGGAAGAAATATGACTATGAGCAAAAGTGGCAGGGCTTTGTGTACGAAGCCGACAACACTGCCTTGGACATTGCTGCGGGCAAGAAAGAGAACTCCATTATGCCCTGGGCCGAGACGATCCGGGTCATGGAAATCATGGACGAAGTCCGACGGCAAGGCGGAACAAAGTACCCTCACGATGGTGCATAAAAGGTCAAAACGTAACAAACGAGAGATAGAGCAAGAGATTGAACAGACGAAGAAAGAGACGGTAGTAAAGAATCTGGAAGATCCGCGTTTGGAGTTTTGCTTGGCGTGTTGGAGCACGTGTCGCTGCAAGCTGGCCTGGGCAAGGCAACCATGCCACCTCGTCTGTCTCTTCTATCGCGCTTTGACTCGACTCGACTCTTCTCATCTCATCCCACTCCTTCTGATAAACCCATACTGTGCCGCGGAGAGTCGTGATTGTCACCGAGTGCCTCCACTATGGCCTCATTCACGAGTCTCTTCTCTGCAGCCGTCCGATTCTTACCATTTACTCCCTGTAATCACGCGCCAGGATACGACAATCTGGCCGGCTGCAGTAATCCCTCTCTCTCTTGCCCCTCGCCTGTGCCCGCCAATCCTGACACCTGCTGTCTCAATCACCCTTCTGGCCACTTTCTCCTGACACAGTTTTGGGATGCCTCGCCCGCATTGGGGTCTCCGGAGAACTGGACCATTCATGGTCTCTGGCCAGACTATTGCGCCGGAGGTTTCGACCAGTTCTGCGACTCCGATCGACAGTATTCCAATATACGAGACATGCTCTCGTCCTCAGAACATCTGCTGTCATTCATGAGCTCGCATTGGCTTTCCCTCAACGGAAACAACAATCACTTGTGGGCACACGAGTGGAACAAGCACGGAACATGTATTTCTACTCTCGAGCCCACCTGCTATCCCTCGTCTGAAGATGGCCTCGAGGCGGTAACTTCTTACTTCACTCATGCGGCCAATTTGTATTCGACTCTCAATACTTATGCAACTCTAGCAGCTGCCGAGATCGTGCCCTCGCGTCACAAAACATACACTCTTGATCAGCTGCAAGGCGCCATTGCAGCTTCCCATGGCCATCCCATCACGTTTCGCTGTCGAGGCTCGGAACTGCAGGAGGTCTGGTACCATTACGCTGTCCGTGGCCCGTTGAGGCATGCACGGCCATTCAATGAATCCCTCGCAGCCCAGTCGTCTACCAACCAGATATTTCGGCCCGTGGAGCCGGATATAGCCAAGTCCAATTGTCCAAGACGTGGCATCAGGTACTTGCCCAAAGACCAGGACAAGCCAGCTCCAACGCAATCACATCCTAGCCATACATCCACGTCCACTTCTAAACCCACCGCTCCGGCCACACCTTTCTCCGGTCGCGGCCACCTCATGGTACATCCGCTATCCAGTTCAGACTCGAATACTAGGCACAACTCCGAGCAAAAACCTCTCGCCCCATCTTCTGACACCAAAGGCTGTCTCATCCGTGGCGGTCTGTGGTATGCCAGCGGCGGCTGCGCAACTTACATTGCCAAATCCGATCCACCTCATTTTCCCCAACTCGAGGATGATGAAGATCATCACCTCTTCACGCTTTCATCTCTATATGCCCCTTGTGCAGTGATGCCCGCTACATCTCCTGCGCATGGCGGACAATTCATGTGCGAAAAGGACCTCGGCATCCAGACCATCTTCGAGGCACTGAATGTTACTCACGGGCAAGGATCAGCGGAGACAAGAGAGGTTTTGGCATGGACCGGTAAGACGGTCTTCTATGCCGACAAATTCCCAGGACGCTTTGAGAAGGTGGAGCTCTTCGTCGATGACGATAGCGGCAAGAGGGAGGTCGAGGTGGAAATCGAATGGCAGAGTGCTTGAGCTTAAGATTCCCAGTTTATGGTGAAGTAGCTCTATAATAGACGACAGGCCGACATGACACGCAACTTCAGACATCTGTCTCCGGACACCTCGTGCATGCTACTCTCCTACAGTATCATAAGCCTTCCCACCGGCCAACCGATCCACCTCCATACACTCCTGCAACGCACAAAGATTGAACGCCCGCTTGACCCCCGGCCCGCCACCACTCTCCCCCGTCTCCTTCAATCGCGCCAACCGCTTCCCACACTCGTCAATAACCGCATCCATACACGCCATGGGGGAAATCACGACTCTGAACCCCAACACCCTCGCCTCCCTCATCATCATCATCGTATGCCGGGAACAGGGCGATATGGAGATGGGGGCCGTCTCAACTCACAAGCACTTCATGGCCCGCAGCCAGTGCCAGCCGGGCAGTGAGGCCGTCAAAGACCCCGGGCGCGGCGACAGTATGGTTCGGATCAGCCAGCATTTCTCGCAGGCGTTTGGCACCCGAGAACGGAGCCAGCATGGGCGTGCTTGATGCCGTGTCGCCGTTCATGCTTAGCTAACTGTGTCGTAAAGTTGCAGCAGTGCTGAGGTGTCGCAGTATGCGGAACGGATAGCAGTATTTCGTCTTCTTTGGTGTTGTTGGTGTTGGATTTTGGCGTCAAAATAGGGACGGGAAGTGTTTTCCGGATACTTGCTACTCTACTCGCCTGCAATGTCTTATCACGCGCTTCAGTGCTCGAAGTCACAGACGCATGCTGGCAGCCATGTCTATTTCCATCAGGACATGAAGTCGCTTAATGACGTTGGAACCGATCTCGGAGCGAGGTGATGGGATTTTCTTGATGTTCACCAGTCCATAGAATCATGTCCTTCAGCTATCGAAGCGGCCTGCTGTGTTCCAAGCCCATGTCGCTGATTCGCACGTATCAGGGGTATATGTCGGATATAAGTCCGGAAAAGGGGTACATCAAGACTACATCTATTATACGTAGCAATATAGCAGAAGCAGTCATTCATTAGACGGAATATCTGGTGGTCGTGGGACCTTGTTCTCCTGTCCGTATGGTTTCGCTCACAAGCTCGAAGCGCCTCTCGCTATCGTCAACCTGATAATCGCTAATGAGGATCGACCTGTGCTATTCCAACGCCACATAATGCATCACAAGATTCAACGGCTTTCACCTGCGATCGCTCGTGTATAATTCACACTCATTCCTCCTTCTAGTGCTATTCACTAAGCATACTGACCCTGGCTGGCGAGATCTTCATCGCTGTCAATTTGATTCGGCGAACCCCTGAAGCGCGTTCTTTTGACGGCGTTGAGATCGCCTCCATAGCCCTTGTGGTACTGGCCAGAGCTGGAGATGGGACGGGGTCCAGATGGCTTCCGGACTTGACCTCCCGGAGAGTTCTTCAGAGCCGCCACTGGAGACTGGATATATTAGTAATGGCTTCAGATGTTGGGAATGGAGTGGCATACCTTATCAAGAGCTGGGCTACCAGCTCGCGCGGCTGTCACATGGTCCACATACGTGGGCTGGCGGCTGGCTGGAGGACTCATAACGACCTTGGGTGGCCGAGGCGGCATCAACGGATCATTTTCTGGCACTTTGGGTGGCCGCGGAGGACCTTGTTTGCTGATGGAGGTTTGGCTTACTCTCTCACCTCGATCCGAGGCCGGGCTGATCTGGCCATCTTGTTCGTATTGATTGTGCATGTCCATTCCAGGCATGCCGGAGAGTGCGGCCTGTGCTTCCCACTGCGACGACGTCACCGAATTAGGAGAAATAGGATCATCGGCATAGGTTCGTGCTACTGACTCCATCTGATTGTGGTGGCGTTCAGTAGGTCCGTGGCGAGGTCGGGGGTGCTGAAGGTTGATGCTGTCTCTGTAGCTCTGATACTTGGGGTGGTTGTCGGAGACTTGGCTGGGGATCAACGGAGATGGCGGTCGGTTCTCATTCCGGTACCGCTCGTCTTCCAGAGACATATTGGAACGAATTGCATCGTCGCCATGCGGGTCATAATCGTAGCCTGCGATGTTGGATCCTGATTGTGACACCTGCGAGTACGGTCGTTGTTTAGTTTGAGCACTAGCTCGAAAGTCTCCAGACGACGCAGTCGTTTTCGACCATCGCGATACCATCTTTGGCAGCAACGACGATGCAAATGATTTGTGCTTGCGACCAGAGGAAGATTCGGTAGAGTAGTGTGGCGTGTGCTCGTTGCTGAGTGTTCCCTGGTTAGCATTGGCCATCCGAGGAGGAGTCTGAACCGGCTCAGAGGCACCTCTATTGTAGGCTGGTGCGCCTGAGGCTCTGGGAGTCTGTTGCTGTTCCTCGAGATATCCATCGTTGTCGTAATATTCTTCATCGCGTTCCATGACTGTGCTGACGCGATTGGCCGATCCTTGACGTATGTTGTAGCCCCTGTAATCTGCTTGGCGGGATGAGTTGTTCGAAAAGATGCCAGAACGGTCACCCGTTGATGAAGTACCTGCTTGGCCCTCGGGCTCATATCCAGCGTCGGTCAGGACTCGACCGTTCTCAGCTGACTGGGCGCTGTTTGATCGCACTCCGTGGCTGGCTTGAGGTCCAGTATGCAACGCACGCAAACCCTCAACATCATCAAGCAGTTGCATAAGCATGCCCTCAATGTTCTGAAGCTCTTGGGTGTTCTTGCTGCCCAATCCCATCAGAGCACGCCGGAAGACATTACGGCGCTTGGTCGGCAAATCTTCCTCTTCTGAAGCAGGTGTCCTAGCGTTCCGTGGCACAGGCTGTGGTCTCGGTCCGCCAATAACCTTCAAAGTGCGTTCGTGTTGCTTGTTGCTCTCGTCGATATAGTTGTCTCCCTGCTCCGCCACCAGCTTTTTCATGTCCTCAAAAGAGTTGCGCATTTCGGCTGCAGTGCGTACGAGAGTGATCAAAATCTCAGTATCTCTGGCATTTCGCTGGGCATCCCGAACTGTAAGATGATCCATCAGTGCCCGGACATCCTTGTCATAGATCCGGTCGGCTGCTCGACCAGTGGCCGTGTCGTACATTGGTGACATGCCGTGCGAGAGCCCACTGACGTACTGGTCCCGCTTGCTCGTGGTGAAGGGGTCGTCATCTAAATCATCGTCATATGCCATGTCCTGCGAGAATGGCAAGCCCTTGGGAATCGGCTGGTGGTGAGAGGGCATGATAGCGGGAGAAGGAGCATTGGCACCAGTCTCATAGCCTTCGTCTTTGACACCAGGCGGTGTAAGCTCTGCAGCCCTGCCAATGTAGGTGTCAGGCTTCTGGCCAGGGCCGTGGCTCATAGTCAGAGGTTCTGGCATGAGTTCAGGGGCAGTCATAGACAAATCTCGACTTCCAGGAATTCCACTGTCAACTGGTGGTGGTGTAGGCCCATATGGCCAATGGCTTGTGTCTCCGGTCGCATATCCTGCAATAGGTCCTTGAATGACGGACGGGTTCGTCGTAATCTCAGATTCGGGAGAATTGGCATCTTGAGAATCTCCAATTGCAGCGTCATGCGGTGAGGACGGCTCTGCAACTTTCTCCTTGCTCTGCTTGCCGGATGTCGCAAAAATTACCGGGGGTGCTATGCCACGGGACATGCCAGGCTCAACAATATCGCTGACCGCTGTCTGGTGCTTTAAGGGGCTCCCACTCCTCGCACTACGCGCAACAGCTGGAGAGCTACCCATACTGTAGCGCTGGGGCGAACCTGCCCGGCTGCCGTGTGATGATTGTGCTCCTTTTGAATCCAGCACGGATGGTTCGCAGAGTGAAGCGACTGCAGACTCGACATCATCATTCAAGTCGACGAACCTCGGGTTAGCGCCAAGACCTGCGACTTGCTGACCTGCAGTGACCTTGTCGACGTAAGGCTCATCCAGACTGTCATCGGTGAAAGTGGACCGGGCCTGCAATGACTCTTTGCCATCGCTGCTGGCAAAAGAACCACGATATTGACCCTCTGCCGAATCAAGTCCGCCATACTCGAGGCGGTGTGTTCCATCTTTATGCGGTCGCATGATTTCGCTGCGGTTCTCAAGACTGAGACCATGTGGGCGATAGCCTTTTGCAGCATCGATGCTATTTGCCGAAGAGAAAGAGGCTTCCGAGATATCGTCTTGCTGCGCACCTCTATGTGATGAAAGGGTTTCTTGGCTTCGAGGGTGGACCAGCGATGTCCTATTTGGCTCTGTTGTTGCGTAGCTGGCAACGCTTTGTATAGGGCTTAAACCACGTCGTATGGGATGCTGATGGTGTAGGTTCCGTTCATATGCCTTCGCCCGCTCAGGGTCTAGCAAGCCATGGCCAATGAGTCCGTAGCTGGGGGAGAAGCCGGCCTCGTCATCGTCTCCTTCGTCGTCTTGATCATGTCCTTCTCGAGTAGCAGCGAGGTCCTGCTCGGAGAAGTTGCCGTGATGCATGCCTAGGCCTGTACGGGGAGGAAGAGGAGACTTCTCCGGGCTGCTCTTCTCCTTCTCAACCGGAGTCCTGGATGGTGTCGCCGAAGTCGGGGACCGCAACTCGTTTGGCGAGCCATGCACAACCTGACGAACCTCACGTCTCGTCGGAGTCAATGTGCCGTTGGTATTTGAGCTTAGAAGGGAGCTGCGCGTGACCTCTGAGTCGATTTCACTACGCATCGGCATGGCAGGCACGTTGTGCTTGTGGAAAACATCCACATCCTCATCCTCCGCAATGCTCTCGGTCCTCGTACTGCGGCTCTTGCTGCGTTTCTTCCGCTTCTCGCGATGGTCGAGACTCGATCCGGAATCGTGATGCTTCAGGGCAGCCGCCGTCAGGGCTGCTCCAGCTAGAGCTCCAGCCGTGGCGTCACGAGTCCGGTGGCTCTTGCGCGCTTTCTGCGCCTTTGAGTCATCCTCTACACTTAGACTGCTGATGGATTCACTGTGCCGGTAGCTGTTCTCCGAAGGCGACTCGTATTCCAATGACTTTTGATGACGTTCTCGCTCATGTCGCTTCGATCCCGATGAGATTCGGCGCGAAGAGTGGTCCTTTCCACTGCTTTTCCTACGCGATTTACTTCCAGAAGACCGACGGCGCGAGATCTCCTCTCGGGACAAGCTGCTTTCAGACAGATCTGATGGATATTCCTTGGTTCTTCGACGGGAGCCATGTCGTTGATCTTTCTTGATCTCCTTCAGCTCAGGTAAAATCAGTCTGCGTATGGCATCTTCGACTGTTTGCAGAAGCTTTGGGTTATTGATCGAGACTTGTGACTGGCCTGATTTGACAGAGCGTTGGTCGTGAGACTTGTGCTCTGCAGATAACATGGAACCACTGACGAGGCTCGAGCCCGTGCCGGTCATTGAATCTTCCTCGATGTTTTTGACGGCTCGTCTTCGAGCGTGCCCCCCCTCAACTTCTCTACTCACGCTGCTTCGCGAGCGTTCGCTCGATGTCGGCTTCGTGACAACAGTCCGAGGCCTTGAAGCAAGTTTCTCTTTAACTTTCTGGGTTAGTCGCTCTGCAGATACGTTCCGATCCGCCGGCAGAACAGGTGGCTTCAGATTCTCTTTCTCAGACATCTCTGCTCTGCTGAAGTCTGCGGCAGGGCCTGGGACGCCAAGCATGCTGTCCGCAGGCATCGAGGAAATGTCGGACTCTGGAACATTATTAAATCTAAGCGGAGGCGAGTCGCTGAGGGCCGAGATTTCGCTGGCTTGGTGGAATTCCGGCTCGAATGGCCGGGATAGTCTCTGTGTAGCCATGGGGAAGAGTTCAGAACTTTCGTCACTCAGGCTGCGGAGGGGTACTCTATGGCTCTGAGAAGGCGTCTTCGTTGGCAAAGCCTCCTGTGACCTGGTCCTCGACGCTTGCTTGGAGCGCGAGGGCGCGACCCTGACTCTTATGCTCGGTCGTCTCTCTGGGTCAGAGTTGCTCTCGAAATATTCGATCAGAAGGGAGGCTTGCGACTGTTGCGCAGTGTTTTTGCGGTGGCCGGCCGAGCGCTTGAGGGTTGTGGGGATGGTAATCGGTGTGCCGTCGTCGGGGACCGTATGATGGGTAGCGTCAGATCGTCTCGAGAGGTCGGTTGCAAGATCTTGCTCGACAGGGCTCTCGTCGCCTGCGGAATCAATCAGGGAATCAGTCGCAGCAGGAAGAGGTAGTCGGCGGTCGCCAATTCCCATAGTTGGGTGACCTTAGGTCGATTGAGACATCTGGAAGGGTGCTGCAGAGGCGCAAGAGTATGCAGCGAAGGAAAAGAATGGTGCCGGTGTCGATTCAGGAGGCCTTGACAGGCGTCTGTGTGCCGTGGCTTTTTGATGTATGCAGGTCGGAGGGGGACGGTCGATCCGGTCGGATAGATTGGCTGCCTTCGACGGGATGCGGCTTGCGCAGTAATTATTATCGTGGCGGAGGATGTTTCTAGGGAAGGTCGAAGCTATGGTGTCCAGAAGTATTACGACTAGCCGCAATACTGTAGTTTTCGATAGGCGAGCGAGATTGTGGTCCAGATATTGTGAGGCTGGGTTTAATGGTGGGGCTGGGCGGTGACAGTCGTCGGGTGCGAGAGGTGGTGAGATAGCCCATCCAGGCACGCAAACGCTTGCTAACAACTGAACAGTACGGGAAATGGCTCTACGCGCCACCGATGTGATGTTGCCTTCTGAAAAGATGTTGTGCTGTACAATGCAGGGAAAGCAGCTGTGTAGGAGGAGGGCAACACAGGTTCCGAGAACAGTGGCGGCGTCAAGCACCAAGACCCAGCTCCGCAGCCTCAAACCACTCCACCCACGGGCGACTTTCCAACTAAGTTTCTAGGTGGCTGCGCTTTCTCCGTACGGAGTATTCCTGGCCCAGTCCTTGCGATACCTGTTCCCTGGCAGGTCCTGTACATACATAGTAGCGCCTACGAGGAGCTAAAGTCATCAGAGGCAGATCCGTCGAGATTGCTGCCGTGTCTGTCAAGCATAGAGTACCATTACGAGTGGGCGACCATGTCATTTGTGCAATCATATCTTACAATCTGAACTGTCTGCGAACGGGCTACCCCTAATTCATCCGTCGCTACCTGTCAACCCTTTGGCAGTTATCGACTCGTGTCCTTGCAGTACAAACTCTTTTCGCGGCTACTTGTCTTGCCACCTGCAATGAAGCCTGACCGCCTCGCCGGTTGACGTTGCTGCCCGAAGGTCACTGGGAACGAATTGGCTTCAGTAGCGTCAGGATAGGCGCACCATAGGCTCGCTTGTAACCGGGCAACGGGTGAGCTTCAAGCAGTTTTCCGCGCCTATTGGATCGGAACAGGGGTTGGGATAGCCATGGTCTGGGGCCCGGCGCGGGCGGATTGCGGCTTGGATCTTCTTCTCCCCGCCAACCAAAGCTTAGGATCGCTCTTTTTCGGTTTCGGAGGCGATGTATATCCAGGGATCAGGCCCAGGCGCTTGTCGTACAAACAGGGCCGTCGCCAGCACATCAGACACTACGCTGCCAATCACGCCAGACCTTTGCGCTGGTGTGGACATTGCACAGGCTGCTTCATGCTCTGCGTGCGGTTGCGCCTGATACACCTTGCACGGGCCACGTGCTGGTTGGTACCCTATGTCTGCATGTGCGTCGCCCCCGGATTCGTGCAGCTCAATGCCGGTCGCTGCCGTCAACTACCATGGTCTGAAAACTCCGAAGGGCGATGAGCTCCTGTGCCGAAAGCTACACTCGGGCATCCTGGCCAATCTCATCAGAGTCAACTTCCATTCGACCCCTTCTACAGTCATCAAGAAAGAGTTGTCACAGTCTCGCTTCCATCAGTCCCTCCCTGCAAAACCCTGCTCCAACACATGAACCAAGTCGTCTAATCTAGAAACCGCCAAGTCACACTCGTCACCGTCCTTCAGACTGTCATTGTCGTCGTTCACTAACAGCACTGTCGCGGCCCCTGCCCGCCGGCCCGCCCGCAAGTCATCTATACTATCCCCAACCATTATCATGCCCGCGCCCAAATACTGCCTCGCCCACTCCAGGGGATCTGCCCGTCCTCCCGCCATCTCTTGTATACTCATATCGTCCGCTACCTCCACGTCTAGTTCCCACTCCCGTGCTATCAACCACAGCCCCTCTGGGCTGGGCTTGGGCGCGATGCCTTCCGTTTCCCTTGTGATGATAGGCGAGAAGGACACGTCGGGCAGATGAGTGTCAAGCAGATGGTGCACAGGTGCGGGGAAGTTACGCGTACACAGTGCTTTGCGCATGTTGCGCTTCTCCAGGTAGGTCATGACTTCCGAGAGACCCGGCTGTGGGCGTTGGGAGGTCATAGCCGTACGCTCAATCGCCTTGACGGCGGCGACGGCGCGAGCCTGTGGGGAGGTAGGTGCAGGGTCTGGTGGAGCCGCGGTATCGGCGAGCACCTGCGAGACGTTGACGGAAGCAGGAGGGGAGCCTGACGAGGTGGCATGATCCGGCTCGTTGGAAAGAGACTTGATGTGATCCAGGATGTCAACGGATTTGGGAATGGAGAGAGCAGCGCGCATCTCACGGAACATATAGTTCTGAGGGAGACTGTGGCGGAGGGGTCAGCGACGTGCGATTTGAGTTGGCAAAGGAATGCAGGCAGCGAACGCTTTGTCTGTGCGCGCGGGGCGGATCCATACCCGGTGTATGGGGTAGCTCCCTGAAGGTATGGTGTGCGGCAGGGTGATCTCGTCAATATGGCAGACCTCTCCCAATTGAAAACTGGCCAGGGGTAGCGCATGGAAGTTTGTTGCGTGACTTACCACAATGTACCATCCACATCAAACACGATGCCCCTTAGCTTCGGAGCGTTATGCATATTCTCCTTGTCCGGGTCCAGCGGCGCAAACCGCCGTGGTCGCTTGAGCGTCGACATTCTCGCTATTGAGATTTGTGCTGTACTTTTCCCAGATAAATTTGTCGATATCAAAATCGATGCACTACAGCGTGGGGGGCGCGCGAGAGATGAAAGACGTCAGGTGGGGTGACATCTGAGTAGGTCTCTTGACGCTGCATTCAAACCCGACAAATTGATCAAGAAATTATCATGTTGCCCGGCTGAAGTTGTCTTCTCCCAGGTTGTGCTACAGAAGAAGACAGTTTCGACGTGTGGAAAATGTAATCGAAGATCCGATTCTCCTCCGAAGACGTTGAGACGTTGTAGGTTCGTACATCGAATATAAATGTAAATTGCCGCCAATACCGCACTGGAACGCACGCTGCCACCTACCATTGATTGACCGTTCACGTCTTAGACGTAAAGAGCTCTTCAATGTATTCACATATTCAAGCATTACTACTATGTACGCCTGAAGCCTTGCCGATGGGGTATAGTGTTAATACAAGCAGCCACCTTTGAACAGAATCCCATATGCTGTGCCATAAGTCTAGTCCTTCAGGTCGTTGATCGCGCATACTTGCGTGAAGTCATCCTTGCCACTGCGGTCGTGATGCTCATTCCTCTTCCTCTTCGTTCTCCTCCTGTTGGTAATCGCTGGGCTCGAGCTCTTCCACCGCCCGACGCTCGGCCTCCTCGAATTCATCTTCTACGGGATATGTGAAGAATTCATGGGCTAGGGCCTCTTTGGCCGAGAAGCGTCTGTGAGGATCCATGTCTAGTAGATGCTGCAAGAATGAAACGGCTTGCTGTTCACCTAGATGGAGGGCGTTTTCTTCCTTTTCACGACAGCTTGCCCAGCGAATGATCTTCTCCAACGAGAAGCCCTTTTCGCCAATGGTGGCAATGTTCGTCTCGAAAATCTGACCGTGCTGCGCTGCTGCTGCTTGCATTTTCTTGGTGCCGAATATAGATGCAATTTCAATCGTGGCATCAACATCATCGGAGCTGTTGAAGAAAGGAAAACGACGCGCCAGGATGGTTAACAGTATGACACCTGTCGACCAGATGTCGATCTTGGTGGTTTGAGATGTACACTTGAAGAGCACTTCAGGTGCTCGGAATCCTCGGGTACCGGCTCGATTGGCCCGGCGTGAAGCACGGCTATCGTGCTTAGGATAGGCTGGCGGGTTCTTCTCACCATGGGCCGTCAATTGCTCGACGCCGTAAGACGCCATGAAACGCTCCTTGCGCTTGTTTTTCTCTTCTCTGCAAAGACAGTGCTGCCAGTCGGTGCCTTCGCGTTCCGCAAGCCCAAAGTCGACCAGAACACCTTTCCTCTTCTTGACATCATACAGGAAGTTGGTGGGTTTGATGTCCCGGTGAATGATGCCCATCTCGTGGACATGCTCGAGACCACTCAGTAAGCTGTGAAAGTAGTGGCGAATATCGTGTACGATGAATTCGCGATAATAGATGCGGAAGTCTAGGTGGCGGAAGTATGGTAGAACAGCGACGACCTGATCCTGATGACGGAAAGCCGTGAGGAGAGGGCAGATGTGCTTGTTTCTGCGTAGCTCGTGTAGCAGTTCAAGCTCATTGAGAATGCGATAGGGTGAAGAGGTGACATAGATCTTCTTCAGTGCTACATAGCTTTTCTTTTGCCGGCTGACAATCTTGGTTCGTGATGAGGTACCAAGCTTCCTACGCTTGGATGAGTGAGTGTCATGGCTGTCAACGTCGTCGGTGGGCTCATTCTCGACATCTTCATCGTGGAAGGGCAATTGCTCAGCCTTGTACACGGTTGAGAAAGTGCCTAGGACAGATCAGCTGGTGTCAAAATCTGACAGCGAAGCACTTACCTTCACCAATTCTGTTCACCAGACGATACTTTTGCGAGATGCCCGTGAAGCTTTCTTCGAGTTTTCGCATGTCCTCCAACACCGAGTCATCGACCTCTTCATCGCTCTCTGTGCTGTCTGAGTCCTGTTCGAACAGGTTGAGCTCGGGAACGGGGGTAGACATGGATTTTGAGCCACGCTGACATGTTGGTCGTTCTTGACCGTCCTCATGGATCGAGATACCGTTGTGGGCCATGCTGCGCGTGCGGTATCTGCGTCTTTTGCCCAACGTTGTCGCGCCTGCTGTGGACGCGTATGGTGGCTGCGGTATCTGGGGCGGCACCTGCTCCTGTCCGTGGTCAGGATCAATGTAGACAGCTATCGCCTGCTTGTCTGCTTCTGTACGTCCTTTGCCATGGCGGCGATTGCTTTGTTTTGAGCGTAGAGCCTTTAGCAGACCGCTGGCCTTCTGGGCCAGCTTCCTCGCCGGCATGCGCGCGATTGGTCCCACTGCTGTTATGCGTGGGGCGGAATGCACTATGCCCAGAAGAGGAAAAAAGCAACAACGCGGGGACAGTCGAGCCTATCGGTACGCGCGCGCAAGACTTCAATTGATGATGCAGCCTCTCGATGTTCGTTGTGTGCAGTGTAATTTATTTCGATCTTTGAGAAGCATAGATAATCGCGGATTAGAGCCCTCGGTGCCTGCGCGTCTACTCTGTGGGCTGTATAACACCCAGCGACCATCGCGCCCCAGCAACCACCACCACTGATGAATCTGCCCTTCTGAAGTACACCGCGTCCATCGACAAGCACATCCCGGAACCGCCAAAATGGACTCTCAAATCGACTTCGACATCAACGAGTCGCTGAAGCTCTACCTGAGCGATCCTGTTACCATTCCGACTCCCGAGGCAAACTCCCAACTAGCCGATTGCGAAAGCGATCCCGACAGCTTGACCACAGCTCTCATTGACAGCAGTTTCGATCCGGTGGTCGACGTGGTCTCCGAGAACCCGCAGAATATACTGAGGAATGAGGCTTTTGATACGGTCCAATTCCTTCTTAAGTGCGCTCCCATAGCCGTTCCCCCCAAAAGACCCCGAGTCACAGGACATTTTACTGAACTTTTTACTCGCTGCAGGCACTCACCCGTACTCCCCGTACAAACTATTAGCAAGATCCTCGAACTCGTAGTATCAGGACTTGCTACGATCGCCGACAATGCCCACTCCGATATCGAGAACGATGAGCAGGAGGCACTGCACCAACACAAGACCCTGCTAGAAGTGTACGCTTTCCTGATGCAGTGGACGATTGCAGCTGTGGAGGCCAAAGCAGCTGAGAAAGCACATGCCGCTCCTGCTCGGAGAGGCAAAGGAGCAAAGTCAAAGGTTGTGAAGGATGGGGCATGGGATTCTGCAGGCCAGATCCAAGCTGCTATGGACACCATGTGCCGGGTGATGAGATTGAAGCTGAACAGAATCTTCGAGACAACCTCTGACAGAGACACGTTTGTCAACCTCTTCACGAGATCGATTTATCTGATCATGGAGACGGAGGCTAGGATGAAGATTACTGCTGTTCGAATGTTCTGCTTCAAGGTTCTGTGCATTGCCGTCAAGCACCATGGTCACGCTCTGGGGGCCCAGACATCCATCGTCCAGAACCTGACATACTTCGAGCACCTCTCAGACCCGATGGCCGAGTTCTTGCACATTCTCTCAGAGCAGTACGACTACCCTCAACTCTCTTCTGAGATTATGCGAGAGCTTGCTGCGAAGGATTTCAGTCCGAGCGATCTAAAAGGGCCCAAGTCTGTGTCTGCGTTCATCATAAAGCTTTCGGAGCTTGAGCCTCGTTTGGTGATCAAAGAAATGGGCCTCCTTGCAAAGTTCCTGGACAGTGAAGCATACACTTTGAGGTGCGCAGTCATCGAGGTATGCGGCAACTTGCTTGCGGATCTCAACAAGACAGAGGATAGAGATGAGACCACAAAAATTCAGATCAACGCCTTCTTCGACACCCTGGAACAGCGGTTCCTCGATACGAATCCGTACTGCAGATGCAGAGCCATTCAAGTCTTCATGAAGCTATGTGACCTTGAGCAGAAGGTGCCCAAGCGAAGACAGCATGCTGCGGAGCTTGCAGTCCAGAGCTTGCAAGACAAGAGCAGCAATGTTCGACGAAACGCTATCAAGTTGCTCGGCAAGCTTGTTGCTACTCATCCTTTCAGTGTGATGCACGGGGGTGAGCTGACCAGAAAGGTCTGGATTCAGAGAGTAGAAGATGTGGACAAGCAGCTTGATACTCTGAAGCCTCCGCCAGACACTCCAGGCTTGGCTGAGACTGCTAAAGGTGCTGAGAAGGTCGACAACGAATTGCTTGATGAAGCCACTCGTCTTCAGGATGAAGAGACTGGTCAAGAAATGACCGAAGAAGAAAAGATTGAGGCAGTCAAGAAGGCACAAGAAGAAGCTGCCACATCAGAGGTCTTGACCAGACTACAGCTGACCAGGAAATATTACATCGATGCGCTTCGCTTCATCGATGTCATCCATGAGGCTTCTGATCTGGCATGCCAGCTGCTCTCGGCGAGAAACAAGAGTGAGGTCCTGGAGGCCATGGATTTCTTCGTCGTCATAAATGCCTACAAAGTCGAGACTTCGAGTACTGGAATCCGACGCATGCTGCGCCTGATCTGGACCAAGGGCAATAGTGACGAGGGCAAGGGTGTCCAGACGCACCTCATCGACTGTTACAGAGGCCTATTCTTCGATGCCCCAGAAGTATTGAACGCTAACGACACTGCCAACTTCATTGCCCGGAACATGATCAGCTTGACATTTGGCGCCACGCCTGCTGAGTTGACATCTCTCGAACAATTACTGAGTACGATGTATCGAGCAGGGAACATATCAGAGCAGGTCATTGCAAAGTTATGGCACGTCTACGGCGTCAACAAAGAGATTTCGCGCGCTCAGCGGCGAGGTGCCATCATCGTTTTGGGCATGATTGCGCTGGCAGACCCCAATATTGTGGTGAAAGAGTCCGACATCATGATGCGGATTGGCCTGGGTCAACTTGGTCGTGCAGACCTCATGCTGGCGAAATTCACTTGTGTGGCCCTGAAGCGAATGATTCCACCCCCTAAGAAGGCCCAGGACAAAGTCGCCGCTGGCATCTCCCGCATGACCAACGACCATGCCATACTCCGCATGCTGGCTTCTATTCTACTGACATTTTCGGAAAGTCAAGATTGGTATGGTATGGCCGAGCAAGCCATCTCTGCCATTTACGTCCTTTCAGAGCATCCTGATATCCTCTGTTCAGAAGTCCTTCGGCACAAGACGAGACTTGTCTTCGCGCAGACTCAGCATCGCAAATCGCTGTCTCGATCACCGTCACCTGAGCGGGATCCCGAAGATATGGACATCGATGGCGCAAATGCTGCCACTCCTGGGCCAGAAGAGTCACAACCAGAGAGCCAACAGCTCGACTCGCCGAAGACGAAGCCGGCTATCACATTGTCCCAGCTGCTGTTCGTCGTAGGCCACGTTGCCATCAAGCAGATTGTACATCTCGAGCTGTGTGAACTTGACTTCAAGCGAAGAAAGCACGACCTCGAGAAGGACAAGCCTCTTACAGAACCCACGCCTCAGCCTGGCAGACGCAAAAAAACTCCCGCGGAAGAAGTCATGGCAGAGAAAGAAAAACAAGAAGAAAAGGATGAGCTCGAACTCATCGGCGGCACCAACGAGGATGACTTCACGGAAGCAGTAGCCCACATCCGAGAACGCGAGCTACTCTACGGGCCCAACTCGCTCCTCGCTAACTTCGGTCCCCTAGTCACCGAAGTCTGCTCGAACAACACAGCATACAAGGACCGGAATTTGCAGGCACACGCCACGCTATGCCTGGCAAAGCTCATGTGTGTCAGCAGCGAGTACTGCGAAAAGAACCTGCCGCTACTCATCACCATTCTCGAGCGCTCTGAGGATCCCATTGCAAGATCCAACACCGTCATTGCCCTGGGAGATATGGCTGTCTGCTTCAACCATCTGATCGACGAGAACACAGACTTCTTGTATCGTCGACTCAACGACGGGGATGGCAGTGTCAAGCGGACGTGCTTGATGACGTTGACCTTCCTTATCCTCGCCGGACAGGTCAAAGTCAAGGGCCAGCTGGGCGAGATGGCGAAATGTCTCGAAGATGGCGATAAGCGCATCGCGGACCTGGCCAGGATGTTCTTCACCGAGCTCGCCACCAAGGACAACGCACTGTACAATCAGTTCATCGACATGTTCAGTATCTTGACGAGAGAGGGTCCGCTGGAGGGTGGTGTCATGGAGGAGGACGCCTTGAAGCGGATCCTGAAATTCTTGTGTGGGTTTATCGAAAAGGTAACGCTGACCATCCTCCTGAATTGTGAACATTTTACTGACCTTCGCCAATAGGACAAACACGCGAAGAACCTGGCCGAGAAGCTGGCGGCTCGCTTGGACAGATGCGAGAATGAGCGGCAGTGGACTGATACCGCGTACGCGCTCAGCCTGCTGCAGCACAAGAATGAGGACATCACGAAGAAGGTACAGGAGGGCTATCGCGTTGTCGAGACGGCGGCATGATAAACATGGATGATTTTAGCATGATAATGGCGGCTTTTGGCCTTCTATGGATGGTTGGTATCGGTAGAGCAAGGCGTTGCGGGGTTGCCGATGTGTGGTATACGGGTGTAAACTAGGCCTGGAACGAGTTCAGCTCGGTTTAGAGCATTTATACCCCTTCACCAAGGCAGCTCGCCCACATGATTTGTTTGTGATCAGCCAATCTTGATTCACGACAGAACCTCTTGATAGACTTGTGGCTTTTGCGGGCGAATGCGCGCCTTCCCAAAGCATCTTCCGACGAGGTCAAAGTTCGTCCGTGAAGAAGCATTCGGCTGCGCTCTACAATCACACCGACCCCCAAAAGGCGCATCGAAGATGCCAGATCAAGCGCAGTGTTAAGTATCAGCTGCCCCACCTGGTCGTTCCGACGGCGCCTCGACAATAGTGCAGGCTTACGGAAATTCGACGGTCACCATGGATTCCATCTACGTTAATCCAGCAGCGAAAACCTGGGAGGCCCGCGCATCTACCGACCTGAATCTTCTTGTGCAGAGTTTCCACGAGAAGCTGCCGGGCTTCGGCGTCTCACCTCTGGTACCCATGGCCGAACTGGCGCGCGATCTTGGCGTGAAGGCCGTGTTCGTCAAGGACGAGAGCAGCAGACTGGGCCTGCCGGCGTTCAAGATTCTCGGGGCGTCGTGGGGCGCCTTCAGGGCTATTGCAGACCTGGCCGACAATCTGTCGTTGGATTCTAGTCTGGAAGAGGTTTCGAGAGCGGTGCGACGGCTCGGTCTTAGCCTGTACGCTGCTACGGATGGGAACCATGGCCGCGCGGTGGCTCGTATGGCGAGGATTTTGGGCGTGGCAGCCAGCATCTACGTTCCGGCTTTCACAGACGTGCACGTTCAACGGAACATTGAGGCTGAAGGTGCTAAGGTCACAGTCGTCCCGGGGAACTACGACGACGCTGTTGCTGTGGCCAACGCCGAGAGCAGAAAGGTGTCGGGCGGCTTGCATGTCCAGGACAACGCCTTCGACGATTACGAGAAAGTCCCGGGATACATCATTGAAGGGTACTCTACGCTCTTGCGAGAAGTCGAGCAGCAGCTCGAGCAGCAGGGTCTCAAGGCGACCGCCATGGTGACGCCTATTGGGGTTGGGTCGTTGGGACATGCGGTTACAGCGTACTGCAAATCATCCGGCCGGCAGATCGACGTCGTGGCAGTTGAGCCAGAGACAGCGGCGTGCTTGCACGACAATCTCAGGAGTGGCGAGTTTCGCAGCATAGAGACATCGAAGACGATCATGGATGGCATGAATTGTGGCACTGTCTCTCATATATCTTGGCCCATACTGCGGCAGGGAGTCGATGTGAGCGTGACAATATGTGATCGGGAATGCCACGAGGCAGTAGAGCAGCTGCAGAAGCTGGGTGTTCACGCGGGCCCATGCGGTGCTGCTTCATTAGCTGCCACGAAGAAAGTCGCCGTTGAGCTCAAAGATGAACATGGCATCCGACTGAATGGAGACTCGGTGGTGGTTCTGTTAAGCACTGAGGGCAGCAGATTCTACGTCGTGCCAGAGTAGGATTTGGGGTGGCATAGGCCATGGGTGCATCTGTTGAGACCAGAAGACGGAGCAGAGATAATGAAGCGACTACTGTGGCTATCATTGAATACACGATAGTCCTGGACGTGAGAGGTTACAGTAGTCGTGGTGGAAAGGGGCTCGGAGTCGGAGATATGTTCTTCCATTGGCAGCCCCCCCGCCACCGACTTGGACTGGATGCTGATTGCGGCCTCCGGGAGACGACGTTGCGCCAGCTCGGGCTTTCCTGACGCTAGATGGAATCCTCTAGGACCATTGTGTATTAAGAGCGAGGACGCAAGAATTCATTTACACGTTGCGTTGAGCAATTGGTCATCCTGCAACTCAAGTCTTACGGCGAGTATAGCCCAGTCGTCGGAACCAATAAGCCACAGCAGGCTCGCGGCTTCCAACATGCTATTCGCGGCCCTAGTCCATTGGTGCCTTTGACCCATCTGAAGCCTAACGAGTGCCTACCCACAAGAGACTGTGGCACTAGTTTCCAACGTGCTCGGCTGCGTGGGCTGAGCCCCATGGCCAGCAACGATAGCGATCGGAAGCCTCATCGAAAGCACGCTTCATCTTCCCGGCGCAAGAGTGTCGTCCATAGCTCGGCGAAGCGTCATGACAAAGCGGACGACGGCCTTGCTACCTCACAACCAACTCCGACCCTCGATGAATTGCGTAGCTCAAGAGTCGAATATTTCTCGAAGACTCCGGAGCAGAGGCGCAAGACTATGAAGTATGTCTACGACCAGCCAATATCATCCCAGTCGTGGCCGTTGAAGCGAGGGACGAAGGACCCCAGATCCTCAGGCTCGAGTAAGCGCAAGGAGGCCGAGTCCAGATCCAGGAAGAAGAGGTCGCGCAGTCACGACAAGGACGTGAAAAAAGATGCGGATAGGGTATACCCGACGCGCACACAGACGAAACCGGACGAAAATGCATCGGACCAAAAGCCGGTGCGAACGACAGAGGCAAATTCCGACAAGGCAACCACAAAGAGACCACGGTCCAGCAAGGCAACCGTAGAGCGCAAGCCACTTCAGCGACGTCATACAGCACCTGTCATCGTCGATGAGGGGTTGGATGACTTACGAAGGTGAGTAAGTTGATGCCGCCTCTGACAGAAGCGCTAACGCATCAACCAGGTCAGTCAGTGACGACAGGCCTACCACACCACGAAGAGTCTCTACCGTCCAACGTGTCTCAGAAGCGGCACGACCGCCCCTCAAGCGCAGCTCGACGAGTGCTGCAGCGAGGACCGAAGTCAGCCTCGCGAAGTCGTCCTTGAGCGTCCGCCCTGAAAAGAAGGCACCTTCTGTTCTGTCCACATTCTTCCACTCGAAACCAGCCTCGCCAGAAAAGAAGGTTTCCTGCCTGACTTGTGGCGATGATGGTATACCAATCTCGAAATCGGCGAAGTTGCCTTGCAAGCATCGTATGTGCCACTCATGTCTCAAAAGAGTCTTCAAGATGTCCATCACCGACCCGGCGCATATGCCACCTCGATGCTGCACTGACGACCACATCGACCTAAAGCATGTTGACAAGTTGTTCAATCAGGAATTTAAGAAGAACTGGAATCGTAAATTCCTCGAATACAAAACCAAGAACAGAATATACTGCGTTGGCAAGAATTGCGGCGAGTGGATCAAGCCTAGCCATGTCAACATCGAGCATGGTCGGAAGGTGGGCAAATGCAAGCGCTGCGGGACTAAGGTCTGTGCCATCTGCAACAACAAGGCGCACAGCTCTCGTGATTGTCCTAAGGACCCGTCGACTAAGCAGTTCATCGATACGGCAAAAGAGAAGGGCTGGCAAAAATGCTTCAACTGCTCGGCTATGGTCGAGCTGAAGGAAGGCTGCAACCATATGACGTGTCGGTGCATGGCCGAGTTTTGCATGGTCTGTGGCCTGAAATGGAAATCGTGCGACTGTCCGTGGTTCAATTACGAGAACGTGGATGCTCACCTGGGCAATCCACAGCGTTTTCAGGAAGAAATGGAGCGAAGAAGAGATCAGGAACAACGAGACGAAGTGCTAGCCAGGCGCATGGAGGTTCTTGGAATCGACGGAGAAGATGGTGGCGGAGGCCTTTTCGGGCTGGGTAACGCCGCCGGACACCACATGAACCAGAACTTTATCCAGCAGGCGCGTGAAGCACTCACGGCCAACTATCAGAACGCGGAGCAGGCAGCAAGAGGACTGCTGAATGGTTGGTATACCGGCCGCGAGAATCGGATGCCAGATATTCCTGAAGATCTGAATGACCTTCCGAGGCTACTAAGGCAAGCAAGTCAACGACAAGCACCCGTAGACGAGGCCGAGGAAGCCGCAAGCCCAGAACGAAGAAGACGGAACACACACAGGCGCAGAAATCCAGCACCCGAGTTGGCGCAGCCATTCGCCAACGGTCGATACCAGCCGACCGAAGAAGACAGACAACAGGAACGGAGGATCCGGGAATGGGCTACCGGCGTTACCGAGTGATTGTGCAACCAAATGAATTTGACGAACTCACGAATGGAAGGGGAAAATAGATACCGACGCATGGGATTACTGGTCGCTTGTTGAGCCCAGCTTGCGGCTACGACTTCGTTGTATAAACTTATGGCTTATGAATCATGACTCTAGGATGGTACCAATATTATTATGAGCCTTTGACATTAAGATCAAGATGCTATATCTGATAACTTCCTCGCCCGGCCGTTTGCGTTGCCGTCGTCGCATTCTAGGGGCAAACGGGAATATAGTGGGCCATCAGGCGGCGAGGCAGAAATCCGACATCGGCCGTCAGTCTAAACTTCTTACACAACGTCCACTGACCAAGTCCTGCCTGGAGACTACATTCGACATCCTACCTTCGGTCAAAGCTCCTCTCGATTCGGGTTGGACATTGGAAGTGACATTGAGCGAAACCAATCCACCATGCCCGAATTCAATATCGTTGTCTTTGCGGGCGACTATGCGGGGCCAGAGGTAAGTTCCAACCACAAGCCCGCTGTAAGAAAAGTCTTTGGGGACAAGGGGAAGGCACCCAACACTTTCGACACGGCAGGATGCCGTGAGATTACGATGCGGCTCAAAGGCTTCTGCTACATCACCAACAGTGTCCCACCTGGAAATCTCATACTGACGGACCCGACTCTCCACAGGTCACCGCCGAGGCCGTGAAAGTTCTCAAGACGATCGAGAAGTGCAGGCCCGATGTCAAATTCAACTTCCAAGACCATCTCCTCGGTGGCGTAAGCACTTCAGCCTGCACCTTGTAACCACTCCGAGTGCTCACAGCCTTCCAGGCCTCCATTGATGCGCACCAGAACCCTCTTACAGACGAAGCCCTTGCTGCCGCCAAATCCGCACATGCTGTCCTACTCGGCGCCATCGGTGGTCCCAAGGTACAAGCGGCCCTCTACCATCTCCCACCTCGATCACCACCTCCTCTCCTCTTCCCCCATCTGCTAGCTAAAAACCCCCCTCCTACTGACCCAAACCTTCACAGTACGGCATCGGCCCCATCCGCCCCGAACAAGGCCTCCTCCGCCTCCGCAAAGAGATGTCCACCTTCGGCAACCTGCGTCCCTGCTTCTTCGCCTCCCCGACTCTGACCGCACAGTCCCCCCTAAAATCCCACATCTGCGAAGGCACCGACTTCACCGTCGTCCGTGAGCTGACGGGGGGCATCTATTTCGGCGAGCGACGCGAAGCCGACCCGGCCGACGGCGCCAACGAATCCGCCGAGGACCGCGAGCCGTACTCGCGGCGGGAGATTGAGCGCATCACGCGCCTGGCGGCGCACCTGGCGCTGGCGAAGAACCCGCCCTCCAAGGTGTGGAGTCTGGACAAGGCGAACGTGCTGGCGACGAGCCGGCTGTGGCGCCGCGTCGTGAGCGAGGTCATGGCCAACGAGTTCCCGCAGCTGGAGCTGGAGCACCAGCTGATCGACAGCGCGGCCATGATCATGGTCAAGAACCCGAGGCAGCTGAATGGTATTATCGTCACGAGCAATCTCTTTGGCGACATTATCAGCGACGAGGCCTCGGTTATTCCGGGGAGTCTGGGGTTGTTGCCCAGTGCGAGTTTGAGTGGTGTGCCGGACGGCAAGGGCCTGTGTAATGGTATTTACGAGCCGATTCATGGCAGTGCGCCGGATATTGCGGGCAAGGGCGTCATTAACCCTGTCGCGGCTATCCTGAGTGTGGCGATGATGTTGTTGTACAGTCTCAACATGCCTCAGGACAGTGTGCTGGTGGAGCAGGCGGTAAGGTTGGTGATCGAGAAAGGGATTACAACGAAGGATATTGGAGGGAGCAGTTCAACGCAGGAGGTGGGAGACGCGGTGGTCGAGGCACTGGAGACCCTTTACAAGCAGCTGTGAGTCGGGGCTTCTTAAGACCCCTAAATGTTGCGTTGGGCTGCTCAGCGTGTAGAACAGCGGCTGCAGTGCATCAATTGAGCCGAAGATAGACTGATGAGATTCGGTCAGAAGCCACAAAAGCATTCTGCACGCTGCCTCCACCCCCTAGGCAATACATTCATCGACTTCGTACCGCGCCCTCATTCTTCAATCGCTGCGTCGCAGATAGTGTCTTCACTCGGACCACCAACGCTCAAACACGCTTCAGACCATTCCTCTCCGGTGGTGTTGAAATAGGCAACGATGCTCTTGACTGCCATAGTCACATCGCTTGTGCTGGGTGTTCCCGACCACCACTTGTTGCCATCGGCCCAGAGCTTTAGCTGATAGTCTGGTTAGCAAGTTGTCATGGAATTTCGAAGGCGGGTGCAAAGTGGTGGCGGATGGAGTGAGCCTAACCACAGCTCTGCTGAAATTTTTCTTGTAGTAGCATCGGTCTGGACTATGGACTATTGTTTGTGTCACTCCTTTAAGATCGACGGAGCCGATATCTATGCAGGAGACTGCTCAAGGCTGTGGATGTCCACAACCTCTAGGTTGGTTCTGGGTCATTGGAAAGGGGTTCTGGAAGAATTGAAGCCCCAAAGATAATCATTCGAGACTTACTTGCAAATTCCCTCCGAGCATTGGGGCACGTACGTCTTTGTGCCTCAATTCACCGTCAAGGTAGTATCTGACGCCTGTGTCATCGCTATCGAAGCGATGCTCACGGCAGACGTCGGCGTTGGTACCATCTTCTGCTAACGTCGGCTCTCGGAAAGTTGCCCCGGGAACCGGCAAGCCATTTTCATCAGTCGAAGGATGCGTAGTGTAGTTAATGGTGCCATTGACGAGCGAGTCGCCTTCCGTCACCACCTCAATGTCCAACTCGCTGCGGTCGTCCTGCAGACACTTGTCAGTGCGTGGGAGCGTTGACTCGAAGAAGGCGGCAACGAAGGTTGCCAGACGTTAATGTAAGGCGGAGCGAAGCAGCGAGAGGCTTACTCTGTACCAAAAGAAACCGGCGCAGGAGCCACCTGAGTCTCCGGTAACCTTGAATATCGCCCTGAAAGTGCCGTGCAAGATGTCGATACGCTTTGACTGGATACCAGCCATCGAGACATGAGTCCCGTCGGTGAAGCCTTTTTGCAGCAAAAGTAAAGAACCGTCTTGAACGCGAACATTCTGGTGATTGTATTTGGCATCCACTCTGATGGCTGGGTCGTCGGCACGCTGCCAGTAATCGTAAATCATCCAGTCTTGTAGAAAAGATTTAGCCTTGCCATCCGAGAGCATGTTCTTGATGTCAGGAGTGAGGCCGAAGTCGTAATTGAGGCGATGGGTGTAGACTTTGTCTGTACCTTCCAATCGCTAGCCGCAGGCACATTCGGATTCCGCACCGCTGCGGGCAATGGCGATGAACAGGATAATAAAGTATAAGAGGAAATGCATACTGATCTCTGTGGAAGTGGAGTTGATGCAAATTAAGCGGATCGAGTAAAGTGATGCAACGAAGATATTCCTCTGATAAATGAGAGGGAAAGAGGTCAGAGAGCGGGAAAAGATGAGGCGAAGGCAGGCTGGAAGGGGGATAGCACCTTCCCTTCGGTAGCAATAACGTGTACTCTGCTGCAGAGGCAGCGACCATCAACGGGAGGCGACGCACGTGCGACAGCGCCTCACCTGGTCTCATCGCTCAGTGGCTGTCTCCATAGGTCGAGTCGAAAGCAGCCACCCTGTCTTTCATTGCTGTCCATCTCCGCGGCGGTCTTAGCCACATGTCTAGCGGATACACCACAACCTAGTAGGGTTTATATCGGCTCTCTTTCTTGGTCTTGGTAGGTTTTTGCGTGCTCTGTGAGCTGCTTGCACGATACGCTTGCACTCTGCCGTCTTCGCCAGCTGTGAAGATCATATTGTCCTTCACGAAGATGGACCGCACAATCTCTTCCCCATGCGTACCTTGAAGAATGATGCGATTGTTGAGGTCCAGCGAGCCTGCAGATCCGATGGGTACCATATCAACCTGCGACATGCTGTGTGAACCAGCCGCGACCACAGACTCCGATTCGGTTCGCAGCACGTCAATGACATACTCGCAGGGTATCACAGGTCGAAGGTCACCTAGCAGCATAGGAGTCGGCTCTTCGACCCGAGCATCGTCGAAGACTGGATGGAGAGCAAGGTTCTGATCAGAGCTCAGGGCGTACATTGAGTTTTGGTCGAGAAAGCCAGCTTTATGGATTGGGCCATGGGTGAATCCTTGCACCAGGCTGTCCTGCTCTTCGGCAATGAGCGAGTCGAAGATGCTGACTTGTCCGTCATCTCCACCAGCGAGAACTATATTGGATTTGCTAGGGTGGAAGTCGATGGCAGTGATATCGTCGTGGTTTTCCGCATTTGACCATGATGCAGCAGAAGGTTGTCGCAAGTCCCTGCAACATGAAGATTAATCGGTTATCCCATCAGGTTGGCAAGGAATCGAAGCAAGTAAGACAGAAGACAGACAGGTTGGGAGACTGAAAGACTCACCAAACGCTGACGACAGCTTGATGATTCAAGTATTCGGTACCAACTGCAAGACTGGTACCCTTACAAGCCAGCGCCGTCACTGCCTTACCTAGCGAGCCATCAGCATGGTCCTGAGAGTGTAATAGTGAGGTTACTTACCCACCTTGAAAGTGGTAGTTCTCTCATAAGACCTTAGATCAAAGACGCAGACCTCATCTTTCCCGGAGCAGATGACGGCTCTGCCATCATCTGACGGAACCAGACACGTAATTTGCGACGGCGGCGAGGGTAGAAGAATGCCTGAGGCTGTATCCAGTGAGCCAGAGTTGACCACGAATACTTCGTCAGCCGATGTGATTCCAGCAAGATTTTGTCCACTGCAAGGTACGATTTTGTATACATAAGAATCCTTCTCAGCCGATGGGCTGCAGCTGGCATAAGGCTGGAAGTAATTGGCCATAGCTCCGAGACATGAGAGGTTCTCGTCGATCCTGAGACGTCTAGTGCGGAAGAGTTGTTTGCAAAGGACTAAGTAGAGAGCACTGAAGTCGAAGTTTCAAAGTGGGTTTCAATGCTGTGCGAAACACACCTAATTGATCTATACGCATCCAGATGACGGTGATCGCTACCGTGGACGATGGTCTAGAGCGTCGTACTAAAAGCGGCTGTAGCACTTACGAGATTTCAATATTGCGATCATGAAAACGACAGGCCCAATACAACGACAGGAAAACAGAACGTAGGTGAAGTTCGCTAGCATCTTTTTGAGTGCATAATCAGGCCATTCGCCCGTCATAAGATCTTCTGCATGCTGCCTCATGCCTTCAAGACGCTCGGTCATGCAAGGTCCCGCTCAAGGAACCATCTCGGGCCTAGGGGTCGCCTGAAGGCCGTCATATCCCGTCGTCTCTTCCACACATCCGAAAACATCTGCGCCTCCGCCCAATTCCGTCATCTTCTCCACCACTCCGAAACTAGAGAGAGCAACACATTTACGCAAAAGTGCTGGGTCTGGTGGCAGAGAACAACTTCTTGCTCTTGGCGGCGCGGTGAGGCAGAGGGAACTTGAGGTCTTTTGAGACTAGCTGTTTGATGTATGGGCGGCGGATAGCGTTGAGATCGGTGACTTCGACGACCTTGAGGATCTGTAGGGCAAATTAGCATACTGGAGTTGTCGATCGTCTACCGGAGCTGACATACGTGGATAGTCCTGAATCGAGCACGATGGCGGGCGGCCATATCCTTGTACAGCGCCTCAACGGCATCGGCTCTGGTCATCTCTCGGTACTCCTTGTACATGTTGTGAGTGCCGGAGCGCGAGTCGTAACGGATCCAGATGCCGAAGTTCTTGACCTTGAGGGGGCGCTTCTCGTGGATCTTGTTCAGAGAGACGACCTCGCCGTTGGACTTCTTCACTTTGCGTAGCTTCATCAAGAAGTACCAGAATCGAGACTTTGCGACAACATCGTTGGGAGCGAAGACGCGCATGCGGTAGAGCTTGGGGGTGGGGTTGCTATCGGTCGGCAGGTGGCGGCCGATGACCTGGTATTCTTGGAAGCGACCTAGAGGGCGATGTCAGTCTCATGTTCAAGAAATGACTCGTCAAATGTTAAATTGATGGTCCTCTCCTCAACGCCATTCAATCGCAGGTCTTCCTTTCGCATCTTTCCACAACAATGTCGCCCGAGGTGCTCGCCATCTAAAGCCACAAACGAAGGCCATGAGGGATGAGGGTCTCTTGGACCGACTCTCGGAGCCTGCTCCCCTAACCCCCTCAAACAAACCGCATCCAGGGTATATAAACAGCAATGACTTTCGGGGATCTATTTGTGGGAGGTGACGGCGTAGGACTTACCCATCTGCAATAAGTCAGTATATAAACAGATTAACTTCGTCGCGGAGTCAGTACATACCTTGATTGAAGTTCCGGCCGCTATTGTTGTCGGTGAGAAGGTCAGAGGTGCGGTTCGAGAAAGTGTCTGCGGCAGACGAGCGCACTTGCAAAATGCAAATCTTGGCGCTCGAATGTGCGCGCCTTCCGGAATCAGGACTAGCACATCTAGCCTTGCGAAAAGTGGGTCAGTTTTCAGCCTCGTGGAACGTCCTTGCCAAACAACCACCCTACAGATCGTTCGTCGCTGCAGTGCTATGGGCCAAAGAAGAGACTCGAACATCGGTCCACGAGAATGTCGTCTATCTTCTCGGACTTTCAGGAGGCCCAGAAGATCGGAAATGGCGTTCTCCTCGCCAGCTGCCTCGCTCCGGTAAACACCGCGCGGGACCCAAGACGGCTTGACGCTCTCTCTCAACTTTCAAATTGGCAGACGGCCCCAGCAGACATTCGTCACCACCTCTTCCAACGACCCGGAAGCGTCAAACTGCCCAAAGCGGAAGCCAACTGTTGGGTTGACATCTTCGTGTCATTATGGAAGTGTGTTCGTGACCTTGCCGATATCAGCGCTGGCATTGGTGGTGACTGGAACCGCGCCTTTGAAGCCTACAAAGAGCTCTGCAATCATCTCATCAGAGGCTACACAAACTTTGGTTTCCATGCTTGGACAGTGCCCTGCTTTCACTCAACTGGCAAGTACTTGCGTATGATCGCTATGAAAGCCGACCGTGAATCCAAGCCTGCCACCAATGGAGGTACGTTCAGCGCTGACTTGGCCGATGACATCGTCAATACCAATCAGCACAAAAGGCTCGAGGAGGCGGCCTGGCTAATCAATCGGATGTTCACCGTCTGCTTATCCGACCGCAGCGAGTTGACAGACTCTCGAAAATGGGGCATCTACAGCACCACGAACCTGCTTTTCAAAACGTACTTCAAACTCAACTCTCTCCCTCTCACCCGAAACGTCATTCGCGCCTTAGATGCCGCAGATGATGACCTCCCGCCTCTGCACCTCTTCCCTAAGCCTCAGCAGTGCACATTCAAGTACTACCGCGGCGTGATCGATTTCCTGCAGGAAAATTACGCGGATGCGGAGGAGCACCTTGAGGAAGCGCTGGCACTGTGCTACAAGCATTCGATGAGGAACCGAGAGCAGATATTCACCTATCTGATCCCGGCGCATATCCTGAACCACCACCAGCTCCCGACTCAAGCTCTACTGGATCGTACGCCCACGCTTTCTAAGCTCCTCACGCCACTATTCAAGGCCATAAACCTCGGCAATCTCCGGGCTTTTGACGTTGCGCTAGCTGATGCCGAGCCGGAACTAGTCCAGCGAAGAATATACCTTACGCTGGAGCGGTCCAGAGATCTATGTATGCGCAATCTTTTCCGGAAAGTCTTGCTCAATGCTGGCTGGGAGGAGCAGAAAGATGCAACCACAGGCGAGGTGACTGGAAAGATTCGGCGGACCCGAATCAGGATAGAAGAGTTTGAGGCAGCGATGCGCGTAAGCTGTCGGGGAGGCGACGAGGTTGTGGATCGAGATGAAGTGGAATGCTTCTTGGCTGGGCTGGTGTATAAGGTACGTTTACCCGTCTCAATTGTCGTCGAGCGATTGCGATGACAGTCGGGCACCGCTGCCTGAGGCGCAAGCTTCCGGAAACCCGTTCCTTATGCCTTGAGCCTGACCATGCTGACTCAACATCCTCCAGAACCTCATGAAAGGCTACATCGCCCGCGATCGCGGCATCGTGGTGCTCAGTAAAGCAGGCGCTTTCCCTGGCACCGGCGTCTGAGCGATACAAGTCGCTTCGTTGCGCAAGCGCAGCCGCCTGTCGCACGCACGCACGCGGCCGGATCGCAAGCCCAGTGCCTATGACTTGTAAAGGTGGGCAGGCGTTCGACCAGCCCAGCCAGCCGCATATGTGAATTGCGTGCTGCCTTATCTGCCGCACTTCACCTCAAGCCAGGCACCTCTCGCTAACCACTAGCGAAAAGTTCGATAGATGGCTGCATGCATGCGTGCATGCCTATCACTCTCAAGACTCAAGTTCTAGCCAATACACGTCCTCCTCCCAAAAGTCCCGCGCATCTGGCGGAAGTCCACACTGCGTTGACAAATCACCATTTTCGGTCCGCACCTGTCCTCTATTGGACCCCTGTCATCAGTGGCTAAAGCATCATTGAGCTTGAGACTACTGGGGAGAAAAGGCAGGATGAGTCAAAACGAGTGGGGTCCACGTGTCAACGCAAGGGTTTACGCACTAGGGGTCGACAAAATCGACGGGCGGCCTCCCCGGACTCAAATCACGTCTTTTCGGGTGGTGTTCCTCGTGAATTTTGTCGACCCCTAGTGACGCCAGGCATCAACATACAAGCGAGGTGGCTACGCCAGGCATCCAGTACTCAGCCAAGCCATGACTCGGGAGAAGCAGGGTGCCGAGCTTGGGAGATCTACCATTTCTGTAAACCAGTGGCTCTGCCGTGGCTATTGCTGCGACGACCGAACTGATTGATACTCGAGCTGTTCGATTAGACAGGAAGATGCACCGAGAGTGGTTTCTTACCCAATACTACATGGACGACAACAGTAGGTAATGCAATAGCTTTCATTATCCAAAGCCTAGATCACAGCCGCAAGAACGCCTTTCCCTTATAAGCCATCCGTTCACGGCTTTGGCCAATATTCAGTCTTTCGTTAATGATATCATATTTTCCGAATAGTGTACAGTTTATGGCAATTTCGTATGCCCTTTAGCATAAGTGGCCACGGCAGTAATGTACAGCATGGCGTCCTGGTGGTCTTTCCCACGCCTTGGTGAGAAGCCTTTGGTATTGAAATGAGATATGAAATAGATTGAGCAAAGTCAGACTTTTGGTGATAGATCATGCTTTGGCCTAGCGAGAGAAAGGAGAGCGGACAGTTTGTAGATCGTCCTGCCGTGCGTCAATAGGCAGAAGGCGATGAAGGTTTAGAACACCTACCATATGGTTACACATCGCCACGAAGAGATCAAAGAATAGCTTGCCGCCCTGCTCCATCTCCTGTGCCATAGTACCACTTCGCTTGAAGGTGTTGCGGCTGCGGATGATGAGAGTTAGGAAGTGCGCCCTAAGCTTCGAGTCGCTGTCAGGAGTGTGCGCGTATGCCCATCGAGCAGAAGTCAGAATGGTTGCAACTGCCACGTTGGATTGTAAGCCTTGCTTGCGCAGGGCGAGGCGTTTCAGGTCGTCAAGACCGTAGCGTTCTGCGGCACAACTAGACGAAGGTTAGCATTCGTAGGTGCAGTCAAGGATCGATGCTTACTAAATGGCAGTATCTTTGAGTAAGGCTTGCTTGATAGCATGGTGGTAGATGGTGGGCTCGTATCTGTTGCCATCCTCAAGCTCCCAGGTATCCTTTCGTTTGTTGTGGATAAGCTTTGGTGAATAGTCACCTTTGTAAAGATACTCGAGAACAGCCGAGAGAATTTCAGGCTGTTCGTCTGGAAGATTGATACGACGTGACGATCCATCGTAGAACTGCCCTCGGCATGCAGTGCCGAAGAACGGCGAACGGCAGAGTATATCTTCATGACCCGCAAAGAGGCGCTGCTCCGGGCCAACGCAAAGCGTGATTATCGGAGAGGTCAGCGTGCTGCAGGTATTAGCATATAACAGTGGCATGCGATGACAGATCTTACCTTCCAGCCGATGGACTTGTAGGTTGTTTCGACGATGGCGACCTCACCGAGTCTCCCCGTCGTAGACCAGTCGAGATTGATGCCTCTTTGAAAGACTTTTTGACCTTCTGTGATTTGCCTGCGCCATATCTTGAAGAGAAACTCTCGGATTGTGTAGGTCTGTGAGCGAACATTTTTGAAAGCAGGTGTAAGTCGTGGCGACGTCCTCTCGATGGTCAGGCGTATCGTGATTGATGCTGCACAGAAGAGTGTCCGCTACCCACAACGGATGATGGGAATTTGGTGACAGATTGGGCTGTTGGGGCTGGGTTAGTGATAAAGATACAAAGACGTGAAGCTACATCAAGATGACAACGAGCGATAGATGTTGCAATGAGGCTGCTGCCTGTTAGGATCACTGCTGCTGTGCGGACCTCACAGCGATAGAAAGAAAGGGAAGGGAAAGGCGAAAGGGGCGAGCTTGAATTTATTGGGCAAGCATATGTCAGCCTGCAATGCCGGGAAAGTAGCCCTGGAGCAGCTGTGACAGTTGCTGCTTATCATGACTGTAGCAGGTAAAGAAGGAAGCTGGCTTCAAGGGCTAAGGCAGAAATGGAAGGGCCACGGTCGACGCGAACCTTGACACGGTCGCTCCTTCCTTGATCGCGTTCTCACATGACCACTAAAGCCTATTCGGGCTAGCTTTATGGTGGCACCCACTAATCCAGGCATCGAGATAGGCTGCACATGGTGCGAACCACCTCCCCCGGCTGTCTGCAGAAAGCCTCCTTGCAGGGTCAGTGCCGGTCCGCCTAGAGCCCAGATTCCATCGCCACTTCCCCTCTCCCTATCCGAGTCATAACTGCGGCCGTCCTACGGCTGCAACCAGGCATCCGGACAACCGCCGCTTGCAGCAGTGGTGTTGCCTCACTGGACGTCAAGATAGAGTCACCACGGCGTGCCTATAAGGCAATACATTGCATTCGTCGCCAGTCAAGGCACGGCAAGACACGGCTGCCTCAGACTCCGGTAATGTGATACATCGCCTCCACATCAGGTGGAGAAGAAGATCAAATGTCCCTGGACTCGGTCCCAAGCACACTAGGGTAAGAGGTACCTGCATCCGGCCATCATGAATGGTGTATGGGATTCTGTTTCTGATTCGTACACTGTCATGCCCTGACACAAGCCTTCCGGACGTCGCCCCATACCAAACCCTTGCTCCATCATGATCGTCCTCGTGGCTCCATTGGTCAAGGACCTCTCAGTTCAACCGTGTGGTGCCGTCTTGCCTCCAGGACTACACGGTGTTCCGGTTCCTCGAGCTTCATCCGAGAAAGTTGTGCCGTTCGAGCAACCTATGAGCAAGAGACTGACTGATCGGTTGCATCTATAGCGCCGGCGTGCTGCGGACACCTGCAGCTCCTTGTTTGCTTCTTTGGTACTGAAGGTGGTATAATAGTATGTTACCATGCTGTTGCTGCTGCTGCCAACCTCTTCGAAGACACCGAGAGCTGCATGGTCTGATACACCTTGTGGCTGCGGACTCGCGTTTGTAGGTGTGAGCTGCTCTGTAAAGCCTTATAGAAACACTCTTTTTGCGTCTCTGGGATGGCTTTCCACTGGACAGTAGGGACACTTGAACTTAGCACCCTTGCTCAGTTTCTGTAGCGACTCTTGCGCGAGAACATGGCAGCAAGGGAGCATCATAGGCGGGTTTGCATCTGTTGTTTGCTCTTTCGAAACCGGGCAGACAAATATCGAATGGAACTGATATGATGCCGGCAGTGGTGTTTCGGCTGGAAGCTCATCTTGCGACGTCCATTCAGTATGTTTCTGCTTCTGAATGGCCTGGAGTTTGAGTAGTATTGGAAGCGCAATTGCACCAGCGGTCGCTGCAATATATAGTGGCGAATCTGCTGAGAGCTCTAGGAGCGAGCAGAATTCACGAACGAACGAGCTCGCCACTTCGTCCCATGATGCAGTATTATAGAATCGCGTAGCGTACGGCGATTCTTCTAGATTTGATGCGAAAGCCATGGCGGCAATGAGCTGCTGAATTTCAGACAGATATCGACCTCGGAAGTGTTGGAAGTCGGTCTGAGCATAGAGCAAGGCTTCCATTTGGCTCGATCCCAGGAAGAGCGTGATGTATTTCAGGCGACAGAGCTCGAATTCCAAATTGCTTCCTCTGGCTTCCAGAGCACTGCAATTGCTACGGGCCCAGTCGATGGCAGGTTGCAGGTTGTGATTGTCTTTGAGCTCGCTAAGGATGTGATACATGTTGGTGAATTGCTCTTGCATATTCTCAGAGATGGACTTGTCCAACCCCAGTGGGTGCTCCATAGGCACGTCCATGCCCAGAGCGGCGGCAGCGTCTTGCTGGATCTTCTGTCTTGCGCTTGCTTCGTCATGGAATTCGGAGGCAACATCAAAGAGCCCTTCTCGCAGTAGATGGAGATATATGGCGCGGTTGACCAGGGTCGGATGGGTAGACAGTGCGTCAATCTCGCTACTCGGTAGTGGCTTGTCTTTGAAGACCTTATCTAACGCCCTTCCGTACTTTGTATGACTGCTATGCACGTCCTTGAGACCCGCAAGCATGCCATCAAACGACATCTTGACGGGGTTCTGTAGCTTTGCCAAAGCCACCGCAGCTGCACTAGGATCTTCGGCTATGGCATCGCGAGCCTTCTGAAGTGCATCGATGACATCTTGTGCCTGGTCTCTATTCTTCGACTTGCGGGCGCCGGCCCAGACTTTGTCATGGTCCTTCTGGACGCCATCCATCGTGACGGATGGGGTGTATGAATAGCTTCACTTCGTAGATTAAGGATTGGAGATACGCAGCGAAGACATGGCCAAAGTCGGGTAGGCGGCAACTGGAGCCAGATCTAATATGAGTTGTATCAAGAGTGCGATGGTGGTATCGAGAGGTGCAAGGCAAGATGAGCATGTGAGCGCATGATCTGACGGGATGCGGTGGGCAACGACCGGAGGGGCGCTTCACTTAAGCATTGACAGCCGAGGCTAGCGCTCCAGGCGGACCAATTAGTAGTGACCAATAGCCTCCAGATGAGTAAAAACAGGGCCTAAGACATACCGGGCAGGGCCATTGCGCCGCCCCCCATCTAGGCTTGCGTTGCTTTGGATTGTGCTTCTTCCAGGCGGCGCCCGAGAAAGCTTGAGACTACTGTTTAGCACCTGCCCAGCTGGGGTAGATCTAGCAGTCAAAATGGCCATGCCTCCACCCATGGCGATGCCATACTTCCATCACACTCCATCATCTCCGGAGGACCGACGCTTCTCCCCCAATCCCGACGACATGGGTGACGGCGACAGAGAAGACGTCCGCGTGACGAGGACGTCAAATCAGCTAGAGAGGCCTCAAACAACTCCGCGGCCGCACGCGGCAACGGCAAGCCGGCAGAAGCTGGTCTTCACCGATCCTGTTGCTTTTCGATATCTAGAGGAGGATCCCGACACCATTGTGCTGGATAGACGGAGGAGACTCGAAGGGTACGAGCTGTACATCGTCGAGCAATGGGCTTGTTCGCGTAACCATCCGACGTTTCTAATCTGCACCTACACCGGCGATGCATCGCGGTCTGTCATTGTCAGCGTGCTAAGCGTCCCCTCTGACGCGTCTGCTTGGTCACCGCGCCTCAAGCTCTACCTTGATGCAATGTCTCAGTACCATGCTAAGCCGAAAGAGACGCCTTACGGTGACATTCTAATCACCAACCTTTCGGGCTTCCCGTCGTCATTGACAGTGATTTCGGTATCCGATGGAGATGTGAAAAAGCACCGCGAGGACTTCATTGTCAACGAGGATCTGAAGCGGATGGGTTGCACGGGTCGAGCTGCCATCAACTTACTTCCCCCCCAGCAAAGCACAGTCGCCAAGTTTCATCAACTCTATCGGACGAGTGAGAGTGCTGGCATATACCAAGCAGTGATTGAGCTTGTCAAGCTCTGCCAGAAGGCATTGTTGATATATGGGCGTCTTCAGGAAGCCTATACCGACGGACTGCTTTGCGATATCACCGAAAAAGCGATAGGTGACTGGTGGACTGAGATTGGAGTTTATTTCTACAACACCGAGCCAACCGATGGCGTGCTCGGCCCAAGTACAGTTGCTGCTCTTCTCGGCCTACTGATCGGTGCTTACAACAGGCTAAAGGCTTGGGGAGCCCCAGTGGGAAAGGACATATTCGATATACCCAGCATGAAGCGTGCGATTGGATCGTTCCAGAAGGCCGCAAAGCTGGAGAGGTCGCGGCGATTAGATCGCGAGACCATCGACCGGCTACATCGAGCTACCGCAAAGACCGCGAGTGGTGAAGGTTGGACTGTGCCACGGGCTGTTAAATCGACACTGGCTGAAGTGAGTGGCAAAGGAGGTGAAATGGTGATGGGTATTGTTGGTGGAAAGGATAAAGCAGGCATCTCAGATGTTGAGACTTTGGATATTGATCTGTTTGCACAACTCGTCGTCGGCGCCAGAATGAAGTGGCTTTGGCAGGGAAAATCCAAACCGGTTGATGTCCGCATCGCTGACGGGGAGGGTCTTGAAGGCAAGATCTTCAGCACCGATGACCAGGGCGGCTTCATCTGGACCAGCAATAAGCGAGACTCCGTCCAAGGAACCAATCTTGAACGCGCGGATACGACAAGTACTCTCGCTCCGCCAAGTGCTGAAGGCAAGTCTGGCTTAAACCGTATTCGAGATGCTGTGGGCGGCAAGCTGCACAACCCACGCCCACTTCACGAACGTGAAGAAACGTCAGACTGGAACGATACTCCCACGCCTGGTCTCTCGGCCGTCTCCTCCAGGCTAGAACCAACAAGCACGCCAGACGACCCGCTGCATCCCCCGCTTGATCAGGCTCTTGTTGAAGCCTCACCGTATGCACACAAAAAATCTCCCAGTGGTCATACAGAGCGCGAACGCGCACACTACAACCTCCAGGGACCCCCCGCAACGCGGCAATCACTCGATCACGTCCCAGCGTATCGCCAACAACTCAGGCCTGCTGCACCCGCCTCATCCCCACGGAAGCGCCAGATCGAAGCTTCCCTCTCTGCCCTCCGCACCGATCTACAGAACCCGACATACACCAACTTCAGCACGCCCTACACGCATGACGAACCCCAATCACACGTCCTCCGCCGATCCCGCTCCGCCATTCAACCCGTCGCCACCACCTTCGCCGACTTCCCCCGCCAGAACCGCCTAAACCGTCAACTATCCTTCTCAATTGTCGAGCCCTCCATCCTCACCTTTTCCGACCTCGTCACCGACGATGCCCAAATCGCACCCTTCCCGAAACAAGACGGCGTGCAACAACATTCGCCCGCCGCCGCGATGGCCGCGCGCGACGCTCTCACCGCCCACGCCGTCAAGCGCAGCCGCCGCATCTCGCAGATCCAACAGTCGCTCATCCCCTTCACCGAGTCGCAGGTCGCGCACGTCGAAGCCCTGGACAACAATGCCGCCGCGCACCTCGAGGAGCTCAACAATATGTACTACCAGAAGCTGGAGGAGTATCAGACGCTCCGCGCCACGAGCAGCGACGTCGTAAGCCAGGAAAGGGGGACGCTCAACGACAGTTTGCGTCGCATTGAGGTGCTCGGCGCCAAACTCGACTACGAGCTCAACGCGCTGCAGTCGAGGATGGCGGAGGTGGAGGCCGCAGTAGGGGAGTTTGAAGGGAGTGTGGTGGGGATCGAGAGGAGAGTGGGGGAGCTGGTTGGTGGCGGCAGTGAGGAGAGGCACGAAGGCGTGCCGTGGACGCAGAGGCTGATCAACTTTCTAGGGAGTGGGAAGTAGTTATACCCGTAGAGGGATGATAATTGATGGGGAACATTTAGCGACGGCGTTGGTGGTGAGATTGGATTTGCATTTGTTACATGGAAGCGTTTCCTGGATAGTCACTCAGGGCCGCTTTGGTGGTGTTGATACATTGACCTGAGGATCAACGAGGCAGACAACCGTTCTTTCCTTCGTCTCCTGGTATGACTGCAATGCATGCACGCCGTCATTCTCCCCACCTCCTCGTCACGTACCCGCGTCTCTGAACAGCCGTCTGGGAGGGACTGCCACTCATCTTCTCTCCCATGGACCGCGCTCTCGAAAAGTCGCTCCAGACGAACCCTCGGCAGCGCTCGCCCAGAGGCAGCGGTCGAGCCCTCTCAGCCGCAAGCAACTTCGCCCTAAAGCTCTTCCAGAGCCCTTTCCCTCCTTTCCCACAGATTCACAGGATCTGGCCGGAAGCCCACCTCGCAGCCCTCCCTCACTCCCTCACTCTCCTCTTCTGTCTCTGAGTGTATACGGAGTCTTTACATGCCAAACCCACCACCCATGCCCCCCCGTCCAGCGGCCTCACTCTGCATCTTCTCCGACACCTTCATATTGACCTCAAAAAACTTTGCGACGCAGCGGTCCAGACACACGCTCTCGCCCTTGTTGAGGTCCGCCTCGCGGTAGTCGGCGGGGACGCATTTCTTCATGCACGACGATGATAACCTGAGGGATGTGTGTCAGTCTAACTTACTACTCCAGAGCTGTGCCTTTTTGGGGGGTTGGGAGGGGATATGGAGAAGGAGGAGGGAGGGGAATAATTATGGTAAGGTCATCGGAAAAAACGTACCGGTTGAACATGTCACTGACAAGCTCGATCTCGGCTTCAGCGGCGGCGATGCGCTCCGCGGACGAGGGCTGCGGGCGGCCCATTCCGAAGAAAGACATGGTTGGCGGATGTGGGTTTTACTGGAAGACTGCGGATGAGGAGGCGGGAAGGTGTGGGATTGAATGAGGATTCGATGGGTTGATGCTTCAGTGCTTCGAGGCTCACTGCACATTCAAAAAGTTGTCGGCGATTGATTGAGGAAAGGTCCGCTCGAGGCTGCGCTCTAGGTCGAGAACGGGAAGGTTTACCGAACGGTCGCTGGCGCTGGGGGGACAAGATGATCGCGAACTTCCCGGCGCGGTTCCGATGAACTTGGCAGATACGTACAGTTCGACACGGCAGATATGGGCGGGTTGTTTGATTGCCTGTGGACTTGTAACGTAGGCCTATCTTGACCACCGGCGGAGTACCCTGCGAGGCCTCATGGGTATTGAAGTCTGACATATTATAAGAAGCAGCATCGCGCTGGCCTACGAGTAGTTTAGACCCCGCCAGTGATTGTCTCGTTGTGCAGATTGTGTAGCAAAGCGCCCCCGATATCCTATTGGCTCGGAGGTACCTTCGTTCCCATGTCATTGATCGTGCCGGCTAAGGCACGTACGCCGGCGGGATCTAGCCGCTTCACGGCATCGCGCAGCATCGCGTGGCGCCCGATTTGCTTTTTGCCTACGACAGTGAGGGTTCCAAGGCCGGCGATTCCCAAGTCATGGTGTTCCTAAAGAGTGGTCGGATCTGGTCGCGTACAACTCAACAGGTTAGCCAGCCGGTGCGTTACGCCGGACCCCCTGCTGCCCCAAGTCAAAAATGCGCCGGTTGCAAAAGGCACTTGTTTATTGTGCCTAATCAGCTATCGGATCGTGGGGTCGGGTTTCCTTGTTTAGATGTGGGACAAGTGGAAACCTCGTTTGTGTATATATCTATATTCTGTCTGCCGGGTATGTGGAATGGATTGTTCTCCCTGTTGTGCTCTGCTCGTTACTCTTTATACTTCTATCGTCTCAGCGTGTTGTTGCATATCTCGGCCAGCATCATGGAGTCTATCCTAGACGACTGGCAAGCCAAAGTCGCCAGGAAGCAAGGCGTGGTTCGCAGCAAAGTACCTCAGGAGTGGCGGATTCCCGAATCAGTCACTAGTCAGTTACAGTATCCTCTCGAGGAACATGCCAACCGGCTGATTGAGCTGGATGTTGTCCGCAAGACCGGCATATTGACAGACCGGGAATACAACATCACCGAGAATTACACCGTTGCGGAACTGCTCGAAAGCCTTCAATCTGGAGATCTCTCCGCATCTGAAGTCACATTGGCATTCTCAAAGAGAGCCTCGATAGCAGGTCAGCTGACGAACTGTCTCACCGAGACATACTTCGACGAGGCCATGGAGCGAGCGAAAGCCTTGGATGAAATGCGGGCTCAAGGAGAGCTTGCAGGACCCCTACATGGCCTGCCCGTCTCGCTCAAAGACTCCTTCCGAATCACCGGTTCGGAAGCCACCATAGGCTATGTGTCGTATTTGGGAGAGAAAGCTGAGAAAGATTCACCTTTGGTCGAGATCCTCCTCGAGCAAGGTGCAATCATCTTCGTCAAGACAAATATCCCCATGACGTTGATGACCGCCGACTCCCACAACAACATTTTCGGACGGACTCTGAATCCACACAACACTGCCCTTACTGCTGGAGGCTCAAGTGGTGGTGAAGGTGCTCTCGTTGCCTTTCGAGGATCTCCTGTTGGAGTGGGTACTGACGTTGCAGGCTCCATACGAATCCCGAGCTTGTGCAACGGGACGTACGGATTCAAGCCCACAGCCGATCGAGTGAGCTATGGAGGCCAAGCAGCGCCAGTGGATCCAGGAGCTGGTGGGATTGTCGCGGCCGCCGGCCCGATAGCAAATGACTTGGAGGGCATTCAGCTTTGGACAAAGGCGGTTATCCACGCAGAGCCAGCAAGGTACGACTCTTCGGCTCTCGACATTCCGTGGAGGGACATCCAGTCCAAGGACAAGATGAGATTTGGCTTGCTCGAAGCGGATCCGAGATATCCGTTGCAGCCACCGATCCAGAGAGCACTGCGGGAGACTGTTCGCTTGCTCGAGTGTCAAGGTCATGAAGTGGTGACTCTGCCTGCAACTGAGACACGCCTTGATCAGGCTGTCGAGATCGCCTTCGCAATGTTTGGACTGATGTCAGATGGAGGCGTTCGCATCAAGGCTAGTGGTGAGCCTCCAGTGCCTTCGGTTGTTGCGGCTCTGGCCTTGCTTGAAGGTCTGCACCGTGACCATATTAGCGACATCGTCACCTTGGATGGCTTGAAGAAACTCGCAGCGCTCACAGTAAAGCGAAGCGCCTATCAAGACGCCTGGAGACGTCTCTGGAATAAATACGAAATCGATGCCGTGATTGGACCGGCCGCACAACACACGGCAGTCCCACACGACAAGTTTCAAGTTCCGGCATACACGACGCTATTGAATTGCCTAGACGTAAGTTCACCTTCCAAGTTCTGTGTCTTCGAAGGCTAATTATGCCATGAAGTATCCAGCATGCATCATACCATTCGGCAAGGCCGACAAGACGACGGACAACCAGTCTTTCGAAGTCGGCCCGAACCAATTGTGTGCGCAGTACGAACCCGACCTGATGAACGGAGCACCTTGCGTTGTGCAGGTCTTTACCAAGCGCATGCGTGATGAAGAATGCCTTGCAGCCGCCAGCGTTGTCGATGCATGTATCAACACAGATCGGTAGAGGCCGATGAGTGACTTTCAGACCGGTTATGAGAGGAAAGATGGAATGTCGAACCAGTAGATATCGCGTCGAACGATTTTCGCTCTCCAAATCTGCTGCAACATGGCTCTAATCTTTTCGTGGAAAGCATCAGAAAACTTCAAATAATCGGCAACTTGGGTCAGGGTTTCTTGCTGATGCCATTCTTCCTTTGGCTCGAAGCAAGCAATGACAAAGGCGATATCCATACCCATTGGGACCCCTGGGATATGCTGCATGGCCAGGCCACATTCCAGAAGGATGGAGTCTGATAAAGCGAGACCTTTCTCATCTTGAACACCATACGGAAAGCGCAAGCGATGCAAGACCAGCAAGGCAGCTTGCCTCAGAGACTTGATCTGAGTCATGATTTGAAGCACCTCGATATGAGTATAGCGGTCTGGGAAGCCGGCCGGCGTCAATGGCATCCATCGTTTGATGCTCGACTCAATTTCATGCATTCGCCGTTGCGTTGCCTCGTCTTCAGTATTTCGAGTGTTGCGCAGAGAGTTGCCGAGCTGACAGAGATCGTAAAAAAACGTCAGCACTGGAGGTGAGAGGCCCATATACCTGTCGACCCAGGTAACATGTTTGCCAAAATCTCCGTACCTGAGGGTTGGGACATCGGACTCAAGGATGCATTCAATCATCTCGGTGTACATCAAGCAGATGAGATATGCGTACTCGTCTATTTCGAAATGGACATTGGGAGATCGATACCAGGGCCTGACATGGGTAAGAGCCGAGGCGCAGATGGCTCGACCCTCACCTGTGGCCATGAAAAGGCTGTACGTGACGATAACCATGCCGAGAACGAGACAGACACTCACGTCTTCTCGCTTTCTGACCTGCAACATACGCAGCGAGGCAATACCGACCGCAGCCTTACGCGCACAAAGCTCGACCGCTTTCTGAGAGACAGCAAGATTCTGATGGCGGGCCATGATGACAGCACAAGCCACGAAAGCGTCTTTTAGCTCGGGGACGGCTGAGCTGAGCCTATAAGTCAGGTCGGCGCGATGGGTGAAATGAAAGCTCGGTCCCAAGGTAAATTGGCCGGCGGCGTCGCTTTTGGCGAAGCAGACAGAGCAAAGCTCCCTTTCTGCGTCACTGAGGCCGGTCATATCAGCGAAGGCCTTCGTGAGGTCTCTGGTCCGCGGACTATCAGCTGATTCAGCTGGCGAGGCGTGACTAGCATGGCTTGCAGAATCTGACCGCTCAGTGAAAGAACGAGCGTCCAAAGGGGCGTCGCCATAGCCGAGCGGAGGTTGTGGAGCGCCATGAAGTGGAAGGGTCCTCAACGCCTGAGAGCGTGGCTTCCTGCCGAGCCTTTGAACTGGACGGAGTGTCTGGCAGTCGTGGCCCAAGCGAAGGCATCGTTGACAGACGTCCGAGTCTGGAGACCACTGGCAGCGTTCTTTGATGTTGTGGCAACGGTCGCAGGCCCTTCGGGGCTGGCTATCGGCTGGCATGGCGCATAGTGATGGACATCAGATAGAGGCATCAACTTTTGATACTACTGGGGCGCGTTCAGAGCATACAAAAAACGTCGATGCTCCTTCCACCCGTAGGAGAGATACCACCGATGCTCAGGATATCTAGAACAGTGCATTACAGGTTCAAGGCGACTTCATAAGGAGGGTCCGGACTGTCCAAACAAGTGCCGACCCACCGACCGACGCTGAACTTTAATAGCGAGTGCCCAATGCCTGTAGCGAATTTCCTCGAGCTGATCGTGCCGTGTCTCGGGGCACTACCGCTGCCAGCTTCAGCCAGCATTCCACTGCGGAGCTGCGTCTAGAGCTGCGTCTTTGTGTCGCTCTGCCCACCCTACCACTGGCAGTTTCGTATTGCACCTGTACATACCTAGAACTTCTCCGACACCATACATCACCGCCAACCCATCCACGATCGGCTTATGTGTCGAGCTCATGCTTCCCAGGCCAACATGGCAGTCACGAGCTCAGCCATGCTGTCGCCATCTCTCGAGGTAAGTGTCGAATCCTTCTGTTCCTACGCCGCCAAGATGAAGAGACAAGATGTGAAAGAACCGCTGCGAGTGATGCATGCTACGACATGCACTTGATCACAACCACTCTCAAGAGAATTTCGGACCAGAAACAGATGCCACCTGCCCTCCGCCTGCTCGTGTAAGGCCAAGCTGACCCACGACTTTGTAGATTCTTCCTGACTGAACCGAGTCACTCCCAGCGAAATCTCTCTACAAGGCCCTATGGGGGACTGCAGCACACTGCACAATACGACGACTTCACGTCCAAGGAAGTAAAAGAAAGAATCACCGAACTCGAGCATGCCCGCGTAGCACCCTACCCCCGCTGGTCTACCGCAGAAGCCATCCACGATCTCAGAACTCTCAAGAATACCGCCGAGCCAAGTTCCAAACTGAAGCCTCTACAAGCCATCAGACATAGGGTACAAGTGCAACATGGCGACAAAGACTCAATATTGTCACAGGAGACCCCGGTCCTCCAGGTCGCCGGAAGAATAACTGCAACCCGCTTTAGTGGCAAACGCCTGGCATTTTTCGATATCACGGGTGGGGGCGGCGAGGTATTGCAGATCAAATTGAATCTCGCCGAACTTGCGGATGTGACGCTGGAAGCCTTTCGTGATGCTGCCCGTCTTTTCCGTCGCGGCGACCATATCACAGTGCGCGGCTCGAGCTACACCACGAAGACCGGCCAGCGCTCACTTCAGGCCGTGGAGCTACCAGTGCTTCGAGCACCCTGTCTACAACGACTACCTGTGCCTCAGGCTCTCTCAGAGCGTGATCTGGACCATGATTCGACATCAGGAAGACATGTTGAGATGCTGACCTATCCGGATCTCGTCAAAACGGTCAAAGTCCGCTCGCTACTCATTCAGACGCTTCGACGCATGCTTGAAGAAGATGACTTTGTGGAGGTTCAAACTCCCATTCTGGGTGCAGAATCCGGTGGCGCAACTGCTCGACCATTCCTCACTGCAGCTACCGAGTTCACCGATCGCAGACTCTCCTTGCGAATCGCTCCTGAGCTCTGGCTCAAGCGGTTGTTGGTGGGCGGCTTGACTGAGGTCTTCGAGATCGGGCCCTCCTTTCGCAATGAAGGCCTAGACAAGACTCACAACCCTGAATTTACTACGTGCGAATTCTATGCTGCGCACCTCAACCTCGGCGGCCTCGTGACCTACACAGAGGGTATTCTTAATCAAATAGCTGACTCGATCGAAGCTGGAGCTCCAGCAGGCTCCTTCGACTCTGCTATCGTGTCAGAATGGCAGCAGTGTGCTACCCAGTCCTTCCCACAACTGGACTTTGTGCCCGCCATCAACGCCGCATTGCAAACTCCTCTTCCCAGTTTGACATCACCCACAGCTCGCACAGACCTCATGCACATATTCCGGGACAAGTCCATCCCCATGCCCGACATCCCCACACTTCCCCGCCTGCTCGACAAGCTCTCGTCTCACTACCTCGAGCCACAATGTCATACCCCAACCTGGATCATTAACACCCCCGAGTGTCTCTCGCCCCTCTCCAAGTCCTTCATCCACCCCACCGCCCCCAACCACCAGCCCGTCGCCGCTCGCGCCGAACTTTTCATTCGCGGAAAGGAGATCGTCAACTGTTACGAGGAGGAGAATTCCCCATTCGAGCAGCGTCGGAAGTTCATCGACCAGCAGAAATACGCGCGTGTGGAGGAAGGCGACGCCGTGGATGACGAGGCAATGAAGGTTGACGAAGACTATATTGGAGCGTTGGAGTGGGGCTTGCCACCGACGGGGGGGTGGGGGTGTGGCATCGACAGGCTGGTGATGCTGGTGACGGGCAGAGACAGGATTGGCGATGTGTTGAGTTTCGGGAACTTGAGGGCTGTGACTAAGGCGGCTCAGAGGTTGGATAAGAGAAAGACAGAGCGGCAGGAAGCAGAAAGTGATGAGGAAATATCGTAGCGTGGTGGGTTCTGTATATCAGTTGTGTAGATATCGATTGTACAATATGATTCCCCCGTCGATTGAGCCTCAGCAAGCCTTATCTACCATTCGAGGCTTCCGCCACACCTCACCACTTGCCGATTTTGACCTCAGCTCTCATCTCTGGCAAGAGGGCGGGCCTGGTCTTGCGACAGAGTATTTATGCGGGGAGAGCGAATGTGGGTTGAGGTCTGAGCGATACCTGGCCTCAAGCAAGCTCAACACCTAAACAGTCAATGAGATGAGCACGATCGTGACATTCACGGAGAAAGAGGCACAGGATGAGCTGCGATTCATAGCTCACACGCAGTACCTACAGCTCGAGCACCGGAAGGCGAGGCAGAGAGTGTGAGAGTCCTTCATGGCTCCAAGGTGTTGTTAGGGACGAATGAGAGGCATTTGTTCTCGACTAGCTAGGTGATGGGGGGAGGAGTGAGGAGCAAGTGAAGCAGATGGGCGGTGACTTTGTCAGTAGTTGGAGAGCGAGAGAGAGTGAGAGGATAAGATATAATACATTGGGCCGTATGGGGCGGATCGGTAGGCACGCTGGACCTCGCCGTGGATCTCATGATGAATCTCACGATGAAACTCGAGGTTGGAAGTCACGATGAAAGTTCATGACGATGTCTCTAGGTCGTCGAGAAGCTCGAGAAGCTGCAGACGAGGCTGACCTTTGGGGCTGGTCTGTCATATCGTGCAGGCTCTCTCGTCCTGGATGTTTTCTGCTATGGCGGTGTCATTAGAGCTGCGCTTCCGGCTCATCAAGTCCAAATTCGTAGACTCTCACCGACAGGGCCATTCTCTGTCATGTCGTATGTCCATGTTGAATTGTTGTGCCTCGCTTAGATCGTCCCGTCCCGTGTCTACTAGCTCACTTGTTTCTCGTAGCTCAGTCCTTTCGCATAGCTCAATCATTTCCAGCAGCTCAATTCAAGCTCTTTCATCCCATTTCCGCAAGGCTCCTCTGTTCCTGGATTGAAATCTCACGCTCTATTCGTTTTCCTCCGCGTCGATCTCCCACTCACACGCTCTTGTCCGTCCCTTTTGCGCTTCTTCTCGATGTCGACTTTAACGCCTCTGATCGGCCCTTGACCGGTGCGCTCCCGGACCATTTTGAACCGATAAATCTGCCTCCTGTTGTTGAGCAGCTCGTAGTCCACCACCTTGTAGAGCCCGTCATATCTGAAGCCTGAGTCTGGCCGCAGTGGCACTTTTTTGTGCGCCTTCCACGACCTGAAAACCCGTACAACCTGCTTCAACTCATGGCTCTTCATCAGCGCCTTTGCGCCCCTTGTCGCTTCCGCAGGATCAACGTCGACGTCCTCATCATCCGGATCGCACACGTTCGTCGGCAACTCGCCTTGTTGGGGTTGCAAGGCCGTGCTCATGTAATAGATCACCTCTCTGCAATCCACATCCGCGTACACCTGCTTAGTGGTTGGCCGATGCAAGCCCATCACAACACTGTACGCGCCCTCCCTTGCGTTCCCCGCTATGCCTGCCATCCATTCAGCATGCGCGCCGTCAAGCCAGAGCGTCTTACGGTCGACCCACCGCTGTCCATTGACGAGGTGCCCGTGGCCAAAGAACTTGCCGCTCCGACCGAAGTGCCAATCCGGGTCCCGCTCCCAGCGGCCTCGGTCATTGCGAATAAATCCGCGGTGTGGACGTACGCCAAAGTCACCAACTTGCCATTTCCGTAGAATGATGAGTAAATCCTCTTGGATCTCTGGTGGAACACGCTTGGCTTGTCGTAACGGCATGTTGTCGTCGCTTAGGAATTGTTCGAGAACAAGAATCACGTTGGTAGCATGCAGGTCATCCTCACGTACCGAGTGGTTTCCCATAGTGTGGATCCAGGTTCCAACGCACGCATAGAGATGTCGTATTGCGTTAGTTGCGGGCACAGCATCGGCAACCCGTTGTAACAGTGGCTCAATTGCCTGAATCTGTTGTGGTGTGGCAAACATCTCAGGCTCTCCGTAGTCGGCAGCGAAACTGATGGGGGATTAGTAGCGATAGCAGAATGCGAAGAGGAGCCTTACTCCCAGGGATTGTTATTTTCTTGTCGGTCCCGCCACTCTTTCCAGATCGGAACAAGGATACGGCAATCAATAAGATGACCTTCTCTTACCTGACACTCCAAGTGGATAGGACAATCGCAAGCAGGATTGTCTTCTTGTCCTCCATGAATTGGAAAAATCTCTGGTGATGATGTAGGCGTCGGTGATGGTGCCAGTGTGGGAGTCCTTGTTGTTGGTGACGGTGGAGACTGTGATGGTGGCGGTGTCGACGACCTGTTATGTTGCACCATGAGTTCTGATGGGAGAGCAGCGTGGGGATCCGGCCTGCTGGACCTTTCTTGCCAGGACTTTGAGCACTCAATGTATGATACCCCCACTTCGCTGTCTTCCTCCGCTTTGATCCTCTGGACTGGTTTTGGCAGTAGTAGTGCTCTTCTCGGATCAATGTATGCAGATTCACCGGTGCCCAAGGGCCCAATTCCTTGGTCGGGGACTTGTCGACGATTTTTCTGCCGACCGCTGAACATAGCCATGAGCTCGCTCTCACCTGAACTCATTGGCTCTAGGCTGCCGCGATCAGGCGACCGGCCAATGATGTGCCAATAGCGATTCCCTCGTGGACCTGTACGGACACTTCCAAGTTCTGGATGGACCATCCATCTTCCGTCGTTGGTGAGATCTTCTTCTTTGATAACTTGCGACATCGCGACTGTGGCTCATGAGTTGCTAAAGGCTTCGATTGAGGTTTAGAGGCTGGGGAAAAGCTGAAGTGAAAAAAAGTCGAGAAAGCTGAAATGAAAAGAACTTGCGTTCCACCAAAGCAAGGTCGAGTAGTCTTCAAATGTTCAGACCAGGGTTGTGTAGTACCCGCTTGCATGAAAACCAATGTGAAAACGAAGGCCTATGCCATGGACTGAGGAGGTACCTAAGCTGTAGATAATTCGGCAGGTTGTCAGCGGTAAGGCCTCAGCAGCAGCAGAGTGATAAGGATCTTCACTCTGATACTAGTTGCGTAGTATACGCGGCTCGATAAGGCATTCTTGAGGGTAGCCAAGGGCAGACGATGGGGTAAGAAGCATATGTACCACAAAATTGAGTGGTGCTGAAATAGTTGATCCCAGTGAATGGCTTGCAGCTCCTTGAGACATTGCTTCATCAAATCTGGCTCTCTTCACTCGGAACTTACTTATGGCGACGCCCACTTACCTTGCTTTACCTGATTCAAGTCCAGAATGGCTTGTTTGATGGGTGGTGAGAAAAGGGGAGGAGAGCCTTGTCCTGTAACAGGAAGGCTGTAATGAGGCTAGTACCAGATAGGTATCGCGCAACAATCGAGTTGCAAGTCGAAGTTGACATCAACTCATACCAACCTTGGAGCACTGTTTAATCCCTCGTCAAGCATTCGCCGAAGTCTTGAAGCGAGGCTCAGGTCATTGTCTACTGACTTCGATGCAATGTATCAGACATAGAGCCTGGCTGCCGGGTACATCGACCTTTATCCGGGGGCATGGTATCTTCCCGCGGCGACTTCGAGCAATCACTTGGAAGCATGGACGATCCTGTTGGCGGGCAGAGCGTCCACGCCACTTCAGCTCTGAAGTCATTACTGCCATTATGACGCCGCCAGCAGTCTTCACTGGGCTCTTGTTGACGCTCTGGACGTACAAGTGCCTGATGATGGTGGTTTTCCAGAACAAAATCATCTATATGCCATCAGTGCCGCCGTTTTCTCGCTCAGAGAAAGTCGGTGACTATACAATACAGTGCAGACCAGTTCGGTGGACAGAGCATGACCTTCAATCAGTCGACGGGACAGCTCTGAAACTGCTTGAGGGCCACACGGATCATGCAGAAGAGCCGCCGAAACCGAGTCAGGTTGTTGTCTTGTATTTCCAGGGCAATGCATCCTCGCTGCCTCCACGGTTGCCTTTTCTCTCGCAGATCCTGAAAACGGTCCAGAATTCCGAAGCGTGGAATGCGACGGGATGTGTCAGTATGGTGGCTTTGTCGTATCGTGGGTTCTGGACCTCGAGTGGAAGTCCTTCGCAGAAAGGGATTGAGCTCGATGCGAAAGTCGCGCTGCAATGGGTTCTCGGGCGGTACAGTCAGGACACCAAGATTGTACTTTGGGGCCAGTCCATCGGCTCCGGAGTAGCGACACTTGCAGCGGCGAATCTTCTCAGAAAGGACCGCGCACAGTTCGATCGTATCTCTGGTATATTGCTGGAGACGCCTTTTGTTGACCTGCGAGCCATGTTGGTCGCACTATACCCGCAGAAGTGGTTGCCCTACCGATATCTTACACCATTCCTTATGTCGACATGGGAGACCAAGCGAGGTTTGGAAGAGATCGGAAGCGCTAGAAGCAATGTGCAGGTCATGCTGCTGCAGGCGGGAGCCGACGAAATTGTGCCCGATGGACAGGCAGGGGTATTAGAAGACGCCTGCCGCGAACGGGGCATCCGGGTTGAGCGCCGGGTGGTTCCAGGCGCGCTTCACCAAGACATTATGATGAAGCCAGCGGGGCGGGGTCAGATAGCTTCCTTTATTGGTAGGTTCATAAGAGACTGAGCCCCCCATTCTTTCCAGTGTGACAGGCCAAACGGGGAGGGTCGTAATGCGGAGTCCTTTTCAACGGGTCGGACCTCAAAACTTTGCTCTATTCCAGCTGCAAGGCGTCGTGAAGCATTTCTTGGGGGACAGTTGCCTAGCTCGAGATAGCGGATGTAATAGTCCTGACGCACAGCGAGCCACTGCCGCCCTCGTATCTTATTCATTCAAGCTTATCTGGGCCACTGACGGGCGAGGTGTGCATAGCGTATGCATGGCGGGGGTCGGATGTGGGGGATTATGACGCGAGGAAGTATTGCTTGCGAGTGACTCGGTCTAGGCGGCGTCAAGTGCCCACTACAGGCAGACACGCGGGTGGTTGAATAGGCGACACTCGAGGGGGCCTTTTTGGCGGTGGTGCGGACAGGCGGACTTTGGTGCCAGTGATGGTGGGCAGACGACTTGCATGTCCCAAGCCCAGGCGGCAGAACCCCATGACGATCCACAACCCGCGGTGGCAGAGGATCAGAGCTGGCAGGGGGCAAAATTCCTGGCAGGGTCCATGTGTGATTCGATGAATTAATGCATGGACAGGACGAATGGGCTGGGGAGTGGGTGCTGCAACAGGCTGGGCGTGCATGCTTGAGTTTGTGCCGGATCTTGATGGAGCTTGTGGCATCTGGCGGTGTGGTTCCACGCCCACTCACCACCTGATTGATAGCAGCCATGTGCTACTGCACCACGGCACTGCACCTCGACAACCTGCGTGTCGCTGCATCTCTCATTTCTGCGTCGGCCCAATCGACAAATGACGGCCTCACCTGTCGCAATCTTTCCCGTCCGTATAGCCATGAATGCGCATGAACTCTACCTCTTACCCACTTCCTGAGGCCTCCACGGCCATCATACCGCCACTATGGATCAGAATGGCGACTCGAGTGCGTTTCGATGGAAGTACCTGATAAAGCAAGACAAGACGGCGACTCAGCAACTCGAAGACCTCTGCATCGGTCTCGCAAAGTGCATTGTCAGTTCCCCGCCATTGCAGCCACCCCGACGACTAACCATGAGATCAGGTTACGAATGAAGACGGAATAGGGCCCGAACTCACCCCGCAACGTCTTGCTGCCTTCTACCGTCGCGTCGGCGGCAACTACGATACCCTCTTCCTCAAGTCGGGCGACAATGGCCTATCCTTCATCTACAAGACCTTTGGCTGCTTCCACAGCCTACAGCCTACCCATACTCCCTTCGAAATACCCTGTATTCCCTGCCTAACCCCACATGGCTTTGCACGATGGCAGACCCTACAACTGCTACTTTCTCCAGACGAAAGTGTCGACTTCTTGCAGAAAGCGGTTCAGATATACCGCATCCCCAGACCAGATGGCGGTACCTTTCCAACCCCGCTACCCAAGTCTTGCTTTCCCTCACAACCCGATCCGGAGATGGAGGATTGGTACAATAATGTCACCGGCCACTTGAACCAGGATAATTACATGCGCCGCCTCAAGCACTCACCCTATCAATCGCCATATCCTGAAGACCGGAAAGATGGCTACTTCCAGAATGGCTCACGCAACAGCTCGGCCGAGGATCAAGCTCGCATCGATGCATACAGACGGAGAAGCAGTGTCCCGGATGCTATCTCATCTGTTCCGGTCGCAATTCCCGTCCCCGTCCCCGTTGACCGTCCGTCGCACTGGGGACCCAATGGGCGCAGTCCCAGAAAAGCCCGTAGCCACTCCGCCCAAAGGCCTCCTCAGAACACCCGCCAGCGCTCCCACACCACTTCTACGCCTGACCGTCCCGGACGACCCCCCTCCAGCTCACAGCACCATCACTCTCGTCCACCTTCTCAGCAAATATCCGATCATCGCCATCGCATATCAGATGGTCGCTCTCCGCATTCTCGCCACAACTCCAGTAGCGACGCCTCCTCCGAGAACTCGCACCTCGATCAGCGTGCTTCACGACATCGCAAATCCGAGCGTGATGAGTCGCCCAAACGTCGACGTAACAGCCTCTGGCCGCCCTCCTTCTTCAGGTCGCACAAACGGCGCCATTCTTCGGACGCAAGCTACCGAAAATTAGAAGCACCGCCCACACCCAAACCGCCTGTCCCGCTCCGTCCCGAGTACTACCCACGCAAGCCCCAGCCCCAGCAGGTACCTTACACAGCAGCCATGCCAATGCATTACCCCCCTCCCGCACAACCGCGCCCCTATAGCGGCAAGGTGCAATTCCGAAACGACATGTTCAACGATCCCAATCACTCAGGGCCTGACTCACCCATACTCCCACAACCAGGCTTGGATCCGCGCAGTGCACCAGGCATTCGTTTTCCAGATATTTCTGGCGCTCCACTTAGCCGGGAGAGCAGTAGCGGCAGCGGCACCGATGGCCGACGGCATCACTCAGAATGGGATAGAAGCAATCAACGCGCAGCGGGCCTGCCCACGCGGGTAGCGACCGTCAGTGGGGTTGGTGGTAGGAAGTACGTCAATGCTGGTCAGGCGGTTGATCCCAATCATCTGCCTAGCAGAGCGAGGGGAAGTGCACCGACCCCTGTGTAAATGTGATAGAGATGATGGATGACGCACACAACGGGTCGGGGTGCCAATGACTGACGAGACATTGACAAACGCGAAGAAATCGTGGACCCGCATATGCGATGAGTCCTGGGGCGTTAGGTGTTTGTACAGACGCAGGAACCGCGCATTCGCCGTATCACCTAATGGGCAAATTTAGCCTTGACGCCGTGGCAGGTGGTACAGCAGCAGGCCTTTGGGCCTACCCAGACCCGGCACAATCAGCTTGGGGCTCAGATTTTCCGACAAGAAAAGGAAAACCCGGCGACCTACATTTTTCCTCGGTCGGATGGCAGGAACATATAGACAGGGACTTCAAGGAAGCCTCACTCGCTCCTCTTCTCGACATCCTGGCCAACTATTGTTCGTGTGCCGGATGATGCACACAATTGGTTTCTTTCGGGCTGGACGACTTTTACGAAACACCTTCCTCTCAGCCTTTCCCAAGGGGGCGCAAACCAAGCAGACATTATGATATACTGAAAAATACCAGCTTCACTGCAATATTTATGCTACTTGCTCCAAAACAGCTCGAATAATGAAATTTCGGCGTATTCAGAGAACGTGCCTTACATGCTCATAGCTTGTGTCCATACCTAGTCGCCCGTCCCAGCTTGCCTCAAGTCTCGCGTCATCACAACTGGTCCCCGAGTTGTCTCTGCCTCGTTGTCTCGCCCGCGCCGTATACGATGCCTTCTGCCCTTCCGACACTTACTCGCGCCCTCTCTCACCTGACCAACATGGCCGCCCTCGGTTTTACTCCTCCCCCTTCTTCTCCTCCCCCCCGCCCTAAAACACGAAAAACGCCTGTCCAAGCGGCAGCCTCTCGCTCGGCTCAGCGATACAATGCACCCCGTCAGCCTCGACCCTATAACTCTCCGGGTCCACACTCATCTTCGGCATGGAATCGTTGAAGCGCATGTCCTTCTTGCCGACGTTGCGACAGTTCTTGACGGGTTCGACGCGCTTGCGCAGCCCGTATTTGGCGATGGTACCGGAGGAGACGGAGGCGGCGCTGACGAAGGTGATGGAGGTGGAGGGGACGAGGGGAGCGAACATGGGCCGCATGCTGATGGGTTCGATGGTGGGGATGGAGGCATTGGGGTCGCCCTGTTTGGGAGGAATGGGGGGTTAGGATCTTGTGTAGGTATCAAGGGAGGGGTTGTGAGAGAGAAGGGGACATACCATCATTGCCCAACTGATCATGCCGCTCTTGATGACGGTGCTGGGCTTGGTTCCGAAGTTGGCCGGCTTCCACAGCACCAAGTCCGCGACCTTGCCGACCTCGACGCTGCCGATGAGGTGGCCCATTCCCTGCGCGACCGCCGGGTTGATCGTGTACTTGCTCACGTAGCGCTTCGCGCGGAAGTTGTCCGCCTCCGGGTCATGCTTGTCTTCCTCCAGCTGGCCGCGCTGCACCTTGTTCTTGTGCGCCGTGTGCCAGGTGCGCAGGATGACCTCGCCGCAGCGGCCCATGGCCTGCGAGTCCGAGGACATCATGCTGATGGCGCCCAGGTCGTGCAGCACGTCCTCGGCCGCGATCGTCTCGGCGCGAATCCGGCTCTCAGCGAAGGCAACGTCTTCCGGGATGTTGCGGCTCAGGTGGTGGCACACCATCAGCATATCCAGGTGCTCGTCGAGCGTGTTACGCGTATAGGGTCGGGTCGGGTTTGTCGACGAGGGCAGCACGTTCGCGTTCTCCACCACGCGGATGATGTCTGGCGCGTGTCCGCCGCCGGCGCCTTCGGTGTGGTAGGTGTGGATCGCGCGGTCTTTGAAGGCTGCGATGGTGCTCTCCACGAAGCCGGACTCATTGAGTGTGTCGGTGTGGATCATGCACTGCACGTCGTATTCGTCGCACACTGACAGGCACGTATCGATTGCGGCAGGAGTAGTGCCCCAATCCTCGTGCAGCTTCATTCCACAGGCTCCAGCCTCGATACTCTCTCTGAGCGCCTGGGGCCCGCTGTCGTTTCCCTTGCCCGTAATGCCGTAGTTGATAGGCAGGTTGTCCACCGCTTTGAGCATCATCTCCATATGCCACTTGCCAGGCGTGCATGTTGTGGCGCTTGTGCCCTGGCTCGGACCCGTGCCACCAGCCAGATACGTCGTGATGCCCGCTGCAACACTTTCGTACGCCTGCTGTGGACAGATCAGGTGGATATGTGTATCGAAGCCACCCGCAGTGATAATGGAGCCTTCAGCTGCGATGACATCCGTGCCGTTACCAACCACCAGATCGGGACTGACGCCCTCCATTACGTCTGGGTTGCCCGCCTTGCCAATGCCCACAATGTTCCCATGCTTAATGCCGATATCAGCCTTGTAGATACCCGTGTAGTCGACTATCAGCGCGTTTGTGATAACAGTATCGAGTACAGAGGCGTCAGGTCGGTTGGAAGCCTGACCCATACCTTCGCGCAGTGTCTTACCACCACCGAACTTGCACTCTTCGCCATAGATCGTAAGATCCTTCTCGACACGAACCCAGAGATCGGTAGCGCCGAGGCGCACGCGGTCGCCTGTCGTGGGGCCGAACATACCGGCGTAGTCGGCCCTCGTCATGCTGAAGGGATCTGAGGTGGACTGCGTGATATCTTCCGGGGATGGCGTGTGCGCGAAGCCTGCGGCCTGGAGTTTCTGGAGGATCTCATCTGTACGCGAGAGGTCGACAGTACCATTAGCAAGGTCGTTGCCGCCGTGGATAACGCGGTTGCCGGAGATCTCGACGAGAGTGACGGTCTTAGTGTCGCCGGGCTCAAAGCGGACCGAGGTACCGGCCGCGATATCGAGGCGGTAACCGTAGGCGGCGACACGGTCGAAGGAGAGGAGGGGATTGGTTTCGATGAAGTGGTAATGGGAACCAACCTGGTTTTGGGTGTTAGAGGATATTCAGACGGCAGAGACACGGGTTGGTTTGGGGAGGTAGGCCTAGAACATACTTGAATAGGTCTGTCGCCTTTGCTTGTGACCTTTAATCTGATTCTTTTCCTTCCCTCATTGAGTACGATATTGGCGGCTTTCTTGACAACGACTGCTCCTGGCATCTTTGTTGACTCGTACCTGAGACCCCGTTAGCTTGTCATTTACTCAAACATTGAACGGATGATCATACTCGCTGGCGTCCACCAGAGGAAACGCCTCATTGTTCGGCACAGGTAGAAAGCTTCCATATAGAGCCTTCTCCAGGTCGCCGTCATCCGAGGCGACAGGATGATGCACGGTCACGAGGTACGTGCCGGTAGGAAATGTGCCCTCGACCTGTAACTCCGTAAGAGTCGCAGGGACAGATGGTAAGACATGACGACGGCCTAGCATGGTCGCCCCTAGAGACATGAGAGAGGCAACTGAATGGTTGCCATCACGAATGAGCTAGCAATGGTCAGTCTCAGAAAGGCAATCGACACCGAAGGAACGCACCTCTTGCAGGTTGCTCGCTATCAAAGCCTGAATATCAGATGGTAAGCCAAAGCTCCATTTGATCCTAGGAGTGGAATTAGATCATACAACAGCCTCCGCATGATTCAGCTTAACACCTCTAGCAAGTCGTCGCTGGGCAAGAAAGCCAAGCTGTGCTGTGACGAGCTTATCAAGCTATCACAAAACATGGTGTTAGCTACGAGATTTTATACACGGACGTCCCGGTCGTCTTACCTCTCTTGGGACAAGCTGCATGATTGCGGGTCCTCGTTAGAGCCAACTGGAAGCTGTCCAAATTACAGAAGTGACAATATGGTGGCCAGCCATCTCATCGCGCTGGTCTTATACATTCCGTCTATCAGTGGAGGTTCAGCATGAGCGAATCAGGTGTGTCAAGCGAATGCGGGGCACGATATGGTAAGTACCGGTCCTCAGGCGGCAGAAAAAAGGCAAATGGTGGGGTGTCGAATCAGCGATCAAGACGCCGGCGAGGCTGATCAGGCTGAGGCGACGAGGGGTAGCTGGTGAGCTGAGGCTGTGGGGACATGCAAGAGGAATGCTTGAAACAATGATCATGGTATTGTACTCTCGTAATCCATCCACATCCCTTCCGTGAAACCCGGTACAAACGCCGAAGCCTCATATGAACAGTGACAAACTGTCAAGAACATGCTCGAACGGCAGTGAGCCGAGTTTGCATGGTGCAGCACAACATGACTTCAATACACCGTCGACACCATTACTACCGCCTAAGCCTTCTTGGACTTCTTCTTCTTCTCAGTCTTGGATGTCGAAGCCGGAGTCGCCTTTTCAACCTCAGCCTTGGCCTTCTTGCTCTTCTTCTCCTTCTCTGGTGACTTAGGAGTTGCCTCCACCTTAGCGGGGGTGTCCTGGGTCTTTCTGCGCTTAGATGTCTTAGCAGGAGGGGTAGGCTCCTTGACAGGCTCCGGCGAGGTCTCCTCATCGGTGTCGGCCTCAGCATCGGCGACGACCTCATCAGTAGGTGCCTTGCCTGCCTCGACAAGACGAGCAGCTTCCTCATCACTGGGTACAGGCTGGCCGGCCTTGTATGCAGCCATCTTGACACGGTAGGCGGCAAGATTCTTCTGGTATTGAGAGTCCCAGATCTAGACGGTATTAGTAACAGTAGAACTTTCTTGAGCATATCAACTTACAGCCTTGTCAGCGGCTGGCATGGCAGTCCATCGGCGAGTACCCTCATCGGCGACCTCCTTGGGCTTCGCTTGATCACCAAGCTCCTTCGCGATCTGGGATCTGGCGCTCTGCATGTAGAGGAAGTATGGCGTCAAGGCACGCTTGGGGGCATTGGGGTCGTGAGGAGTTCTCTTGCGCTTCTTCTTGCCGTCACCCTCAGGCTCGGCGAGAGCAGCGGGGCGCGAAACTGCGTTGGCAGTAGCCAATAGACCAGACTCAGAGAGGATGTTGGTCAGGTTGGCATCCAGCGAGCCGCCTCGGCCTGGGGCAAGGACGGTGTTGGCATGGTTGATGTAAGCTCGAGAGAGGTCTTGAACAGATGTCTGGAGGGTAGCAAGGGCAACAATGACCTGGACAGCTTAGTTAGCAGGAGTTCTCGGATGACGATATTTGTGAAGTGGCTTTGCGAATGCATTATACTGCTTGAACCCAGAGGGAGTGCAATGCATTTTGGTCGCGTAGACAGTGCAGGATGAGGTCGTTTGTGACAGGTACTCGCGTACTGTGGGACATCATGGATGTATAGCGCTTGTCGATGGCAGCGGCAAGAGTGGTGGCTGATGTTGTGTCCATGGGGCCTTTGTTGCCGCGGACGCGCTGGTTGGGGAAGCGCGTAATTGGGGGAGGGGCAGGTAACTGTGAAGGAATGAAATATGAATAGTACTCACACTGTCGCGGGTACGAGCAAAATCAGCGACGTTGACCTGAGTGGTGGCAGACTCGTTGTCGGTCGACGAGGCCGCGGCAGCAGCAGCGGCAGTTTTCTTTGCCATGATAACGACGTGTGGGTTAAAAGTAGGTACGGGTCGGGATAGAGCTACAGTCAATAATTTGGGGATGCTTAACTGGAGCTTGGGGCAAGGCCGGAAAGGAAGGTGAGAGGTGTGAGGTCGAAGAAAGTGGGCGAGTGGCCGGAAGGTTGGGCGGTCTTTAAAACCCTGAAAAGCGTGTCCTGGCGGGTTGATCTTTTGGCACCCTCACCCCCAAGGAAGCGCCTGTCTCCACCTCGAGCTGCAGCTGGTGCTTACGACGTCCCTTATTGGCCTGGTACCCCGAAGGCCATGCAGACTTCCGCCCCTAATCCAAAGTTTTTGGGCAAGGTGTCACTGATCTCGGTGGTTGCTCTTTCCTCTTCCCTGTCTGATGTTGGCGGTCGCTCCTGCCCTTTTCCCTCCCTGATCGTGATCAACTGCAGCCTATGCGTGCCCCTCCCTTAACTGCAGCTACCGCTTATTCTCGGTCTGACACCTAATTATCCCACCCCATCTCTTCTTGCCTACCTGTTTCGCTCGGTGTTTGGCCATTAGCTAAAGCAGCCTGAGCTTCTGGCGGTCGTTAGCCACTCATTTAGGGATCCCACCATGGTGTTTCAGAGGACTTCCCTCCAGCGTCTGCACGATGCTGCGCGGTGCTATTCCGTTCGTACGCATTCCTCATGTGATTTATTGAGCCATGAGGTTGAAGGTGCATGTTGTATCGGGTTGTCAGGAGCTGGTTGATTATTACGACAATTAGAAATGGGTGTTCGTTCGTTCCGTGTTGTCATCTGGGAGTTGCCCTGCTATGTAACAGACGCGCTCTTCTTCAAAGTTGGACGCGGCTCGCGCCACCCATAAACAATGACGGTCCAGGGATACACCTCAAGGCCTTCAGGCCCGTCGCCGAGGCATCAGGTTCGTTAAAGCGGCACCGTTCTGGGCCTCGCAGTCCCAAACCTGGGATTTTACTTGACATTTGACACGGAAAGTGAGCCCTGCAACTGTGTTGTCGCCAGAGCAGCTGCCAGCTCTGTGCTGGTGGGCGCCGCCTGCAGCGCCCGGAAGGATTGGCTCTCCAGCAACCCTCTACTTGGCTGCACAGCTGCTGATCCCAGATGCCGCCACACAGCACCTCATCTGGATGTGCCTCGCTCTGGGGCGTCTGGCTCTATTGCTGCTGCTCCTGCTCCTGCTGCTGCCGCCGCCGCCTCCTGCTACTGAGCCCGGCGACAGCGACATCCCAGGTACCATTGCCCCTACGCGCGCCACAAGCTGGCCTTGGCCTGAACACGCGTTCATTTAGTGCCGATCCCTGGCCTTCAGGCATTGCCCTCATACAGCTCTCTAGTGCCCCTACCCGTCGACCATGGTCAAGTCCCAGGCGGCGACTAGGCGCCAGTCTTCTGAAGCTTTGGGGTGAGTATTCCTCGCCACAAGCTTCCTCCATTACTTGGGCATCTTCGTCGATTTCTTAGGCCTGCCACTCGTACATCAACCATTCCCAGCCCTCGTGCCTGGAGTTGCAGCTAGCTCTGCTGCATCGACCCGCTGAAGCATGTACTTAGAAGTCGTAGCCCCCTCACCCCATCACTCCAGGCATGTCCTTGATGCTACAGTATGTCCTCCCGCTCATTCCATTTCCTCACCTTTATTAAAATTCCGCCTAATGCACCCCCGTCCCGCAAACTTGCCAGTTGCCAACCTACATTCTCAACATCCCACCATCTTCGATTCATTTATGCATCCCGAGGAAAGGCATTCTTGCCTGTCAAATATTTTTGATGGGATTGTTGCAGGCCTCCCCGAAATGCTTTCCACAGACCACTCTCCACTCCAAGCCTGCCGTAAATAGCCAAGTCCGCAACCGCTATACAAGTACACTACTGCGCTATTGTTGGCTGGCTGCCTTGTTGCCTAGTTTTTCACGTGTTAGCTGTTTGAGGTTGCGAGCGATTCTAGCTACCATCGACGACAACGACATTTGAGTATGAGTACGTGGCTTTTGGCATTTCAACTGTGCATCTCTGTGCCCGACTTGATTGTGCATTTCTCTATATATCCATATAGGCTGTTTGTACAATACGCGCCAGGTTCAACATACGGTACAAGCGGCGAGTCTTAATGCTCTTCTAGGTCACGTCTAAAACTTGTACACCTGATCTTTGCTGTAGCCAAGCTCCTTGAGGATTCCGTCAAGCTCGCCCTGGTCGGTGGGGCTGACTTTGGCGCCGCTGATGGCTTTGTACAGGCCGGGAGGACCACACACAAACACCTTGATGTTGTTGGACTTGGAATCCGGGATGACCTCCTTGAGCAGTTCCTTGGTGATGACGCCTTTACCGTAGGGCCAGTCTTTCGGGGGCTTGTCGACGGTGTAGAAGGCCTTGAAGCGCTGCGGGAAATCGCGTTCGAGCTTTTGGAACTCTTCCTTGAGCAGGATGTCGTCCTCGGTCACGTTGCCGAATATCAGAGAAACCTTGGTCTTGTCGTTGGGGTTCTTGAAGATAGTGTGGATGAGCTGGTACATGGGAGTGATGCCAGTCCCGCCGGCGACACAGGTAATGTGTTCGTGCTTGTTGGCTTCCCACGGATACTTGGGGATGGGACCTTTCATAGAAAGAGTATCGCCGGGCTTCATGTCGTGGATGTGCTCCGACATAGGGCCATTGGGGTATTTCTTGACCAGCAGCTCGATGCTGCCCTTCTCGTCAGGGTCACTGATGGGAGTGTATGGCCTGATGGTGGGCTTTTCTTGATCCGCAGCTTTGAACTTCGTGATGATGGCGGCTGCGATTGTTAGTCAACTGAATGCAGGCGTTATGGATTGACTCACAAGCAACGTTCATGCCCGATAGCTGATCGGCTTCGGGGAGCTCAAAGACAAAGCGCTTAGTGTTATGGTTGTAGTCCTTGGCCTCCTTGAGCTTCAGATCAATGAAGCCCTGGTCGCCGCCGGTGAAGGCGCGCTTGTCGAGCTTCTCTGCTTCCTTCTTTGTTGAGGGAGCATCTGCACTGGCAGCGGACTTATTGCCGAGAAATGAGTAGCCGCCATAGCCAGCAACAACAGCGGCAGCACCCACAATGTATGGCGTAGAGGATGAGCCGCTTTTCGGAGCTTCAGTCGCATAGGACCGGATGCTCTGTTAACAGTCAGCAGGTCACTCCCACTAGGCTGCTCCCGCCGGAGCCTGTGAGCTGGCTTACCTGACGAGCCGGGCCAGCGCATCTCCACACAGATCTCGCGAACATGATGAGAGCTTCAAGACAGGGTCGAATAGGGAGAGGAGGATGGTGGAAGGGCAGCAGAAATTCCGAATCTGAAGCTCCTCGTTCGATTGATCGGCACGGCATGAATGACGCAACCAGCATTGAGTCTTGGCGGTATTGAGCCCGAACTCGACGGACTCCGGGCGGGCGGCAATCGCTGGCCGAGCCTCATCCTTGCCTGAGGCGCGTCCTAACCACATGCTGGAGCAGTGGGCAACAAATGCTAATGGCCTCCCAACGTCTCTATTGTTGTTACACTGTGGTATTGCTATAGTTCAGGCTCATCATGAACATGTCCGGATCTGCCTACACTTCGCAAGCTGATATCGTCCCAACCGCTACTATCACTACTTTTCATACTTCGTCTTGCCATGCGGTATGCCTCTCGTCTCGTGGACTTTCTGAGTCCAGATTGTGTTGAGTTCGATACATCTGCCCAGATACGCTCTGCTGGAACATGATCCGCGCGTGGCAGGACGTCCGCTTGTTGTGATTCAAACGCAGAGCTTGTCAACGAAGCCTGCGATTCAACCTGTCCATTGGTTTCGGTGCCCTCCAAAGTTTGAGCATCATTCACGATCAGGTCAGATCCACCATTGAGCTTCCGGAATGCCGTTTTAATGCCTTCGATGTTGACGGTGACCCCGCCTTCCGCACGCGAATCCACAAGCGGGAAATTGTCTGACTCTTCAGTAGCTCGTCTCCAAGTCTCAGCCTGCGCCCTCGAGACTGTCTCAAGATCCTCCGGCCGAGAAGGGAGCGCACTGTGAAAGCTTGGAGACGGATTTGATGAACCTCGACCGTTTTCCTGGCTCTCCTCCTGTCTCTTGCGTTTCAGGTTTGTGGCCTCTTGCTCTTTCTGGAAGGCCAATGCCTTAGTCCTGACCAGCACGTCGTGTTCAAACCGTAGCTCCGCGCAGAGATCACCAAACAGGGCTTTCATACTGACTTCTTCGGACCAAGAAGCCAAGTCCACGGTACAGGGGCAGAGATCTTTGGGCTGGAGTGCAGAGATCAGATGACGAAGCTCCTCATAGCTAGAGTGTCGTGAGTAAGGGAAGTGTATGATACGTTGACGTTTGTTGGCGACCGAGTCGTCTGCATTTTTCTTCCCTCGCCAATCACCATGCTGTGACACAAGCTTAACAAAGTCTTTCAGAGACAGTTCCGTGCCGTTATCGAGTCCAAGCCCATCGAGGGATATGGTCGAAGAGCCACTAATCTTGGCCGACTCAAATATCTCTGCGACCTGCTTCAGCGCTGATTCATTGCCCGCCAACTCTCTGCGAATTGCTTCTTGAAGCTCGTCGGTAAGCTCCAGTTCCTGAGTCTGGTACAGGTCACCTCCACCTCCACCAGCGCCGATTTCTCGAAGTTCGGTTCCATCGCGCATCCTGGATATGATTGGTGTGATCCAAACGATGTTTTGTTCTTGCAAGCTGTTGTGACACGGCAGCCCTGGCTCACAGCTGTGAACTCTGGTGTCCCTGCTTGAGGTAAGGATTCCGGGCTGTGAACGATTGCCAACTTGGAAGCCCACCAGCGATGGGCCCTCAAACATGCTGTAGCCATCGTTTCCGTTTTCGACAATAGAGCCGAAAAGCCTCATCTGATAGTCATCCACATGCACGTTGCATTGCAATAGATTGGTCAACGCAATCCAGACTTGCTCATACCCCAAAGTCCAGGCCCGGAAGTAGAAGATTGAGTCTTCAGGGCACTCGGCAACCTTGGTGATTAGTTCTCGCAAGCCTTCCGCTTTCGTTGGGAAGTGCCTGAAGTTATCGTCGTGAGTAGCAAAAGTAGTGTCAAGGTAGATGCAGTCCAAACGCCTCATACCACAAGCATAAGGAAGCAAGATGGGGTTTTGCACGATAGAATTAACCCACCATGGCTCCGCACGGACATCACCAGTATACAAGATGGCTTTCCCATCGCCTTCAATCAGGAACATGACTGCTCCCGGACAGTGGTTGGCATCAAAAAGAGTCACCCTTATCCGGGCCTTGGGACTCAATTCAATCTCGGTAGCCGCCTGTAGGGGCAAGGCTCTCATGATGGTCTTGAGATGCCGGTAGTGCTGTTTCCGGCTTTCCAGGATACCCTTTGCGAAATTGACGCGATGAGGGTACTTCTCGATCCGGAGCAGCAGTCTCCGCGTGGTTGCCGAGCAATAAACGAAGGGCATCTTGAGGGATTCGAGGCCCAGCAGATGGTCGCTATGAACATGGCTAAGAAAGCAGGCGGCAGGCTTCGGGCGGGCGGGATCTGAGCGGAAATGGTCAATGCGTATAGCGGGAAACTCCTTGACAAAACCATCGAAGGTTGACATAGCGGGGGAGCGAGGCTGTATCGACTTGGACCTGAACCAGCAGTTCGAAAAGCATTGACGTTTCAGGCGCAAGGCTGAATCTTCCGCTCAACGGCCACCGCAGCAATCCCCAGGTCGCTTGAACGAGAGCGGCGGGCTCCAATAATAAGCAAGATGCTGCAGCAGGAGGGCCTCTTGTCTGTATCTGGTGAGAAGCCAGGGACTAATGTGGGCGGATCATGCAGGGCTGGAGCGGCTTGTGCAGGTCAACCTTGATGTCGGAGAGGTGGGCTTGACGATTGGTCACCGGCAGTCCCGAGGCCGCAGACTCGGAACCCAAGTCACAGGTGCAGATTCTTTCTGGGTGCTATCAGGTCGTGAGGCGGTGGCCGCAGGGTGTCGTGGCATTGCATGCGCTGTGCTATGCGCTGGAGGGGCTGCGGCACGAGAACTGGCGGTCTTAGGAGCAGAATAGCATGTTGCTAGCACTGTTCGGCTGGCTAGTCACCGCCTGCAATCACTGGTGCTCGCCGGCCAGACGCCTATGTGTCAGTTGACGCCCGTCCGCTTATCGTGTTAGACGGAGTAATGCTGGAGAGGCGGCTGTCTAAGGACGAGTGGGTACCTGCAGTGACAACTTGACTACTGGTAGTTGGGAACTTGTGACTAGGGTTGAAACTGTGCCGTCAGGTGCGCTCAGCTTCGATCCCAAGGGCGAAATTCAAGTCTCGTGCATGCATGGTCAAGGCTCTGGCTTCCCAATGCACTTGTCAGCACCCCCATCTTTGTCCCCTCTTTCACGTTAAGCAGGGCGAGTTTGCCTCTCATTCTTGTTGACCGACTAGGCTTCGGCTGCCCACCCGTTGGAATTGCCTCTGAAACCTCCAGCAATCCTAGCCTCCTACCCACATCTGCTTGCTTCAGTCGCAAACGTCTCTCTCTCTCCTGCAAAGCCCACACCTCCTTGCCTACCATTACAGTAAACCACGGCTAGGCTCCCGAGCCTCTGTGTTCAAACGCCTGCGAGAGACCTCTCGTTCAACTCATTTCGGCTTGGAATCGTTGGTTTTGCCTACTGAAGACGCTCGCTAGCCCAGTACCCCTCGACGGTGCCGCATCCTCAGGGTGAACTCAGGCCTCTACCACGGCTGGAGCTTCTACGGGTCAATATCATACGCTTCTGCCATTTCTCGCCATGAAAAAGCCCGCAGCGGCAGACGTTGTCTATCACAAGACGTTCCCACGACCTAAACAGAACGACCCCAATTGCTTTGTTGCACATATCCAGCGCCACCTCGTACCTGAAGTAAGAGAAGAAGTACAACGATACTTTGGCCGGATCGACTGCTTGGAGGCACAATACCCCGGTCTGGATTACACATTTCCACCTCACAGAAGGCGGCTTGCCAGTTTCCCATGGCATCGGCGCCTATTCAGGGTCTTTGATGAGCTCCGCCTGACGAACGGCGAGATTCTTAGCCTCTGTACCTGGGAAGGCACACGGGCTGCAAAGGAGCGCTTTGAGCGAGAGTCTGCAACCAAAATAGAAACCACCACGTTGACAGGTGTTGCGTCAGTAAGCCAAAACAGTGGCCCCATTGTTGTCCTGCACACCGAGCGATCCTCAAGCGAAGAAGCCCCCCAACCGGCCCAAGTGGACACCGATTTATCCGATGAGGACGAAACTGATGACAGCATCGGTGTGCATCTGAACCAAAACTTGCTGGCGGCGGCAGAGGCTCGGGAGAGAGGCGAAGCCGCCAGATTTGACTTGCAGTGGGAGGAATGGATGAAGCAGGCAATCGAACGAAACGAGATCACCGATCCCGAGGCTATTCTAGAAGCTCTGCGGCAGGGCAGGCCATTTCCGCCATCATCAGCAGAGGATCAGGCAAGTCAGTCTAATGCGCCCGCCCCTGTCTCAGCATCCTTAGTCCCAATCGGTGAGGATGCGATGGCGTCAGCGACCTCCGGTCCGCAGTATCATCGATTGCAAGACGCAGTTGATGGGGTGGAGATCAGTTCTGCTCGGATAGCTGCGGACACAAACAATCTAGTCAATGGCGAATCCGGACCAACTTCAGGGCGCCCTCGACAACGCCTGACGGAGCTGATGGACGAGTTACATGCCAACACAACTCGGATGCAAGCAGAGAATAGCGCCATGCAGAACTTCTTGTCCAGGACTAGGACTGAGACGGCGAGGTGAGATAGGGCGAGCGTATGCCCCCGAAGGCCAAAAGCACACGACATGTAGAGGCCCTTTCCATATTTGTTTTCATGCATAGAGGTTAGGCCAAGTTGCAGACACGACATGAATGGTTAGTCTGGGAATTCACGATCTTCCAGCGAGGCGTTAGTAACCGTGTCCGAGGGTTTGGTAAGGAGGGACATGGACTATCACGATTCGGGCATCATTGAGAAATGGCATAGATATCGCAATAAAAGCAGCACGCTCTTTCACAACTCCTGTTAGACCGCGATCGGGACTGAGCCATGGTGCATCGGATAGCAGCCTATACTGCGTCGTCGATATCTTTTCCCAGAAAGGGACCACAGCTACGTGAGGCCTTGGCACCTGCGCCTGGCATGCTATCCTCAGAGGGCATCTGTAATTGCCTAGAGGCTTCCAGTGGTCGAGCCGTCGATCATTTCGCGTCCGCATCGGAACCCGCCGAACGCGTCTCAACGCGGGGCAGCATCTCTGTACTTCACTGGCTGGGCCACTCCAGACGTTTTCCTTCAACGTTGCATTGCGAGACCGCACGATATAACGTCTACTCCAGGTAAGCACTTCTACTTGTGGAAGATAACATGTCATCTCCGTCTCTGTAGACATTCTCCCCCCTCTCCCACGGCTGATCGGAGCGTCGCCACCTCAACCACATCCCCCACCCTCTTCCTGCATTCACCTACAAAACGACACCAACACAATGGCAATCAAAACCGCCGAACCCGTGACCGTCTCCCTCGCCGACCTCCAAGCCAACCGCATCCCCTTCTCCACGCTTCTCGCCGCCTTCGGCCCAGACAGTCTGGGTATCCTCGTCGTGCGTGACCTGCCCTCCACCTTCCCCGCCCTGCGCTCCAGCGTGCTCGCCAACGCGTCCCGCCTCGCCGCCCTACCCGCCTCCACATTACAGACACTCACCAAGCCCGCAGCCAAATACCTGGTGGGCTGGTCGCATGGCGTAGAGACGCTCCGCCCCGGCGTAGTCGACACCGCAAAAGGCAGCTACTACCTCAACTGCGCCTTCTACCAAGATCCCACGCTCGAGGCGCCCCGCGCCGCGAATGACGAGCGCTGGAACGGCTTCGAGGAGTACACAGCGGGCAACGTGTGGCCGGCCGAGGCCGACGTGCCAGAGTTCCGCACTGTGGTGGAATCGCTCATCACGCTGGTGATCGACACGGCGGTGCTGGTGGCGCGGGCGTGCGATGCGTATGCGGAGCGAGAAGTGCCAGGGTATGCGGCCGGGTATCTGGAGAAGGTGGTACGGGAGAGCACGACGACCAAGGCGCGGCTGCTGCACTACTTCCCGTCGGCGACGGAGGAGACACGAGACGAAACCACGCCGGCGGCATCGGTGGATGGCGAGAACAGCAGCGAGAGCGATGGCGAGAGCGACGACTGGTGCGCCACGCACCTGGACCACGGCTGCCTGACGGGCCTAACGAGCGCCATGTTCGTCGACGAGACGGCGGACGACGCCGCCTTCCCCGAGAATGTGGCCGAGTTGCCCGCCAGCCCGAGCCCCAAGAGCGGGCTGTACATCAAGAGTCGGGGCGGCGAGGTGTTCAAGGTCGCGATCCCGCGCGATTGTCTGGCGTTTCAGACGGGGGAGACGCTGGAGCTGATCACGCAGGGCAGGTTCAAGGCCGTGCCGCATTTCGTGCGCGGCGTGGATGCGAAGGACTTGAGAGAGCAGGGGAAAGAGGGCATGCGCGTGGCGCGCAATACGCTGGCGGTCTTTACGCAGCCGGACCTGGGGGCGGTGGTGGATCCGCGGACGGGGTTGACGTTTGGGGAGTTTGCTAGGGGGGTGGTGGGGAGGAATACGACTGCTGGTGGATAGTTCCGCGTAGATATGGAAGAGACAAGAGGAATACTGGATGGGACAAGAACAGGTGTGGAATCCGCGTGGGGAGGGAGGGGGCGGTCTTGAATCTTATGGATTTATTGTTGATCTGACTGTAGACACTACCTGTCGTTGGAAAACTTGCGCTTGAACTTCAGACCATGGCCGTTCTGCTTCGGCTGGCTTCCATAGTTGCGACGGCCCTGCTGCTTCTTGTCTCGCTGCATGCTGCTGCCCAGTTGGATGTCCACTCTAGGAGGAGCGGAGAAGCCGAAACTCTTCGCCAGCTTCACGAGGTCGAGCTTGTGCACGTCGAAGACGCTGCGGAGCGAATGTGAAGAGTATGCTTGGATGTATGAGCGGTAGCCGTCTTTTGCCGACTTTTAAGAGCGTTTGTTAGCAAAGACACTGCTGAGAGGGGGTGAGAAGGGCACGACGAACCTTGTTGAGATAGTAGTTCTGGTTGATCAGCTTCTCGAGCTGGGATTGAACATTCAGAATCTTTTTGGCGGGAAAGTCGAACTCCACGACCGGTACTCGTGCTTCTTTCAGTTGGCTCAGGAAACCAACCTCGTGGGGCTGCAGGAACATCAAGCTCTTGCCCTTGCCGTTGGAGCCACGAGCTGTGCGTCCGACTCGGTGAATGTAGTCTCTTGGGTCATCAGGCGGGTCGAATTGGACAATCCAGTCCACGGCCGGAATATCAAGGCCTCGAGCGGCGACATCTGTACAGATGAGCGTGCCTTGCTTCGCGTTGCAGAATTCGAAGAACGTGTTGGTTCGCTTCTGCTGCTTGAGATTGCCGTGTAGCTCAAGTACGGGCAAGTCAATGTAGTTCAACAGCTCAGCGTGGTATTTGACACAGTTGCAGGATGAGCAGAAGACGATGACCTTTTTCTTGGCCATTTTCTTCAGAAATGTGAAGAGCAGAAGGAAACGCTTCTCTGTGTCGCAAATGACATAGCCCTGTTCCAGACCTGCGACAGTTGAATGCTCCTTCTTGTGATCGACGTTGATGTACAAGGGTCCTGGACGCAGGGAGATGCGAGCCAGATCTTCGACCTTGGTCGTTTGCGTGGCGGAGAACAGCATCGTCTGGCGGTCCTCTTTTGGAAGCATCTTGACAATCTGCCGCATCTCATCTTCGAAGCCGACTTCGAGGATGCGGTCTGCCTCGTCGATCACCAGCGCCTTGACGTTCTTGTACACGAAGCCCTTGGTATTTTGCAGGTGATCGAGCAGCCGCCCAGGTGTGGCGATCAGGAGGTTCACGCCCTTGGTGAGCTTGTCCGCCTCAGCACTGCGGTTTGCGCCACCGATGACAATGCCAAATGTTTGACTGTGGAACTGCATGAGCTCTCTCGCAACGCCAAAGATTTGCAAAGCCAGTTCCCTCGTTGGCGAAACGACAATGACACCGGTACCATTTCGAGGTTTGAAACGCAGAGAGGAGAGCATCTCGACGGCTGGAATCAGGAACGATAGAGTCTTTCCGGACCCAGTTTTGGCAGCACCGAGAACATCTCGTCCTGCCAGTAACGGTGGTATTCCTCGCTGTTGAATTTCCGTCATAGTCTCGAACTTCATTTCCTGGATTGCCTTCATGGTCTTCTCCGACAGATTGAGCTCCGAAAATTTCTGGGGCTTGAATTCGGTACCGGGTAGGGAGGGTACATCTTCAGTAGGAAGGTCGTTGGCCTCGATGACCTGCTTATTGCCGTTTCTCAAATCCACTGTCTCCTCGAGTTCTGGTCCGGCCTCGGAGTCTTCGCTTTCGTTTTCCAGGTCACTCGCAGGTTGTTGGGGAGAGATCTCGTCTTCCCCTGATGACACCGGCTCATCTTCACTCCGATGCTTTGTCTTCCTCCTCTTCACCTTACTGCCATTCGTTTTAACATTGGTTGTAGGCTCTTGCTGCGCTGGCTCTGCGGGAACGGGCTTAGACGATTCAGCAGCGACAGCAACCGCATGTTTCCGCTTGCGCTTCTTTTTATCGTGCGCGGAAGAGTCCATAGCTATCTTAGTAGCGTAGTGAGCGGGCGCGCCTCGAATCGTGGACGTCTGGCCCTTCTGGAATTGTAGGCAGAAAATATTCTGAGTTGCCGACCGAAAGAAAAGTTATCGATAAGAGTTGCCTAGATCAGGACTAGTGTCTATTGTAAGTCGGCAGGGGCCAAATTGGGGCGCTGCGCTATTTTATATCGGCCTCACGCCTTGGACAATGCTCTAAACTAATTGTCGTTCTGGGAATCCTGACTACCGATTTGACGATGAAGCAGCGTAAACAGAGTAGCCCAAGGTGGTTATCCTCGAGGGCAAGAGATACCTACCTTCACCGTGAAGAAATATGCTTCCTACTCTAAATTCTTGCACACACGCATTAATATTTTGCTATCTCGAGACAAAAGAAAGTCGGCCGCTGGCCGTAGTGATGCAGAAAACGTGGTCTGCGACTTTTCTGGGCCTGCTCCAGGTTATATCTCGTACAGTGTTTCCTTCTTTGGGCCGACAGACGAGGTGTGGCTTCAAGCATGATCGGCCTTTTTGATCAAAGCTATGCTTTCGCTGGGAATGTATATCCTTCGAAGGCTTTGCTGACTTTTTCACCATCGTAAAACCCGATGACTTCGACAATCTTGCCCGCTTCGACTCTCATCATCCAGGCGTAGGTCATATCATAGTTGTTGCCATTCTTGGCGAACACTCCTTCCGAGTGCCAGTTCACAGCAGCCCAGTCACAGTCGACCAAGATTCTATCGATTATCGGTACTGGTAGCGTCTCAAGGACATCTCTAAGAGGATTAAGGACTTTCTCAAGATATATCTGCTTCGATTCATATCTGGAGAACATTCAGCATCTTTGCTACTCGAGACATACATATGTGTACTCACTTTCCAGCTATAGGGGAGCTACCAGTGACAGTCCAACTGAGGTCGTCGCTGAGTGCATTTGCAAAGCTGGTGCCAAAATTGTCCAGAGCGAATTCCGAGAATAAGCTGTCCATCAGCACCCGGGTCTCAGCGGTGATGGCAGCGCACGCGTCGACGGGATGCGCGTGGACACCAGGAGTCATGTTTTGGCAGAAGATGGTGAAGATGGAGAGAAGCAGAGCAGGAGCTGAGGGGAAGCGGGTGAGGAACAACATTGTGACTTGTGTCCTGCAGGCGTAACACAACCTTGCAGGCACACAGGCGAAAGATCAAGAGAAGCACGCCCACAACGTGCGAAGCTGTTGGATAACTCGCGTAGTGCCGGCTCGCACCTACCATGGCTTTATATCGCGATGACATTTCACACCGCTTTTCGTTCCACTTGCACAGAGAATGGAGTACCTGTAGGTACCTTGCAATGGACTCGGGCTGGCGTCTTGGAAAGGTACGCATGTAGGGCAATGGTTTGCGAGAGGTTGGGCTTGCCAGCGCAGTTAGCGCAAAGAGCGATTAAGCTGCAGCGGGGAAAGCGAAGCGCCGGTGTCCGTCTCTGGACCAATGCACGCTGCGAAGCCCGCTCTGCAACAAACACGCTCCTCTGACATACACTGTCCAACTCCCTGGGTCTCTACATCACCACGGCGACAAAAGTTCAAAGGCATCGTGAGCTTGTACCTTTCTCTTGAGAGTCGTTGCACGGAGATCTGCAGGAGCAAGAAGCTTGACCTCTGGAGGCCCAGACACCAATCACAGCTAGCGATCTAGTCACAGTGGAATTGAGAGAACAATGCCACCGCCAAAGTGACAGTGCTCTATGGCACTCGCAATCACGAACGCAATCTTGCTGGTGGTTGGCCTAACAGTACCCTGGAGAGCATTACTGTCTCAGAATAGTGTGAGCTTGGTTGAAAACAAGAGAGCATGCAAGTTGTCTACAGAAGTGGGTACGTTCCAGGTCATTCGATTGAAGGTAGGGGAGGTCTTCAGAGCCTGGGCAGACTCGGTCTAGAAAACCCATCGCGGAGAGCTGGAAACGGGTGGTGATTTTAACGGGTTACCGTTTGGATGGCTTGGTGCTCTTGTTTGTCGCGGTCACGAGAGCCGCTGCTGTGCCCCCAAAGCACCACCCAAGCCCGGAACCCTGGGCACCCGGAAAATGTTTCCTTAGCGCAGAACGCCACGCCGAGCCTCTACGCCAGGTACCCACAAAACCTCCGGGATACTACCTACAGAGTGAATGCCCGGAGACGCCCCCTTACCAGCAGCTACCACGAAGGTCAGGCACTCTTTGACCCAGACTAGCATGAAATGCTACGTCGAGGCGTGCAGATAGTTGCATGCCCAGGAATGCGGTATTTCCGAGCTTAGGCCTCGTAGAACGGAAATCATACTCGCCATAGAGTAAGCACCAAGCTTGGGAGCAAGTGATCAATAGAACGTCTACCTGCCTGTCGAAGGCTACAAGACAAACAGTAAAGCATTTTTGGTCCTGCGGAGAATCGGACATGATGGGAGAGCTTCAAGGACGGGGCAACTTCGATACATAGGACATTTTTCGGGCGGGCGGCGGTGGGATGGATTTCGAGCACGAGGCAGATAAGCTTGCGGTGCTGATCGATCGAGCTTTTCTATTACTCAACCAACAGCCTGGGGAAGCCTGGAGAGAGGCCCTCTCTAAGCATATTTGGTTTGCCGGGCTGGAGAAGTCCTCGGGTAGGTACCATAGTTACCATACTCCATATAGGTAGCATTGATGATCCCCTCATGCGATCGTCGCTGCAGCTCTTAAATCTACATACCTACTGTGGGTAGACCATTAGCTCAGTCCGCATATCTTCGCAATCACCTTGAGCTCGGTGCTGTGGTCGACACTCGCCTAAACCGAAAACACCCGCAGCTTCACGCCTGGCCGTCGAGTCATTGCTGGCCCGATTTCCGGCTCCCGAGGCACATCCTACGTTCCCAGCGGCGTCCAACCCCGGGAAGTCTCTCCACCAATCCGCAACACTCTTTAACTCGCATCCCGCCGCCGGTTAGCTTACCTAGGGGGAAGGAGCAGGAGCGGACTTCTACCGTGATCGGCCATCCCAGACGAACCTACGCAAGCCGTTGCCAGCAAACCAACCCACCAGCTGCCTCGAGACCCTTGCTCTGTCGGCCCCAGCACTGCACCTCATGGTTTCGCCATCCTTTGAGCTTCTTTTTACCCTTTGGCTGCCCATATCCGAACATTCTTTCTGGGTTTGACCGCCATTCTTGAGTCCTGACTAACTGCTCCTCCACTTCCGGACCTCAATTCCTTCCTCATCGGATTTATGTTCCTGAATACTTCGTTCGTGCCACCATAAATAATTCTTTGACCAGCAATGTCAAATCACGGTTTGGAACCACCACTACCTCCGCCGCTGTCGCAAATGGCTACTCCGAAGCCGTCCATGCCCATCTCTCGGTCTGTCGGAACCCCATACGAGAGACCGGAGAGGGCGAGAACAAGCCATGCGTGTGAGCCGTGTCGGTACGAAGCGTGGTCCGTCGCGATCTCGATGGTGTCACTAACTGGAACTACAGTGAGAGGAAGACAAAGTGTGACGGAGAGCGCCCTTCATGTCGTCGTTGCCTGCATACGGGCACAGGATGTCATTATGGCTACGGCAAGGGCTGGAGGAAGCGCAAGTACGTCTAGTACGTTCTTGCAACCATTATCAATATGCTCACAATAGTTTAAGGACAGCCGAGGACTTGACGGCCACATCGCGCCGACTTGCGCGTTATGAGACCCTTCTCAACGATATCATGCCACACGTACCTCCAAATGTTAAACAAATGATTGAGGATGCTCGCGAACAGGTACAACGGCCTACTCTAGTATCATTGACCCTATCTCACAGGTGTACAGGACGTTGCTGTATCTAGCCCCGGGGGCTCGGAAGTCAATGAGCATAATGATTTTGCACGAGCAATGCCTAGCATGAGTAACGACCCGTCCACAAGCAGCGGCAGCACACCACGCGTCTCGCTACCTCTACCGGTTCCCACCACCATGGGTGGACAGGGACCTGGGCCTCATCCGCCGCCACTTGTGCGTCCTTATGAAAACATGTCCCCAAGTCATAGCTCTTCTGCTATGCCACGACCCAACTCCAGGGCATCTCCAGAAGAATCTTCCAGCACACGACTGCCATCGATTACTCCTCATGGCATGTTGATCGAGCCGAGCGTGGAGGGACCGCCGCCCGTTTTGCCTCAAATCAAGTCCGAAACTAGCATGCTCAGTTCAGCGGGTTCGCGAGGAGGCAATACTCCGCCCGACGGTGCCATTGCACATACAGGTTGGTCTCGTCAGTCTGATCACTTCCCTGTGTCTGCTGACGGAGATCTAAGACGAGAATATGCGTCCGGAATCAGCGTCAATGGGATAGCCACTCCCGCGTCCTAACGGTTTCCACCATTTGCGCCAACAACAGGTTCCCGTTCCCGAGACTACAGCAAGTCATCGACAGGAAAATAGCACTATCGCTTGCCACATGCAAGACTGGGCCCGAAGGCACGCAGAGCTGTCACGCAAGCATCAGGTCGCACACCGGATCGAAACGGAGCGGCCATTGCGTACGAAGAAGTTTGGCAAGTGGATCTGCCTCACCTCGGTCGCTTAGGCTGGAAGAAAGCAAAGATCCACGCGGCTTTGACCAACCTTTCCAAGCAGTCGCACCCGGCAGGTACTGGGGCTAAAGTCATTCGAGGCATCCCACGGTCCCTCGGTCCCACAGTGTCATTCGGAGGAGAAGCTCCGGAAAAAGTGCAGAAGCAAAAAAATAGACGAGGTTTTGGCTGTCGCCTGGAGCAGTGGTGAGTGGTGCTGCGGCGAAATTCGACGTTGTCATCCATCCTTCGGGCTCCGCTGTTCTTTCCTCATCGGGGCTAGGACGCTGTTCTCGGGAAGAAAAGTCCGCTCGAGTGCCACTTGTATCGGTCGATGCAAGTTCGGGCTATGCCATGTGAGATTATCGTCGAAGCTGGAGGCGCAGTGCGGAGTGGTTGCAAGCACTGTGGTGGGTACGCGAGATGAGCTTTACCTCGGAAATGCTTACCCCATGCCCGCGAAAGGCTGCATGTGCCTGACCGAAGCGACCATTCTGCTGCACGCCGCCCATTCGGTGCTGCAGAATGTAGTGAAAAACATGCATCGCATGAAAGGAAGCTCAGCTCGGCAATGGTGATGATCTCTTAGGTTAGCCGACGGACAGTCACAGAGCAGAAGTCAAAAAAGGAGATTCTCCTGGTTGCAGTCTTGTGCGTCCAGGATGTTTTGGGGGCACCATGTGCTTGCAGGGTCTCGCTGAACCAACCACATCGCAAATGCGGAGGAGAGAGCCGTTCTTGCAGATGATCAACATGTCTAAACACGAACGGTGTCGCCTTGCGACAGTCGACATGTTGTAAATCAGCATGTTTCCAGTGCTGATCTTTATGTACAGAGTTTGCCACGGATGGACAACCTTCTTCCATGTTGGGCAGCTACCTCATCGATCGCGACGTCCCTAGCCGATCAATCAAGCTCCACGGAGAACGTGTAATCCTCTGAAGCTGTCTCCTGTAGGCGATGGCACAGGAGGTAGTCCTCAGGTCCTCGAATTGCCGACATCATATTGCACGCAGGAAAATCGAAGCAGCGCGAGGATTGATTGGGGTGGGGGTCCCACAATCTCGTTGCTCGCGCCCTGAACAGGGGTCATAATGCACCCTCCCCTCCCCAGCAGGACCCTGAAGGCCTAGAAGAATCGGTCTAGGCAGCAAAGCACAAGTGCTAGGCGCATTTGGTTCGGCGCTTGGTTCTGGGTTTCCGGTCCACGAGGGCTGCAGGTGCGCGGCACGCCACATGCTGCCACGAGTCGCATCTGCTTATAGGCTCCCAACAGTCAAGGGCAATCTCGGGAATTACCGCATGAACGCATTGTTCCCTTGTGTGTGTTACAAGCCTTTCGTATAGCTCGAGGGACCGTACAATTATCTTTTCCGAAGGCTATCCACAAGGAATTGCTTGGTTGAGGGGGAAGAAGTTCTACATGCCATGTGGATCTGCTGTACGATTGCAAGAAGGCAGCGGTGAGGCATGAACTTTCCCACTACAACAGTGGTATTCCGGTCGCTCGGGAAATGGAAGTTAAGAAAAGGCGCCGGCCGGGAGCCTGCGAACGCTGCCGCACCTCAGGCAGGAACACGAGAAGATGTTTTCGTGCTGCGAAAGCGACCCTGCTCTCCGCGTCAAACGGTGATGATCATCATAATTGGAGGAGTTCCAGCCATCAACATGGTTGTGCTCCCCCAGGTATCATTACCCCCATACCAACCGTAGCATTGCCATACAGGAGCTGCTCCAGATGAAGGCACGGATATGCGGTCAGGATTCAGACGACCAGATATTCACGAGCCGCGCGGCGTCCTCATGCTCAAAGTCCACAAAAATTCGTTGTGAAGGGTACGGAGTACGGATACTAGATGACACCACCCGAAAGAGTACTCGAGACGGCTACAATGATTCGCTACATCAATTTCCTTTTACGCAGTGGCCATGTCCAGCAAGACGGACTGGCTTGCCGTTGAGTGGATATCCCCTCCGGCGATGCTCCAGGCCTAAGTGCCTTTTCCATGGCTCTTGGAGACGAAGGTCAGCCATGTAACGTGGCGATCATCTCGATATGAGTATGCAATATTTTTCCGTCCCTGTCCATTGGCTTACCACCCTCGGCTCCGGCGACGAGTCATGGCAACTGACCGAAGATATCCGGCGTGGGTTTTCAAGGGACGTGGATGTAAAAGCCGAAGGGCGTAAATGCTCGTGCTCTCTTTGATGCTGCCCGGCTTGGGAGTTTGCACCCATGCAGAAACACGTCACGCACTCGGCCTCCCTCGGTGAGCACAAAGAGTTCAGAGATGAGGAGCCACCGTGTGCCCGTCGGTAGGCATCGGCCTTGGAGGCCGGTGAGGGACCTCAAAAGTTGGAGCTCACTTTCTTGTTGCCCCGCGCACTGCGGCGCGTCAACCAAGTCGACGTAAACACTTTTGCGGGGAGAGGTGCGGTCGCGGAAACCAAAATTATCAATTCCTGCGCTGTGAGTGGATGCCCTCATTGAGAAGCAGCTTGGACTGCCCCGTGTGTCAAGATGAGCTTGCTGCCCTCGGTGCCCATTTTGAGACCCTCGGGCTCGTGGTGGCTTCGACTTCGGAGGTGGGTTCGCCCATTTTGGAGGGGTCACAAAGATCCTTTGCTACGCAATTGCGCGATCGTGGTGCTTGGATTGCATGCACTCGTAGTAGGGATTCTATTGTTTTGCTTCGGATAGCGCAAGTCCCAGGTTCTCGTGAGATCGTTCGAGTGTGATCAGTCTCCCAAAAATCGGCTCGGCCCCAGGTCGCCTTCTCGTTTGGTACGAACGCTACTACTGCCACACACCAACTGTCGACACCATGGTCGAGGTTGACAGGATCGAGGCCAAGGATGCCCCAAATGTCACCGACGACAATCCCAGCGCCACCCGCTATCTCGACTTCCCGCGCTCGAATGAGGTCAATGGCACTGATGGCAAGCCCATGCTGAACCGCTACTCAACCTACATCACGCGCGAGCATGATTTCCCCGGCGCTCAGGTCAGTAACGATTACGCTTGGTTGCTAGTCTCACTCACTGATCAACATACTCATAGGCTATGCTGTTCGCCGCTGGCATTCCCGACCGCCGCGCTATGCAGAACTCCCCGCATGTCGGCATCGCTTCGGTCTGGTGGGAGGGCAATCCCTGCAACATGCACCTCTTGGATTTGGGCAAGGAGGTCAAAAAGAATGTCGAGAAGCAAGGCATGCTGGCCTGGCAGTATAATACTGTGGGCGTGTCCGACGCCATCACCATGGGTAATCAGGGCATGCGATTTTCGCTGCAGACGCGTGAGATCATTGCGGATTCCGTCGAGACGGTGACGTGCGCGCAGGCGCACGACGCCAACATCACGATCCCGGGATGCGACAAGAACATGCCGGGATGCATCATGGGCATGACCAGACACAACCGGCCGAGTATCATGGTGTACGGAGGCACGATCGACAAGGGTTACAGTAAGTTACTGCGGAAGCCGGTCAATGTCGCGACGTGCTACGAGGCGTTTGGCGCCTACAGCTACAATAATCTGCGGCAGCCCGATGACGGTGGCGAGACTGGCGCGAGCCAGAACGAGATCATGGAGGATCTGGAAATGCACGCCTGTCCAAGCTCGGGTGCCTGTGGCGGCATGTACACGGCCAACAGTATGGCAACGGCGATTGAATCCATGGGCTTGAGTCTGCCGGGAAGCAGCAGCACGCCCGCCAGCAGTCCGGCCAAGATGCGAGAGTGTGCCAAAGTGGCCGAGGCGATTCGAGTTTGTCTGGAGAAGGACATCAAGCCTAGGGATCTACTGACGACGAGGAGTTTCGAAAACGCGTTGGTGATGCTCATGGCCTTGGGTGGCAGCACCAATGCCGTGCTTCACCTGCTGGCCATGGCCAACACGGCGGACGTGAAGCTGAGCCTGGATGACTTCCAAAGAGTCAGCAACAAGATCCCATTCCTCGCGGATATGGCACCATCCGGGAGATATCTCATGGCAGATCTGTACGAGATTGGTGGGATACCCAGCGTGCAGAAATTCCTGATCCATGCGAAGCTGCTGGATGGTGGCATCCCGACCGTGACGGGCAAGACGCTGGCGGAGAACGTGGAGAGCTGGCCAAGTCTGCCGCCTGACCAGAAGATTGTGAGGGCGCTGGAGAACCCAATCAAGTCTTCGGGCCACATTCAGATTCTGAAGGGCAACTTTGCGCCGCAGGGCGCGGTGGCGAAGATCACGGGCAAGGAGGGCCTGCGTTTCGAGGGCAAGGCCAGGTGCTTTGACAAGGAGTACATGCTCAACGAGGCGCTGAACCGCGGGGAGATACCCAAAGGGGAGAACTTGGTGCTGATAGTGAGGTACGAGGGCCCCAAGGGTGGGCCGGGCATGCCGGAGCAGCTAAAGGCCAGTGCGGCCATCATGGGAGCAGGCTTGAAGAATATCGCTCTGGTCACGGACGGGAGGTACTCCGGGGCGAGCCATGGGTTCATTGTGGGACATGTGTGTCCCGAGGCCGCGGTGGGAGGGCCGATCGGACTGGTCCAAGATGGGGACGTCGTGGTCATCGATGCGGAGAAGAACGAGATCAGTGTCAACGTGTCGGAGGCGGAGTTCGAGAGCAGGCGGAAGCAGTGGAAGCCTAAAGCCAAGGGGGTCACCAGGGGAGTGTTGGCCAAGTACGAGAGGCTGGTTGGAGATGCCAGTCATGGCGCGGTCACGGACCTGTGGTAAGGCACTGGGAGCTAATGCGTCTGATAGCGTATCTAGATGTGATTCAGACCGGGCTGTTGATTGCCCCAGGAGCGCCAAGTACCCTCCTCGCCGTTGAGATGATGGCAGGTGTTCATATGCTTTGTACTATGTGGAGCAGCTGGCCCCCTAGTCCACAGCGGATCTCACACTAGAGAGTAAACACACAAATTAAGCCATCTGCCAACCTCATCAAAGCATTTTTATTCGGCTTGGTTACGAGACGGAAGAATACGCCTACCACTGCCTTACCTACAGGCCTCGATTCTCTGTACGAAGAACAGTTTGGGTATAGTCAAAGACTGCCTCTCGGCTCTGTCATCCCAGCAGAGATGGCCAGATCTTACATCTCACCCGTTCTATAGTCTTCCTGCCGGGGTAAGTGGCGGAGCTTAGGCACCTCTGCCACGCCTTCTCGTTCCAAGTCCTATCACAGTGACCGTGGGCGAAGCGCGAGGTTGCGAGCGGATAGTTTCTTCTGATGACTAGACAGGGGACGATGCTACTCATACCAATGCACCATATTGAGGCCTAATCATTCGCTTGGCAGGCGGTAGCTCAGACGGCCTGCATGTACGCTTGGGCTGAGATACGCAAGCTGATATTTCGACAGGATCTCTAAAACCATGGTCTCAGACAGCAGCAACCACCAAAACGTTGCACAGGCAGCAAGAAAGAGTCATTCAGACACTCTGGTGACTACTTCTTTACAGGGGAAGTTGCTGCTGCTCACTCAACGAAGCCTCAGACGTGTCTCAGTCTAGAGAAGGTGGCCCCCACAAAGTCCTCGCTAAGGGCTAGGTGCAGAAAGACACCATGACCGAGCCTTCACAATCATCGTGCCGCTGTGCATGAAGATAGACTTCCAACGTCTCTTTGCACTGCACGAGGGCGAAAATACCGTCCGGTCAGATTAGCGACGGCCAACCATCTAGGCGAAAAGTCGCCTAGACATGCGGCACGAACTCGCCTGATGCCTGGAAGCGGCAGCCCGCTGGCGGCTAACGCCTCGTCTTAATCGCTCGCCTCTTCTTCTTCGTTCGACCTTCTGCCGTTGCGTCCGTTGCGTCGGTCATGCATGCACATAGCCAACGGCCCATGGTCACCATGCAATGCAGCATACGACTTCCGTGAGCAACCTATAGGTGGGCTCGGTCCATAATCCTAGCTACCCATGATCTCGGCTCTGGTGTCGCCAGTCAAGCGCTCGTGCATCCTGCAGGTAGGTTGGTACCTTGGGACTTATTTGGAGCCACACTTACCGATGTCTGATCCTGGAATACGGGATCGAAATCGGAGAGGACCGTTTGAGAGCAGGGGCTCATGCTACGCCTTACCAGTGGCTCGGTGCTATGCTTCACATAAGGCAAAGCGTCGTTTTTCATGCGCAAGCTGATGCTGCAGAATGCAAGTCTCGATTTGACGGTCCATTGTTTGGCCCCCATCTGTCTGCAGGATCATGCATGAGTACTGCTACATGGATCGTGGCTCAGGATGTCGTTGCAGAACGTCGGATCTCTGTCCTCCATCAAGTATAGAGCTCGAGAGACATGTACTAATTTTGAACAGATAAGTCTGCTATACGCCAGCGGCAGTGCAAACTGTGCTCTGAATCGAGCTCATCTTCCTCTACCACTTCCATATCCTCGATAGCCTCGAGAACCTGCTTTGCATCCACGCCAGCAAACTCTATGGCTGCTTCCATGAGACCTGCGGCAAGTATACAAAGCAAGGCCACCAGCGGCTGCGGCATGTGTGCCGCTTTCACTCAGTATCTCTCAAGTGAGTGCATGCATAGGCACATGATGAGACCAGACCGGCTTCATGGGGGCTGATTACATGTCTCTTACCGTGCCTACCGCCAATGTGCTCTCATTCACAGGCTCTCCCGTTTGAAGACACCTTTTCATTGGCGTAAACGAAGGGTTCTCTAGTCACGACCATGGATTCTCGCTTGCAAGACATGCATGCGAAGTCGCCGATGTAGGTTGAGGGCGTCGGCTCGCCATCCTCCATTGACCAATTCACTTTCAAGATATGATGCGCTGGCACGGGAGGCGAGATCTCCTGGCCTGTCCAGTGATGTTGGTAAGCGGTAGGTCCATTGAAGGAGAGATAGTGGCATCTTCTCCTATATAGGGGTGATGTACCCTCGAGATGGTCGCTTTCCTTCTCGTCCACTGCCATCACTATCGAGATGCACCAGTCCTGAGCAACATGTACCTTCTCCCATCCAGCTTTGGCAAGTTCCTTTCACGCTTCCAAGCCAACCATACCAAGACCCAACTCCCCATCTACACTCACAGCCAAAGCACCCTCTTCGACGACCTTCCAGAGGACGAGAAGAAGGCTGCTCTTGCCAAACTCCACGAGCTCGCCGACCGGCAACCAGGTCTGGCTAAGACCAAGACTCCTGTGCACCGTCGTCGCTACTTCGACTGGTAAGTCTTGAGACGCTGGCCTGTGCCGGGATGAAACTCACACGGATCTAGGAAGATCTTCGCCATGACTTCTGGTATCCTGTTACTCGTCGTCCTGGCCATCGTTGCTCTGGTGAAGGCTGTGGACAAAGATGTCAACCCTGATTTGGTGGCCAAGCTCCGCATGGCCAATACCAACCTCGACAGGATGGCCCTTTTGCCCAATGACGATGACTGGGTTTATGACTTCACCACGTCTGACAAGTACACATACGAGCCGGGTGGGGTGATTAATGCCAATGCAGCTACATTCCCAGCCACTGTTGGTCAAGGCATGACGATGGTGAGTAAACTCGAGTGATGTATATCGCATCTAGAAGAAAGCAAAGGCTAACTAACATGCTGTAGGCCATTCTTAACCTTGGGCCATGCTCAATGCTTCCGCCACATCTACATCCCCGCGCAACCAACTACGTGGTGGCCGTATCAGGCACGACTCGCACGTTCATGATCAACGAGAACGGTGCCCGCACGGTAGAGACGACTCTAACGCCCGGCAAGATGACCATCTTCCCCACTGGTAGCGTCCATACCATGATGAATGTGGGCTGTGAGAATGCCCAGCTGATTTCGGCCCTCAACTCGGACGACACTGGTACCATGAATCTGGCTAACGCGTTCTTTTCGCTGGACGCCAACTTCACGCAGACGATTCTGGGACCGGACAGCAATGTCAGAGCCATGGGCGACCACGTTCCTCCCGTCGGCACTGGTAGTGCTTATGGGCCGGAGCAGTGTATTGCGGCTTGCAAGGCCAAGGGCAGGATGGTCAAGAGAGCGTTTTAAACATGCTTGTGGGGGAGACCGGCGGTGCGAATGTCCTAGAGTCGAGACGGCGGGATATGTAAATTCAGAGCAGAGGTGGGCTACGAGTAATGATATAGGTTTCAGGTAGAGAGCAGCAATATATGCAGTACGTGGTACATTTTCAACCCCTGCTAACAGGCAGTGGAGAACATTCACTGCCTGAAAATAGTGGCCAATCAGCTGTCCGCCCAAGGGCGAAGCGGGAGACCAGCAGAGGCCAGCAGAGGCCAATGGGCGCATGACAGCGACCGCCCCCGACTGGCCTCGCTTTCGCCTGCGCCCAACACCCGGCACGCCGCCATTGTTGCTGGAATGCGACACCCACATCTTCCTATCGTCCCGCGCGTCTGCTGGCGTCCTTGACACCCTTGTTGTCGCCTCCTACCTGCCTCCGTCGCCGCTGCCGAATGTATATGTAACATCATCTCATCATCTTTTGGTAGTATACCGCTTGCTACCACCGCCGCTCGACGTCCTACTGCACATGACACCGGGGTGCCCTAGCCCTCTAATATTTCGACGCCGGGAACTTGAGGATTGGTGTCGGCGCTCTCATCGTACCTTTGCGCAGACCGGTACTGTGACTGTGGCCCGGGATCTGTGCGATCGGCTACCCGCTGCGGATCACTGCCGGAACGAATCTCTATCCTACGTCCCCGATTAATCTCACATCATTGTCACCGGCCAAACGACCACTGCGATACAGTCACTTGAACCTGTCGCAAGTACTGGGACTCTCACCCGCTGAGCCTGGCGTGATGCCTGGCTGAGATCCCGCTGCTACTGAGTACACATACATTCAAGCATGCTGTCCGCCCAGTCTCGTTAGCGAACCGATCTCTGCCACCGAGCAATGGTTTCCAATAGCCAAGTCATGGATAACCAGCGAGGGCAGTACAACATTCCTCCACCACCGCCGCTCAACCAGAACCCGGCGAATCTGTCTCACCTACCTCCGCCGCCGCCGCGCTTCAATCAACAACAGAGTTCCTCCACCCTTCCTCCGCCGCCTCCCGGGCCGCATCCGTCGTCACTTCCTCCCGGCACCGTCTATGGCCTGAATTGGGGCCAGCAAGGTTGGGCTCGCCCCGGCCAGACGCTTCCTCCACCTCCGCCGCTGAGTCAAAATGCATCATACAATGCCAGTAGACAGCCTGGAATGAATATACCTCCCCCGCCTCCGCAATATAATGATAAGCCCGTCTTGTCAGCAACATTCATACCCACCGGCGACTCATTTGGACCTGGCGTCGGCATCCCACCCTTGGACGACTTCTCGACCTTCTCGCGCTACGACCAACCTTTCACAGCTGAGCCTTCTCGCAATTCAGGCGAACCGCGGTACTCGGATGGCACGTATAACCCGCACAGCTACAGCTACCCGAATCCATCCCAGCCCAACCCCGACATTGCGAACCGAGAGAATCGCGCCGCTTCCGCTTCCTCCAAGGCGCCACCAGTGTATCCAAACGCGAAGCGCGACTTCTCTGAACCGGTCTCCCCTGGTCCCCCAACGGCCACTCTGATCAACCCCCAATTGGAAAATGCCAAGGAGTCTGGCACGCGAGCACGAGCTCAGAGTGCAGCCGTGTCCTTGAGTGCCACCAGTGCGCTGGCCGCGCAGTGGCCGCTCGACAAAGTGCTATCTTGGCTGGCTGCCAACAACTTTTCGACTGACTGGCAGGAGACTTTCAGGCAGTTGAAGTTGGATGGCGCGGATTTCTTGGACTTGGGCAAAGGCGCCAACGGGCGAGGCAATCTCGGGATGATGCATTCTAAGGTCTACCCGCAGTTGGCCAGAGTGTGCTCGGGAAACAAAACGGGTAACAAGACTGGTTGGGATCAGTCCCGGGAGCGCGAGGAGGGTAAAAGACTCAGAAAGCTGATCTCGAGGCTGGGTGACGATGGACCTCCAAGCGCCGGTTCAGGCCATCGCAGACGTGAATCTGGTGTGCTGGGAAGTGCGTCTACCGAGGGCACTCTTGAAGGGTCGCCCCATCTCGGACAGAGTGAGTTTGCGACGGCCAGCCCGGTGGGTATTGGCCCGTTTGGCCCACGAGGCTCGCAAGGCAGAAGCAGCACCCTTCCAGTCATGCCCAGGGGACCGAGCTCGTCCTCTACGCCTGTCGACAACCGTGGAGAATACACTCGCAACATCCTGGGCAACGTTGGTCGTGGCCGCCATAGCCCGCACCTATCTGGTGACGGCTCAACTGGACTACCTGCTCCAAAAGTCGATGCGAGCCCCAGCAGCAGTCCTGGACTTGGACACGCCGTACCAACGAGCTCGGCGGATGGTCGGCGCCCGCAACATTCCAAGACCAACAGCACTGATTCGATGCAAAAAGCCGCTAACTACCATAGAGGCAACCTGAATTTCCCGTCATCGAGTGTCTCCGACAATGCAGTTCCCACAGAGCGTTTCTACGAACAGCAGAACCGAAGGGATGCCCTAGAATCTCACAGACCTTCTATGCTTGACACCAGCCGGACCTACAGCAACGAGCAGGTGCCAGTCAGTGCCAAAGAAGGCGGCAAGGGCTTTCTGAGCAAATTCATGAGGAAGAACCGCCATGACCATGGAAGTGATGTTGATCATCCTCTAGAATCGCCTACGAGTCCAGGATTGAGGTCTATCTTCTCAAAGCCCACCGCGAACAACAGTGATTCAGCGCTTGCCCAACGGCCCATGTCAACTACGGCTGTCGAAGGCCACATCGCCAGCGGTCGCGAGAGAAGGTATACTAGGACAAACCGGAAGTACATGCTCGTGACCCCTGATCGGTGGAATTACCGCCTCATCGACGTCACGGCCGTTTCGACTGCAGAAGCGCTAAAGAAACTCATTTGTGAGGAGCTCGGCCTCCTGGGCGAGACCGTCACGTTTTACTTTACCCTTCCTGGTCAACAAGAGCACGAACACGCCCTGTCGGACGATGTCATGAGAAACGCCCTCGGGCGCGCAGATAACGACGCGGCTATCAGAATATTTGTCGCTTCTGCCGCCTATCCTGCCTCACCGAGCAACACTAATGGTCTGTCAATGTCTTTCTCGCAAAGAGCGTCAGGAGGTGCAACGATGCTCAAATCGACTTCCGCCTCCGGTCTGCCGAGTCCGTCTCATACGTATCATCGCACGCCGAGTCCGGACTCTTTGCGAAGGGCGCAGGACGAATATCGCAAGCAGACCGAGGCTAAGCAGAGAGCCTACCTTCTGCAACGCATGGACAGGAAGGAGCAGTCCAAGGGCAATGTCATTGACTTTGATAGCCCTCGTGTCTCGCCGTTTGAGGAGAAGAAGGCTGACGGTCTCATGCCTGTTCGGAAGCCACCTACCGCGCCGACCGAATCGAGCACTCTGACGAAAGTCAATTCTTTGCGCATGGCTAGAGGAGGATCTGGTACCAGAAGCTCGTTGGAGGCGCTCAAGCGCATCTCGGATCCTATCGTAGAGGAGCGTGCCATGAAAGAGGGCAAGCCCTCGTCCGGTGGCGGCATCGGTGCTGCGTTGGCCAATGCTGGTAGAGTGGCTGGATCACCAGCGATGTTCAAAGGCGACGATGAGGAGATTGGGCCAGGCTTTGCTCCGAAGTTCAGGCTACAGCCTGCCCCAAGGCGACAGCAGACGTACGGTCCTTCGCCTGAGATCAGTCCCGCCACTGATACATTCAAACGCCCCACTCTACAGACGAGGAAGTCGTATGGACCGGACTTCGAGTTTCAGGAGACGAACGTTACATTCGCTCCGTCGCCACATCCGACTATGGGCGATGGAGAAGACGACGACGACGACTCGGATGATGGTCTTTTCGCTATTCCTTTGACGAACAAGTCCCTCCCTAAAGGAGGCGAGAAGCCAACTCTTACCTTGGACACAGATCAAACGCGTGCCCACAAGCCAAAAGTTGCCTTTAAGACTCCCAATTCATCGGGTGGTGTGTCTCTGGGACGTAATTCCAATGAGGGCAGCGCACATCCAAGTGAAGGTATGGACCGAAGCTACTCAGACGGAAGCTTCCCCGGCTCCGCGTCGGCGTCGGCATCCGCCTCGTCACCGGGTGGTGGGCTCGGACGTCGGAACTCGTTCCTTCATAGTGATATCTGGGCCAGCCGTCCGACGGTGGAGAATGTCGTTGAGAATCTCGACGAGTTCTTCCCTGGTGTCGATCTGGATAAGCCTTTCATGGAGGAGCCAGGAAAAACTCCGACACCGTCAGAAAAGGATCCTGGTTCGCTGCGCTCACGCATGACTTTTGGTACTCAAGGATTGAACCTTGAGATGAAACAGCGCAGTGAGTCCGATACATTGGGGTCAGACGAGTCTACGCTCAAAGCCAGAGATCAGACTGCTGTGGCCAGCATCGCTCAACGTCAAATGGGCAAATCTGGTGGACTCTCACGCATGAAGTCGATTCGAGAGGTTGCACAGCACCGCAACGTTGACTTGCCCGGGCCTCAGCGCGCACCGTCTGTCGTGCGACCCGGTCCAGCCGTTGAGCAGAATCAAGCTTCTGGTCTCCAGCGTCGCAAGTCAACGAAACTGTGGGGAGCGAACATTGTGCAGATCAAACCCAAGGCCGGGAACCGTCTCAGCACGCTGGATACGATCCCGCAGGAGGAGGTCCCCAAGGAGGATGCGCCGAAGCGGTCCACGACCTTCAAGATCCTGCGCGGTCAACTTATCGGCAAGGGGACCTACGGCCGTGTCTACCTCGGCATGAACGCCACCACCGGCGACTTTTTGGCCGTCAAGCAAGTCGAAGTCAACCAGAAGACGGCGGGCCAAGACAAAGACCGCATCAAGGAGATGGTGGCGGCGCTCGACCTGGAGATCGACACGATGAAGGATCTCGAACACCCCAACATCGTGCAGTACCTGGGCTGCGACCGGCGCGAGTTTTCCATCTCCATCTACCTCGAGTACATCTCGGGCGGGTCGGTGGGCAGCTGTCTGCGCAAACACGGCAAGTTCGAGGAAGGCGTGGTGCGCTCCCTCACGCGGCAGACGCTCGAGGGCCTCGCGTACCTGCACCAAGAGGGGATCTTGCACCGCGACCTCAAGGCCGACAATATCCTGCTGGACACGGACGGGACCTGCAAGATCTCCGACTTTGGCATCTCCAAGAAGTCGGATAATATCTACGGCAACGACGTCACCAACAGCATGCAAGGCTCCGTGTTTTGGATGGCCCCCGAGGTCGTGAGGTCCAGGGGTTTGGGCTACAGCGCCAAAATCGACATCTGGTCCCTCGGCTGCGTCGTGCTCGAGATGTTTGCCGGGAAGAGGCCGTGGAGTCGCGAGGAGGCGATTGGCGCGATCTTCAAGTTGGGGAATCTGAATCAGGCGCCACCGATTCCCGAGGATGTGCAGCAGACGGCGTCGGTTGAGGGTTTGGCGTTTATGTATGCCTGTTTTGAGATGTGAGTTTTTCCTTTTCTTCTTTTTTTTCCCCCGCTTGTCGCCTTTCGACGCCTCTTCCCCCTTTTGCAGAGGTTCTTTGTGGGCGAGGCAGCTGGGCTCATTTGACTGACCTGGGAAAACAGTAAACCGGAAGACCGCCCCACGGCCGCGACGCTGCTGAGGGAAAGCGACTTTTGCGTCCCCGACTTGAACTATGACTTTATGAACACGGAGCTGGCGGCCAAGTTGAGGAGTAGTGGGTTGGTGTCGTTGGGTGAGTGATTCTGATTTATACTGGGAAAAAAAGGGGGGGGGGGGAACAAAAATCAGATGGAGGACGGGCATCATATTTATGCAGAGATATATGTGTGAATCTATGTCTGGGTACCGGCCCGCCCTGGCTCTTCTTGCCCGTCGGATGGTGGAGGAGGTGAGGAGGAGGAGGGGGAGGGGGGGCAAAGGGGGTCCCAAGATGGGTTTCACGTTTTCTGGAAAGAAGGAAAGGAAGATACCAATGTATGACGGGCATGATCTAGTTGCGGGGACATCTGTGCGAGGATATGACTGTAGGTCTCTGCAAAACAAGCGAGCGACTCTCTGCGTTACAGTACGTTTATACCATAACCACCACCACCACCACCACCTTATTTCACGGTTCTGAAAGGATGGGTCCTGGAGTTTGTCCAAATCCCCCACCACACATATAGTGTGTTTGGGCGGGACTATGGCACCGATAATCCCATATCTCTTGTTTTCGTGAAGGCGAACATGGGGTAGTAGTTCGGGTTTGGAGCTGCGAATGCGTCTTGGTCATCTCTAGTATCTGGAGTCTGTCGTAGGCGGGCGAGGCCGTCTGTACTGCACGCCCCTGGACAGCCCTAGGAGAGTAGAAGTAGAAGTAAAAGTATGAAATGATATGGTCAGGATCTGTAGCAGCACCTACGGATCCTGAGAGACTCGGTGCGTTGCATTTACAAGACGGGTCAGGAGTCAGTCAGGATTTGTGTTTTACATGAGCAGACACACTCGGACTGTACTGTACCGCCAAGGCTCGGTCAGCGCTGGAGAAGAGGTCCACCAGGTCAGGTTAAGCAGCCATCATAGTTCATCGTAACATGGTAGGCCATGTATTCATCGACTGTACAGTAGATCCCAACGCCTCATGAGCCACTATGCTTCCAGAGTACCAAAGCACGGCTGACTGGTAAGGGCTGCTGCTACCAACGGTTGGCAGCGAAACAATGCTATCCTATCCACCAAAATCATCCAGAGATCAAAAATATACAATGCTCAAAAGTCATGATCACGTCACCGATGCCTCCCTCACCACTCACGCCGCTTCAGTACTAGGCGCCACCTGCGGCTGTATCTGCCTCTGCGAGTCCGCTGTGCCAGGCCTTATACTCTGTCCTTGCCCTTGACTCTGACTCTGTATTGATGCTGATGAGCCCGCCGTGCCCGGCCTCTGAGACTGCGCTTGCGCAGCCAACATCCGCTGCTGCATGGCTCGGGCTTCCGCAGCGCGCTGCTGGCGCTGCAACGCCAGGTAATCCCGGTTCTCGACCGTGACGCTCTTGGTCATGTGGTTGACCTTGTAGATGCCGACGAGTCGCTCGGCAAGCTCGAACATGTTGTTGCGCAGTGAAATGACGATGAACTGTGCGTTCTTGGTGCGTTCCTTGATGTAGCCGGCGACAATGGAGACCTGTGTGAGAAATAGACGTCAGCTTGTGTCACGGGGTAGTTGAAGGAGAAGGAGGAGGAGGAGGAGGAGGAATTGGAACATACATTCCGGAAATCCAGGGCGGCGTCAATCTCGTCCATGACGTACAACGGCGTTGGGCGGTAGACATGCAAGGCAAAGACGAGAGCTAGCGATGACAGCGTCTTCTCACCGCCAGAGAGGTTGCCGATGTTCTTCCAGCTCTTTTTGGGTGGCATGACGCTGAAGAGGATACCTTCCGAGAACGGGTCGAGGGAGTCAACAAGCTCAAGCTCGGCATTGCCACCGAGAGTGATGAGTTGGTACATGCTCTTCAAGTGCTGGGAGATGGTCGTGAATCCCGTCATGAATTGAGTCAGACGCATCGAACGTAAGTCGGTGAGACGATTCTTTGCCGCGTCACGGCTGCGGAGTGAGGAGTTGAGGTCTGCAGAACGAGAAGCCACTTCGGCGCAGCGTCGACGGTACTCGGCGATGACAGCAAGGTCAATGCCACTGGCGGAGGACACTTTCTCTTCCAGCGCAGCAATGGAGGCGAGGAGGTGAGCTTTGGACTTGTCGAGAAGCTCGTCGCGAGTATACGTGGGAAGCTGACGTCGGGCTTGTTGGGTGGTAGTATCACCTACGTGCTGGCTGTCGCTTTCGGAGGAAGGTCCGGCATCCACATCCATCGCATCGGGATCTTGATCGACATTCTGCTCGTCTACCGGCTTGTCGACGTCCATGGCATCTTCATCGTTGGCATCGGTGGTAGCTGTTTTCGAATCGATGGGCGCTTCCAGGTCCGCGATGTCGTGGAGCTCGAGCTTTGAGAGCTTCTCTTGCCAATGATGGGCTTTCCGACTGTTATCGCTCAATATTTTCTGGTTTTCCTCAAGCTTGTTGCGCATCTCAATCTCCGCTGCCCGAGTCTCGTTGAGCTCTGCGGTTTGCTTATCGAGGTCTGTCTTCATCTCTGACAGCTCCTCTTTCTTCTGTGCAAGTTCGTTTTGCGCCGCTTCGGCGCGTTGTCTGTAGCCAGAAGCGTTCTCACGCTGCTTTGCAATCTCGGCCTCAAGCTTCTCGAGGTCAGCAGCAAGAGATTCGAGTTCCTTTTCCGCATCGGCTTTGGCCTTCTCGTGTTTAGCATGCAGCTTGGTGTTCTTCGTCTTGCCGACCTCTGCTGTAGAGATATCCTCATTCAGAAGGTCGATTCGCTCCTTCAGGCCGTCAACCGTGGCTTTCTGGGTTCGCAGCTTGATACCGCCAACTTCCATAATCTTGTCTTGTAGCGCTTGGATCTCAGCCTCAACGTTTGCAGTCTCTGCCTTCAGCTTCTCGATCTCTTTTTCGGCGGACGCAATCTGCTTCTCCAATGCCTTGATCTGGGAATCGTCGGCCGAAGTGTTGTTGAGCTCCGTGGTGAGATCCTGAACACGCTTTTCGGCATCCACCAAGTTCCTCGACAGATTTGTAACATCAAGGTTGCATTTCTGAAGCGAAGTTTCGAGCCGTGGAATTTCCTCTTGCTTCTCCCGGAGACTGTTCTCGAGATCTCGCTGTCTCTCAAGAAAGGCATCAAATTGCTTCTCAAGTTCATCGCGCTCAGTTTCGAGCTTCTGAACTTGCTCCTTTGTGGTGTCAGAGGATAGCTTCGACGACATTGCTCCTCGAGCAACTCTTGTACCGCCACCACTCATCGTACCAGATACGTCGATGAGCTGGCCGTCAAGAGTGACAACTCGCCATCGCTTCGCGCCGTAGGCGATTCTATTGGCTTGCTCAAGATTCTCAGCGACCAAAGTATCTCTCATGATGCTGTAGAAGGCAGGTGCGAATTTCTGGTCCTTGGGTCGGATGAGATCAAAAAGTCGTGGGACATTCTCTGGTGTTTTGATCGAGGAAAGATTCTTTTCCGCCAACCGATCCAGTAAAATGAAATTGGCACGACCAAGGTTGTTCTTCCGCAGATATTCAATGCACTGTTGACCAGACTCAACGGTATCGACCACCATATTCTCTAATGCTGGGCAAGCCGTTGAGATAGCGACATCATACTGCTCGTCGATCGTCCCAAGATTGCCCAGTCGGCCGTGAAAGCCATCGATGCGGCCAGAGTCCCTCAAACGCAGTAAGCCCTTCAAGACGTTACCCTGGTTTTGGCTCGTGACGAGACTGGCTCGGGCCTCGTCGGCTTTTTGTCGTGCACTCGATATCTGCGACCGGACTTCGGGCTCGCTATGTGCAAGCTTCTGCAGTGCGTCTTGGATCTTCCTAACCTCCTTCTCGAGACGTGCTTTCTCCTTTTGACGTTGCTCGATCTCAGCAGCCTTGGTGGCTTGTGACTCTTGGATGCTTTCAACCTTGGCTTGTGCCTCATCCACCGCCTTCTGGCCGGAACTCGCCTTCTCCAGTAGGATGTCTAGTTCTGACTGGAGTACGGCAATGTTGGATTGCTTTTGAGTGATCTTCTCGTTCCAGGGCTCAAGTGATTTCTGCTTCGCCGCGATCTGGTCGGATAAGCCTTGCGTTTTGCCCTTGAGAGACTCTCGAATCGCGACTAGTTCTTGCTCCTCCTTCTGCATGTTCTGCTCAAGTTCGGCTACTTCGGCACTCTTGCGCTCAATGTCGTCCGAGTGCTTTTCAGTCAAGCTCGCGGCTTCAGAGGCAGACAGCCGACTGGTCGTTGCCAGTTTTTCGGCCTTCTTCTGCTTGCCGGCAATGAACTTGCGCTTTTCGTCAAATTTAACACTCTCCTTGTCGTACTTGGCCATTTCTTTGACAAGGTCCTGGGTTTGCTTTTCCATCGAGTCATATTGTTTGACTGCCTTTTTGTAAGATTTTTCAAGTTCGCGAATGCTGTCCTCATTACCCGCGTGCTTCTCCAGCTCTGTCTTGAGCTGTTCTTGCATCTGCTCAATTGCTTCTTCGGTGACCTTGGCGTTGTCTTCGCACTCGGTAAGGTATATCTGATAGAGCGTTGACTGTTTCTCCACCAGCTCATTCTCGTCACGAATGAAAGCTAGAGCTTTGTTCTTCTTCTCTTCGAGAGCGTTCTTCTCCTTCTCGACATGTTGTACACGACCCTGCTTTTCGATGCAAACCTCGTTCATATTCTCCAGTTCCACGCCAGCTTCTTCGATGGGAGTCTTGTATTTTGAAGTGCCGATGATATCTTCTAGATACTCCAGCAACCCATCGTCGTGCTCATTCTGGGCCTTGGGTTTCATCAAAGCAATCGATTCAACTTCACCCTGCAAGATCAAGAAGCGCTTGTGGTCTAGATCGATGCCTTTTTCCTTGAGGAGTGTCGTGACCGATGTGAAGTTTGTCGTTCTGCCGTTGAGGTAGTAGTTGCTCGAGTTGTTCTTGAAAGCCTTTCGAGAGACGACCATTGTGGTGTCTGGTACCACCTCATGTTTGCCCCCAGGGTGATCAATAATTTCTTGAAAGTGTACTTCAACTTCACAATGGTCCAAATTTGGATGCATGGCTGAATTATGAATCAAAGCAGAGATCTTGCCCTGTCGCATCTTGCTGGCTCTGAAGCCAAAGACGAACAACAGCGAGTCAATGACATTTGACTTACCCGAGCCGTTAGGCCCGACGACAGCAGAGAAGGACGCGTGGAAAGGGCCAACGATCTGGCGTCCAGCATAACTCTTGAAGTTTGTCATGACCAGCTGGCGGATGACCATGCGCGACTTGGGTCCAGTTGGCTCTTCAACAACAGGTGCGATCTGCTGTCTTGCGCGAATAACTATGTCCATTGGTTTCTCGAGTACTCTTTCGGCTTCAGCGCTCTGAGTAGGTTTTTGGCTCGCAGCAGGGACGGCGCTTCTGTTCAATGCTTTTGACGTGATATCGGCGAGAGGGGTGCTCTGCTGTTCGGGAGAGACAGGCACTTCATCTTGTGGCGCAGGAGTTAGAGAGGGGACTGCTGATGATCTCCTGCTGCGGGGAGGAGCTGCACTCTTGCGCTTGCGCGGTGAAGCGGCTTTCTTGGTCGGCGATGGAGGCTCAACACTGGGGACTGTTTCGTCTGGGTCGAATAGTTGTGTTGGCTCGATGCTGTCGCCTGTTCTGGTTCTCCGCGCACGAGTAGACTTCTTTGGTGACACGTCTGTATTCGCAGTCGTCTGTCGACGTGTTGATTTTCGTGGGCTGGCGCGCGTAGGCGCGGGTGTGAACTCTTCATCCTTCTCCTCTTGTACCATACTCAACTCATCTCCCGACTCATCTTCGACGACGAGAGTTCTGCGCGTCGCACGACGCGTCGAGCGTGAGGGAGTCGCTGCCGACATGATCAAAAGTGGTTGCTCAAGGGCCGAAGGTGTTGGGAGGGCGGACAGGGAGGCGTAGGTCAATGTTTACTCAATGCGTTCATAGCCAAACAAACGCCAAGCCGCAGCCTTGCGGCAGTGCGACCAATCATATTTCGGCTGGAGATGGTCAACAGTAGGATCAACGTGCTCTCGATCGATGTTAGCATAGAGTCGTTGCGCTTGACCGTGTCTCTTTCACTAGCAGGTGTTTGAATGCAGAGAGGCTTTCTTCTGACAGCGCAATAATTCCTCTGTTGTCCGCTGAACGCTGGCCCGGCTCGACTTACCATCGGACACCACCCTGCGATCGCGGCCACCTCGACATCTCGTCACGATGGCGAGCTACGACTGGCAACAGTTCGAAGTGGTCTTCCAAGCGAAGCCAGACTACTCCCCCGACCAAAAGCAGGCCGATGCAGCATTGAAGCATCGAAAAGAATTCGGAGGGAAGTTGTTCTTCGATCGCATCTGGAGCACTCTGAACCTGCAAAAGGCCACAAAGGCATACCCACCACGTTCCAACAACGAACTCAAGGAACTGTGGAAGAGGATCGTCGATGCGAAGAGCTCTGATGAGCAGAAGCTGGCACTTCTCTACTACATTATCCGCGACTGTCGCAACATCACCCTGGAGAAAACGTTCTTGCAGAAGACCTACCTTCCGGAGAAATATCAGTTGCTGGTGACCGGCTTGTGGGAGCTCGACCATTGTCAATTTCCCAGGGCTTTAGATTGCCTGACCGACCCGACTCTCATCCCTCCTACATTTCCCGACGACGTTCTCATGGTCTTGCTCCGTCACCCGAAGGCCACCCCTTCGCAGGCAATGGCATATTACGTGACCGTTCAGCCACCGTTGCAAGACGAGACTGTCCTGATCGCGTATTTCGATCTCCTTGTTCGGACCAGTGTTTCCGAGGCCTACGACTTTGCAAGACAGAGCTCTCAGCACAAGCGCTTATTCGAAAGTCTGGTCACTTCCATCCACGAGGCTGAACCGGGTGACGCCCGTGCAGCTGGCGCTGTACAGCTCATTGGTATGCCCTTCACGGAAGACGAAGAACGGTGGTTTGAAGAATGCCTCTTACAGGGCTCAGCATCCAAATGCAACGGCGCCAAGGACTCGATTCTCATGCGACGCCTAGCAACAGGGCGGTTGCAGAGCGACAGTACTCCTCAGCTAGCGCGCTATAAGGGCAATAAAACCAACGGAGCGAACTGGGACGATATTCGGACGATCGTCAATGGATGAGCACGCCATGATAATCCGAGTACGGGGATTTAGCATACGCCCAAGGTTGCACTTCTTGCTTCATGTTCAGAACCAGCCACACCAAGGAGGTTTGACATGCTACTCCCTTCACAAAAAAGGCCACCTCGGACTAGCCCTAACATGGGATATCTATGTCCTTCTCGATCCGACTGATCACGGTCAATGCAGCTTAGAGGAATCGGCTTGTATCAATACGGGCTGTTTGTGTTACGAGTGTCACTATGAGCAGATATCAAAGTACACTGCGTGCTCGCTGTGACGATCTCACTTTGCAAAGCTTTGCGAACGTCGTCACCGTGACACAGCAAGTGCGCTTGTTGGGTGTGGTTTGACACGTGCTTTATGTGGGGGCTCTCAACGCTGCTACACTCAGTTGATGAGTCCAATGATTTCGTCCCGCCACACCAAGACGCGAACCGCACCATCGACAAAGTGCGATAGACGAGTCTATTTGCATGCTGCTGGAGGCTGAGTTGAGAATGATCGACTTCGTGGATGATCAGGGAGGGACACGAAGGCATCGAACGGATCAATTGAAATCTGGTCTTGGACAGCGATCTTCATTGCGAGGCACCACCTTACCACACAGTCGCAACGGGTTGAATAAGGTGACCAAAGGTCTTTGGTCTTGTTCGGCCCTGGGTTCAAGACGAACGCTTCGAAAGCACACTGAAGAAGACTGACCCGATGGCTGTTAAAGCTCAAAGTGCCATGACACACCGGCCACACAGTAATGAAGAATACAAAATCACAGAATATTTCACCAGGCGCAATCCGTCCTGTGTAATGTTCCATTCCGCTCCGTAACAGCGTACTCCTGGGTATCTCTAATCGAAACCAGCCACGCCCACCAGACCAGAAGAACTATACAAGACACATTTTCACATGCTCACAGCCTGACAACTCCGGCAATACTCGTCAAACCATTTATCGAAGCCACCGCCTCCTTCCTCACCACCAGCATGAACGCGCAATTCCTCCAGCTGCGTCTCATTGACCTTGCCCTTCTCCATCAGCCCCCCAATCTGCCGACACCTCCTCCTCTCCCCCTCAACCCAACCCTCCCACTCACTGCGCACCACCTCCCTCTCCACCGAATTCACCATCCGCATCGCCACCAGCAAATCATGTCGGTATTTCCCCAGCTTCCGTCGCGTCTTCTGCATCCTCCTCGCGCCGCCATCGTCCAGCGGCGCGTCCAGATCACCAATCTGCTGCTCCTTGGCAAAGACTTCGTAGCACCTGCTCGCATCGCCGTCGTAAACCTGCACGGGATCTCCCATCAGTTCCTCGATGTCACTGAGGTAGACGGCTTTCCCCATGACATACTCCGGGCGCACGCCCATTCGGCCCATGAAGCGCACTGCCCGCCGCTCCTGCCACCACACCCACCCCTCGCGGCTGGAGTACCACGCGTTCCACAGCCCGCTGAGCAGCAGCACGAATATCAGCATCTTGTTCGCCACGAGCGTCTTGCCCAGCCACCTCACCAGCCTTATCACGCCCTCGAGCAGCATGCCCAGTCCACTCTCGCCGACGCTCGCCGCGCTCTGCACCAGCAACCCACTCATCGTCCGCCGCACTGGCATGCGCCTCAGCTCAATACCCAGGCCAGCCGCCTTGGTGTTGCCCTCGAGATCCACCAGCTGCGTGATTTCGGTGCTCTGGCCGACCTGACCAAAGATCGTGACCGCCTTTTTCGTCCGCGAATGCGCGCCCAGTTTCCGCACTTGATCCGCAACCAGATCCACCAGATCCAGCGCGTCCAGCTCCAGATCGTGCAGCGCCTGCCGGTCAATCATGCCCTTCAGTGCCCACGGCTCTTTGAGCCACTCGACCCTCACAAAGACCGCGAGCTTGCACTTGCCCTTCGCCACATGCGTCACCACGATCTTGCTCACAAGCCTATAAGCGTCTCGGGAAGGCAGGTGCCACGGTGTTGACTTGTCGGTGACGACGTAGCACAGATGGTCCGAGTTGACGTCTATGATTTGATAGTCGCGGACCTCTGTTGGACGCTCTTGTCCCAGCAGGTTAGGCGCCATGACCTGGTATTCGAAGTCGCGGCGCAGGCGTCCCTCGCCAACGTCCGTCCACGGGCCTTGCTTGAGGTTCATTGCTTGCTTCTCATGCTGCAGGAGCTGCCACAGGGCAGAACGGTCCCCGAACATGACGTGGAAAAGGGCTTTAGGTGAAACATCAAACTCGCGCTCGGCGGCGAGGGAAAGGTCGCCCGGAGGTGTGTACTTGACTGGCTGAGCAGGAAGCTTGAATTTGGGGGCCTTATCCTGGTTCGTGGCGTATGTACTGTATAAAGTGCGGTCTACACGGGTGGGAGCGCGAAGCTCTGACTGAAGAGTTGAGGAGCGGCCACGGCGCTTTTGAGACAGCGCATCGATCGGCGTCTCGACACCAACGTCTTCCCAGGATTCAAGCGACGGAGAGCGTTCCGGAACATCAGATTCCATCCTTAACAGGGCTTTGATAACGGCCTCGAGTGAAAGCGGGTCTTCGGCGGCAGAATTCTGTACCAGGAAGTTAATGCGCCGCTGTAGGAGGCGCAGTGGTTCGAGGAAGGTCTTTACGGTGATGCGTGTTGTGGTGTTCTCTCTGGTGGTCTCCTTCATGTGTAGAAAGAGAAAATCGCACTCGCGGCCCGGCGCAGCGGTGGCCTCGTCGATGGATGCTAGCGAGACTGAGGAGGTAAGAACAAGGCCAAGATGATTGCTGTAGAAGTAGATATTGCTCGAAGTCACATAGATGCGACCGGGGAAGTCCTGCAGATCGTTGGGGCTCCATGTCGCACGGAAGACGAGAACCAGCCTCTCGTCTCGTCTAACAGTGGGAAACAATAGTCTGAATTGCGCATCCTGGGTCTTAAGTTGAAGAGGATAGTAGTTCGGGAAATCAGTGATCGAATTGTCGCTCTTGATACTGGTGCCCCCCTCTGTATCCATGCTTGTGATAGTCCGAGTACGTTTGGTTGGCGACTGGGATCGAGCACGTCGTTGCACTGGCGGACCCAAGTCGAGCTGTGGTACAACGCCATGACTGGCCGACTCGCCATCTCGGTGTCCTGGAGCCTTCTCCGGCGAGGTTGATGGTAAGACCAGTGGAGTCGGATGAGTGCTTAGTCGAGCGTCAGGTATCATCTTTGGATCGGAGCGGTCAAGTCGGTTCACAAAGGCGGCATTCGAGCTGCCCCACATGTTGGCCAGTAGCCCATTTGGAAGACCGCTCTTATCGAGTGCCGCACTGAGACCTCGCTCGCCAGTGATGAGGACCGCTGACTTGCTCATATTAGTCGGCGCTGGTACGTTGGCCAGTGTTGAGGGGGCCAACGTGCTAGGTGGCATATCTCGAAGAGCAAGAATGAATGGAGGCCGCTGCTTCTCAGATTCGCCTGGTATCAAGGGCATGGCTCCGCTGACATTTATAGACCCATGACTAGCGGCTATGAGGCTTGCAATGCCTCCTCCAGCTGGTGTCGACGGCGAAGGTGTGAACTGTGTAGACGGAGATGCCTTCCGGTGTAGGTCAAGCTTCGAAATAATACGCGAAGCGTGATGATCTCGCGGGGCAGGTTCTTCCACTGCTGTAGATCGCCTGGGAACATCGACGCTAGTATCTCGCCCATAGTCGTTACCCGGAACTGGTAATGTGCCTGTTCTATCTAGCGAACCAACTGTGTCCTCAGCTGTTGCGCCAGGCTCAGTGGCAGCTAAAATGGCCGCACCAAACTCCGGCACAGGTGGATTTGAGACCGCAAAAGCTGGGTCTGAATTGGCAAGACCAGGGGATCCCAGGGAGCTCAGCGCAGCAGGATCTTCAAGAGCTTTGGATTTGGCGGCCTCAAAGGCCCCGAGCCACTCTTGAAGCTCAGGCTGTGTCTCGGCTTGAAGAACGATTGTATGCTTCGTTGTTTTCACCTCAAAACAAAAGCGACGCTCTTCCGAGACAGCTGGTCGAGCGCTACATAGCAGCACACCGATGCGCTCACTCTCTTCCACACCACCGGCTCGTAAGCCCTGCACGAGCCAGCCGAAAACACCGTTCTTCAGGAAAGACCAACGCTTCGTCCAGATGGCTCGAGTTGGGCGCCCCCCGTAGGTCCGTAGGTAAAGCCAGCCCTGCTTCTCTGATGACTTTACTGGAGGTTTTCTTGGTGACTTTGGTGCGCTGGCAACGCTAGTTGTGTGACCATGGCCAAACTGAGCAATTGTCGACGCGCTATAATCTTCGAGCTCTCGCGATGGGCGCGTGCTGCTCTCGGCAGTGTTTTCTAGCTGCTTGCGAGCTACCTCAAGCTCACGCCTGAATGATTTTTCGCTTTCTTCCATGGTTGTGAGCCAACCTCTAACTCGGTCAATGTCGCTAGCGCCTTTCTGGAATATGACCGCAGTGTTATCACGTGAAGACCGCATCTCTTTCCATTGATCACAGAAGATCTTGACAAGGAGTTTGTCAACCGAGAAACGAAATTGAGGTGCCATAGCAAAGAAGTCGAGGCTGGCTCTTAAGTATGCCTTCCGGCTCTCATGCAGTTGGAACGCTTCTTCTCTCAAGGACGATGGCTCCTTTGACTTTCCAAGGGCTGCATATTTCGTGTGCTGATTGTCGAAGTTCTTCTGGGCGAACTCTACCGCCCGCCGGGCCTCTTTGAACGCTCTGAGATCATTCTGCAGGAAGTGTCTGATAGGTTCAGCAACAAGAGTCGAGAGTCTCTTGACCACCGAGATCATGCTCATCCAGTAGTCCTTCGCTCCTTCCGAATATCTCTTCATGGCGAGTACATCATAATCGTGGTCGAGCATCGCCTCGGAAATCGTGGTCGGTACAAGTGCATGAGACGTAAAGTTGTTCAGGATACTGTCTAACGTCGCAGACTCTGCTACGAGACGGTTTGTAGCTTTCATGTATTCGTCGAGCCATCTTTCAAGCATTTCCACTTGCTCCCCATAATGTACCACTGTGGCTCTCGACGTAGGGGAATCGACTGCAGCCTCCTTGAGTCCTACCGGGATAAGATTGATTAGTCGGCCAACATCACCGCCGGCTTGGAACGCGTCGGCCATCTTCGACCTGCGTCCTGATCACGAGCCTGCCGCGCAGTCGATCTGCACCATAACTCGAGGGGCGGCTTAGGACCTGACGGGCGGTAAGACTGTGTGTATCTTTCGCTGTCTGCTCGTCGCGGGTTCGATGGGTCTCTGCGAAGGCTGTTCTTAGTGATCACAGTACACTGAAACGGAAGTGCTGTGTCCGCGACCTCAGGTGTATGTCTTCCAGGTTGATCGCATGGATCAGAGAAGCGCCGGACGTGTCCAGGTCGAAGCCTCGTTCAGCCTTACAACGTCATCTCGGCGGCTAAACATCGGCTCGCATACTGAAAAAAGTCCTGGTCCCTCTTCGAAACTTGGGTGTAGTAGTAACTCTCACTTAGGCCAGTCTTTGCTGCAACAATCTTATCTGAGTCTCAGCATGGCGAAGAAAGAACTCTTGAGCAGCGACAGCGACAATTCCGACGTGGAAGAGGGTGGAGCTAGTCTTAATGGCACGGATTTGAAAGTCAACGAATCCTATGCCCGTAAGTTTGAGCACAACAAGAAACGAGAGGAGAAACAACGCTGTATGTTCTTGACTGAAGTATTTCTTGAATGAGGCTGACCAGTACGTAGTAGAGGAGAAGTTTGGAAAGGCAACCGGCAAACGGAAGCGAGATCAGCAAGATTCTGAGAACGATTCGTCGACAGAGGACTCGAGCTCAGACGATGAAGATGAAGGAGAACTAGCAACGGCTGCTGTGGACTCGGAAATTCTCGCCACTATCCAAGCAATCCGGTCAAAAGACCCTCGCGTTTACGACAACAATGCTAAATTCTATACCGCATTAGAAGCCGATCCAAGTGCGGCCAAGACGAAGCAAGAGAAGCCTATGCATTTGAGAGACTATCACCGGCAAAATCTGCTCAACGGAATCAATGATGAGAACGACGAGAGTAATCCTCTCACGTACGATCAAGAGCAAGAGCAATTGAAGCGATCGGTGGTGGCTCAAATGCATGCCGCTGTTGATGGTTCCGAAGCCGAGTCAGAAGATGAGTTTCTCGTGGCCAAAGAGAAGCCGCAACGTCAACCAGAAGCACCGCTAGACGTTGAGAGTGCAGACAAGGACCCCGAGACCTTCCTCTCGAATTTCATGTCATCTCGCGCATGGACGCAAGAGAATGACCGTCAGTTGCAGCCCTTCGAATCAGACGACGACGAAGAGGAGCGACGGGCGGAAGAATTCGAGCAAGCGTACAACCTACGTTTCGAAGACCCAGCCAAGTCGAACGAGAAACTCCAGACACACGCTCGTGACCTTGCGACAAAGTATTCTGTGCGCAGAGATGAAACGAATCCTCGCCAGCGGAAACGTGAGGCTGAGAAGGCGGCCAAAGCAGCCGCAAAGCAGCAATTGCGCGAAGAGAAGGCTCGCTTGCGTAAGTTAAGGGTGGATGAAGTTGAAGTCAAAGTACAGAAGATCAAGGAGGCCGCCGGCTTGAGCAGTCGCAACTTGGAGCCTGAAGACTGGCAACATTTCGTTGATGAGGACTGGGATGACGCTAAATGGGACGAGGAGATGCGAAAACGGTTTGGTGAGGATTATTACGCTGGCGAGGAAATCAACAGCGACGCGGATGACGATCAAGAGCAGCGGACTCGGAAGCCCAAGAAACCCAAATTCGAAGATGATATTGATATCAAGGACATAATACCCGAATTTGAAGACGAGCCCGAGAAGCCTGACATCAGCTTGTCGGACGAAGAGCTGCCAAACGCTGGCGCTCCTAACTCGAAGAAGCGAAAGCAAGCCAAGGAGGAAAAGAAGCGAGACGCCAAAAGAGATCGACGTATCATTGAACAGCTCGTGGACGACCAGCTACAACTGGAGCTTGACCACGCTCTCCCGAGGTCGAGCAAGAATAACAGTGCTTTCAGGTACCGCGAAACGTCGCCAAAGAGCTTCGGCCTGACTTCGCGGGATATCCTTCTGGCTGATGATGCTCAGCTGAACCAATTTGCCGGTCTGAAGAAGCTGGCCGCTTATCGCGATCCAGAGAGAAAACGCAAAGATCAGAAGCACTTGGGTAAGAAGGCAAGACTGAGACAATGGAGGAAGGACACCTTTGGCAACGAGAATGGCATGCAACTATCTGAGCTGGTTCCTGCCGAACCACAGCAGTCAACGGGCCTTACTGGCGAGGACGATGAAGGTGGTGTGAACATTGTCGAAACAGGGAAGAAGAAGAAACGCAGGGGCAAGAAGCAGAAGACAGCCGGCGCAGCTTGAGTGTTCACAAAGGCTTCGGCCGACCATGATTGGAGAAGCGACCTATGTCGCCAGTAGCTGAACTACGCCACGGTTAATAGGATCAGGAGAGCGCTCTTAAAAGTACGATCTCTCGCTTCGAATCTAATTCGAGGTCAAAATCGTCACGGTGCAGCATCCCCGTTCCCCTGTCATGACAGACGAAAGGATGTAGCTGAATCAATGAAGCTAGTTACTTCAAAATGACCGTTGTTCAGCGATGCCGTGCATGGACAATCACACCCGAAAGTGCCCCGTAAATGTCGAAGACTCCCTGTATCCCAGAAAGTTTAGGTCAGCGCAGCTTCGACATCAGGATTCAGTCCCAGTCCAAATTCCTGTGCCACCAGGGGATCGGCAGAAACATTATAGTCGGCCCGTGGGGCATCCGCGGACCGCATCAGCCTCTCGTTGCTCGAGGCAATGGCATGGCTTGCATAGCAGCATCTTCCTCCGTCTTGTCCAGCGACTATGACTTACACCAGGCCAACAAATTCATGCCCGCCGTCGAACGGTATGGCAAAATGTTCTGATTTTCTTGTTCATTAATGACTGATAGTCCTGGACTGGGCGATGAGAAGAGAAATTCAGATATAATCATAAAAGGCGCCGGAGCACTTATATTTTTGCCAAGAACTCCCAACTACCTATCATCATCAAAGCACAACTATAGCAACTGATATCTACCGGCGGCGATTGGGATGAAATGAAGTGGGGTAGATCATAGTCACTAGGTAAAACCTAGAAAGATGCTGTCATCCAGCCAGCGCAAGCACCCTCCAACAACCGGCTGAGGTGGAGAGGGGGGCACCAGGGATCCGACGGCATTGATGGGCGGCCTCCTGGAATCACAACAGATCACACCCGAGAGTCTCTCCTGAGAGCGCGGGAGGCCCCCAACCTCAGATTTGTCGACCCCTCGCGATTTGCGAACTTGGGGAGGACATGGGTTCTCGTCGAAGCAGAGCTGCTGTTGCCAGCAGGTAGAGAGGAAGGCCGTGCTCTCCAAGTCTTCACAGGCGCGATTAAGGCAGCATCTGCTACTTGAACACTTGTGAGCGCGGTCTTCTCGACCGAGTCAACCTAGTGTCAGTCCAGCTAAGGGCGACACAGGGCTCTTGATCGTAGCCGGCCTGCAGAAAGCAAAGCATCCTTCTCGGCATGATTGGGACGAGCGCATCTTCCTCTCCTGGGCGAGACAGCATTGTCGTTGAGAGTCCGACTTCTCGATTTCACCCCCATGACCGAATGCAATACCTTCCTTCATCACACCTCCGCCGGTGTTGGGCAAAAACACCCTTCTTGGCTTCAAGTCTTCGACGTGATTGCGCTATCCTTGAAGGTACTGCATTCTTGCTCATGCAGCCAGGTGCATCGACTGACCGTTCTTCGTTTCCTATCAATCCGCGTGCCACAGTGGATGAGGCTGCAGGCAGGGCAGAGCGAAATATCAGGGTGGACATCACCTACGAGAAAGAAAGCAGTCCGTCACACAAGCGAAATTCGGCAAGAGGTGGCCGGCCAGCTGATTGTCGGCTGTGCACTTTGCTGTAGACCCTTACTAGATCAACTCATCAGTGCGTTCATGAGGTAGTGCAAGGACCACCAGGGGTCGACAAAATTGACGGGAAGGCTCTTGGAACTTACAGCAGGCTACTACCCAAGCACTCGTGATGCGGGTCTGAGGAGGGCGCCAGTTAATTTCAGCAACTACCAAAAGTGACCTGCTGTATATGTCCGGGGAGCCAACTGGTGAATCTTGTCGAGCCTTTACTGTGAGCTTCTAGTTAACCCAGGGGCCTTCCCGTCAATTTTGTCGACCCCTGGTGGACACCAAGGATGAATGAATCGTACATGCGCTCCTACCTGCGTTTGTTCAGAGCCATGGGCTCATGTTCCATTCGTCCGTGCAACTTCCCTGAAGCACCAGCCCTTCTCGGCCATGTCGGGTAGGTTCAACGTTAGTTACCACGACTTCAACAAGTTCGTGTACAGTCCATTCGGGGGCTGCCGTGTCCTGATAAAGCATCTAGTCATTCACGCGAATGATTTTGAGAGAGGTGTGGCTGTGTTTCAGAGCATGAACAGATGGCGTAGTCAAGTGAAGCTGTTCAACAGCAGACGGAGCAATCGCCCTTTCTGTTCAGAAATACCTCAAAATTCATCTCACACGGACATCAAAACTTCTTGAGTAAATTATTGAGGTCGAGACCATGGTCGCTCCTGCCTAGATGGAAAAAAGGGGGAGGAGCGGAGAGTCACGTGATATGCCTTGGCGCGAAAATGGCTCGGATCAGAAATTTCATACCTCTCGAGCTCGGCTGGAATAACTTGTCGGAGAGTACAAGACGCCAGACTGTTTAGAGGCCTAGCGCTTTGAGCTTCCCTTGATGAGATTTATCCTCTGCGATTCTTTTCAGTCCTTGTTATCCATCCATCTTCATCAGGTTCATACCTACACCTTTCATTCTCTCCACTCTCATCACTCAACACCGCAAACATGGTTGAGGGCGACGTTAACCAGGGCAAGAAGTCCGTTTTCGGCATGCCAGGCTTTGTCGTGGACTTCTTGAGTAAGTCGCAGTCCAACTCCGGAGCTGTTTATCATCCGGATAGTCCCCAACTCGAAGACATGCTAACCAGCTATCAGTGGGTGGTGTGTCCGCTGCCGTATCGAAGACTGCTGCTGCTCCCATCGAGCGTGTCAAGCTCCTTATCCAGAATCAGGTATGAGCTTCGCGCCCCTATCGCCGACCGATAGCTGACAAGAATATCACAACAGGATGAGATGCTGAAGACTGGCCGTCTCGACCGCAAGTACAGCGGCATCGTTGACTGCTTCTCTCGTACCGCTAAGCAAGAAGGCGTGATGAGCTTATGGGTATGTTTGCGATGATCCCCGGACGATCTGCCTCGGGTTGCTTGAGATAACACATCTTTATCTTCCACCTTGATCAACCCCTGGTTCCGAATATGGGTACTAACAGAGATCAGCGTGGTAACACTGCCAACGTCATCCGGTGAGTTTCTTGATGGTATCGTTAACGCCAGCTTTCGCTAACATAACCGCAGTTACTTCCCTACCCAGGCTCTGAACTTCGCCTTCCGCGACACCTACAAGAGCATGTTCGCCTTCAAGAAGGACCGTGACGGATACTGGAAGTGGATGGCCGGTAACCTGGCTTCCGGTGGTGCCGCTGGTGCCACTTCCCTCCTCTTCGTCTACTCCCTCGACTATGCCCGTACCCGTCTCGCCAACGACGCCAAGTCCGCTGGCAAGGGTGGCACTCGTCAATTCAACGGTCTCGTCGATGTCTACCGCAAGACTCTCGCTTCCGATGGTATCGCTGGTGAGTAATTCCGTCCTCTGATTTGCAGTCTTTCGAAGACAGTGTCATGTCTCAAATGCCGGTTCGGCTATGGGGCGGTGATTCAGAACGTTTTGCCGCCCTACATTCGGCTCATTTCTCGCACTTCAATCGTGCGGAACTCAAGTTAACGCATGTCTCCAGGTCTTTACCGTGGTTTCGGTCCCTCCGTCCTTGGTATTGTCGTCTACCGTGGTCTGTACTTCGGCATGTACGACTCCATCAAGCCCGTTCTCCTGGTCGGTCCTCTCGAGGGTAACTTCTTGGCTTCCTTCTTGCTCGGCTGGGGTGTCACCACTGGTGCTGGTATCGCCTCGTACCCTCTTGACACCATCCGTCGTCGCATGATGATGACCTCTGGTGAGGCCGTCAAGTACAAGTCTTCCTTCGATGCCGGTCGCCAGATCATGGCTGCTGAGGGTATCCGCTCCTTCTTCAAGGGTGCCGGTGCCAACATCCTCCGTGGTGTTGCCGGTGCTGGTGTGCTCTCCATCTACGACCGTAAGTTTCTACAATCTTTTCAATTGTACAGAGTACTAACAATTTTACAGAGGCCCAGCTCCTCCTCTTCGGAAAGGCCTTCAAGTAAACGTCTCGCTCGATTCGCTCAACGAGTCAAATCGCAGTTGCACAAGGGCTGCAGTCAAAATAGACAATGGGTTGCAACTCCAGCAACCGGGTGTGTAGAGCAGTGAGTGCGGTGGATTTTCAGTCACTCAGGGACGGTGTGTTCAGCATGCAGATAGACTCCGGTTGACCCATGGCTCTACGGAGTCATGGGTCAGCCACAAGCAAAGCAAGGTCGGGTTTTGCGACCCTCGAGGACTACCTCGGGTGGATGTGGATTGTTTTGGGTTCGCGTCTCCCAGACACCTCTCCATGTACTGTATTTTAACATCGCCTCGTTTTGCCATATTGCTCCTTCCGTTTTTGTTTTTGTTTGACAACCGCTCACGCCGTCGTTCTCCGCACATCGCCACACTGGTAGATCTACGTGTGCATTGATCTGTAAACCTGCCTGATGCGATTGGTTAGTATAGATGCAGTCGTTGATGTGTCTCAGCACACATGCACCGGTACTACCGCGACCAGAGATCACACATCATGCTCCTCTTGTCAGACATACAAATAACGAGAAATGCTTGAGCAGTTCCAATTCTCTCTGTGTAGCTAAGCTCTATTTCTTCCCATCGTAGCATCTATCTATCTATCCATCCATCCCACCAAACACCCTCCTCTCCTCCACCGTATACCTACCAATTCACCGCTCCCCACTAACAACCCTCCACAAATCCCTCTCCCCCTCCCCCAACTTCTTCGCCGCGAACCTCGCCCACTCGCCCGCCGTCTCCCACAACCTCCCAAACTCTCCTTCTTCCTCCTCCCCCCTGGCGCTCAGGGGATCCATCGGCTCATCCAACAACCCCCCACGAAAAGTCGAGCCGCCGCGACGCCGTCCGCGCGGACTCACGAGGAAACTCTGCTCTTCGGGGTCTTGGCTGATGATGACGCGGTCCTCGAAGGAGTCGCGCGTGTTCTGCACGTAGCCGGGCGGGTGGCTGAGGTCGTGGGGGAAGAGGAAGGGGTGTGGGGAGGCGGCGCTGAAATGGGAGGCGCTGGAGAGTTGCGAGAAGGATGAGTGGGCGCGTGAGTGGCCGTAGGTGGAGTTTGTGAGGGGTGAGGGCGCGTAGGTAGAGAGGATGGCGGGCTGCGCGTGCGTGGTGTTGAAGGGGGCGGGTGGTGTGCTGGGGATGGAGAGTTTGCTGAGGGGAGGGTATGAGACGGATTGTGAGCGGGTGGGCATTGTGGGCTGGGCTCTTGCTGGGAAAGAGGTGGTGGTGGTGGTTGTTGCGTTGGTCGCGTGTGAGAGTGTGTTCACCGCCTGCCTAGAGCAAGGGCTGCTGGGTCTGGACGAGTTTGCTGATGAGGGCAGCGTGTTTGCCGCTGCAGCAGCCAATTGTCCGTCCAGGGCTTCGGCGGGAGTATAACGCATCGCGAAGGTCGAGGGACTTGTTGCGAAGGCGCTGTTGAGCGCATTCTGGTTGATGGGGGAGGCGCTGTAGACGGGGACTGCCATGATGTTTGAAGTGGAGGGTAATGCGGTTCTGGAGAGAATATGAGAGTGGAAGCAAAGTATCAGCGAGACAAACAAGGCAGGCTTATCGGGCAGGGAGTCAAGAAGCCGTAAGGAGCAAATATATGAGCGCCCGTTCGCGGACATCGTTCTTTGTCTAGACGAACGAGGCCGTGCGTCGAATCAAGGGATATGGCTGTACGTCATTAATGAGCCAGTGCCCTGGGGAAGGTATGCGGGCTAGGAGATCAACCGGCTCCGGGTGAATCAAGAATAGGAGGACCTCAAACGGCTGGAATGGAGATTGTTGACCACTGCTGTCATCGTGAATGGTGTTTGCATTGTTCAGTGCGGTAGGCGAAGTCAGAGGAGGCCAGGGTTGCCAAGGCACCTTGATCTTCGCCGAAGACGGCCTGTGGTCCCTTGAACGTCTGATCTGGAACATGCCTTCCGAGATCGTAGTGTCTGGTCCTGAAGTGCATTGTCTTACCATCGCACAAGGAATTTGGCAGTCAAGTGCTCCACTAGACTTGCCGTCCTGCGCAGCCGTGTCGCGAACCACCGTTCAGGCGAGTCACTACCGAGGCGATGGAATCCTTAGACCGAGAAGAAGCGATGAACGAATGAGCAAGTCGTAGGACCTAGAGAGCCCTGATAATTGAGCGATGATGTCGGCCGTTGTGCTTGAGGGCCACTAGCGTGATTTACTGCCAAGACCAGTTTGTAAAGGCCGTGCAGAGCCAATCAACGTCGCCTCTGTTGTTCCGTCCTACACAGCGATGACATCGGCCCTTGAATCCTAGCAAGACCTCTGCGTCCCTAGCGAAAGCCCATCGCCGCCTCGCAAAACGTCCTCATCACCTGGGTGTCTTTCACGAACTACCCAAGCCACGCCCGTTGATATTGGGGAGTCCGACATCTCGCAGACCGCCACGTGCTCCCATCGATTGGTTCTCGATTTCCACCTAGCCATCTACGCTTGGCACCACTTCTTTTCGTCTCGAGAACATCTCGTTGAAACGTGGGTGAAGTCTCTGAAGATCGTCAGTGTGAGTCTCTGCCTGATATAGCAGGGTTTTTTTGGGGGCCTTTTACCAAAGCTTCGCCGAACTTCCAACAACTGGTCATGGCTTCGTTGTGACCAGGAACCTCTCGCCACGACCCTAGCATCACCCAAAGGGACTCAACTATGCGCATATCATCAAAAGAAATGTTTTTTGACGGTAACCCCGGCTCCAGCGTCAGAACTTGACCAGCTTTCCCTGTTCGGTCAAGCCCTCTTATGCAGGCTCTTCCTCGGCTCTTCCCTCCGGCTATTGCTCTTTGACTCTTAGAGCCTCATCATGTATGTCTGAACCAGGCTCTTCTCCCGTTCCTCAGACTGAAAAGCCTAGGAAATTCGGGAAACAGATCCAGCGACAGCAGCTGGATCTTCCTGAATATGCTGCCAGCTTTCTCAACTACAAAGCGCTGAAGAAGGTATACAATGTGTGGTCCGTGCCCAGCGCACCCTAGGGCTGACTTGGGGCACAGTTAATTAAACAGCTCTCGGCTACTCCCACTATCACTGCGCAGGGAGAAGCGACACATACAGACTCTCAAGCTGCGCTTCGAGCGAACAAAGAGGTCTTCTTCTTTCGTCTTGTGGGTTTTCTCTCTGTGGGATCCACCCTGCAACCTGCTGATCTCTAGTCAGGAGCGAGAGATCGAGAAGGTCAATGTTTTTTACCTCCACAAAGAAGCCGAAGTATGACAACGAGTTCTTTCAATACCCTTTGCTAATGCTCTCAAGTTTACCCTTCGGCTCAAGACATTACATGACAAGGAACGCGTGATTCAGGCCAGACTCAACGCCAACTCCCGCGTCTCTGCATCATTTGTCACCCTGATCGAAGGCTTTCAGCAATTTGACAATGATCTCAACAAACTCCAGCAATTTGTAGAAGTCAATGAGACCGCCATCTCCAAAATCTTGAAAAAAGTATGTTGTGACTCCGAACGAACGTTGAGAAGCGAACTAACGATCACCAGTGGGACAAAACATCAAAGGTATATTGAATCAACCATGTAGGATCATCTCACTAACATAACACTCTAGTCACGAACCAAGGAACTCTACCTACAACGCGCCGTCGAAATACAACCATGCTTCAACCGAGATGTACTGCGTGATCTCTCAGATAAGGCGACTACTGCTCGGCTCGACTTAGAAGCATGGGCCGAGGGCGAAAACATATTTCATGTCGATATCAGCAAACCAACCATTGGTCAAAGAGTTGGTACAGAAGAGAGCGACATCGATTTACAGGTTCTCCAGGCCGCCGCTGCTGGAAACCTTCCTGCGCTGAAGGAATGGTTAACCAGGCTATCATCATCTCCTAATGCGGGCGAAGCTCTTACTCGTATCTTCCTCGCCTCAATCAGTGATGCACCCGACGAATCTCTCAAAGTCCTACTCGAATCAAAATATGTCGACATTCAGGCGGAGGACGATATCAACGAGCGCAACTGCCTGCACGAAGCAACGATTTATGGAAAAGACAGTGTACTCCAGTACGCTTTGGCTCATGGCGTTGATCCTACCCGGCTTGACGTCTACGGTCGTGTCCCGTTGCACTATGCGTGCTTGAAAGGCAGGATACCCATGCTAGAAAGATTGATTGCAGCCGCGCCTCAGTCTATCGACGTGAAAGATCACGACAATTTCACACCGTTAATTCATAGCATCGTCCGGGATCGAGTCGAGTGCGTACGGTTATTGCTCGCGCAGAATGCTCAAATTGAGCCAGATTCGGACCGAGACCACATCCCACTCAACCTTGCGTGTCAGCATGGTTCAAGCGAGGTCGTCGCATTGTTATTGGAACGACACGCCGAATTCCATCCCGATGCTGAAGGCCTCTTTCCACAACATTTAGTAGCCAAATCAAGCACCACGGCGGATTTATTGCTTCTCTTACAACACCATGGGGCAGATCTCAACCAAAGAGACAAACTGTATCAATGGACACCTCTGTTTCATGCTGCCAGCGAGGGTCGCGTCGAATGTCTCCGGGCCCTACTGGACTATGGCGCAGACGCAGATGCCTTAGATGAGAAAGGCCTTACGGCTACCTACTATGCCACTTGGGAGGGACATCTGTCCTGCGTCGACTTGTTGTGGGAACGTCATAGGCAACAAGCTAATCAAAAGATGGGCAGCGCAAAGTTGGGGCCCTCAGCACCCCAGATGCTGTCCACATCCACCACCGCCATGGAACTCACGCCACCCGATATCTCAGGCGAAGCCGATGGAATCCCAGATCTTTCGCTTCCACCACCGATTATACCTATGCGAAGATACGGGCACAACTTCCTTGACTCAAAGTGCTTCATTGCCATTAGCTTTGAGCGGGGTGCAAAAGCCATCCAGTTCTTCAACGAAGCAAGATATCCTGCCGCGCGCATCACAATATCATCCAAGACCTCTGACCTCATTCCGAGAAACATCATGCTGCCGATCCAAGAGGACTCGAGATCGGTCCTCTTCCAGGTCGACAACCTCTCCACCTTCACCGTCGACTTTGAGATCTTCCCAACATTTGGCTCCAAGGTCATTGCAAAGTCTGTGGCTCTGCCGGACGTCTTTCGGGCAATCGACAGTAGTTCTGGCACGTGTTGCTTGCCTTTGTTTGACCCACGACTGCGCTCGGTTGGCCAGATCTACTTCAACTTTCAAGTCATCAAGCCGTACGGTGGTCGCCCGCTGGAGATTACCCAATTCGCGCCCTATTGGAAGGCGACCAGCGCGCTTGACGAGTCGGGCCTCATTACGGGCTCCAGCTTGTCTGGCGACTATCTTCGCTTGTGCGTCCAGTTGACAAGGGATGCCGTTCCTGTCATCTATCCTTCGTACGAGTTTGACCACGCCGGCCTCGACGTCAGCATCGGCAGCCTCGCTTTTGAAACACTGCCTTCGCTATCATCCAACACAGCCGCGTTGCGCTCCGCATCCGAGACCACCAACATCCTCGACTGGCGCAGCCGCCTATCAAGCTCCGTGCTCGCCCTGAAAGACATCTTGGCCACTCTACCTGTATCCGTAAACATCAATCTCCACATCCTATACCCAAATCTTGGCGACCAGGAGAACGCCCAAAACCACATCGACATCAACACATTCGCCGACGCCGTCCTGACCGACGTTTTCGACCACGCGCGCGCCCTCCGCGCCCGGAGCACGGAGCTCTCCCGCTCCATAGTCTTCACTTCCTACAACCCGCACATCTGCACTGCCCTCAACTGGAAACAGCCTAACTTCCCTGTCCTGCTCTGCAACGGCCTGGGCTCGCAGCCCTCTTCTGGCCAAGGAGGAGTAGCAGCAGCAGCAGCAGGGGAGGACGCCTCTCTCGCCACCGCCGCCAACCGCAACGCATTCTCCATCAAGGAATCCGTGCGTCTGGCCCAGAGCAACAACTTCATGGGCGTCATGTGCAGCGCGCGCATTCTCAAGATGGTCCCCGCCTTGGTCGAGACCATCAAGCATGCGGGCCTCGTGCTCGTGTCCGACAGCTCCGCGGCCGAGCAGCAGGCTGAAACAACGGCGTCCGCAAGTGCAAATGCGCCAGGCTGGGCCGTCATGCCCGAGGGCGTCAATGGTCTCATGAAGGCGACCGGCGTGCTGAGGTTCAATGAGAGTGTGGACATGTAAATGTTCGGGGGACAGCGACCAGGAGGCCCAAGGGGTTTTATAGGGAATGCGACTCATCAAGAGGGAAGGGGAAGGTGGATGGATGCGGGTGGGAGGCCATCAGTTTTGGATCCGAGTAAGCCTACCTTATCGAGTGAGGACTGGGGGCTGGCAACTTGAAGTTTGCGAAGCCCTACCTACGTCTGGACCGTTCTGACAACATGCTAAAAGCCGAGAAAGAAGAAGTTGCGTAGCAAGATTTGCATATAGACCATATCCCGCAATATTGGACATTCTTGATTTGCGAACGGGAAAAAAAAGCACCCATCGTCCCCGACATGGGAAATTTTTGCATTTGTTGGATTGGGAGTCGGGATCTTGAAAGACACCTCGACGCGACCGCTGCTGCCCTCCTCCTTCCCCCCTCTTTTCGTAATCTGAGGCTTCCCACAGCGCCAGTCGATCCAAGTTCTCCGTTCCCCGTCCGTGGGATTGGCAAATTCAGGCGGAAGCCGCGACCTGCTCGGCCGCATGCAGAGTGGTAGCAGCGCCAGCAGACGTACTGGTACCGCTCGCAGTGCTCGCCACGCGCGCCAAGCCGTTCCGCTCGGCCTCCTCCTCCTTGAACTTCTCCGTCACCATCTGCCTCGTCAACTGCTGGTAGTCTGTTGTTGTGTATCTCTCGTCAGCGATGTGCCCTCCTCTTGCTCCACACAGAGACAAGCCGAAAAAAAGAAACGGTAAAGGAGGAAAGAAAAAGAGAACACTCACGAGCGACACCCCGTTCCTTGACACCATTAAGACACCCCTGACTATAAACCCCCCTCTCCAAATTCCCCTGCGCCGTCTCACACAGCTCAAAGTCCTCCATGGCCACTTTGCGCACAAAGGCAAAATACTCGTCCCAGCCGTCCATGCCTTTCTCGCCACCGCCGTCGTAGTAGTAGTCGAATTCCATGCGCGTCTCGCCTACCTTGCCGGTCCTTGCCTCGGCTGCATTACCACCACTGCCTTCTTGAACACCGTAGACACCCCTGAGGGAAGCTGCGCTGCTGCTGCCACCGGTGGTGACGGCTGCGCTGCAACCGCCGGCACCGTTACCGGGACAGACGCGGAAGCTGCTCATGCCGCCGCCGTAGAGGTTCAGGGTGCAGACGGGAAAAAAGTACAGGAACAGGCCGTCCTCGGGCTTGGTGGGGTCGGCGATGTGTTGGCTGTAGGTGCCGTAGTTGTGCACTTCGTAGAAGGTCGGTGGGTACTTGACGCTGAAGGTGCGGTGCGTGTACTGACAGTGCAGACACTCCTGGTAGCCGTCCACCATGGTCTTCCAATTGAAGCGGCCAGGGTACTTGATGCCATGGCGCCATGGCAGGCGGCGGAAGTCGTGTTTGTTGAGGAGCGGGAGGAGGGAGGGTGGGAACCATGTGTCGAATGTGGGGGCGGTGGGGGAGATGGTGCCGAAGAGGAGGCCGGTTGGGGTGACAAAGTGCTTGAGCAGAGCGTTGTCGGAGATGCGGATCAACGTGAAGGACTCGGCGCCGTGGTGCATGAGGCGGATGGGTACGCCGCCGAACTCGTAGTCGACAGTCTGGTTGGCGGAGAATTTAGTGACGGTTCCGAGAAGATACCACGCTTGAGTGAAGACGGAGCGCATCTCGAGGTCGTAAAGGGGCTGGGAGGTGAACCATGAGGCGGGAAGGGTCTTGACGGATTGCTCAGTCGAGAACATGGTCACAGTGGTGTCGTTGCAGGCCATGGCGGCGGTGATGAGGTCGGAGGCAAGTAGACAGTCGCGTAGAGGAGACGAGGGGTATACAACATCGTGCTGACCGATTGAGCCAATCAAAGACGCCGTGAGACTTGTGCCGGTCTATAGCTACATACATGGCAAAGCAATGCGGTGGTTGCTTGAACGACGTAAAGTGATGGAGTTATAATGGATGTTGACGTGTCCATTGGTAGGGGAGTGGATGAGCAGGCTCCATGATGCGCCCTGACTATCGACAATCGGGATCCTGTATCCGCATAGAGCGATCGGAGAAGTCCACAGACATGGATGACTGAGCACCCTCATCACGATTTGTTGATCGTGGGAGGCCGAAGAGAGATCCTATTCGCTTATCAGTAATGCTCCAACGGTTGACATGAAGCGAGAGCCAAAAGCCGGCTGAAACCGTGACGAAGTTATAGTTGAGGACGCGACGGGTCGATCAAGTATATCAGCGAGTGGGATGCCACACGAACAAGCACGTCTAGTCTGACATACGAGAAAACATCCTCCGAAGTTTCTTCAGCATGAATGCCGTAATCTCCGAATGGGACAAGAATAGTCTCTCTTTTGTGGCCGTCTTCGCGGCTGCCTCCTGCTTGACTTACCTTGTCTTGGTGCCGCTCGCAACGGCAATATATGGGACCAGCAATGACTCCAAATCTAGTAGAATCGGAATAGATTCCGCTGAGAAAGGTGTGCCACTGCGACAAGACGACCTGTCGGATACAGAACTGTTTGAACTCGAAAAGAGGGCCTTCTTCTCGAAGACATGGCTGTATGCCTGCCATCAGAGTCGCTTTGAGAGACCAGGCGATTACTTCACCTTTGATATCGCAGGGATATCGTTCTTTCTCGTGCTGGGAAAGGACCACAAGATTCGAGCATTTCATAACGTTTGTCGCCATCGTGCATACACTGTCGTCCGAAAAGCCTGCGGAACGACCACGAGGTAACACACGGCGGAGTAGCCTCAGGAAAGTCGCTGATATGTAGCACAGGTTTGCGTGTCGGTACCACGGTTGGCAATATGATGACCGCGGCAAGTTGCTTAAGGCTCCCAAGTTCGACGAACAACCGGGCTTTGTGCCTGAGGAGAATGGCCTCTGGGAAATCAAGCTAGTCCAGACACGCGAGGGCCTGCTGTTCGTCAATTTTGATGGAAACACAATGGACTTACCCTTCAACGACGTTGCGTCACGAGTGAAGTTGGCTGATCTGACGTGGCTCGATGGCTTCAGCCTGGAGACCGAAACAAATTGGAAGCAAATAGGTAGGCAAGTCGCCAAAAGCACAGGCCTAAGCTAATGGATCAAGCCAATGTTTTCACAGAAATGGCTCGGAAGTCTCGAAGGTCGTTCGGCTGGCCGATCAAACGGCGTCAGGCAAGACCCGTCGAGCTTCTTGGGCCTTTGAGTATTGCGTTCGAGCTTGAGAGCTCGGTCTGGGGCACAGTGACGATGCTTCCAACGTCGACACTCGCATCCACTCTTCGACTAGATCTGTTTGCGAAGGACGGCAGACAGCCATCCAAGGCGACGATCGACCGCTTGCGATGGAACCTCGAACAGGACATGACAGCTGTAGATCAGAGTGCCAGTGCAAGCCATGAGTCCAGGGCGCCGTTCGTGTATGAATGTGGCGGTAAGTGAACATCGACCTTCATGTATACAACTGCTGATGCTGGAGTTAGGGAGATGGATCGATCTCACGGCTATTCTCGCTCAGCACCAGCGCTCAGAAAGGCAGGCCCAACGGAAGCTGCAGCCTGCTATCAGAATCACTGGCTTCGACTTCGCGGACACTGATGCGGCAGATCTTTGTGAAGCTGTTGACGCTCTGGCGAGTACCCAAGAGGAGGTGTCGCTCCCGTGCACGAGAGTGCCATCATTTTCGAGACGGCTCGATTGGTGAGCAGAGAGCCTCGCGCGGACACATGCTAAGAGGCTGTTGAATTCGAAGAAACACTTGCAAGAAGGCTTGCAAGAAGAGAAGGAGGCGAGGAAGTAGCGAAGACCAGTAGACAGAGCAAGGTAGAGCTCGATACAGCGTAGATTGCGGTAATGCACACAAGGCTCGCCCCGGTTAAACTGCGGGTCAATGACATGGTCGCATGGACATTCTTGACCCCCCCACCATCACCACATACTAGTACACGCAGTCTATACACTCCCACACACACATATTTGGCTCCCCGATCCCTTCTACATACTCCCCAACCATCACATCCGTCATGTTCAAAAAAGACTCCCTCACCCCGGGCGCCAAATCCAAAATCAAATCCTCCGCGCAGCGCGCCATCCGCCAAAAAGTCCTCGATACCTACCCACTCCTCGAGCCGCACCTGGACGCCATCCTCCCCAAGAAATCCCAACTCGACCAAGTAAAACTGCCCGCCGAGCGCGCCACTCTCTTCTGCCTGGACGACACCCCCCTGTTCTTCCAGCACATGGACGACGCCATCATGCCCCACCTCAAGGTCGTGCACCAGTACCCCCAGTGCTTCAAGACGGTCGGCATCGACCGCGGCGCCATCAGATTCGTCATGAGTGGCGCGACGCTGATGGTGCCCGGGCTGACGAGCGCGGGCGGCAGGTTGCCCGACGCGGCCGAGGAGTTCAAGAAGGGGGACGTCGTGGTGGTGGCGGCCGAGGGGAAGTCGGAGGCCTGTCTGGTGGGCGTGCTGGAGCTGGGGACCGAGGAGATGAAGGAAAAGAAGAAGGGCCCCGCCATCAAGGAGGGGCATTATCTTGGAGATGGACTTTGGAAAATTGATTTGAGTTGAGCGAAGAGCGTGGAAGAATACCTGCAATGTTGAACTGAACGGTCGTCGTTCTCGAGTGGCATCACGCAGCAGGGTGTGACTGGCCCAAGGAGCGAGACACTGCACACCCAGATCCTGCTGCACCTGTCAGTCATCAGCGTGGCTCGCTACCAGATGGCCCGGTGACTTCTACTAGAAGCACAGACAGACTGATGACGGAAAGAGGCAACCAGCGAAAGGAGGACTCATGCACTATGCGTCGCGATCTGGCTCCTTCAGCCGCGGAAAGACTTGATTCTGGAATCGGACAATCCGCATTTGTCCTCGACCCATATATGATACTTGGATACCAGCGCGACCGAACCCGGCAAGAGTCAATCATACAACAGCTCTGCCACCTCCGCAGCTACATATATGGTGATAAAGAAGACGCAGAGAATAACATGCACCTTTCGAGCTGATTTATTGTGTACAAACTTTTCTGGGCTAGCATAGCATAAGGATACCATGGCTCCTCGAGCCCCCCCTTTCCCTTTCCCGTTCGCCGTCGCCAGCTGTGAGCAAAGTCAAATCGCTCGATTCCCCTCGCGGTATGAGGACACACAAGCCTCGCCACCACGATGATGCGCACGATGGGCCAGCATGCTCGAAGCCGGTCTCAAAATGAAAAAGCGATTGCACGCAAAGCAGAGCAGTCTCGGGCAGGTGAAGGCCACTCGTCTTCTGATAAACGCTGTCAATCTCAACAGTCGCCTCCGTTTCCATTTGTTCCCATCCCATAAGAGTGCTCACTATTGTAATCATGCTTCTCAGGAGGAGTGGAGGGTATCTCGTGGTGGTTTGATCTCTCGAAAACTCAAAAGCAGCAAAATCAAAGTGGTATCCGGTCTTCATGGTCGGTCGTTCCAAAAAATCCCGTGCGCCGTTAACATGGCTTCTTGAAATGGTCATCGACGATAAGTGTCGACGGACCATGCCGCCAAAGTCTGCAACCATTTCGAGAAGCCCGTGTTGATGCAAAAGCAAGCTGAAGTGTGTAAATATGCAAGCGATGAACCGCGTCGCCTTGGATCATGCTGCTGGGAAAAATGCGTAAATGTGCATTCTGGCGCCGACTGGAAACAACCCATATGGTACTCTGGTGTTAAAATCACATGGTCTCCACAATCATCTGGCTTGGATGGCACACTTAACCTTGATGTAGCCAAGTATGTTGCAGAACAAAGCACTCGCTGGCAAGGTACTAATATCGAGCGAGGTCGAGGCCGTGCTTTCAGCCACCCTTGTCAAACTGGGCCTTCTCATCTTCGTTGAGATTGTCTTGAATGCGCTTGCGCGACTTGAGGTTGAGAGCTCCGTTGCGCCAAGCAAGGCGAATCATCTTGAAGACCGGGCGTGCGGCGTCGGTTTCGTTGCGAAGCAGGGCGACTAGGTCTGCAGCCACGACTGCAGAAACAGGAGCGACAGCCTTCAACGCACCGTCGTAGTAGCTCAAGAGGTGCTGGAAACCAGCATCGCTGCCACGAGCCTGATCCTCAAGGGCGAGTTCCTTGAACTCGTTGTACATGGAAAGGTTGAATGATTTTACCAGAAAATTCGACCAGAAGGAGTACATCGGCTCGAGGGCGCCCTCGACCCCATGGTCTCTATCCTGGAGCGCTTCGGTGCGGGCGGTGAAGTACGGCTGAAAGTAGTGGCCAGGTTGGGCCTGCTGGGGAAGAGGCATCTGTTGACCGTCTTTCGTAAAGACAGCCGGCGTTTCTGGAACCGGGCTACCGGATGATCCAAAGGTCAGTCCCTGCAAGCGAGAGGCAAGTCTGTGCTGGTCAGCTTCTGAATAATCGCGTAATGAGTTTACATACTGATCAGAGGTCTTGCGAGCCTGTATGCCGCCACGGAGATCGTTAAGTTTGGACGCCGATCCTTGACTCTCGTTGGAAAGCGCACGCTCCACCTGGGGCATGCCAGCTTTGTCATCGGCTGTGCCCATATCGGCACGATCACGCTTGTAGATATGAATCAGACCAATTTGGTCGTCGGGAAAGACACTCTCCTCAGCGAAGCTGCGAGAAGCACTGCGGTGGTGACCGTTTGTGGCAGGAACAGTCGAACCATTCTGCATAGGACCAGATGGGATCCGATGCAGAGACTCTGGCGAAAAGGGTGAGGTCGCAGACTCTCGACGGGAGCCTTCGAAGTGTTGAGCGTAGGGGTACTGCGGGGGACGCTCATTGCCAGCATGGCCGTCATAAGGAGGAATAGCACCGAACAATGGGGGAGATGTCGGTCCATTGAACATGCCGTTGACAGGAGCCATACCCGCTTGTGGACTTCGAAGCTGACCGGGAATGAAAGGCATAGCCTCGCCACTACCATGGGGAAGATCGTGGTACTGCAGATACTCAGGCTGGACAGCTGGACCATCATTCTGCGCAGTTGGGAATCGCTCAGCTATTGGGAGAATGAAATCTTTCCAGCCTTCTTGCCGACGAATTCGCTCTTCGCCATCTTGACCGCGCATAAACTCCAAGTTCTTGACTTGTGGGCACACCATCCGCAAAGTCTCAAGAGTCTGCTCTTCGCCGGCCAGCTGCTTGATTCTCTTAAAGTTGGCAACAACGCTCAAAAGAACCCAACCTTGGGAGTCCATGTGTTTGCGAAGGTACAGATCCTTGCAAAGGTTGTCAATGGAGAAGTAGTATTCCATTTGGCTCATGACCATAGACAACACAGCATACGAGCCTAGTTGCTCATTGTACGGCATAGCGCTCATGATTCCAGGCTGCATTGGCATCTGAGGTGGCATACCGTATGCCTGCACATCAGTTTGCAAAGGCGACAGAGCCGGAGGCACACCTGCAACGTTGCCAAAGTAACCTTGTCCGTACATCATCTGCATCGGGATTGACTGGGCCCGATTGGGATTCCGATTGGGCGAAGGGTGGTTCGTCATGGAGAAGGGTTGAGATGTCTGCCGGGGACGAGGTTCACCTGAACCGGACTTGGGCAGCTCAAATCCGTTCTGAGGGAGTGGCGTGGTGTAAGAATGGCCTCCAGTATAGGTGGAGTTGTAAGCATGGCCGCCACGAGCACGATAAGAGCCTCGGCCACGCTCAGAGCCACGCTCGCGACGCGAGAGGCCTTCACCCGAGTATTCTCTATCCCTCCAAGACTCAACCTTCTCGCGTGCGTTGTCGGTCTTCTCACGGGACCACTCACGGTTGCGTGGAGGGCCGTTGCGCTCCGGACGGTTGTACTCATTTGAACGGTAGTTTGAGTGAGATGGCTTATTTCGATCGCCGGCATATTGCTGACGGGTGGCAGTATCAAGTATTTGCGGTGGAATGCTGGCTTCAGTAGCTGTCTCGGTAGTTTGGCCTACGTTCAACTCAACAGCCTTGCCGGAGCTCGCGCTAGCTGCATTCTGGCGAGAAGAAGATCGTGAAGCTTCCTGTGAGTCAATGTTGGTAGTCGCAGAGACTTCGTTTACCGGTACGAAAGGCGCGGCTGTGGTCGCCTGAGCCGAGACCGAGTCCTTGGCAGTGGGTGCTGAAGGCTTCTGAATGTTGGCTGCACTATTGTCGTGGCTTGAGGCTCTCTGGTTGCCGGCGGGCAACGAGCTTGCACGTCCCCCACGGTTGGCATCAGCCTTTCGACCGCGATCCTGATCGCCGCTCTGTCTTGGCGGAGGAGGACCCATACTGCCAGAGTTTTCATTTCTGTCGCCGTTGTTGGCGAAGTGTCCTCGACTGCCACCCTCACGCCCACCACGACCACTACGTCCGCCACGCTTAGCAGCAGAAGGTGGCAGTTGCGTCTCAAACTTGGCTGTAGGCACAAAAGGCATCTGAACCCAATTCTTACCATGGGACTTGGCGCTAGGACGAGTCTCACTCTTCTCACTTCTATCGACCGGAAGAGACTTTTTTCTCTCCTCGACGCTGGCGGTCTCAGGAGTCGGCCAGGAAGTAGCATCGCGCACAGGAGCCGCATGCTCTCGTTTCTCGCCACGCGATCCAGGGGGGGAAGACTGAGAAGACGAGAGCTCATTTTTATCGGCGGGTTTGTTCGTGGGACGAGACGTCGTAGGGATTTCACGCTCTGGGCCTGCTCTGCGTTTCTGTTCCTGATTGTTCTGCTTGGTGGTAATGGGGCCGTTCACAGCAGCGCCAGCAGGTGGCACGGCTTTCTGGGCACCCTGCTCTCGTCTCTTCGCATCTTGAGCCTCCTTTCGCTGTTGCCAGAAGTTGACGGTCGGAATGGGAGCCGGCTTGAGCTCTTTCTCAGCAGCAACAGATGGGATGGAGACTTTCTCCCAATCGTCCTCTACATCCTTGCCCTTGTCCTTGTCGCTGGTGGTTGAATCCATCTCGTTGGCAACGGATGTATCCCATGACTCAGCACGGGCCGACGAAGACTGGTTCTCGTTATTCTCCTTGCCGGGGCCGGACTCGCCGGTCGTCTTGGGGAGGTCGCCGACTGACGCTGACGACTTGTGACTGCGGCGATTGACAGGAACGTTCTCCTTGTCTTGAGACCCATCACGAATTGAGGTAGATGGGAGTTCCCAGGAAGAGGTCTTCGCATCCTTCTCTTCTGAACCAGCACTGCTTCTCGCAGGCTTTCCGTTGGCCCCATTCTGTGCATCCGGCTTCTGGCTCGGCTTAGGTATGGAATTTTGGTCGAGAAGCTCTTCTTTGACATCCTTCACAGAGGCTTGGGATGTGGAGGGCGCAAGGCCTTTGGCCGCTTGGGCATAGGAAAACGCAGGCATCGCTGGGCTGCTTGACGCTGACATTATGAACTGGCTTTTCTTGTGACTGCGACCTTGTCACACTTCCTCTTTCTTCCTCTCAAACGAGCCTGGCTCTCACCAGCCCGGAAGCTGGAACTCCGCTTCGATGTCCCAACCTGGGTGCGGCCAGACGCAGTGTGCGAGAGTGGATGTGAACGACCGCCTCAAATAGCTGAATGCTTAGTCGTCTTGAATGCTGAATACGTGATGCGACAAAGGTATTCTCGTCTTTCCAGTGAGGTTGCAGACAACCAAAAGGTGCAGAGTTGCAGTGAGGACCGTATTGAGTGTGCGGGTTTAACGACTGCGATACATCAATCGAAAGGTAGGTCTGATATGCCTGTCCGCTTTTGCAACGAAAACGGTCGCAAGCAAAACGCAATTACCAGCCGATGAATGCAGAATTGAAAAAATGGGGGGTTTGAAGCGACGTGCAGTAGTCGCCAAACGCGCGAGAGCGGGCTGACGCCTGGATTGCCGTGAAGTTGCCTTGCCAGAAACCGACGGGTTAGTGACAATCCTCCAGTCCTGTATTGAACAGGAGCCGAGAATACCGAAGTCGCAGGTACCGCTTCGCAGTGGAGGATGGTAGGCAGGGGAGGCAGCCGAGTCGTGGAGGCGTAACTCGGGGTAAGGTGACGACCGAGGACGCTGTCGATACTCAGGTCCTGGTGGTAAGTTTGAGGGACCAGGATACTGCTCGCCCAATTCTGGCCAGCAAGGACAGACAATGAACCGAGAGGATGAATTAAAAGGACAGTATGCGGCGGGATGAATGTGTGGTGGAGGAGTCAAAGGCAAAGCGTGGTTTTCGGGTAGCTGAATTTGCGCGAACAAAATTCCTTTGCACATCGGAGTGCAGTGCGGTGCTGTGCCTCACCGCAGAGGAGCAGAGTACACGCTAGCAGGTGCCTAAATACCCCTCCGGGTTCTTAGCCGCTCACCCAGCAAGCAGAATAGAACAATCTAAATCAGCCTTCACTCTAGCTACATCCACTGGCGGCTGAGAACCACCATCCACGGACTCGAAATGCTGCATGTCACAATGGAGCTAGAGAACCTCCTACAGCACCGCGGGTGAGCGCACCTCGGTACGCAAGTCTCCGACACACCCTGCAATATCCGGCCCCCAAGGGATGTGATTAGACACACAACCATTCATGGCGGGAGCTCCCAATCCAGGTCTCTTGGGTGTTCTGCTGGTGGCTCAGACCCGTTCGGGTACGGGAGCTCAGGTCCTCTTTCACTACCCCCCGGATCCACTTGCTGATGATGAGGGGCAGTTGCCGGATACTGAACAGGCGGCTGTTGATGAGAGTTCCAGCAGTGACTCGGACAGCGAGTCGTCCAGTGACGACAATGTCTTCGACGTAACACCACTGAAGCTTCGGGAAGGCCCTCGCCATGCTCAAGATGACCGATCACCCGTCACTGAGGACGATGAGGATGAACAGAACAACAAGTTGAGCAAGCTTCGCAGCAGTGAGAACTGGGAACCGTCATGGGAGCCCCTACTGGGCATTGGAGAGGAAGGTCTCGTCAGCTTATTAGCTCCAGGAAGAGCCTGGCATAAGCGAAAGTTCGAGCTGGGAATCAACGATCTGGTCTTTGTTGGCCGTCCAGTGTATGCGCATGAGAGCGGCTCGTGGCAGAAAAGGCGAAGGAAGAAGTCAAAGAAGCCTTTACCGGATGAACAAAACGACACCATCGACTCGGCACTTGAAATGGACGCCTCTGAGCAAGATGCAAATGCAGAAAAAAACTCCAAAAGCGCGCTTACCATGTTCCACGTCGTCTTCGTCATGAACCCATCGCCCCTCGAACACGCCACGCGCGTCAGAGATATGTACGATAACGTCGCCCGCAAACTCTCCAAGGTGCTCAAGTCTGAGCAAACTAGGAACGACTACGTCTGTGCCGAAGCAGACCTTATACAGAACATCAAATCATCCCACTTCACCAAACGATCGCCTACTGCAACTCTGTATAGCGACCTCCTCAAGCAGTCGACACTGGCAACCGCCCTCGCCAGCACCTATCGGGCCATATCGAAATCCCGCATCGCAGCCATCACGTTAAGCTCAGATATCTCAATCTCTCTTCAAATACCACCGCTCACCTCAACCCCCTACCTACCTTCTCTGACCGAGCCGCCTATCCAACCGGGCCTATGGCTCACCACGGCCAATGAGCCGACGTCCTCATCCGACCTCGAAACGGCCAATACAACTTCCGCCTTACAGCTCGCCAAATCCTTCACACTTCTCTTGCGCGAGCCCCCTCACAAAATTCTGAAAGATATCCAGTCCACGGGCGGTGCACTCCCACAACAACTCGTCGATTTCATCACGACCCTCCGCCCCAACAAATCCTTCCACAAAATCTCCCAGGCGACTCACCTGCCTCTCGCCGACATCCAACTCCTCTCCCGACACCTCATATACTGGCGACGTGCCATCGCCATACCACCTCTGCACCACCGCGACACCTACATAGTATCTCCCAACGCTGACATGGCCTCACTGCCCGCCGCCAGCGCCGCTTTCTCCTCCAGCTTCCCCATGCTGCCGTCGCTCCCTCGCTTGCTATCCCTCCTGTCCGCCGGCCCACCCACGCCCTTCGGCACTCTAATCCCCTCCTCGGACCACAAAGAGGAATACTACCGCGTGCTCGCCTGGCTACTCTGCGGCGGCTGGGTCACACAGCTCCGCACCTTCGGCTTCGTCATTGTCTCTCCGGCCGTGAAAGCCGCGGTTCGCCAGCAAGAGCACAACGAAAAGCTATCCTCGACGCAACGCAACCTCGAACGCCTAGACCTCCACTCCCCCAACTCCCAAAACCAACCCCAGTACCAGCCGTCCAGCACCGCCGCCTCCTCCCTCTCCTCCACCACCACCACACCCTCCCACCCCCGGCGCCCCAACCTCCCCTCCCGCCCCTCCTCCGACCACACCTCCACGACGACCACCTCGCGCCACCACCCCCACCAATCCACCCACAACCCCACGCACGCCTCCCTGATCCCCTCCCCCCTCCGCGCCACCCCGCTCGAATCCTCCTGGCTCTCCTACATCCACGCCTCCCTCCTGCAGCAGCAGCAGCACCTCTCCTCCTCCGACGACAACGCCGCTGACGGCGACCTCCATCTCTCAGACGATGCTGATAAGGCCGACGTGCACCGCGCCTGGCCGATTCTACTCAAGTACCTGAACGGGAAAGAGGCGCTGGAGGGTATGGCGGTGCGGGAGGGGTTGAAGCGCAAGCAGGTGTGGGAGGTGTTGGGGAGGGTGGGCGTTAAGTGGGGGTGGGAGGTTGGGGGTCTGGATGAGGGGATTGAAGTGGGAGGGGAAGGGATGGGAGGTGGCAAGGGGAAGGGACAGGGGGAGAGGAGCGGTGTGGTGATGAGTGTGAGGCATTGGTGAGTGAGGGTGTGAGCGTGTGTATTTGTGCGTGGGATGGTCAGGCTAGGCTGAGCTGAGCGAGAAGAAATGGAGATGGTATGGTAGGGAAAAGGCGTTTCCGGGCTCATAACCCGTTGAATTAGATGACTGGGTACATGAGAAGATGAGTCGAGGCAATTTTTTGGAGGTTGATCGGGCCTGCTGGCTAGATGCTATGTATGCTGCCGTCGGGCTTCATTTGGTAAGTGTTGAGTAAACAAATCGTCATTAAACGTCCGTGAGAAACAGAAACAACCGCTATATCCGTTCTCTACAACACCTAAGCGCCATCCCTTGTGTCTGTCGGCTTGCGCCACCGTCGCATCTGCTTTCGTGGCGTTCGTCATACATAGCCCGTCAAAACATCTCTGCAGTCCTCCCCCATCCCTCCCCTTTCAGACCCTCACTCGGTTCGCGACCTGGTCCTCCGGAACAGGCTGTTGTGTGACGATCTCCGGCCTCTCCTTGAACTCCGCACTACTGACTACAGCGTCAACGAGCCGGACCTCCCTCTCCACCACCGTGACACCCTGCGTGATGGTCCTTGCACGCTTGAAGACCCTGACCAGGTACCTCAGCATCGCTGCGATGGCACGCACTTTTTCCTCTGGAGTCCCCTTCTTGGTGTTAGCCATGGCCTTGGCCAACATGGCAGGGGTGTATGTGGGTTGTATTGCAGGCTCGGCTTCGCTCCCATCCACATTGAGGCCGTGCACGAGGTCCTCACGCTCAATGTCGGGGATGGAGTCGAAGAAGGCTCTGTAGAAGATCTCGGCGTTCTCCGGGCTGTTGGTGTTGCCGAGGCAGAAGATGCGGAGCATAGCTCGGTCGGTGGGCTTGTTGATGTCGAAGCTGTGATCGAATCCGGCTTTCTGCAGGAGCTCTAGTTTGCGTGTGAGGATCAGGTCGAAGCCCTGTCTGAGGGTGTATGATCCGCTGATGATGCCGCTTGCAACGTCGTAGACGTTGTGGTAAGATTGAAAGACTGGCTCAATCATTACCAGAGCCGCTGTCCAGTCTTCGTGACCCTTCGCGCCCGAGACGTCGAGAACTTGCTCCATGAAGCGCATTTGGAAGGCACGATCCTTGCCACGCATGTCCTCGAGGCCGGCGAGGGAGGCGGGAGCATTCTCTGCTTGGGCGAGTTGACCGAAGTTGAGCTCGGAGCCGAGCCTGATACCGTCCATCAGGAATTCACGATGCTGGTCGGTTAGCCTGTCGAGGGCCTTCACCATACCGGCTTCGACGGCGCAGAGCAGGATCATGTCATGGTTGACATTTGTAATGTCCTCGCCCTTGAGCTCCGCATAGTCTGCGGCAAGATTTGGGTCTTTACCTAGATCATTGATGATCATTGACAAGACCAGGGCGTACGCATCGTCGGGGGTATTGAGTTTACTCCAGAAGAACGTGTGCAGCCAGTCGAAGGAGTCGCGCTTGAGTGCGAGCTCCGGTTTCTGATTCCGAGTAAAGCTGTCATAGTCGTTCGTAACAATCCATCGCAGCACAAGAACACCTAGGAGCGTTCTGTTGATCTCGTCGTAATTCTTGCCATGATACAACCTCTCAGATATCGAAGGGCTTCTAGGGCGCGGTACTCCTGTCGCTTTGAGCGAGTATGCATTTTTCAATCGGTCGAGTTCGTTTGAGAACTCATCTCGTATTAGTATCAGCACTTCGTCTTCTGGCATTCGCCAGAATCTCTCGTCTGAGATAGCATGCCATAGATCCGAATCTTCCATAGCTTTACGCATAGATCCTGCTCCTATGGAGTGCGCCCTTTTCCTGGAACCGGGGTATGTCTCGTCGGACGGTTGTGTATTGGGGGCCATGTTCGGCGTATCTTCGCTTGTTTGCTTTGACAAACGCGATATGTCACCCGCATCGGGTCCAGCGGTGGGTGATGGCCTTGTTTTGCGGACAAAGGACAAACAGTCCTCGAACAGCTTGGTCAGCAGTCCTCTTCCTTCACTTGCAGATGCATCCATCGATCCTGCATGCTCTCTTGGTGTGCCGAGTAGTACGCTAGGGTATTGAGCTGAAGAGTTGGCCCAATTGATGCCGACGGCCAGGACCAGTAATGCTACAGATAGACCGAGGATGTTCCACGGACGCGTCAAGCATCCTGAGGCTGTTGAGTTCCTGTCATTCATATGATTTTGGGTACGTCCTGAGCGCCGTGCTGAAGGATGGAAGTGGTAAGCCGAGACGCTCGTCGCTGGACCTTGGGGCTGAAGAGCTGGATCTGGGAGGTTCGACAAGGTGATAGTAGAGGAGTGTCCAGCAGTGTCAATACGTTAGTAGTAGTTGAGTGCCCTCCATATGCCCTCAATGCCTAAACCTGCTACAAGGCGACCTCGAGCGTCTCCACCGCGATCGTGGAATCCTGAGGCGAATTGTGGCAGTGCGCCAAAGTCCTTGGTGAGGCTCAGAATCTCGCACTGTGCGAAGCTTCAGCCGTCGAGTCAGAACTTGTTACGGCATTACGGTCCCGAAAGACCAATTCTTCTTTGATGAGATCGAAGCAAGATTGTGGCGAGTAATCATTGCTGAAGACAGGTCGTATGAGGGCGTCAACAGGCCGTGGCCGCATCAAAACCGCTACTTCCACTTGGGTTTAGCGTCTCAGCGCCGGTTGGTCAGAGCCGCCCAGCCTTGCCCGGGTGGATCATTAGGAGAGCAGCAAACCAAGAACAACAATTGATCTGCCTGACCATCTGGTAAAGTCCTGGAAAATCTTGGGCCGCCGAAAGTGCCAGACTGTAGATGCCCCAAGCTGTATTATACAACAACCATATATACCAGGTGTCTACACCGGCAGTGCTCCAGAGCCCGAGCTGGACTCACGACTACTCTTTTCCGTCCAGACCAACGTAGTATTCGTAGCCAAACGAGCCGGAAGGGTCATTGAACCTAAGCTTCTTGTCGATTGCATCGACTCTGGCCACGTCTTCACTTTCTAGCTTGAAATCGCCTTCGAGATTGGCCTTGATTCTATCACATGATCAGTCCGTGTTTCCTTGGTTGCCAGGGGCTCACTTACCGTGATGGGGTCTTGGATTTCGGAATCACCGAACGGCCATGGGCTATTCCCCATGCGAGAGCTACCTGAGAGCCGCTCTTGCCGTACTTCTTGCCGATGTCCGTCAAGACAGTGTCGTCGATCAGTTTGGGGACACTCTCGCCTTTCTCGTAGACGGGGTTGGCATTGCCGAATGGCGAGTATTGCGTGATATGAATGCCTTTCGACTTGTGCCAGGTAGCGAAGTCCTGCTGCGCTAGATATGGGTGGCATTCGAATTGATGAGCAGCTGGTGTGATGTCCGCATTATCGAGGAGTCTCTCTAGCTCCGTCTTGTTGAAGTTGCTAACACCAATGGCTTTGGCCTTACCGCTCTTCACTAGAGCCTCCATGGCCTTCCAGGTCTCGGCAAAGTCGATATTGTCGGTCAAAATCTTACCACCGTGTTTCGGCCGCAAGGAATCTCCGCGCTGAAAGGCCGAGGGCCAGTGCATCAGGAAGAGATCCACGTAGTCAGTGTGCAAGTCCTTAAGACTCGCGTCACATGCCTTCTCCACATCATCGGGGTGGTGGCTGTTGTTCCACAGCTTGGTGGTCAAGAAGATCTCGTCACGAGGCACCCCGGCTCGCTTGATACCTTTGGCTACTGCTGGCTCGGTTCCGTACACGCGGGCCGTGTCAATATGACGATATCCAGCCTTCAGCGCTTCATAGACAGCATCTTCTTGGGCGTCTTTGTCCTGTCATCGGATGTCAGAAAGACTCGACGCGTAGCCGGGTTTACTTACTTGCCATGTCCCAAAGCCTATGGCAGGTATTTCTTCATTGTTGTTTAGCGAAAGTGTCGTTCTCGAGTAGTTGCTCAGGTACCGATACCGGGCTGGCTTGACAGCATTGCGAAGGCTGCTGGACGTAGGTCGTGTCCTGCATAGAGCTGACAACATTCTGCTCTCCTTGACTGCCTACACGAGAGTCTGGTCCTGAAAGGTTTACCCGTTGCAAGTCCGACCAGAAGGAAGCCGTGTTTTGCTGTTCCCGAGGCAGTGGAACTAGCTCCCGCGACGTGACTCGCAATCGTCATTGATCGTCGCCGCCGTGGGAGGAGGCATTCCGCCAATCACACTGCAACAAACACGCTGACTAAGCGGGTAGCCATTTTGATATGTACCACATTATCTATCTTCCCCCATACACTTGCTGCATCTTATATGCCGCAAAGGTTCTCAGAGTATCAAACGCTGGCTAATATCTAGATCTTAGATGCGAGAGATGCTTGCTGTAAACTACGGGTCCATTGTCACCGCGTTTGAAGTCTCCGCCGATGTCCAAAAGCATCGCTTCGGAGCTCATAAGAGATGTAGGTCACATTTCGGAAAATAACAAGGCAGATCGTGTTCGCTCCAGTATCGTACACAAGGTCCAGAGCACTCTCCGCCCCTGACGCACGTGACGAGCCGATAGAAGCTGGCCTCTGGACAAAGCCCATATCCTCCGCATTCGATGTGTGGTGTCAGTGCGTCTGCCAGAAGGCAGTGTGGTCCATGCTTCAGTCGATGAACGCGGCGCAAGCTTTGTTCCCGGCGTGCCCTATTGCAAACGATGCTCATTACAGTTATCAGGCCATAAGACTTGCCTAGCATGGTCCAGATCGAACAACTCGTCTCGCTATCTTCCTTCCGCGGTCATCTCTGGCTGTTCCCTTGCCTCGATCCATAACTTCCCCTGTGTAGTCTACCCTCGGACGCGCGGCTGTACTCGACAAACCATGGCCGAGCATGTTGTACCCATGCCACGCTGGTCCGGCCTCGTTGGCATAGCGAGGCTTGTTATCGCCCTGCTGGTATTGATCTTCGTTGCCACAGCTGCAGGCCTTGGAAGTCATGCCAGCTATGCTGCCTTTGGCCTGACTCTATTCACCGTAAGTGCGCAACTTATCTGTACAGCCGTGGAAACTAAAACAGCTAGGCCAGCGCGACCCTCATCATTTTTGGGTATTACTCCATCAGTCTGTGCCGCAAGCCTCAGATCTACAACGCATGGGCAGTTCTCGGACTTGAGATTCTCGGCGTCATCTTCTGGCTGGTCTCGTTTTCACTGTGTGCGGAATGGACCGCGGCTTTCAACCACGACTGGTACTTTGGCAACGACAAGACGTTCGGAGGTTGGAAGGCACCCTTCAACCCAGATGACCTCAAGTTTGACGTCTACAAGCGCGATGTGGTCGAACGCTCAACCGCTCACTGGAAAGCGAGCATCGGACTCATGGGTACTGCTGCGGGTCTGGGCGCCTTGGAATTGTGAGTTTGCTTGCTGGTTCTTCGCACCAGGCAATACTAACACAACACAGCTGCTTATTCGTCGTTACCTTGGTCTTCTTCTCGATCAGTCTGCACAAGCATAGAGTTGCTGGGAAGCCTCTCGTGTATGGAGGCTTTGGAGTTCCTCAAGCCGCAACGATTGCAGCTCCTCCAGCACCAGCTGCGGCAACGACGCCGGAGAGTAGCACGGAGAAGGAGGAGCAATCTGGGGAGACTGCTGAAGACACGCGTAAGGAACCAGAGCAGACTGGCAAGACAGATGCAAGTGCCATTGTCTGACAGTCAGGCAGTGATGCTATCTAGCCGAGCGAATGACCGATAATGGGAGAGAAACGTGTAGTATCGGAGATGATCGGACATGTCACGTCGGATCCGAGCGGCCGTTCTTAGCTACCTTGTCTGAAAACTACGATGCCAAGAGCCGGTTCCAGACGTCGAGCTTTTCCTGCATCGCCATTCGACTGTCGCCACGCTTTCATCATGACGGCTCAAGCTTGTTCTTCCCAATGACGCCCCAACTGACACCCCCCAGAAAATGGCTTACTCGGTCTGATTCAGGAATTCGACGCCGGCGTCAGGATGCTTTTCAATAGTTATCAGGTAATCCGAACTTCTCTTCTCCGGACTCCAGCCCTTCTGTGATTTCCAATAGCTCGTACTCACCGCTCCCCGCGCAATTCCCTTCTGGACAACCCACCCACATATATCTGAATCGCGAGGCGTGATGTTCAAGATGTCATGTATCCTACGCTAATACAGATTCTCCCTCCCAACCACACCCTTCTCCGTCTTGCACCATGCTAGTCCGCTCACCCAGCGGCGAGCCCTGGGCGCTGCCACCCAACACTGCAGACAGCACTGCAACCACCGGACCCGTGCTCACGTCCGCCAGCGACGCTCTCGAGCTCCAGCCCACAGCTCCCGCCGCCAAAGCGCACGAGCAAAGCTCACCGGCCGCGGAAGAATCAATGGAAGCCCGCCTCGAGCGCATCGGAAGAGAACGCCCCCCTTCCTTCCCCAGCCTCTTCGCCGAGGTCATGTTCTGCTTCTCGATCCTCATGTCGCAGATCCTAACCGAGTTCTTCGTCTCGGGCTTCACCGTCATCGTGCCCACCCTGATCGCGGCGCTGGACATACCACAGAACTCGAGTGTCTGGCCGGCCACGGCCTTCTCGCTGGTCATTGCTAGCACGCTGCTCGTCTTTGGTCGGCTCGGCGACATGTGGGGAGGCTATCCCGTCTACATCTTCGGCCTCGTCTGGTTGACGGCGTGGAGCCTGATCGCTGGCTTCTCCATCAATCCCATGATGTTGATCTTCTGCAGAGCGCTGCAAGGGATTGGGGCAGCGGCGTTCTTGCCCACGGGCGTCATGCTCATTGGCACCGTGTACAGGCCAGGGCCACGGAAGAATATCGTCTTTGCCCTGTATGGAGCATGTGCCATCATTGGCTTCTTTCTTGGTATTTTTGTCGCCGGTGCGGTGGGTCAGTATCTGCGTTGGGGCTGGTACTTCTGGATCGGTACCATCCTGTCGGCCCTCACGTTGGTCGCCTCAGTTTACTCGATCCCAAGTGATCGCCAGCAGCGGCTCAACAACAAGATCACTATGGATTACTGGGGAGCATTGACGATCGTGTGCGGTCTGGTCCTTGTCGTCTTTGCCATTACCGAGTCAGCACATGCCAGCAATGGATGGCGGACCCCCTATATTCCAACACTCTTCGTGGTGGGCTGCCTCCTGCTGATGGCTGCTGTATACATTGAAGGCTGGGTTGCTGAACTGCCCATTCTTCCCGCGGACATCTTCGCAGTCAAGGCCATGACTCCCTTGATCATAGCTCTCATGCTGCTGTATGGAACTATGGGGATATTCTTGCTGTACGGCACGCAATACTTCCAAAGCATCATGGGAGCCTCGCCGCTCCAGGTTGTTGCTTGGTTCACACCCATGGCGGTAGGCGGAATTATCATCACCGCAGTTGAAGGCTTCACACTTCACCTCATACCTGGTCGCATCTTACTCTGCATCTCTGGCCTGGGCGCCATCGGGTCTCAATTGCTACTGGCCCTCATCCCACTGGGCGGCAGCTACTGGGCCTGGATTTTCCCAGCCTGCATATGTGGCACCATTGCCATTGACATTTCATACACAGTCATGACTGTATTCATCACGACGACACTGCCGAGTGCCCGACAGGGCCTCGCCGGCGGCTTGATCAACTCGGTTCTGCAGTTGGGCATCGCAGTCTGTCTTGGCCTTACCGACATCGTTCAGTCATACACCATGGATTCACAAGGGCTACGCCAGAGCTACAAGAACACCTTTTGGTTCGGTGTCGCTGCTGGAGTGGTGAGCTTCATGCTCATGGCTATTTGGGGTGCCGTTCCCAAGGCTACGAGCGATTTGACCGCTGATGAAAAGGCGGAGCTTGAACGAGCTGCCAGTCAGGCCCCGGCGTAGGGGGGCGTTTCATACAGCGATGCATAGCGGCGGCGCTTTTGGGTACAGGGCGAGGACAGTAGCCCGATAGATGTTTTTCCTTTAGATTTTCCAATATTATTGTACGTAAATAACGTTCTACTTGGCCAACTCTCGTGTATTATTGCGGAGGCTGAGGTTGCTGTTGTTCGAGGTTCTGGTTTGATGTTCGCAGCCAGGTTCCGGGGGTCCCGGGGGTTTCGGCTATACGTGTCGCCTAAAACTGCGTAGCCAATGAGGCAGCCACAGCCACGATTTCTCCTGTTACCTCTTTGCGTTACGCTCTGCATCGCTCGCATTCTGACGAGATCAGGCACGCGACCACCTCTATCTCACCTCATCACCACTATTCTTCGAATTTTTGATATTCCATCGTCCCTTGCTGAGATCGTGTGAGAGCTGTGCAGATGGGTTTGCGGCTTCATCAGGCTCAAATTGCTGCGACCACCGTCTTCAACCTTCGCTGTACACCAACGTCATCCTGTTTCATGCCCTCAGCATGGCACTCAACACTCTGACTACAAGCGCCCGGCGCTTCTCGAAGCGCGTTCTTTGGTCTTACTTTGGGGACTGGATTGTAATGGCCGTCATCCTCGGCCTTGCTATAGGTTTCCACAACATCGATGGCGCAGGGTCGCGGCATGCGTTCGCCCTGCAAGATCCTAGCATCTCATATCCTCACACCGAGGATCTGATCTCCAACCCAGTACTTTATGTCACATCCGTCGTCATTCCTGGAGTACTCATCGCATCAATCTGCCTAGTCTTCGTGCCAGGCATCACTGCCACTCGATCCATGGCAGCAGGGCCACTGTGGCAAAGAAAGCTGTGGGAGGTTCATGCTGCGTGGCTTGGGCTGGCACTTGCCTGCCTATCGGCTATTGCTATCACTAATGGACTCAAGCCCTTGGCCGGCAGACCTCGTCCGCACCTCCTCGCCGTTTGCGACCCAGACCTGTCGACCGAAGCCATTGACAGGTGGAGAGTGGGAGGTCTCGGGACAGACCTGAACTCAGCAGTACCCATCGTTGTCTCATGGCACATCTGTCGCAACACCGATGCGAGCGAGATGAGAAATGCTTTCGCCAGCTTCCCCTCTGGTCACGCGAGCACCAGCTGGTCTGGCCTGCTCTACCTCTCGCTCTTCCTGTGTGCCAAGTTCGGCATCAAGATCCCAGTACTGCGCGTGCCAGCAATTAGCTCGCAGTCACGGGTTCCAACTCCACGCAACCAAGGTGCCGCACCACCAGCATACCTCATATTGCTCGCGTTTGTACCAATTGGTGTGGCTTTCTTCATCTCGGTCTCCCGCTGGTTCGACTACCGCCACCACGGCTTCGATATCATTTCTGGCGCAATCCTAGGCGTTTTCACTGCTTGGATCAGCTTCCATCTCTACCAGGAACCCATCTCGACTGGCGATGGCTGGGCTTGGGCATCCCGGAGCAGGAGACATGCTTTTGGTCTGCCCGTCGGATCCACATCTGATGCTGAAGACAATGTATGGGACGAGTCCTCGCCTTCACGAAGCAAAGACGGTCCGAGCACAGACGTCGAAAGCAACCCTCGTCAGTCACCTGAGCGATTCGAGATGAATCGCGGCCGTCAAGGCTGGCCACAAGGCAATCAGAGTGCACCAGCGGAAGTCTGAGACACCTAGAAGCTTCACACCAAGCATCAATATTGTTTCCACTGACATCTACTTCGCACGCAAGTCGTCATTGCCGTGAATGACTGGGCAAAAACGTCATCATCGAGCTCATTGAGTGTGTCCGAATATCACATGAAACTAAGACGTGAGTATTTTTGGAGGACATGGCAGTCTAGATCTGAACTTCCAGCGTATCACGAGCCGTGGCCGTTGGCTGCTTCAGTGGGTTGCGTTTGTGCTTGCCCGTCAGTGAACGTCACAGTCCTGGTGGCCAGAAACTCCTCCAAACCCCAGGATCCATTCTGACCTTTGCCAAAGCCACTACCCTTTGTGACTCCCACTGGTATGGTTGCTGTTGTGATTCCATCAGCTTCAGCACTCGTATAAAGCATCGGCACTTACCTTCATCGTGTCCGGTACCAAATGGCAGATTGATATGCGTCTGGCCAGCCTCAATCTGACGCGCAATCCTCAATGCTCTAACAACGTCCTTGCTCCAGACACCAGCCGCCAGGCCATACTGCGTGTCGTTTGCCATCTCCACCGCCTGTTGGTCGCTATCAGCAATGTACAACGCGAGGACCGGCCCGAAGGATTCCTCGTCCGATATCTCTGCGTCTTTCGGCACTCCTTTCAGGATGACCGGTGTCATCATCGTCTCTGACCGCAACTGCACATCGCCAAACATAACCTCAGCACCTTTAGCCACGGCGTCCTTAACCAACTTCAGTGTCCTGCTGGGACCTGCCGAGCCAATCGCGCTATGACAGTCCCACTGGGCAGCCACAGCCTTCAAGACTTCCAGAAACCTACCCTCCACCTCTCGCCTCACAATCACCCTCTCTGTGCTGAAACAAATCTGTCCATGATGCACGAAACCGCCCATGACCGCAGCCCTTGCCGCACCCTCCAAGTCTGCATCCTCACAGACCACCAATGCACTCTTGCCCCCGAGCTCCATCAACATCGGTTTCAGGTACTTTCCTGCCAACGCCCCAATCGCCCTCCCAACCGCCGCACTCCCAATAAACTCCACCTTTCTCACCGCCTCATGACTCACCAACACCTCGGTCACTGCAGCCGCGTCCTCCCTCCCACACTGCACCACATTCAACACCCCTTTCGGTAGTCCCGCCTCCCAAAACAATCCTGCCAGGAAATGGTGCGTCCGCGGGCTCTGCTCGCTCGCCTTCAGGATAACCGTGCAGCCCACAGCGAGCGGCGTGTCGATGGCGCGACAGGCCAAAAACAACGCCGCGTTCCACGGCGGAATGCTCAGCACTGGACCAATGGGCGCTTTGTAGGCTAGCGCCGTCATCCCGGGCGTCTGCACCACCGGCAACTCCCCCGAAAGCACCGTCGTGATGCGTGCAGCCATCTCCTCCAGGTGCGCTGCCGCCCAGATGACGCCCTGCATGGCCCACTGCGCAGGGCAGTTGGTCTCTTCCACCTGCAGCCTGACTAGCTCGTCCTGGTGGGTGAGGACCAGGGCGGCGGTCTTTTGAAGGATGGCACGGCGGGAGCTGGGGGTGGTGAGGGACCAGGTTTTGAAGGCACGTTGTGAGGAGGCGGCGGCGACGGCGGCGACGGAAGGGGTGCAGGATGTGTAGGTGCTGTAGGGGACGGAGAGGTGGGCGGAGTGGTTGGTTATGATGGTCGCGGAGGGGTCGTCGTGCGGCGCATTGTCGATCATGAGCGGGAGGTGAGGGAGCTTGGACATGGTGGGCAGCGAGGTAGTGATAGTGATGGCTGGAGAAGAGGGGAAGGTGACAAAACACTGGTTGCAATTGACGGATGTATGGCTTCAGAGAATGCTCGATCTAGAGGGGTTGTCCAGACTCTGGACCCAGGATTCACTCCCGAATATATATATGTCGCGTCCCTTCCCAATACAACGGCCAGGGCCTCCCACCGTAGCTCCCAGACCCTGTCCGCGTGCAGTCCACATGCCAAGATCCCACCATCTACTTCACGTTCGTGCACTGTACAACCGGAGGGTATTCAGGCTGCCAACTCACTCCACCCCAGGACACAGCTGCACAGCGTCACATTATTAAAACTCACCCAGACCGCCTCGCTGCGGTCAAGCAGGGTTGAGCAGAGCAGACAAGCGCACTACAATGCCAGACATTTCCGTGTGACAGATGGCCGAATAACTTCGCCTTACCCGAAACCACACGGGTTCCAAGCGTGAGACGTGAGAAAAAGAGCGTGGAGTCGTTGGAGTCGGTTGGGGCCAATGCGGGTTGGATAGGCAAACAAGGGGTTGGCAGCCTCGTGGGACGCCTAATACTGGGGGCTTGTACGGCCGGGGGTTTGTGTACACTGTATATATGCAGGGGCGCCGAGAGGAAATGGTAAGTGAACCAGGGGTTGGCTGAGGCGCTATTGTTTGCTTGCGGAAGAAGGGGCCATGCCAGAGAGACACTGTGCGTATATGTATGTAAGATAGTTCGAAAACACGATCGAGGTCTATATTTGATACATAGATAACATTGCACGCTCGCAAGACACATTTCTTGAGACCCTACTCTGAAGCAAGCCCCCTTCCTTTGCCCTTTTCCTCCCTCTCTCCCCTTGAAGCAACAGGTTTTCCCCCGCCCGCTCCCCCCCC